GCTGCACTCACGCGTGTTGAAAAGATCGCCGGAGGGCATGGCCCGTGCATTGTGCAGGCACTGATCCTTGGCCTGGATGATTTCCACCGCACGGGGGGCGAGCAGGTCATCTCAGGAGACCACAGCCACCTTGCCATGAGCGACCCAAAGCCGTCATCTCTGTCGAGCCCCCACACGAGCTGCTTTGGTGCAGGAGCTATTGTGCTGTTGGGGTTGGCACAGATGTTCCTGCATGCAGCCAGCGTGACCGTGCCTTGTCCTTCAACCTGAGCACCTTGAATATTAGGCTCCAATCACAGTCAATCTGCCCTCCGCGCGTTGTGTGTGTGTGTGTGTGTGTTTACATGGACGCCCACTTGATAACCGAGGACCACTGCGAGCGACTACCATCTTTCGTCAACTCGTCACGCGGTGCTGAGCAATTCTAGATTCCAGAGATTCGCTGACATCCAGGTCACGTAGCCGCTTAGTATTCGTACCACTAGCACGCTGTGGCCCGCAGCCTTTTTTCAGTCTTACAAGCATGCCTGTCATCCACTATGCTTGCACGTGCATGGCACTTCAACTCATGCCTCCCAGAAAATCTAGAAACTGCCTGCGCGAAAGCACGAGAATCCCAAGCTTCTCATGCTGACACGTAAAAGATTCCGGGTGCGTCGGCAAGCAGCGCCCAGTCCCGAAAGCAGTATCGAATCACAAGCGCCTCAACACGCCGAGCCACAATGAAAGTGCGTCTTTAAAGACATCTTGGGAGTGGTCTGAGAACCATGACATCTCAAGTAGTGCTAGGGCCGCTAGGGTTTCGGGCTTCGACATAGGGTTTCAAGGAGACCGGAAGCGAAGAAGTCTAAAGGGTTATGAATTGCAGAACAGTTTCAGGGGGTATTCCGGTCTCGATGCCGTTAAATGTCTGAGTCGTTCCGACGCAGTGCTCTGTCCCGAAATGTCAAATAGCAAGTCCTTCCCAAAACCGAATCACCAGGAGTTTCTGGGCAGGATGTTCGAAGCAGATCATTCTTTCCTTGCCAGAATCCCTTTCATCACGTCTCTGCCTCTTGCCTCTCCACTCCCTCTCAGCAGTCTAAGGCTTGGCTTTGGACGCGAGCTCGATGCCGACCGTATGTACCTGGTGGAGTACATGTGGGGGCCTTGAGCCTTGAGCACTCCCTCCTCTTGGCGGGAACGGTGGGGGGAAGAGGGGACGAAACACAGTTTTCCAAGCTGCAACGCCTCCAAGCCAAGACTTTTAGCTGGAAACATGCGGAGAACACCTCGGCTTGTTTGAGCATCGGGGGCAGATGCGGAGTACCCATGCGCGTATTATGAGAACACCCCTGCTACCATGGGACATGCCTGGGCCAAGTCAGGAGCGCAGCAGAGGAGTCAGAAAGATCCGAGATCCTAGGTGCGATAAAGCTCAGACTGCCTGGTTGCCACGACTGCTGCGAAGAGAAGGAAAGGAATGGATATTCAGCCAAATGCGGCCTATTTACATAGACGGGGAGACGAGACCCACCAAGCTTGCGAAGCAACGCAAACTTTGCCACAAGTTGCAACTCTCCAGGGCCTCGGTTGTCAGCTTTCAGGGTTCGTTGTTTCGCTGAGAACGGACTTCGCCAGCAAGAGATTGCAGGCGATTCTTTGCACATGTGTCCTGATTATGTCTGATGTCGGCCCTTGCCCGGACCAGTCTTCCCAAGTTTTGCCATTGCTTCACCCATCAGTGGTCGTTTTTGCCGGTGTTGTTGTCAGAGTGCTTCCAACTCTTGTGTGCTCGCACATGTCTGTAGTGCTTGCCTGCACCTGGGCAAATCTGATTGAAGCCACTTTCAGGTTCTACAGCCAAGCTCCCTGGCAAGCAGAAGATATTTCAAAGAATCCTCAGGAGTTTGTGACACCATGTAAGGCTCTCAGATCTCTAAACCAGGCGCTGGAAGTGCAGAAGCCCCTAATTAGGTCCAAGCTGCAACCCAAAGCTCGCGTCTTTGTTGCGGTCTTCTGCCTTGTGAGCTCAGCTGCACAGGCCGGCTTCTACGTTTTCGAAGTCCGGCTTACAAGGGACATGGTGGAGAGCTGAGCGTGAGTTCTCTGCCATGTGTTTAAGCTCAAGCCTTTTGGAGCCTCTCGCCCAGCAAGGTGCTGAAGGCCTTCTACATTTGCGCGGTGGGTGTCTTCTACTTCGCTACCAAAGTCATGTCTGGCTCTGGGTTCTAAGCCGACAACATCCTTTTGGAGCTGTGATTCTGAGATGTTTGTGGAAATAAGACCACGCCGCCAGAGTGCTTACGTGGACATTCCAGTTGCGAGGCAAGCAAGGCCCAGCATCAGGTGCGGCCCTGACGAGTCGAAGTTTCTTTGGGATGGGTTTATCCATTGTAGGACCTTGGCTGAAGATGCAGGGACTGCTTGTGCCCATTTGTCCTAGACTTGCAGATGGGCGGGCTGGCCCCCTGCAAGTCAGGACCCCTGTCAAACGAAGCGCATGCACAACGTGATGTAAGCCCTAAACCCTAACGGGAGAGTGGTCCCAGAAGGGGTCAGCTGGGCGGGTGGCAAAAAAAAGAAACGGGACTTTCTGCTTGTGAAAAGAAGCATGAATCCCTTGTGCTTCGTAGTGACCTTGGCACAGTCGTGCAAAACAGAAGATGCTTTTGGGATGAGGACAAGACTGCATCGGCTCCACCGTCCCAAGTGTTTTCTGGAACTCTTTTATCTGCTCCCTGGCGTGCCCCATTGAAGGCCGCCGGTGTTCTGGCCGTTTTTGGCAATGCAAGTGCAGAGGAACTTGACTCTTGTGATTTCGTTTTTAGCCGCTCCATTGCGCGGCTTCCCTCAAGTTGGCAGCGCAGTGCTCAAGTCATCTGATTTGTTTGAGGTACGGCATCATGCAACGTGAAGACGTGAAGTGCTGTCAGCTGTGCAACCATGGGCCACAAGCTGGAGTGCATGCCGAAGTTGGTGCCGGCATACTTTCTCAACTACTGTGATTCTGTTGTCTCGGTTCCGCTCGGGCACTCCACTGCGCCCATCCCTTTGTAGGTTTATCAATGGTGAGGTCAGACACAAGCAGAAGCTCGGTGAGACCAAAGCAGCATACAGGAATTGACCTTGCAAAGTTGACAGCCGTACCTAGGCACACACGAGAGTAGCCACATTCAGCAAACTGCCTCAACATTCAGCCAAGTGTAGTGATGCCACCCATGTCCACATCCATCCAGACTGCCGTCGTGCCAGGAGGGCTTTGTGGATTTGTTTGCTGTTTGTCGCCCGCTTTTTAACCATGGCATTGTTCTGTTGGAGGGCTCAGTCACTCTTCTGCCAGCACGTAGAAGACCCTTGACACCCATCAGCGTCGCCTTCGCTGGTCCAGGGGACAGCAGCACACAGGTGGTCCATGATGAGAATGCTCAGATTTCTAAAATTACAGCAGGACATGCGACGACAATCCTTGCCATCTTATCTTGTTTTCCATGCTGAGAGCCAGCATGGCGCGCAGATTTGTATTCCTGAAGGCAACCAAAGCAAGAAGAACACGCAGGATTTTGTCGAAGAAGTGACAAACTGAAATAAAGAGGAGACCAACGAACAGTTGCGACCAGCAGCCCACCAGCGCCCAATCGAGTTTGAATCGAGACCTAAACTGCTTCACAGGACATCAGAAACCTGATTCTGCCCACACTCGCGTGCGAAGTAGAAATGGCAACGCGCCACCTTACATGATGTTTAATGTTCGTGGCCTTGTGTGAACGATTTTTTGATTTTTTTTTTGGGGGGGGGGGGGGGGGCGGAGCTGCTTCAAGGCGGACTCGACACAAGTACGCTTGGCAGCCACACCATATGCCTTGTTTCTGCTAGCCGGTCTCGTCAGCTCTGCTTGATGCTGCATGCCGCCTCTCAGCATGCACGCTGTCCAGCGGCGAACGTCGCTGTGCCAACTCAATGACTGAGAGGCGAAGCCAGAGAGTTGCTGGCGCAGATAAGCATCCTGAAAGGAATGGCTGTTCATCGTGAGGTGTGTTCGACCCGCTCAAGCAGCGTTCCCCGCTACAACTACGAGGGGTATAGGTCAGGGGCCTCGGTTCTCTTCCAACTTTACATGCCATCAAGCCTTCATTATGAGCCTCGCGCGAGACAGCCACATTTTGGTGGTGGATTTGCTCCTGCCTGAGCTCGTCTAGGGCAAGCGAACAGACGACTCAAGGCAAAGCATCGCCCCCCGCTCGTCGATGGGCACCAAAGTATTTATCTGTGCATTTTTGAAGCTCGCTGACCACGTGTCTGTGTCTGGGTCGGCTTAAGTGCCCCAGGCCACACAGCTGCCCAGTCAGTGGCGAATGATCGAATTTTCCTCAAATCTGTTTTTGCAGGCGCTGCTTTCAATAGGTGCTGCTCTGCTTGGTCACCGACGGCGTGCCGATATAGAATCGTTCCATGCAGCTGCCGCTGCCACGCCACAACAACTAAGGAGTTCTGAAGTCAGTTTGTTGTTGCAATCTGTGCATGTGCTGTACTTGCCCATGTTTTGCCAATTGACTTCTGTTGCTTCACAGCGTGGGGTGAGCCTTGCGCATAGGGATCATCACCCAGCAATGCCCGGAACTATCTCGAGTGCTGCTGAAGACTCTCTGGAGTCAGCCCTTTTAAGATGCCAGCCAGCCCAACCAAGCCGGCTGCAATTTTTTCAGACACCGGCACTGGAGAAGAAAGGGCGCGGTACTTTTCAGTAGATGGTGAGAGCTTCACAGGGACCATGGCACCTGCAAGCCCTGGAGTTCAACCGGTTGTTTTTTTTGTTAATTGGTTGTTGTCCAAGCGAAACTCGAATCTCACTCACTCACGGCACTCTGACAAGTCCTCACGTCATGGCCTCGAATCTAGAGAGATGCATGAGCAACGCTGAAACCCGAGTCGCTTCTGCCAGAGACGCTTCCACAATTTAATTTTGGAGCATTTTCCCACGCGAACTGCTCCTTACGCCGAAGCATGATGAAGCATGCGAGGCTTTGGCCCGTCACAAGGGCAGCGTCTTTGGTGGCTTAGGGGAAACGACTCAGCCCAGCTCCGAGCAGATGAGGCCAGTGCCCTTCTTATTGCGGGAGTTGCTGCCGGTTCGGGCTCGCGGATACGAAGCAAGTGAGTGAGGGAAGCACATTCAGCATGAACGGGATGATGACAGCATCACGGTTTCCATTGTTCCATTTCGCGGGCACTCTTCCAGCATTCATGCGGATTGACCCGTGCCCTCCGCATTCGGCACATTGAATGAAGCCGCTCTGATTTGTTCTTGTCTGCTTACGCTGTTCAGGAATTCAGTGGCGGTCCAGTGGGCGGCATTGGAGCCCTCGCGTTGGGTGTACTTGGAGGACTCGTTGGCCAGGCTGCACAGGCTCTTAGCATATCTTAGCGGCATTTTTTGGTGCCAGGTTGTAGTTAGTTAGTGCGGGAGCTTGAGGTTGTTGAGGACCATGAAGCTTTGCAAGGGCCCTGTTCGCATGCCGGCTGACTGCTCTTCCAGGATGAGGGCCCACGGATAGGCAGTGTGGCCTGGGCCTCGGCACTAGGGCAAAGCTGTCAGTGACTGCATAGGTGGTCTTACTTAAAATCCTTGTTGCTCGAGAGCTTCGATCTCCGATTCTGAAAGTTTCGAGTTGTCACATTGATTGCTTCTGAGGTTGGAGGCTGTTCAGATAAGGTTTTGCTGTCGTTTGGGTTAGTAGTCCGGCGCTTCTTTGGCCAGGTGCTGCCAAGCGCTCTGTATCGCCGGCTGCGCCAAGGTTGACCGAGTGGAGCATAAGTAAGCATCGGATCATGCAGAATTTGAGGACGATTTAGGGCTCATAGGGCTCTGGGCTATGCAAAACAGCAGACGTGCACATCCCAACCTGGCAGCTGCACTGGTTCTTCACCTGGACGTGCCTTTCGCGCTGCGCGCCGAACGCTCGCTGGCACTTTATGGTTCCTTTGGCGCCGAGGCAAGACTCGGAGAGAGATTTCCCAGCTCCACCGGTAAGGTGCATAGCTTCATGGTACAAAGCTTTGTTAGCAGCATGGCCTCTCATTCCCAGGCTCGACATTTCGTGATGCGCTCCCACATGGCACAATACCTGCGATTCCTCTCCGTAGCTTTTGCAAGAGCCGTATTTCCTTATCGTTTCATCAAGTCGAATTGTCGGCAATGTTGCCGCATCTGTTTGGCAGGCCCTTTGCTCGGCAGTAGAGCCACCCGGCAAGCAAATGAAGCTAGGCACATTGTGCACGCTCTGTCAGACCGGTGCCGGCATGTGGCATGTCGACAGCTGCAACTAACTGATGTTTTCGAGGAATTTCCGCCACCGCATGGGCCACTCCCGCACGAACCTGCTTCAGCAGAAGCTGCGGCAGGGAGCACTCCGGGAGGTGTGTGAGGACAGGGACAGCCCAGCATGTGCCGTACAAACTTTCGGCCTCCAGCTCTGCTCCAGATCAGTTTTATTCCATGCCATGGGAGTGATGCTTAAATCAGGACAAGTGTCTGCGAGCCACCTTGCTTGAGTCGGAAAAAGAAGTCCTCCGTCAGAAACGCTCTGAACCCAAGTCGAAAGCATTGAAAGCAGACATAACCCCTCAGGAGAAATCGCGTACAGCCAGGAACATTTATTGCAAGTTGTCCTATGAAATCTCGGCCTTGCGCTGGATGGGATCGACCGAGCTCCTACTTTCGTGCGCGGGCGTGGGATCGACGAGCGCCCGTTAGGTGGGATGGGACCGTTCAGAGTTATAGGTGCCTTTGTGGGATGGGATGGAAAGGTCTCGATAACGTTATCATGGGATGTCAATGGTCTTTTGGTTTTTGCTGCAAGCACTTGGGGATGGGACCGAAGAGTTTCTTGGTTTTACGCGAGTGGGACCGATAAAGGGCAGAATGGTGCCGGCTGGTCTGGGGGGGAGCTTGGGTTTCAGAGGGGGACTCGGGTGTCTCGCTGAGGGGGTCATGAGGGATGGCATCGAAGGATCCTGGCTGGCTCCCGGCGTGGTTTTCCTCGTGCTGTGTCGTTTTCCGAGTCAGTCTTTTGTTGCTTTGCGACCCGGCTTTTTTGATGTCTGGTTCGGTCCACGCGGTTTTTGACTTGAGTTCCCGACTTCGCCGATCACCCGCCGCCATGGGAACAATGTGCAGACAGTCGCTTGCCGTGTTCAGGGGGTGCTTCGAACAGCTGAATTGAGGAGATATTGCAGAACTATGACAAGGCCTACACTTACCATCTAAAACGGCAGGGGGCTCATCGTTGAATTGCATTGGCTTGTGCTAATGTCGGCATTCAGGCGATGGCACCTCATAAAATGCCCTTGTCTAAGGGGGCGAGCTGGCAGTGGGCAGATACTACGCCTTCCGGTCGCTTGCTCAGAGCTCCTACAGCTGGCCCACAACACGCCAATATCAACTTCGGCTCTAATGCCCAGAGCTTTAGCCATCGGCCTCCCCGAATTCCTACAGTCCCCAAGGTCTCGGCTTCAGAGGTCAGCCAAAGCTCAAGGCTCAAGGTAGCTGGCAAGAGCAACTGCATGAATGGCAGGTATCGCTGGTTGTACCAGTGGTATTGCAGGTTCTTCCGATTGCCTTGCCCCCACAGAATGCAGCAACGATGCCGAACCTTTGGTCCTGCCAGTCTGTGATAAGATGTGAACTAGGTATTCCGAAGGTATTCCTGCAGTGCTGTTCCACATCTCGTTGTTATGTCGCGTAGTTGGCTGGGTCGGAGCTCCTCCTCCCTGAAGCCCATGAAGCCCTACTCTGTCCAGCAGTTCTTGAAGGAGGGGGCGTGTGTGAGGCAGTGTGCAGCAGTTCTCGCCTGATGAATTTCAAGTACCGTTTGGGTTTCCTAGGGTGCCCGCTGGTTGTCGGACAATCCTACTCGTAGGTCCGTCAAAGGAAGTGTGGGTCAGATTAGTCTTGTTTTGGCGCTGTGCTGCTCAGATCCTGAGACTTAAAGTTCTGTGCTTTTAGAAATAGGACAAATCCAAGCAGTCCAAGCAGCTTTCTCTGGATGTCGGCGAGTGCCAAGGGTGAAACTCAATCAACTTAAGCTCAGGTCAATTCTTCGGACTCTGCTGCCGTGGCGCGTGCCGTGGCGGCGGTGGCAACTCCCCTGCAGGTGGCGGCCGAGGCGAGCGCCGAGGCGGCCGAGGCGAGCGCCGAGGCGAGCGCCAAGGAGAGCTGGATGAGAGGAGTTTGATAGCCTTAGTTAGGAAATTTGGCTTGTTGAGCAGCGCGCAAGCAATTGTCATGGTGGTGGGTTGATTTGCTGTGCCATATTGCGCAGCTTGGTGCCTCACGTCTTGGTTCCTCCGTGGAATCTTCCTGCTTGTGGGCTTGAACAATGATCGGGTTTGGAGATGGCAAATAAACTTTACAGGTGGGGTCGAGAATCGGGGAATCGGTGTCCAGGTCTCGATGGAACATGAATGGGCATTGATACCCATCAATACGGCCCCCTTGACGCTTGCAAGGGGATTGGCATTTTCAATTTTGATCGACGTTGCTCAGTAGCTAGCAGCAGCATGATGAATTGCGGCGCGCTCCAGACCAACTAAGTCAATTCCAGCCCTTCAAGAAACCTTGGGACATAATCCTGAATTTGGACGGTGTGCGGGCCCGACCTTGCTTCACAATTTCTCAAAGCCAGCAAGGAGTTGCATGTGTCCGATGCAGCCGCAATCCGCGAGCTTCCCTGCTTCTGTGGAGCTGGGGCCCGAGAAGCATGACTGGACCATTCGGGCGTGGCTGCCCGGAACACGTGCTGCTTTGTAGCCAGCGTCTACATCTTAACACGTGAAAAAGGAAACGTAATTTGGCGTGGAAGCCCAGGCAGTGGTGACCCGCGTTGCCGGGGATCCTGTGTCGGTGTCGATCTGCCATTGTTCCATATGCAGGTGCGGTCTGGCTGAGTGTCTTGCGGATGTCCTGGCAGCCCATGGTGTCAAAGAGTGTATCAGAATTGCGGTGCTCCGGGGTTTTGCCAACTGCCATGGGGATTTTTTTCACTTGGTCGCATCGTGAGCAGGCATTGAAATGGCTGTGTAGGAGACTCGTTATCGCTTGCAGATTAGAGAGGAAGACTTGGAGAAACTGTGTCAACTTCTGGATTGTGTGAAGGCGTTTGTCCGGAGCACCATTCGTCGTGAGTGCCGTGTTGCACCCGGAGCGTGTGGAGCTCCGAAGCACGGAGCCCAGACCTGGCGCAGACGTTGACTGCAAGACTGTAAGGGCCAAGAGATGTGTGGATGGTGGGAAAGCTTGCTCCCAAAAGTCTCCGTCCAAGAAGCTGCTGTAGCAGGCCTGGGACCTGGGAGCAAAGGGGGAGGAAGGGAGGGGAAGGGAGAGTGAAGGGGAAGGGAGGGGAAGGGAGAGTGAAGGGGAATGGAAGGAGGGGGAAGGAGGGGGAAGGGGGAAGGGGGGGAGGCAGGCAGGGAGGGATGCAGGGAGGCCGGAGACGGCCCGGGCCGAATTCAACAAGCGCTGAGGGAGCACGATTTTCAGGGTTTAGGGTCGGAATTCGGGCGGGGCACATTCGCTCCACTGAAGTTTGACAACGTGCGTTCTGCACAACCCCACCCCTGTTGGACGAAACACAATGTGTAAGAAGAAGGAGGAGGAGAAGAATGAGAAGAATAAGCAGCAAAAGAAGAAGAAGAAGAAGAAGAAGAAGAAGAAGAAGAAGAAGAAGAAGAAGAAGAAGAAGAAGAAGAAGAAGAAGAAGAAGAAGACGAATAATAAGAATGACGGAAACCTTTGTTTCAAGCCCAGACCATTCGACCATCTCAGACCCAAGCAAGGAGATGTTATATGTGGAGAGACCTCGATGTTTGGACTCGAATAGGGATACTGTCAGAACGGCCATGTTGTGGTCCACTCAAATACTGCGCCCAGCAACGACCCATCGCCATCACTTGCCATCGCTTGCCAAGACTTGCCGCCATCTGAGGCCCCAAAGGTGGGCCCCCGCAGCTTTCAGAGCTGCGCACGTCCAAGCAGGCTTGGACCCATGGTGGGTCGGGAGTGCCAGGAATTTGGGCTACATTGTGATTCATTGTGTTTGGGGCTCGCGTGAAGCTTGGTGACTAAAATCTTCATGACTGAGTAGTTCGGAGATTTGCATCCAGTGTCCCGGCTGAGATGCTAGAGGTGGTGAGGCAGCGCTGTGCTGCTTGTGGCGCGCCGGTTTGCGGCCGCCTGGGTCGGTTTGTCGCCCTCCCACTGGGGAGCTCCCTGGCCTGCATGACGCTGGATTGGGACTACGGTGACCCAGCAAGCTCAGAGTGCCGAGCTCAGAGTGCCGAGCCAGGGAAGCCCGTCCAAGCACAGGTTTGGTGTCCGCGGAGCAAAGTCGAAGCCGCTTGGCGAGCAGAGAGGGGTCGGCAGTATGCATGCTGGTGCAGCACACTGAGAGAGTTCTGTGTAGGCACAGTGGTCTATGTGGTATTATGTGGTTTTGTATGTCCAGGCGGCATCGTACCAGAGGCATGGCAGCCGACTCACCATCTGCACCTTGGACATGCACCAAACCTTCTTCTTCCTGGATTCCATTTCAGCCCACAGGCAGATGCACTTCGTTAGCGAGCTTTGCACTGCGTGCTGCCAGGCACTACGACAGCCGAATTCTGGACCGGGGTTGCCTTGCAGCTGGCGTGGGAGGGTGTGCTGTGTGGCCTTCAAAAGCGCATAAAAGAGCCAAGATCTTCATTTTGCAGCGGCTGGACGAATGATGCTTGGTGCCCCGCTGCAGGGGGTGTACACTTCGCTGTTGGTTTGCCAAACTTGCCTTTTTTCCCCCAACAAACAACTTGACGTTCAAGGGACAGAGTTCGTCCATCGGCCTCCAGAGCCAGATCGAACACAAAGCTATCACAAGGGTGCTGATCCTTTTAGCAAGTTTTTATGAAATCTAGGTCCATGACGTGTGAGTGCCCGTGAAAGATCAGAGAACAGGCGTGCGAAAGGAACTTGTTTTTGGGCGATTCAGGAAATCCGTGTTTCTGGACGCAAGGTGTAGCACAAGACGGGCGAGAGCTCAGCGAAAGTCCTTCGCAAGTCTGACGCATGCATCCCTGGAGGGGCTCAGCCCTGTTTGGGGTTCACCTCCCTCGCCTCCCCAAACCTCAGGCCTAGAGCCTAGACCTCCTAGTGCTCCTTTTCTCCAGAGGACGTTCGGGACGACCTTGTCAAGTATCGCGGGCGCGCCCGTGGCGAAGTGTGGACTGCGGAGCAGGGCTCCGACGGCAAGGAAAAGAATGGAGCTGCGATGCAGCAGGAGTTCAAGGCTTGAGGTCTAAGGCTTCTTGTAGGGCTCTTTCGGGTTTAGGGTTGGGGTGTGGTTTGATTCGGGTTTTGTCCGGCCCAGCTTACTATTTTTAGGTTGGTTGGTTGAGTGGTAGTCGCAGTCTTGTTTACCTTGAGGCATACCTGGGTTTTTTGGGCATGGGTGCAGGTCAGCACTCTCGAAACCAGGGCTGCACCTTGTTCTTGTTTGAATATCGGGCTCGCGCACTGACCATGTGTTCCATGTATTCGGGCCTTACAGGTCGTAAAAAATGACAAAGTGCAGACTTCAGAGATCAGCATAGGCCCAAGTTTAGCGGTTGTGGAAGCCTTGTGCCAGGTCAGGTGGCCCAGGTGGCCCAGGTAGCCCCAGCTTCTGGGCCATCGCCGCCTTCTGCACCTGGCCCGGGGCCTGCAGGGGCTGCGGCGCCTGGCGCTGGGCCCTTGGTCGCGCCGGCCCAGAACGTGGAGGTGGCAACAGCATCAGATGGCGCAGGAAGCACAGAAAGGGCTGAAGGCTTCCCGAAGGATTTTGGCGGATGCTTGCGGCCCCTAGACACAGGCTGTAGGTACATCATCACACACCCACATCACGTACCACATGCTATCACCCCACAGGCCAGACCTTTGCGCCTTGCCCGCCTCCCGCCCCACAGCATAGAAGAGAACAACCTCCACGGCAAAAAGGAAACCTTCTACTGCATGTGCAGGAAACACGGTCCAGCATAAAAAAGGCACAGAGGGCTACCCCGCAAGAGAAAACGCACGTGCACAAACACGGCCAGCATTAAATCTGCTCTCCGCCATGCAGAAGGCCAAGCCATCTAAGCCATCAACTCAACCCTAATTTTCACATCAAGTGCCACACCAGAATGCTGAGCTGCGATTAATTTCTGGGCCAGGTGTCTGCCCTCTTGGCGGGTCATGCTGCTGCAGCTGGCCGCGTCAGAAACCCATCAGCATCCATCCTCGCAAGTTGCTGTGCTCTTTAGAACTTTAGATAATATTCCTCGATATGTACAACAAGTGCACACTTCAGCATTCGTGTAGCGAGCGGTGCTTGAAGATGTCGCAATGTTTGGGATAGTTCTGAAGGCCGTGACGTACACAACCACCACGACTACCACCACCGCAGTCACGATCAATGGCGCGCGGCCCTCGAACGTGCCGCAGATGTCCAATCGCTATCATAGGATCTGTTCTTGAAGGTGTTGCAACAGGTCAATCTAGGTCGATCTTCTCCTGATGTTAGTGCAAGGCGTCACCTGGCTTTCCCACTCCGCCAGGGCCTCGATCATCAAGAGTTGGAGGGATTGCGCTGGATTGTGCACTGCCAGTGTTTTGGCAATTGAGTCCGTCGCCCTCTGGGCCAGCGATCGAGTATCAGCCGCCGGCGCCGACTCCGCAGGCGCGTGTATCTGCAAGTGGCTGTGCACATTCCGACAAATGCCTCTCTTTGCGGAGAAGTTCCAAAGTCACCTTGCCGGCACAGTCCCTGCCCCTCAAGGTCAATGGTCACACGACAAATGGGGCGGCCCAGGCCGGCAGCGGAGAGAGCAAAGCACTGCTCGGCCCTCAAGCGCTGTTGTACACTGTCATTCTGGTTTAGCAGCACGGAAAGTCTTTTAGGATGTGGGTGGTAGCGGTTTAGCAATAATATAGCAAAGCCTGCATGTCCTCCAGTGCGGCCTCACAAGTTCAATGGTTTGGTTTGTCCAGTATGGCTTGAGATGTCCCTCCACAATTGCACGAAACAAACTTGACAAACACAGCACCAGAAACACTGTCTCACTTCATTATGTACATATATATATATTTATATGTCTAGGGCATTTTCTCGACTGGGTTTTGGTACTTGTGCTGGTGCTGCCTACTTGCGCTTTCGATTGTTGTTTTGTTTTGCTTCCGTTTTCCTTTCTCGTGCTCGTGTTCTGCTTCCGTTTGTGTTGTTTAATTTCTCTTGCTGGGTGCGTGCTGCACCTTGCTCTCTGCAATGCGAACAAGTACAAGCCAGGAGCACAACAAAGCAACACCCAGGCACCCAAAGTATGGCAGCGGGTGTTTGCTGGAAGGCTTGTGCATCCGTGCAAGCTCGTGTGAGCCGCAAGGCTTCAATACCACGAATATTGAGTAGACAAAAGGGCGCATTGGCTTCAGTGCGAAGTTAAAGAGCGCTGCAGGAAGATACAAAAAATTTTGTTTCTCATGACTGATGCGTTCTGAGATGAAGGGATGAGGCCGGATATCCTCTCAAAATCTGCGCGCTGCGGGACGGCGTGGCAGAGCACGGTCACGAAGAGCTAAGGCCGGCTCCAGCAGCTGAGCCCACAGACCAGGACATGCAAGCCATGGCCGGGAGCACGGTGAAAGATGGCGTGAACCCTTTACAGTAACGACCTAAACTAGGAGGCGCAAGCACCACGCCTCCCGCCCAGGTGGCAGCGAGGAAGCTGAATGCTGGCATCCCGCGGGCCAGAGGCTTTTTGAGAGATGACGCACATGACCCACTCCCACTTCATCCCACTTCGCCCTGTGATGTCTTTTGGCTTGTCATGCCGCCCATTGAGGCCGGTCCGTTGCCCCTGCAGTGGAATACCAGCTGTGCGCCTGAATCCCAGATTCTGGCACTAAGTTGAGAGGGTTTGTTCGAGAGCTCCGAGCAGGCAAAGTTTCGGCAGATAGATACGTAGGGTATAGACACTGTCTCCGACTGAGCTCGCCCGTGACCGCGCGCGGGAGGTAACGCCTGGCCGAAGAAGAAGAAGAAGAAGAAGAAGAAGAAGAAGAAGAAGAAGAAGAAGAAGAAGAAGAAGAAGAAGAAGAAGAAGAAGAAGAAGAAGAAGAAGAAGAGGAAGAAGAAGAAGAAGAAGAAGAGAAGAAGAAGAAGAAGAAGAAGAAGAAGAAGAAGAAGAAGAAGAAGAAGAAGAAGAAGAAGAAGAAGAAGAAGAAGAAGAAGAAGAAGAAGAAGAAGAAGAAGAAGAAGAAGAAGAAGAAGAAGAAGAAGAAGAAGAAGAAGAAGAAGAAGAAGAAGAAGAAGAAGAAGAAGAAGAAGAAGAAGAAGAAGAAGAAGAAGAAGAAGAAGAAGAAGAAGAAGAAGAAGAAGAAGAAGAAGAAGAAGAAGAAGAAGAAGAAGAAGAAGAAGAAGAGGAAGAAGAAGAAGAAGAAGAAGAAGACGAAGAAGAAAGAAGAAGAAGAAGAAGAAGAAGAAGAAGAAGAAGAAGAAGAAGAAGAAGAAGAAGAAGAAGAAGAAGAAGAAGAAGAAGAAGAAGAAGAAGAAGAAGAAGAAGAAGAAGAAGCAGAAGAGAGTCTCTGAGTCTGAGAGCAGCTTTCTTCTACGATTGTTGAGTACGCTTTCTGAATCGTGCGTTTGTTTGGTGGTCTCGTGGTCCTTAGGGCCTTCTGGTGCTCTGGTCTCATGGTCCTACAGTTCCCTGGGCTGCTGGTCTTGGTCTGCAGGTCCCCTTGTTGGTCCTCCTTGCTGCTGTTCCTCTGGTTCTGTTATGCATCGGTTGATGCTTTGCTCTTGTTTTCCTGTTTTTCCTGGTTTTTGAGTTTTGCCTTTTGGTTTGCTTTTGCTTCGCTTTGTGCGCCACATCTTTTTTGACAGCCAACCTTGCCACCATCGTTCTTCCGTTTTCGCACTCTCAATTTATCTCTCTCTCTCTCTCTTTCTCTCTCTCTCTCTGTGTCTCTTTCAGTAGAATACTCAGTAGAACTGACGACTGTTCGGTCGCACCACTCTGTGTTTGAATTCGTCCGGTTCGGTTTGGCGACTTTTGGGCGGTATTTCCTCGTCCGGCAGGGAAGCAGCAGAGAAACGAAGAAACCAAAGGAGAGCCATTGAATGAGCAGACGAGGGAACCCTGGGTCTCTGCCCCTTCTCATGTTTCAGCAACTGCGCATCGTATCTCCACCCTTTCCGCATTCAAGAGAAAATCTGAGAAGTGAGCCGCGACACGAATGACGGAGCAACAGGGGCTCGACACATGTAAATGGTCTTGTGGCATTCCTCTCCTTGAACCTCTCACTATGCTTTCTTCTGTCGGCCTCTTCAAAAACATGACAGTGGATCATCTTCTCTTCTTGTACGAGAAAGCAAGGAACGAGGAGCCCGACAAGAACACAAGACAGGGGGACTCTTTCCTTTCCTAAAAACATACAGGTGGGCAAACTGCTCACTTCCTCTTCCTTCTTCCTCGACCTCTGTCGCGCAGTATCATGCGGGAGGAGCCGAAAAAGTAGTGAAAAAGTGCCAACGGGCTCTGCCCAGCACCTTAGCTTGACTCTTCTACAGTACTCTCGTCGCTATCAGCACATGAGAGAACTCAGAGCCAGAAGGGTCTCCGGTCATCATCCTCTTGTGGTCTTCTGCTGATATATCATCTAACTTAGCAAGCGAAGAAAGTTTACCTGAGAGAGCATGGGATCGGCGGTAGTGGAGCAGGTTGCGTTAAGGTCGCCCTTGCAGCCCCTTGTGCGCCACTCTCCATCTTTGCCTGCTCCGCTGCAAGGCGTGATGTGCGCGTCAGAGGCTCTTGGGATGGCTGGAAGCGCGACTACGCTTTGGAGCCGGCTGCCCAAGAAGAATGCAGGGCACCACCTTGGCACACCCTCATGTTAACCAGTCATGTTGAGGCCGTGTCCGGGAATCGGATTCCGGATCATGCCGCGCCCCGAACAGCTTCACAGCTTCGCACTGTATACAAAGTGACAGCTGGGCGATGGGCCCCAAGCGTTTGCAGGCTTCTCCTTCCTGCCGGCGAGCCGCAGCCCTTGAGTCCGGGTTTGGGAGTTTGATGAATTTCGACTCATGAAGCCACTTCTTAGGCAGATTCTGGGGTCCTGGAATTTGTTCTGGTGCCGCGCAAACTTAGGTACGAGTTTAAGTTCATTGTGGATGGGAACTGGACGACATCGGAGGACATGGAGACTACCAAGTGCGCCAACAGGCCCGGTTTCCCATCCACACCAACAGCTTGCAAGCCAGAGAGCTTCTTCGTATTACCTTACTGTGCCATTATGTTTTTTAGTTGTGATACAAATCATTTAATGCGACTGTAACAATGTATTAGTTTGTTCGGTTATCATATTCATAGTCTATCACGAAAGGCAGCTTAGCTAGATTGAGTATCTCTGCGAAATCAGGGAACCGGACCAACCGCGGTCGACATTCATCGATCGTCGGGGGTTGTGGTCGCCATTTCCTGGAACCTAGCAAGGATTGCCTTGAAATTCCACGGGGTGAGGGTCGGGGGCGGTAGATGCGCTGTCGTTGCGTTATGCATCGCGGCCTGTATGAGAGCGCCTTCTCTGAAGTGTGGTTCGGAGAGCTCTGCGGATCTGGATCGATCGCGGTCTCCGTGAGCGCATGTGCGGGGTTTGCGGTGGCGCATGGAGGGTGGTGCTTGTGGTGTTGGTGGTGAAGTGTGGAGTGTGGTACTCTGTGGTGTTGGTGTGTGGTGGAGTGTACAGTGTGGTGGCGGCGGCGGCGTGGTGGTAGTGGTGGTGGTGGTTGTAGCGGTGTGCTGTGTAATCCATATTAGCGTGAGTCCAGGTTTAGCTTTCGTTGTCCGCGGCTGTGCCTCGAAGTATGGTTCTGTCACTCTTCCATTGTTAGATCTTATTCTTCCATTGTAGCACGTCTTGGGCGCTGTTGCATCGACTGCGAGTCCTTGGCGTGTCCCTGTGAAATCGTGTACTGTGCCTTCCGTATGACAGGAAGGCCCGAAGCCCATGAATCGAGGAATTCGAAGCACAAGAGCTCACACATTTTGGGCAGGAACAATGTGGCACAAGTGAACGAGATGGTCGCTCAGCTGCAAGTCTCAAGCATGTAGCCCAGGCACTGTGCCAACATCTACAATAATATCCCGTAGTACTTCAGTTCATCGTCCGTGCCAGGGAGTTGAGCAGGCGTTGCAAAAGCACCACGTAGCTTGCAGAGCCTGACGGATGCTACAGGTCCTTGTGCCAGTTCCGCCGGGAACTGAGCTTGAGTGCTAAAGCGTTGTGTCATACACTCTGTATCGACAGCTCGAAGGGTTGCAGTTGTCGTGCCGGTAGCGGTTCCGACTTGTAGAGCTCCATGTTAGGATCTAGGAGAGATCCAGTGAACAATGGTACTTTCGGCCTTCTCCCCGTACCGGAGTCCTGGATCTTTTTCGTGTGGAGGCTTTGGAAGTCGGACGAAAAAGAAGGGAAGCCGGCGGGCGAGTTGGAGGTGGGCCTCTCCAGCGCGTTAGGGGAACGCTACTTGTAGGGCTTTTTGGCCTCCGGCCTTCTCTGACAAGGCCGGAACCTTGGCCATAGTCGACGCCTGAGTTTGAAGTGCACGTTCACACCCGCTGCTGCCATGGTGTGTGATGACGCGTCAGTGAGTGACCTGCAAGCTGCAAGGAGGCCTGATGGGGAGCCCCAGAACCCCGAACCCTTTGCAGGCCACGTCCATCCTTGGTGTTTGATCCATGTGGCCATGTGGCAGCTCACTGCTGGCAGGCGCCACAGGTGCGCCGAGTTCGATTTGAGCGGGGCTTGCTTGCAAACCCGCGAATCGGATTCGATCTTCATGGCCACTGTGCCCCATTGCGATGGCAACCCAGCACATTGTTTTCCAAGCGTTTCACCCTTGTATTGTACTGGGGGTGCCAGGGACTGTCGCAGGAAGGGTGTTTCTCTGCCACAAACCAGAATGTGTTGCACTCCACGCTGTCCAGTCCACCAGAGACCTGGCCGCAACCACCGTGGCTTTATGGCTGCTGGAGGTTCCCTGACAGTAACATGAACTTCCGAGCTAATTGATCGTTCTTGCCTACCGAACCTGTGCAGCTTTGGGAACACTCATGCAGCTCCAAGTGTGCAGCTTTCTAGCTTTTTAGAACGGAAAACAACTTTTCAAGCTGACTGTCGAGATGACCTAGTCTTGCAGCCAAAGGATTGAGCCACCAACCTTTTTAGCAACGCTGTGGTCGTGGCGACTTGCTGTGCTGATTGAAGCCTCAAGCCCTAAACATTTAAAACCCTGTATTCCTAAGGCAGGCGAGGGTGAGCGTCATCCCATATTCATCCTTGCCCAAATGCAAAAATCACAGCCCAACCCTAAAATCTCTTTGTGAGTACCTTGAGCCCTCTCTATCACGAACCCTCCTGCGGACTGTGCTAGCAGGGTCCAAGTTCCCCAGACATGCGGATGAATTTGCACAGGCAGCTTGCAGCATCCTTGCACCTTTCGCTGCCATGGGCTAGTAGGATGGATGAGGGTATCACAAGCCATGGAGCAAGGCCTTTTTCCAGTGCACATCTTCCTGCATCCTTTAGCACTGTGGTAGCCAGCTCGACTCATCAGCCGCACCATTATCCTTGCAACATGTTCATTCGCAGTCGCATACTCTGCATGCCAGCGACCCCATGGCGGCATCTTTCTGCAGGAGGGTGAGGCCTTCAGATCCGGTTTGCGATAAAGTGACCCCATGCCTAGGGGCCAAAGTGTACTCAAAGCACAACTGCGAGGAAAATTTCCCTGCAAGTGGCCCAGCCGCGCAAAGCAATGACTTCATGACTTGCTTGTACTGCGGTCTCTGGAGGGATTCCGCCGCGACAGTATGGGCTTGCGCGCAATGGGGGTTGTTTGAGTGGAGAACAGCGGAGGGATGAACAAACAACCCCATGGCATAGGAAGGGCTCTTTCATGAAGGACTGCCCACTCATGCCAAGTACAAGCACTTGCCACATCTGAAAGTGTCGGGTCTTCCGCAGCCCTGTCCGCTAACTACGCGCACAATACTGGATGAAAGGCTGTCCATCCCGGAGAAAGCTGGGAGGCAAGCCTGAGAAACTTGGTAGGTTTAAGTCGTCCCGATCTGCAGGATGTCATGCTAAACACCATGTGCCGCAGGGTTTCGGCTTGCCCTCCGATACCTGCAGCATGTCTTCTCAGCCATCAACTCTGTACTTTTGCGATGGTCAAATACTCCTTGCGCATGGTTCTGGGAACTCGGAACACTAATCCCCAAAGCCTGAATGAAAGTTGTTCTGAACCAGGGCTGCTTCAAAAACATGCCCTTTTGCAGGCGGAAAAAATCCCGAAGCACTTGTCAAAGGCCAGTGACATGCTTCTGCTAAGCGAAGCAGGCTCATTGCAACGCAGGCTTTTCATTCAATCGGCCCTGAAATGGTTGAAGGACGCAACCACGTTCAACACAGCTGGAGTGAGTATGCTTTAGTGGCCGTGGGCAGGCATGAAGGCATCATGAAGGCATCATGAAGGCATCATGAAGGCATGGCGACCTCAAGCAGAGATCCGTAGCTATTCCCGATCGCTGATGCATGCTCGTTTTAGGAACGGCATGCACCGGGGGAGGCCTTCTTGAGATGTCGCTGCTTTGCAGTTGTTGCTCTCCTGATGCCTTTGAAGTCGCACACTTGCGTTTCGCATCACTCCACGCGCGGACCTGAAAATCTCGATCTGAGATCTGACCCTCTCGTATGTCGACTGCAAGAAGGGTAAGCGGCTGGGAATGCTTAATGCAGAGGGGTGGGCTCAACCGCGGCCTTCATGAGGCAGCAGACGCGGAGCTTGCATGCGCGTACAACTAGGCAGCCCAGGCCGAAACCCCGAAGGCTTGCAAATGGAACGCTGCAGCAACGCCCCTCGCATCATTCATCTGTTGGTCACTTTGTCTTCCCTCGCACGTCATGTTCACATCTCACTTCTATTTTCAAGTGTGGGATAGCATTCAGCATAAATCTTGCTGAGATCCAGACTTGCGTTTGCTGGAAACAGGTAGTGGTGTCTCGTCACCTTATGTGAAAAATCGCATCGCAGCGTTTTTTGGGGGGTTATGATGGTAAGTAAAAACGTCACCCTTGAGGGACTCCGCATGCAGGGTAGCTTGCTAGCCGAAAATGTCCCAAATCGTTGTTCCCAAGCCCTTTCAACTCGAACATGGCTGTGGAAGGCCATTTCCAACCCAACACGTCCCAAAACCATCAGGCTCCAGGTGGGGGGGTTTGGAAAGGCAGTCATTCAACGTGAAACGTCTCCAAACTTCACGGCCCCCATTCACAGCCGGGTAAGAACGGCTCAGGGTTGAGACGATGGCTGGGAGGAATCCCCTAAGAGGGTGGCGAAACCATGTGCCCTTGCATTAAGCTGCCATTTGCCATTGAAAGCTTTTGCTAGCGTTGCTCTCAATCAAGGTTTCTGCAACTCCTGCTGCATGTCGTCTGAAGAGTTCTAGGTTCTAGTGCACAAAAAAAGTTCAAAAAGGAATCCTTGCTCCCTTGGAGTTTGGCTGTTGTTGGACTTTACACTGGCTGCGGTGATTTGCCATGTGCCAGAGGGTTGGGGTGAGTGAACGCCAGCGAGCCCGACTTACGTCTAGTCTGGCGAGCAGGTGCCGCCATGTCAACTTCGCGGTCGCAAGGCTGCGCGGCTGCACTTCCGGGGCTCGGCTGATGCCCCCCCCCGGAATAGTTCCCGAGCCAGGAGAGTTGCGTCTAGAGATGTCTAGAGTCTACATGAGTCTACAGGAGTCTACATGCTTGGTAGAGTGCTACTTAGTCTTGTGAGCAGTTGATCGTCTCCACAACCTCCGCATCTGCACAGGTGCCAAAGGCCTGGCCGAAGCTGGTGAGGAGGCCCATCGTTTCGGTGCCCTTTGGTGGAAAACTCTGAAAATTTTCAGAGAAGCTAAGAAGTGCTTTTTCGAGCACCCGGAGCACCCGGAGCTGTGACACTTCCAGGATGCAGCCGGTGGGCCGCTGGATCGGTCCGAAGTGCTCCACACGGGCGACATTGCCACAGCCTCTGAAAATCCACCGATGTATGGGAAGGTAGTGGAGTAATTCATGACAGTATTTCTTATAGAAAATCATGCGAACCACTCGGGAGATGCGACGTTCCGAGATGGTACAGCGCCTGACAAGATCTCACACGTCAAGGCCATGTGACCAGCGGGCACACTCAGGTCCTACTGAAGTGCAGCTTGCTGGAGGAGCCGGGTGTATGCAGGTGTCAGGCGGTGACCAAGAACACGGCAGTTGTTGACACCTTGTTTTCCTTCAGTTTCCAGATTCCGAAAGCCCATGTTAGAGTGGCCTTGCTCTTGTGAGGACCCTTCTGCCGAGGCGCTGCGGTCAGGCCTTGAAATCTTGTAGCCTGGAATGAGGACGTCGTCAAACTCCGTTGGGCGAAGCCAACCTGCACCAAACTGGTCACATCTCTCAGAAAGTTGCTGGCTTCTGTTCTGCGATCCGTTCCGTGATGTGTTCACGTCCCAAGCATCCTGTTCGCCGCAGTTCCGGGCTCATATGTGGCGTGGCACATTTCCCCCGGAGGATTAGCCAATGGGCTGCTGCGAGGGCAAGCTCCCGAACCCGGATGAGCAGCTAGCTCCGAACAGAAGGGGCTTGAAGCTGCACGGTGTTGCTCCACCCCGTGAAACCATTACAAGATTCGGTCTCCCCTTAATGCCTGAGCTCATTCAGTTTGGTGCCTGTCAATCCGTCAGCACAGGTTCCTGAAAGTCCATACGCCCCGGCCAGGGGGCCCCTTCCTGCCGTGCACCCTGGCATTAGGGCATCTCTGGTGCCTGTGCCATGATCTCGATTGGTAATGTCACGGACAGAGCAGCTATACAAGTTGGCGCATGTTTTGTTGGCATGTCAAGCAGAGGCATGCCGCCCTGCCTCAGCAAATCTTCCTCGAAGTATTGGGTGACTCCTTGGAGTTGCTGCTTGAGCCAAATCAACTGCGATGAGGGCGTGGGTGAGCCGGAAATGCGACTTGGAGCAGTTGGCAGGTGTGAGCCTCTCCACTTCCTTATCACGAAAGACTTCGCTTGAGGGTGGGGAGGAGGGGGTGTCCAACAGGGTCGCCACGAAATGACGCACCCTGTGGGGAGGCTTCGGAATTTATGAAAATTCTTACTGTCATTATTATTTTTAATTATTCTTCTGTTATTACGATTATTATCTGGATTCATCCAGTCCTTAGAAGAGAGAAGACTCATATTCAGCAGAAAATAGGATCTCCAGAAACCAGAACTAATGAGCACTACTTGCTTATTTTGTTGCAATGCCTGGCTTGTTTGGAGGATTTGGAAATTATACTGTGAAGGGTCTCCAGGAGTGGTATATCCCAGAGTCAAAACATCATTTTTTTTATCATACCTCTTTTTCTTTTATCTCGCCCCCCTTGGGTTGGGCTCCGAAGTCATGCTGTCATGCTGGTTTTTGGTCATCCCATGTCGGCCCGGAGAGTGTGAAAGAAGTCGCTAAGCAACCCGAGGATCGCTGTGCGAGCGGTGCCGAGTGGGGCCTTGCTCCTGAAGCTGGAACTGTGTCCGCACCGATCCTTCAGGATGCCTGGGTTTAGGGTTTAGGGTTTAGGGTTTTAGGGTCCAAATACGAAGATATGCTGCATGGTAGGGTATGGAATGTAAAGAAAGGGTGACTGAGTAGTTCAAGCTGCAAGTAGCCGCCACGACACGCAGGAAGTTCAGTTTCATCCGTGGCAACAACGATGAGCTGCTGGGAGCTATGCAGACCTTGGAGAAACACCGGCCCTTAGAAAGCCAGCGCAGCAGCTACGCCATTTATGGCAAGCAGCACCTTTCCGGCTGTCAAACCATCAGCGTGGAAGGCAAGGGCTCTGCATAACATGGCTACTGGTGTCTCCCGTGATTTGTCATGCGTCGTCTTGCGTCTTGGTAGGTGAGATGCTTTTCCAGTGGGCCACTTTGTCCCGAGCCCCATTCACATACGATGCCAAGATGCGGGTGGAAGCTCGACTGGGGCATTGCCGGATCCAGATTCCAGGTTGACGGTCCATGTGTTTTGCCACGCTCGCGATCTTTATTTTATTGAGATACTGCACTCATGACAAGTCACTTGCTTTGGCAAGCCAAGGAAGGTAACAGCAAGAGCGATTCCGTCGAAAGCCCAGCTGATGTGAGCAATCAGAGAGAGTGAGCTTGGGTGCCTATTCAGGGACAAGACCTTGTCATGGTCAAAGTGGCTGCACGCCCCGAATTGCCTTTAACCCCCTAAGCTTCTACAAAACTTCGGTATTCGCGTGTGCAACCGTGATACGAGTAGAAGCCCTGGGTTCCATAACCTGTGCTTGAGAACACGCCCCAACCTTTTTTTGCTACCTCCTCACGCCCTTGGCCCAAGGCTTGGACGATCACTATGCAGGCTGGATTGCCGCCTCCCAGATGGGTAGTGAGAAACAAGAAGCGTGGCGCTGCTGTGGTGCCAAGAAGTCTAGACCTCTGTTGAGCAACTAGCCACCTTTTTCTTTTTCCCTTTTTAACTCTCAATCTTCCGGAATCTTTTTTCTCCGTCGCTGACGCCAGCGAGCCAGCACCAAGGACAAGAAGCTCCACGAGTATCTTGTCGCGCCCGGAGTGGATCCTGGCCTGGTCGTGTGTGGGACCTTTGCGCAGCTCCTGGCTCAGGACGAGCTTCAGCTGGATTGAAGTCCACGATGGCCTCTACTATAGGCCGCTAATACTCTGCACAACCCGGAAAAAAAGACTCTTTCGTTTAGAGGCTGGCGGCGTGCTCACTGCCAAAATAGACAAGGCACCGAGCATGTCGTTTGCTCCGATAAAAAGCTTTTAAGGCGGGTCATGCTGACATGAGGTCTATCTCATCCCCAATGGAGGCCAGTCAGTTCTGGAACACCCAGCAGCCATGTTTTTGCAGGGGCATGTTGCATCATGATCACCCCTAGATCTTTGCGGTGGAGTGTGGTTGAACAAGCAGCATGACCATCCTGTTTCCAATGGTGGAACCACTCATTTTGATTTTCCGGGGGTAATTCAGCCTTTCATGCATAGAAAGCTGTGGCCATAGTTGGCAAACAGCAGGATTCCTCTGGATTTCCTCTGGATTTCCCAGTTTGCCTCATGCTCCGTCAGACAGGATGAGACATCTATTTTCAAGCCGTAGCCATAGCCTTTCGTTATGGATCGTTATGGAAGCGTTGGAGATGTGAAAGCATGCTGCGATGTCGGAGGCAGCATACTTGGGCAAGAAGCCGGTTTTGTCACAGCAAGATTCGATGGAAACCTGTCGAAACTCTCCGAGCTTTGTCTCAGGATGCTTGGCTAGAAATGCAGCCAAGAACGAATTCGGGACCACGTAAACGTGCCAACTGCAGATCACGTGGGAGTTCGTGACTGCTCCATTGCTTTGGGTGTCTGCGTTTGTTGTATGTTTCGCGGAGCTTTTGTCAACAAAGTTTGCCTTGTAACAGAAGTCCCGGAATGACGCAGTGGCCGCTGGATTTTGGGAGAGAGCGGCCTGGGCTGCGTTTAAGCGTGGCCTTCGTCGAACTCTTGACACAATTGGCATATGCACGCTTCGAGTCTGAGAGTTAGTTGTGGCACATCATGGGCAGGAGTTCTTCAGTACCTCTGAGAATCTAGAAGGGAACACAGCTTGATTATGCCGCCAATGAGAAGTGGACTACAACTATGTCAACACGGGCACCGCTTCCAGCATTGCGGATCATGCAAGATCTGTTTGCATTTGCGGAAGGCGTGTGCCATGTTTTCCAGGATGCTAGGACCTGTGGGCCCTCGTGTGGGTTCAGGGATCTTGCATCAAGAGGGTCGCGGGGCTCCGCCACCAGCACCCGGCACCATGATTTCTGTCAGCTTGCCTGCGCAGACCAGGATGACCATAAACTTTTCAGCACGGTGCGGAGAAGAGGCATCAACATGATCGGCCGTGCTGGTTGTGAGTACCACAGGCACTGGGTTCCTGACGGGCGATGCTGTCGAGAACGTGCCCAAGGCCTGGACATCTCTCACGCTGTCGACTTCGGAAGCATGTGGCCAGAATGGGCAGCCTTTCGCTTCAATGTCCCCCCCGTCTTCTTCTCATTTCTTCTCCCCCCCTCAGAAAAAAGTCACGACAGGATTTCAAGGTGGGGGCTTTCATCCCACCAACTTTTCAGCCCCTCCGGACATTCCCAAACAGTCACCTTGACTTTAATGAGGGGGGGAGGCTAGCCGAAAGAGGTCGGCAGTTGAAGCGTTGTGGTTGTCCCAGAGTCTGCCGCACTTTAGGTGGAGCACGTCAACAACTTCGCCACAGATGGGCTGATGGCTTAGAGCCGCAAGCCTTCTAGTTTGCGGGCAGGGTGGAAGACCAAGTTTCCACAAAGTGGATTGCTTGGCCTAGAGAGAGGTTGCTGGTGAAGTCGCTGGTGCACATTTCGCTACCCTGCCATCCATCATCTTTGCACTTGAGCTGGAGCATCCATACTACATTGGAGGAGTCTGCAAAGTCCACATGTTCAAACGCCTGACGAGCACCAAGCAAGATGTATGAACTGCGAGGCTGGATTTTCGGGACTTCCTTTTTGTTGTCGTGGACCAGCTGAGCTACCGTGCGCTGAAGGACCAGACTGGACGTTCAGACTGGACGTTGGCTTTTCTCAGTGCAGCGCAAACTGTGCTCCAGCCACCTCTGTTGGAACGCGTGGCATCTTGAGCAACGCGAGACAGTCCAGCTCATGGAGAGTTTTTTTTTTTAGGATGTGCAGGTTGCATCATATCACCGCCCAGGATCTTCGAAAGAGGAAGAAGCTCTTAGTGACTTAATTGCACCCAAAATAGCCATCCAGCCCAGTCTGTTGGCACGGTCTGTGACGTAGTCTACGAGCGCATGTTGGTTGCTGCTACAGCCACAGCTTCCAGTCTGGCAGGACACCGGCCCAACATCTGAAACCGTATATGTACAAGTATTCATATTACCTAATCTAATGACATAAATTATGACATGTGGTAGGAAGGATTGCGTTTACTTTCCCAAAATTCCGGAGATTCCGACAGTAAGAGTGTCAACAGAGTGTTCTCAGGCAGCGCTGGGTGGGGGCGGTGGCACCTCCCTGGCAGTGGAACTCCGAAACTTGGAAGACCGTGCAAGGCGAAACAGGGTTCGGATCAAGAGTTGCTGGTTTTGAAGTTATTGTTTCCGGGTGCGAAGAACCCGCACAGTACTAAGATTGTACCAAAAGCTCTGCTATACGGTACATACTCGTAGACCGTACAGAACGATGTACTAGCATGGTTTCGTCACGGCCCTCGATCGTTTTTGAGAGCTTTGCAAGGAAGCAACTGAACTGGTCATAACAGGAACGTTCACTGCCTGGTCCATCAGCTGGGTTGCTCCAACAAGTGGCTCAATGTCCCGCATTGCAGCTACACAGATTGGTTCTCCCTTTCGCAGGCGGGAGCATGAGGCGAACCTGAACGCCACGGCCCCAGATGCCAGCAAGACAAGGTCCACCAAGGGCCAGTTAAGTCAGCTATGTACATAGAAATTAAATAAACAACTAAATAAACGAATACACACATATACACACACATACACACGTGTACACATACACAAATTTGTATGTATGACGCAAGAAATAAATAGATAGAGATTAGTATACATAAATATATATATATATGTGTGTATGTATATATCGATATATATATATATGTTTACAAATATTCGTATTCGTATTTCTACTTAAATGTAAATCTCTTAGTATACATACACTTATCCATACATACCTGCACACATACATGCATACACACATACATGCACTGATATGTGCCTGCATACATTTTATACATTCTCTCCTCGCTCTCTGTGATGCTGTTGTTACAAATAGTTACTTGTTGGCACACACGCACACATTATATACATATATAGATTTATCTATGCTTGGCGGGTTGCCACAGGTCTTATCCGGCAGCTCATCGCGGCCTATTCGATATGGTGATGTTGTGCAGCTGCACCGCCGGCCTGGACTCCACCCACTTCAAGACTCAAGGGAGTTGCATCCTACTTGCCACTTGTCACTCTTGTGTTGCATCGAAGACCGTGTGCCGGCCAGGCAGCATATCCGCACGGGAACGTACATCGGTGCCATTGACTTATCCTGTGTGAGGTGCTAAGCATTGTGCCATTCAGCCATGCTTGCATTTCGCGAGGTCCGCGCAAAGGCGTCTGCCCAGGAGCAGGCAACCTCTCGGCGTGTGGAGCTTCAGGCCCTGTAGCCAGAGCTTGGGGCATTCTGCAGCATTTTGTTTTTCTGATGTTTTTTGCTTCACCACCTCGATGATTTGGAAGTTTTTCTAATATGCCTGAATGATCCTGGATGACCAGACGCATGCATTTGTGTCATGAGGACGGAACCATGGCCTCCTGGCTCACTGTATGAGCCCGAGAGTGCAAAAGTGCAGCCTGCTGACAGGATGGCCGCAGGCCCTGCAGAACAATGTCCCGCATGTCACACTTCGAGCTTGGGACTGTTTTTTTTTGGGGGCGTGGGGAACCTACCACGATGGCCCGCACATCAAAGAAAGTGACGAGGTGAACCCTTTTTTCTCGCATCGGACGCAAGGCGAGCTGGGAATGTTCCATGCCTGCTGCTGTTTCGTAAAGTCGTAAAATGCACTGAAACCAACTGCCATGTAACCCAGAAGATTGCTGGATGTCGCAAGAAATCAGAAGGTGGGCACGTTTGATTGCAGGCGAGCTGGTGTCTTTCAATGAGATGGCCGAAGTCTCGGTGTTTTGCAAAGGGGGAAATCCCGAGTCCATGCTTGTCAGCAGTCCAGCAAGTCGAGGTGCGAGAGTAATTATGTAGATGTCAGGACTTTGCTGAGTGCCAATTCCACGCTTGGCACGAGGTCTCTTTGGAAAGCGTGCGGATCTCAGGCGATTGCCTGCACTGGAGCAGTTGCCCAGTCCAGTTTGCCTCAGTTGGTATCACTAAACTACCCTACCCACACCCTGAGTCAGCAGGTGTCCATTCGAATTTCTCACCTTCCTAGGTACTTCCCTCCCTTGGCCACATGAGGCAGTACTCTGATTGTCTTTCTTCTGTGTTTTTGCTGTGCCTCTCTCTCTCTCTCTCTGTCTCTCCCTTTCGCTTCTCTCTCACTCCCGCTCTCTTGCTTTCTTTCTTTGCTTTCTTTCTTTGCTTTCTTTCTTTGCTTTCTTTCTTTGCTTTCTTTCTTTGCTTTCTTTCTTTGCTTTCTTGATTTGCTTTCTGTCTTTGCTTTCTTTCTTTGCTTTCTGTATTTGCTTTCTTTCTTTGCTTTCTTTCTTTGCTTTCTTTCTTTGCTTTCTTTCTTTGCTTCTTTCTTTGCTTCTTTCTTTCTTTCTTTCTTTCTGACTCTCTCCTCTCTCTGAGTACTGGTGTGGGCCCAGCGATAAAACAAGAGATGCCAAGAATTAGCAAGAGTGGTCACGTAAGAGAGCTCTTTCAGCCTTGGGGTTCAACATCGTGCGGCTCCCATGGCTCATGGCCATGAGGCAAAAGCGCTTGCTGTGGGGATTGATCCAATATGCCCTCCCAAAAAGTTGCGCTATGCCCTCAAATGACCTTCCCCATCAGCTGGCCTTTGCATTTGTGGCTCAGAGCATGTGAGTAGAAGGCAAAGGCGCAAACCGTGTGTCACATGCGGGCACACCAACTTTCGGTGTAGGCATGCAGGCCGCGAACTTTCTTGCGCCATCCTTGCCGAGGTGGGAGGGCTGTAGGGCCTGCCATTTTGTGGGGCTCGAGAGCTTGCTGTTGCGGAAGTGCATGACTGTGTCCTGGTAGCCATCCATCAATCCAGAAAGACGAAGCGACAGGTTCAAGAGTGTACCGTGCATGACGACCGATACGACAACATTTCGCCGTTTCGCTTTAGGCTGATAGCATGGATAAGGTTGTGAGGCCTCAGAACCCTTACATGGCCATAAGCTCATGGCATTTATGCCAATTTTTTGCTGCATTCTAACGCCTCAGAGGCCTCAGAGATCGCGACAGCCCTTCCTCGAGGAGCCCAAATATCGAAGGCGACAGGCGGGGAGCATGATGGAACATGTCCAGATCAGTGAGCAATGGCAACACATGGTAATGTGTTGGCAAGACTTGGAGACTTCGGCAGATGAGGGCCGGGCCCACCCCAGGTGTTATCAGCCAGCGCGGCTTGCCTGGCAGCAGGCACGAAGGAAGTGGGAAGTGAGAAGTGGGAAGGTTGTTTGGAGGAGGAAAGGAAGACAGTAGAGCATGACCTTTGGCTTGCAGGCCTCGATGCCTCCAGACGACGGCTAGGAGCGGTTCAGCTGCATTGAGATTGTTCGAGATTTTAACCGGACAGGGCTTCCCACGATAACCCTCATCGCGAAGCGCGCAGCATACTACCCACATCGACATCTGCACTGTTCGTTAGATCCAAAAATCAGCTGACACCACGTTTGGCTCTTGTTCTGGTCCAACCATGATATGAAGGATCACGACCCTGTTTTGATGCCGAACCCAGCACAACATGGGACCATGAGAGCTCCACCCTGTTACGGAGTCGAGCCAAAAGATGGAACCGTTCAGCCTCTGTGCCCAGGCGGCATCGATCCTTCGTTCCACAAGTGATGTCTCCTCCCAGCAGAGGCTTCGCAACCGCTAAGCAGCAATTTTTGCAAAAAAATGCCAGTGATAGCCACTTGGGACTGGCAAAACCTCATGTTTGCAGTGTGTGTGTGTGTGATGACTTCTACCTCTCCTTGTCATGGTCATGGTGGGTGGGGGTGGTGGGGGTGGTGGGGGTGGTGGGGGTGGTGGGGGTGGTGGGGGTGGTGGGGGTGGTGGGGGTGGTGGGGGTGGTGGGGGTGGTGGGGGTGGTGGGGGTGGTGGGGGTGGTGGGGGTGGTGGTGGTGCTTTCTTCTTCTCCTGCTTGTTCTGTGTCGTGTTCTGGTTCCTGACACGCCATTTTTGCATGGCGATGTGTGCGGTTGACTGCGTGGCTGCCTTGCCCCGCTATGCCAGGAAAGGGCGACAAGTCGTGCCCCTGGGGCCATGGCTACAGCGATTCTTCTCACTTCGGAACAGGCCTCGGACAGCTCCAAGAGCCTGCAGCCTGAGAACCCTTCCTTTTGTTTGTTGTGGATCACCCGCACAAAGGGGACACAAGGGCAGCACAGGGACGCATTTGCATAGCCCGAAGCTTTACTGCTAGCTTTACTGTCCGACTTCGCAAGGAGGTACCCAGAAACTTTCGCCTCGGTTTCTTGCATCCCATGGTACCTCGATGCGACGGGCCTTGGCGCAGGCAGTTCTGGAACTACTCGGTCTCACCAAGGACGTGGCCTTACGTCTTGCTGTACTTTAAGGGATTGTTGGAGGTGTTTGTTTGTCCATGTGAGACTAAGCCCCACACAAGCACGGGGTGTGCACGGGTGCCCTCAAAGCTTTCTTCATGCAGCGGTCCTGCATCTTCAACTCAGAGGGTACATGGGCAAAGCAGTCGACAAGCTGTACCATGCTTGTACCATTGTTCTCCCGCGTCGGCCGCTGACAGGAATTACTTCTTCGAGCGCAGGCCATTGACATCCTGAGAGAGTTCAGTGATGCTCAGCCGTGTAGCGCTGGGCAGGCAAAGCGGTGTGCAGGATGCTGCCATCAGGGCATTTCGTTGTTTTTCTACTCACGAAATATTGTAGTAACGCTGTAGTACTGCAAATCAAGGCTTTAGGCTGTGGGGCTGGTTCATGTGTACCATTTGTGGAGGTGGTGTGCTGAAGATTCTCGCCAAGCGATCTTCGTGGCCATCGCCGCTCGACCCGACTCTAGATCGTATCATCTACGCATCGCATCGTTGCCCTAAACCCTAAACCCTAAACCCTATCCGCCCCAGCTGTGCAGGAGGGAAAAAAAACCCTAAACCCCTCTTAGGTGCACCTGGGAGCTTTGGCCGCTCCCTTCTTCTTCACTTGGAAGGCCTCTGAACTCAGAGATTCTCAAGAGTTTGACGGCTGCTTCTGCGGCGGCTTTCCGTCAGTCAGAAGTTCTGCAGGCCCTCGGCTGCTTCTGCGCCTTTGGCTCAGCGTAAGACCTTATGTAGAAGAGACTGCACCTGCATACACGATGGTGTGAGCCTGGTAGCCCCTGGCTCTGCCCGTGTCAGCAAGAGGAGAAGAGCAAATGCGATGCAAATGCGATGCTCCGACAGCCCCCGAACCGTTTTAGATTCATGCAGGGCCGCTCCGCCAACCCAATAGTGACCGGCCGCCTTCTACGTAGATTTGAGGCTCGGGCTGATTCGTTTGCCCAGCCGCCCGCAACATGAAGAGCCGCTGTTTGCGACTCGCGCGACCTTGACGGGGGGGGGGGGGGGGGAGGTTTATTTCAGCAGCCCCTGAGGTCGGCTACATCATGACAGGCATGGCGGGAAGCCCTGCCAGACTCAGACACTGCATCTAGGATTGCGGGTGCGACGTAGCATCTCTTAAGAATTTGAGACCTTGCACGTGCTTCGTGGAGTTCTAATTTCTATTCTATTGCGCACATCATGCGGGCAAGTGTGGGGAAGACTTGCCAGGCATGCTCGGCATCACACTGTCGTACCACCGGCAGCTGTCCCATCGGGCCTTTGTCCCCTGCTCAGCACGAGGATGCTGATCACAACTCTGCCTTGCTGTAGAGCCCGTGCAAATGTTTATGGGGGGCATTGATTGCTGTGTAGTGAATTAGAAGCAATATATTTCAGCATGAATAAGTGCTACTGCTCTGACAGTGCTCGTAGTGGCGTTTAGTTGAGCTCAGGTGACACCAAAATGGTTGGAGCAGCAGCCTCGGACAGTCAGCTCGTTTGTCCAAAAGTTGACGTCGCCGTGCTGAAAAGCGACCCTTTCCCTGGTGCGCTCATAGGCCCCCCTTCGGGCTCCAAGCTCCCCAAAGGGGTATTTCGAGTTTACTGCCGTTGTAGGTACTTCCTGGCCTACTGTGGTGCGCTAGCTGTTCAAGGTCCCCCAATCAGTGGGAATCCCAGACTGGCCTTGACTACGGGAGCGGCGGCGCATCTGAGCGCTTTTTTGTGCGTCAAGGTTGGGTGTCGTCTCATCGGCATCATCATGGGAACACTGACGCCAAGGACGGTGAGAGATCATACAAGTGATCAACCCTGTACCCCTTGCAGCTTGCAGCAAGCTGCTCCAGACGGCATCCTCCGCTGATGCTCTGGAGCGGTCTGACCTTCTCCAACTCCCCTTGCAAAGAGTCTCAGTCAGAGTGCCCAGGATGATGTGCATTCTCCTCGCGATGGATTTTGGTGGTTCCGAGCCCAGGTAATGCACTGCTCAGGTCACACTTCGAATGGGTGAGCCTGCAGACTAGCATTGCCTTGCTGCATTGCTCAGGTCACACATGGGGTGGCTGTTTGATGCTGATGGCACGAAGATCCGCCGCGACAAGAAGAATGCTTCAGACCTGTCGTTGGAGCCTTTTTGCTTGTGTGGATCGCTTTCGCTGTACGTCCGTAGGACTGCGGTTATACAAGAAGCGGCCTTCGGCAACAGCTGTCGACACTCAGGTCGCAGCGCTTCTACCAGTTCCTGCAGAAGACCTACGGCATACACTGCTCCTCGACCAGATCAAGTACTTGGCCTTCTGCAGAATATCTTAGGGGAGGGGCCAAGTCGATGCACAACTTGCAGATGCTGTAATGCGAATCTTGCGGCGCGCCTGCAAGGTGTGGTGCTGCCAATCTTGGCCCTCTATGCCTACGGCGGATTGCCCTGCGTTTTGTGGGGCTTCTTTGCACGCGCCGCTTGGAGGAGTGGCATGTCGCTGAGTGAAGTGAAGCCTGGGCTAGTTCAGGCGGAAGCTAGCTTGTATCGTTAAAGCCAGTTAGAGCCACAGCTGCCAGATTCATGAGCACTTCAAGTTCGGAAAGCATGTCGTGTGTGATAAGTGATACTCCCGGGCGCTGATGCTGTCGAGCTGAGGTAGTGTGGTGGGCGCCTCAGTTTTCTCTTGGAGAGCTCGGAGTTCGGCAGGTCTCCTAGGAGCGAGTGGCCCTGTGCCGATAGCCAGGAGTCAATTGTTTCTGAGAACCTGTGGGCAGGTTTTGGCACATCACTTGGGGTGTGAACTCGGCCCCTCGGACGCAACTCGTAGCACCATAGCAGCTCATGCCGCCTTCAATTTACTTCTCAGGTCAGTCACGCCGGGCCCTTGGTGTCGTTTTGTGGCTGAGAAGCTACACTCCAAGCTTCGTAGCATCTTGACATTCCAAGGACATAGTATGGGAGAGATGGGAGTCTAGGGGTCACTCAAGGCTTGAATCGAGCAGATGCTGCCTGTAAACGATTGCTGCGTTACCACTCCTCAGGTCTGGGGGTTCCAGGATTGGAAGACAGGCTGGGCTCTACGTTTCTTGCATGTAGGCTCTGATTGTTTTGCCCTGGAGGTGTTGTACTCTTGTTTTGATCGCCGGAGAGCCCTAAAGGCTTCTTCTCTGGTAGGAGGTAGTGTTGTGGTTCAAGCTGCTTGACTGGGAGCCTAGGGCTTTGACTGGTGCTGTTGACGTTCTTGAGAGATGACAAGCCGCGGCACGGTTCGTATCTGCACGCCAGGGGGTAACGAGCTGGCAGTGCCATTTTCCGAAGAGCAGACGGTGGCACAGCTCAAGGTGCAGCTCGAACAGCAGCTCGCAGCAAGCCTGAAGATGGAGACGCCTGCGGTCTTCCTCCGTCTATTACATGGCGCGGAGGAGCTGAAGGACGAGTGGCTGCTTGTGGAGCATGGTGTTGCAGATGGCACGCTCTTGACTCAGATAGTCTCTCCACATCCTTCAGGGGTTTTCAAGCTGAGAAGTGATGGCCTCAGGGGCGGCCTCAGGGGAGGTCCGGCTGGTCGAAACACCACGGCCACTATACACGCCGAGTTCCGCGAGGATGGCACTTTCCACATCAGTGTGAAGGAGACCGAGATTACCTCCCTTGTAAGGCTCGCGGATTGGGACCCACATCGAGAAGGAGCTGCTTTTGATCACGAGTACGAGGGCAAGACCAGTTCTTGGTCACCTCCGCGATTTATTCTGTCGGTGTCTCGCTGCGAGCGCAAAGGCAAGTTCGTAGATGCAGAGCCTGTGGAATTGACAGGGGAGATATGTCCAGATGCGGGCGAGGTTCAGTTGCAGCTCCCTTTTGCAGCGGGAGCATGCAATGAGGGGAGGGCGGGCTTGCGATGGGTGACTGTGTCACAGAAGCCGCCCTGCGAACCTGATCATGACAGCTCACCTGCGGAAGCGGAAGGTCTTGATCCGGTCGCAGCGCCACTTGATGCACCAGGGAGAAGTCGAGTGCCAAAGCTGCTGTCCAAGGCTTTCGGGTACTTGTCCCCTAAGCGGTGACCAAGGGCGATGCAGTAGCGTTGTTTCACTCAGCATGTTCACGATTGCTCTGAGTTTCACGATTGCCACTCATAGAGTGAGGTAGGATACAGGAAAAATTGGCGAGAATTAAACTGAGATCACAAGCACCCTAGAACAGCTATGAGTTTTAAGTCAAGTTTTAAGCCTGGGATGTGTAGGGGTCTCGCTGGTGGTTGCCATGGCCATGGCAAGTCCCAAGCCTAAACCTTGGAGCTGCAGTGTTTGGGTTCTACAGTCTCGACAGATCCAGGATAAACGCAGGCCCCAGCCCAAACACACCCTAAACGTGGATACTAGGCCATGGTGGCGTGTACAATGTACACTGAAGTTTGTGGGGTTTGGTGGCCTTCCGATGTTGTGGCCCAGAAAGAGGTTTCTGAAAGCTGCTTCAGAAGGGCGGGCAGTTGGCACTTTGCCCCTGCCAGCTCTTCTTCAGTCATTCCTATCGACCAGGAGTTTCGCATGTGCGCGGTCAGCTAGGAAGATAGGCAGGTTAGGACAAAAGGGTGGGCGCTCGTCATAAGGGGCCCTGCAAGCCTTAAACAGTGAAGACCAAGCCTCTCTGTCTCCCTGTGGATTCTTGCTACGAGTACACTGCAAGCCAGGCGATCTCTCGATGAATAACTGGCTTGTTGGAAACTGAGATGCTCCGACCGACTTCCATCATGTCTCGCATCAGGGTTTGCTGTGGTGTTGTGTCCACTGTTGTCCCATGGTACTGCCGTTCTCTGTTTGCACAGGTCCTAGTGTAGGTTGGCAACCGAGCTGAGATTGGAATCTTGGCCTTCGGCGAGGGCTGGCACAACAATCACCACGCCTTTGCTGCTTGGTGGCATGTGACCATGGTTCTCGGTGATTAGGCTATTCAAACACACCACGCACTGCGTAGCACTGCTTGAGGGGCCGTGTTTGCCGGAGTGCGGTGGGCTGGAAGCGGTTTTGGTTGTCATATCGGGTTGGAGTTGCTGCATCGAGCGAGGAGCGATCGTGTCGGCACGGCCTGAAGTGGTGGCAGGCCTTCATCTTACGGGTGGTCTATGGTGGTCTCATGGCACGTGCCGACCGCATGCTGTGCATACACCAGGTGGACTTCACCTGGTATACCATCAAGGTGCTGGAGGCTGTCAGATGCACTGTGAGGTTCGAGGAGTGGCAGCAGCGGCACACTGCTAGTGCTTGGCAGTTGCTGCAGTGGATCTGCGCAGCTGAGAGATGAGAGACGTTTCAAACTGGAGAGGCGTGTGGCCTGGCCTCGAATTTACAGCCAGGGGCCTTCTGTGCTTCACGTTTCCTTTCGCTTTGCTTCTGGTATCTGCTGCTTCTCTGATCAGACGAGGTACCCGCCCGCGGGCAAGATGCAGAAGCTGGCGATGTGAGGCTCTACGGAGCCTTCAGCGGCCATCTTTGGGGGCCCCATGTTCCCGTGAGAGTACGATAGTCCCCATGTCCCGGGATTCAAGGATCCTGGGCTGGGGACTTCCCTTTGAACTCGGAAATTCCCCGAAGAAGTAGTCTGATACCATGGCACCAAATGCCATCTGGCACCGTTTGGCTGCACCGGAGCAATCAGCACCGGTGTCTTCAGAGCGGGGTGGGCAGGCTTCTCCACTCATGAATTGCTATGCTTCTGCGGGATCTTAAGCGGGGGTGTTCTGTTTGGCAAGGGCGTGCAGGTGATGACTTTGTTCGGGAGTTGTGTGTGATGAAAGGCCTCCCTGCCTCTGCAACCAGCCACATTTTTAGCAACACCGGCGAGATTAAGCCATCAGAGCGGGAACAGGGCTGCGCAGCCCGAGAGAGAGTTCGAAAAGCACAGCAGTAGCGGGGCGATGCTTGTTACGACCGCACTCAGGGATGATGACAGGATGCTCCAACAACACACTCTTCTTCCCGCAAACTCGCGGTGCAGTCCACCTCCCGGGGCCGAGGTGAAGCTGTCGGAGCAGTGGAACTTGAACTGGTACAGGTACAACATCACTGAAACTGGCGAGGAGGACTGCCTTGCTCTGAATCGAGTCTGTATGCAATTCCATGACAGATGTGCCAGCAACCGCTTTTGCATGCTGCCGTGCCCAATCCTTGCCATGCAAAAAAAGGCAGGACAAAAGTCCGTGAAATCGTTGAACGCACAATCTTTGACAATCTCAGGCTTATGAGGTGAACTGCTGTCGTGGCGGCAGAGGCTTCTACTTCATGCACGGCGCCCCAGCCAAGCTCTTGCTTTATTGGGGTTTTCCAGGCTTGGGTTGCGAGGCGCTATACTGGTTGCACCCTATCTCCAAGGACTCGTGCAAGGGTCTGGAATGGTCAGGCCACCATGTTAGACTGGGAGTATTTTATTTGAAACGGCTTTCGCATGGATTTTTGTGTGCTTCAGGGCGCATTGGACCCTTCAAACCGCCATGCCATAGAAGCGTAGATGACAGTAGTCAAGGGACACGACCATCTCAGACCCCAGCTTGCCAGTGGAGAGTTTGTACTTCTTGTCCTGTGTTGTGTGAGCACAAGATATCAATCAGGTTGCAGCAACAGCTCGGACAATCGGGGCAGGTGGTTGTCGAAGTTGTCGAGTTGAAGACTCCTGCAAATTTTCTTCAGGCTCAGGCCATCCCCTGGCTCCACAAGTTTGAACGCATCGCATTCTGAAAGGGATCCAATCAGGGTCTTGTCATGAAAAGCAGCGAGACTGAGTGCATGTGGCCTCACGTTAAATACTGTCAAAGCTCAGCAGACGCTCTCAGTGAGTCTATCTTCGTTGTAAGCGCCGTCCGGCAACGCAATGCTCGTGCCCATCCACCATGGCTGGCGAAGGCTTCAGGGCTAAACAGGCGTTCATGGCTTCCGGAAAGTTGTTCGGGGGTCTCTGGCAGGTCCTTGACATCCTTGGCCCAGATTGGAAGGCGTGCGATTCTGGCCAAAGCGCCAGGTGACCTGCAGGACAGCTCAGTGTCAGAGCTTTCAGTGCCCGCTGGGCTTAACAAGTGTCTCTCACTAGTTGTTTAGAGTCTGGAAGGCTTCAGCCTTTCTCTGTAGTCTGCACAACACCCCTGACTCGGATGAACCGTAGTGAACCTCGCTTTTGCCGCCCAAATGCCAGGACCTTCTGTTGGACGTTGGCTTCCCTGCCGAATCTGCGCAGCGCGTTCTGGAGAAGCTGCCCCTGGCCAGCCGGCACGGAGCCACCAGGGATGCGGACAGAGTGCTGTGGCCGATGAGCGACTAAGGAAGCTAGGACGGTTCCTCAGTCATACAGGATCAATCATTCATTTACCATTGCAATGGGCATGGGGTGCTGCCACTCTTTTTGCTACGGCTGCTTGTTTTCTTGCTTGTGCTTTTCTCGTCTTTTCAGCATGTCAATACCGATCCTAGACTCTGTGGTAACTGTCAGACTTCGGGTAAGTCGTATCAATCTTAGGCTCTGGTGAAGGTAAGAGACTTAGGCTTACCATTCATGGCGATGGTGGGGACGACACGCCGACGGTTAGTGCAACGCCCGATTCCGGCCACGATTGCAATGACAACCTGCATTTCAGGTCAAGACACAGTTGTTTGACGAAGCAGGCGAGTCTAGCAAGACTACAAATATACGAAGGATGAATGGGTTTAGACTTCGAGGACTTCGTGCATGTTGGCCCTCGCTGTTGTGCAGCCGCGCAGGCATAGCCGTGGCAGAATCACAAGAGCGACAGCAGTGTTTTAGTGGTTTGTTGATGATCTGCTTCTGAACTCGAGCACACGGCTAGGCTAAGCCACTTCCTTCTGCTTTACTTCGCTACTTTCGATGTTGCGTGCTGCTGGCTAACAATAATACTCGAGGCAGAATTGAAACATCTCTGAGACGCGTGGCTTACTTTTACATTCTTCCTGCCTTCCAAGGTGAAGGCAGCACAAGATGCAGCAAATGCAGCAAGTGACTTTAGCCGTGCCGTGCTCTCAGTGTCCCACTGCTCTCATGCAATTTTGCTCGGGACGTCGTACGAGCAATTATTCAATTTCAGTTATCGTTTCGAAGACCACCACTGCCACACAGTCGTGTTCCATTTATACCATCCTAAGTTGTCCAGCGGCATGCGTCATTGGCGTACTCGGGTGGAGCAGATGCGGGACATGCTACTGTCTTGCAAACAGGTGCTTCAGTTGCTGCGCTCGTGGAATGTTCAGCGTGAGGCAGGGATGTCGTAATCAGTCTTGTGATGTCTTGTGAGCCATTGCTAAGTCTGTCAGTTGCTAGCATCCATCACTCAGTCGTGGCCCCAGCCTCTGCCTGTATTTCTTTGTCATTCCAGTGTCATTCCTCTCCTTTCTCGTGTGGGTGATCGTCTCAATTTCTGGGCTCGTTTTACAAAGTCACAAGAGCTTGCGCGTTGGAAGGTCGCGATCGTTCTCGTTTACCATCCCTCTTGTCTTCTTGGAGAAGTTTGTCTCCCCACCTACCTCATGTCAGGATGCTTGAAAATTCAGTAGCTAACGGCTTGTGCTGCATGTCAACGTCCTAAAAAAGAAAGCCCTTGCAAACTGTTCATCTGAGAAGAAGAGTGAAGACCGCCTAAGAAGATCTTCGCCCCAGGTCTTAAGTTCACACTTTGCTCCATGTCGGCCCTTGCTGAGAAGCCCAGCTTCCCGGATGTAATCGAGAAACAGCGGAGCAGCACAGATTTCAAGCATTGCAGGCGCTTCGCGCTGCCATCGCACGCCATCCGGAGCTTCTGGAAGTGAAAGTTGAGGACATTCAGGCTCGGAGGGCATTGAGCCTGATTGAAGGAATGTGGCATCAGCGCTCTAGACTCTAGAGATTGCACGTTTTGTGCTGCATCGGGGCACGCAAAGGCCACAGCTCAAGCGCTGCAAGCGTCGCTTCCACGAGATGTGCCATTGGCTCATCCTAGACGTGCTAGAGCTGCTAGGCGTTGCATGTTGCACGTGTCTTGCGCTGGTTTGCCTTGTTGCATGATGTGCTGCAACTAGGTTTGGCGATCTGCTGAAGAAGTTCCCTGAGGCGAAAGTCGATCGGGAGTTGAAGAGGCTTCCTCTAGTGAACTCTAGTGCTTCTATGGCCATACCGGGTTCCTCAGCTTATAGCTTGGCCAGCCCTGTTCTGCGAATGATTGTGGCGCCTGCTTGTTCGAGCAGGTGCTGATGGTTGACGGGTCAGCTGTCATGGAACTGCAGGCAACAGACGTAGTGACGAGTTTTCTTGATGGCTCCACTTCAGAATGGTTGGAATGCCATGCCAGCTGCCTTTGGCACTCTTTGTTCCGCAGGAGCTTTTCAGTTCCTGGGGCCTGCCCTTTGAAGAGGCCCTTCTCCTGCCACTGCCCTTGCAGCATGCAGACAACAGAAACCTTTCTGAAAACAGAGATGCGCACTTTTACCTGTGCATTGCTTGGAGCGGTCTGACAGCAGCGCATGCCTGTACTCCTACTTCGCCTACTTGCAATCCCTCGTCTCACACATTCACATGTCTGCGTCGGTTTGGATCAACAGTCTTGGCAGACTCTGTCGCCCCGTGTTCTCTTCGCTTGAGCCTCCAGCCCTGAAGCATGGCATCCTCTGTCTCTGCATTTGCTGGTGAGGCCGCGCGACGGGCTCCGCGACTTCTGCTCCGTGTGCCAGAGGACCACTAAGCGGAAATGCCAGTGCAGCAACACCTCTCAGAATCAGATGCAGCCAAGTGCCATCACTCTTTGCAACATGTCGGGGAGCATGCCTGAGCATGCTTTAGGAGTTGTCCAAGCTGCTGCACTTCCTTCGAGAAGACCCGCTTGCTGCTGAGTCGGGGCATAACATTTGATTCAATTTTTCTGCGATCCACATCGTGTATGCATAATAGGCTTGGTCCGCAACTCTCCGGCGAGCAAATGGCCTATGCGGCGAGGGACTTACTTTGTGTCAGCAAGCATGTTTCCGCACCTGCTTCTGCTCAGGTGAAGAACTATCCGATGCTCCTTCTCGGGACGCTGGACGCCAAGAAGCAGCTGGCACCGCTGGTACAGTTCCTGTCGGGGCCTTGCTCCACCTCCAGTACCGCGACCCTGTCAAGGCTGCAAAGGCTCTTAGTAGTTACTTTGAGCGTCGTTTCCTGCTCTCAGTTTTTTTCTCAAGAGCTGCGGTGGCTTCCGGGAGTTGCCCTGCCTCGGCCAAGGCGCCACTTCCTTGGAGTTGATCCTGGCAGCCCGTAGCCTGGCGTGAGAGGAAGGGGAAGGGCTCCGGGACAGGTTGTGAATGCAATTGTGCGATCTGGGCTGCAGATGGAGAGCTGGGCCGGCGTAGATGGCGTAGACCCCAAACAAGGCAGGATCACCCGCCCCCAAGAGCACGCCCACGCCACAAGAGCAGTTCAGGGCTCACATGCCGAGAGCTCCAGAATCCTTTGCCTGCTCCGGTTCGAGCCAGAGCTCCGGACGTCCTACGGCTCAGTCATTTTTGCTGAAGGGGCTTCTTGAAACCAAGACTCTTACACCCCAAAGCGGCCGCGGCTCTGCATGGCACAGAAACATGGCACAGAAACGTACGAAAAACACGAACGAACCCTCCCATGAGCCCGCAAGGCCGAACATTGCATCGGTATGTCCATTGCGTTCCTACCATGCCTTGACACCGAACGATGCAACCTCTGTGGGCGCGTTTTGGACCGTGGACTACTCATACGGAAATTGAAGACGTAAGGCCCCAAGGCCCTATCTGCGATGATAACGATGACAACGATGCAGAGCTAGCAGGTCAGCAATGGAACCTAGCTGAATGGTGATGAGCGGCTTGGAAGGCTGCACAAGTCGTCGAAGCAAAAACCGTAGAGGCCCTAGACCCTCCGTACCCAACCGTCCACACCGTTTGAATGAATGCTTCCTCTCGAAGAACTCCGAAAGTTGTTTCTCAGTCTGATTCTGCAGGGAGTGCCTGGGCTTCTATGCCTGGCCAGATGCACTCGCCGTTGTCGAGCCCACTGTTCCTCGGCCCTGACTTGGTGATGCTGTAAGTGCCCGCATGGCTCTGCTGCAAGAGGCTGAGAGTCAGCAAAGCATTCGTTGGTTTGCGGCCTAAAACTGTGAACGCCCTGTGATGGGAAAGGCACCTTTCAGACTATCAGCTCTGCACCAGCTGGTCTGTGTCTTTCTTGCGGGGTTCGGGGGGTGGGGGCGGGGGTCACCGGAGTTCAGTGAAGGCCCGCTTCCTGGTGGAGGATTGCGGCTACTCACTTGAAGAGCTCCGGGAAGATGTGCGCCTCTTGGGGCGGCGGGGCTGCAGTTAGGATTCAATTTTTTAATTCTTTGGGGGGCGGGAATTTTGTTACAAGCTAGAGAGGGGTCACTCACCTCTTTGTCTGTTTGTTTTCCGGCTGGGCCGTGACTGAAGCTGCCTGCAACTGTCGCCTATCTTGAGTGAAGCCCTGCAGCCGCGCTTGGTACCCTTGCCTGCTACCAGAGGTATTCCTTTGAAGCGCGGGTCCTGCCTCGTGGACGCTATGTGCAGCATTTGGGTGTGGCCCGGTTGCCACTCAAGGCTCTGACGGCCATAGATGCGCCTTGGCATGGTGTGCTAAGGAGAGATCCTTGGAGAAGCAAGTCAAAAACACTAAGAATGAGAAAAATCTGAGCAACAAATCTGAACAACAAACCATGTCAGGACAATCAATTCTGCCACATGGTGGGCAGCCGCAAGGAGGAGTATTTGGCATTCATGTTTGACTTGCGGAGGGCCTCCCGGAGAAAAGGGGGTGCTGAAACTGCTGCTGTCAGACTCTGCCATGCCCCGTTCTGGGCCGACTGGACTTGTAACCCACTTATGAGCCCCTTAAGTGCCCTAAGATGGTTATAATTGGGTTATACGTATGCTCCCTTAAGTGCCCTAAAATGGTTACACTTGGGTTATAAGTCTGCTCTCAGTTGCTTTGTTTTCCAAACTCCCAGCTTTGTTCGCCCAGGCTCCACAGCCGGCGTGTCCCACTGGATCCCAAAGGCCACTGGCCGAAGATCATCATTATTTTCTTGGTATATTATTACTATTAATATTGTGATTTATTGTTATTGTTATTGTTATCGTTATCGTTGTCGTTGTCGTTGTGGTTGTGGTTGTGGTTGTGGTTGTTGTTGTAGTTGTTGTTGTTGTTGTTGTTGTTGTTGTTGTTGTTGTTGTTGTTGTTGTTGTTGTTGTTGTTCATATTCTTACTAGTATTCTGATTATCATTCTTATCTTGCATTTACTACATGGTTGCTGTATTACAGTATTGTCATGAATACATTGTTAAAATATTACATGATTCCATTAGTACATCAATACATCATGAGAGTATTACATTCTTATATGAGTATAATATTCACGTATTCTTAAATTAGCATACTCTCTCATTCCACACCAAGACCAAACCCGCTGAGGCTCCGTCGCCCTCTCCTTCGGGTTGCCCATCAGGCCAGGCTAGTTTGCAGCAAGCGCTGTGGCTCCTAAAAGTTCTCCTCGGGCATGTTGATGATCTATTGATCAGGAGCTTATTTCATCGCGAGCAGCAGATCATTGAGCCATGAAGTTGCGCCTTTCTACTTTTATGATGGGATGTAATCCTTCCTCCTTCTTCCTGACTTTAGGTCTGCTGAAACAATGCCGGCTGACCCTCTCCGTCGAACCTGACCAATGAGGGACAATCTGATCATGCCGCGGTACAATGGCAATGTGACTACCACTATCACCGCAACAACGCCATGCCATGAGCATGTCATCAGATCCGTAGGCCTATGCGAGGATGTCATGCAGGCACATGTGCGTCAATGAAACGATGTCTAGCCACGTCGAGGCTTGCAAAAACCGTGCCGGCACAGCAAAGGGATGTGTCAAAAGGTTTCCACTCCGTGCCAAGCTATCGCTCCATGTGGCTCCATCATTGCTCTGTTCCCTGCGCTCCGTGCCAAAGGAGCGGCAAGGTTCTGCTAGTCCGGCTGCAAAAAGGCATGGCGGCGTCGAGTCGGCACATTGCACAGGAACGGCGCATCGGCACAAAGGCGTTTCCGCGCGCGCGCGCGAACTTTTCATGATGCCCTCCAGGAGTTGCTAGAGGCCCAAAACTATCCAAAACTGTCGTTCTGCGAGGTTATACAGCCCACACAGACGCGGTTCTGCGCCGAGTCACGCAGAAGAGTTTGCCTGTGGCATGCAGTGGCATGCAGGATCATGCAGGTCTGCAGTGGGTTCAGGGGACTCAAAGTAGGTATCAAAGCCGGTCCCTCAAGCTGTTCAAGTTGCCTTCGGCTGCTGAGGCTTCCTGGCGGCTAGCTGTGCATGGGAGCCTCGCTCTCGGCCATTGTGCTCTCGTGGCCTGAGTTGCTGCACAAATGTTCCAGAAACCGAGGAAGAAGGCTCCATACATGCGCACTGTCCGTGACGAGACGTTGGACATCCGCGAGTTCTGCGCGAAGGTCTGTAGACTTCTGATCCACATTGGCCCTACGCCCCGACCATGAGACTAATGAGATATCGAAACCTTGGGGGGCTTGATGACCACAAAACTCCTGGCCTCAAGGCTCTGCCATGTAGTAAACAGGTTGCTGGACTACCTTGACAGTTCTTCTGACGTGGAAAGCTCTGCTGCAGGACATTTGGGTGATAGAGCCCGTGTCCCATGAGTTCCTGAAGGAGCTCCTGTAGATCCCGAACTCCTCAATCGCGTGATGCGTGCAGAACTTTAGGACACCGGCATCGAGTACAGCCTCACGTTCGGGGCTCGGAGATGGTGCCAGCAAGCTGTGCCCAAAGCGACAGCTACTGGGTAGATTCGGGTAGATGTGGAAGTTGTCCCGCAAGACGGAAGTTGTCCCAATCTCGCTGTGGCCTGTTGGAACGTGATCCATGTCACATGGGCTACTCGTAATGCGGAGCAATGGCTCGTTGGTGCGCACGCCTGCTACCGGTGCTGGATAAGAATTTAGCTTTCGCTCATACATATATAATATACATACAGATACTGTCTTACAGTTACATACATACATACATACATACATACATACATACACTGCATGCGGCCATTCTTGGCGCAGGTTGAGAATTTGTAGAGTGCGCGAGAGAGGTGTCGATTGTGATGAGTTGATGGTGTGCAGGCACGCACGTGCCAGTGCGAGAACCACGAAGATTCATGATGATTGCGCAGTTACCTTCTTATTTGAAAACCACTGCTCACCACTACTGTACCTGGAGCCACTGGAATCTTTGCAACAAAGACGATGAGCAGTGTCCAGTAGTTGCCAACTCTGAGCGTGTGTGACGTTTCACCCCCCTCCCTCCTCCCCACGTCGCATCCCTGGGCAAACTCGGACTTCACAAAGTCTGTCGCAGATGCGCTACCGTCCATGACATGGGAGCGACACGGCCAGCGGACATGCTCATGATGGAGTGCCGAGCGCGGTTTGGGCATGCACCCTTTGATCACAAGTAAGCCGAGTCGATGTCAGAGAGATCATGTCAGTTCTGAGTCCAGCCGCAAGGAGCGCCCTGTGCGGCCAGGGAGATGAGAAACGGATCTCGTTGATGTTCTGCCTGGGTGTATTTTGTACTCTCCTAATCAGTTCTGGTGGGGTTCAACTAACCCCGAGTACTGGGTGGCAAAAACAACCCTGATGGTGTTGGAGAGCTCAGGCCGGTTCTACTGCGCCACCTTGGTAGTGGGCCGAGGGCTGAGGTCCAAAGAGCGCACGAATCGCCAACTTTTTGCGTTGCTAGAGGCCACGGCCATGCCATGCAGATTCTTCTTTTGTGAGTAGAATGCCTTCCTCCCCTGATGTTGTCAAGCTTGAGCTCAGTGCACTGATAGGCCTCGCTCTTTAGTCATAGCAGATGTTGCAGAGATGACAGGAATCCTTGCCAAGCATCACACATTCACATGACAGGTACTACCTGGCGATTTCTGAAGCAGATCTGCAAGAAAAGGACATCATCTACAACAAGGTCCAGCGGCACGACCCTCCTGTCTGATTCGTTTTGACTTCCTCGGGGTTCCTGTTTGCTTTGCCTCTTGGGGTTTCTGGGCTTGTTCTCCTGGCAGCCCAGTGGTACCCTTTTTGCCATTTCTTTCGTTCTGGGTTCCTCAAAAAGCAACCAACCCCAAAAGGGTGACGTTATCACAATATGGTGACTGGGCTGCCAAGTTCTAGAGTGCTGTTCAACAGGAGTTCCTTGCGACACCGAAAGGACCTCTGCAAGTCCTGTAATTAAGGTTGCACTGAATGTGGTTTTGGCAAATTTGTCTTCCCTCTTGTCGTTGAAAACCAGTCAACACGTGGAATGTGCGGGTGGCAGAATAAACAGGATTTTGGGGCTCTTGGATGTGGAGAGAGAGAGAGAGAGAGAGAGAAAGCGAACGAGAGAGAGACGCAGACTGGGTGCGCCTGGGAGGGTTCACCCTCCTCAAGCCCCGAAGAAGAAGGAGAAGGAGAAGGAGAAGAAGAAGAAGAAGAAAAAGACGAGGAAGAAGAATAAGAAGAACAAGAAGAAGAAGAAGAAGAAGGAGAGAGAGAGAGAGGGATTCTTTCCATAGCCAGTAAAACCCCGGCTGGAGCGCTTTCCAAACACGCACCTTGCCATGCACAAGTTTGGCATGTCTGGCATATGTGGTGGAGCGTAGGGTGAAGACGCTGTAAAGAGGAGTTCCCCAAAGGAACTCAATTATGACATGAACATGCGCGAATGGTCTCAACATTGTTCAACATGTTGTGCGAAACAATTTCCTCGGACTCTGACAGTCAAAGGCGACACGATCACAAACCAAAACAAACACTGCACCCATATCAACCATAGAAACTTGCGCTGTGCTTTCTCGCTGGAGGAGGCAGTCTTTCCAATCGGAAGCTCTGGAATCTCCTGATTCCCTTTTGAAGTCGTCACTTCGATAGAACAGCGGCCCGTCAGGATGACTTTCACGGCAAGTCCGCGAAAGGCGCGGGTGGGCGCCTCAGAGGACGGGCGCGAAGGCTTTCAGGTTTAGAACATAGTTGAACACAGGCCGAGCGTAAAACAACATGTCCCACCTTTTCTGCCGAAGCGGTGCTCTGAGAACCATGTGCCCATGTGCCGCCAGCTTTCTGGGCTTGCGGAGAAATCAGCGCAGCCAGCATCACCTCTAAAAGGGAGGCTGATGGCTGGCTTCGGGGAGCCTCTCGAACTCTGAGAACCATGGAGACCATGAGACTCCTTGTGGTCTTGTGCCTTGCCGCATGCTGGATTCGACACATAGAAGCTGGCACCGTCAATGTGGTCATGACTCTTGCCGCATCAGTTCAGGTTTGACAGAAAGGTTTAGATGCATGGTGGGAATGAGGAAACCGCAATGGTAGGTTGCCCTTTCCTCGCAAGACTATTTTTACCATGAATTCCTTTGTCCCGGGCTTACGTAACCTAGTGCCCCTGTGACAAGGCCGCAAGCAGTTTGTATCTTGACCCTCTGGCTCCCCTTTAGAGCCGCTCGAGACTGCTGTACCCGAGATTTCGCAGGCTGGAACGCGAAAATCTGTCAACCTCGCATTTGGGAAGCCACTTCCGATGCCCGCCCACGTACGCTTGCACCTCTTGTGCTTTGTTCAATTGTGGTACTGAGAAATGGAGTTTCCACAGCCCTTCCTCACCTTGTCACTCGTGTCCCATGGAAGCACCGTCCAGCCGTGCCACCTACAAAGACGTCTCTGAGTGGTCGAAGCGCTATTTGTTTTGCCTAGAGACAAGCAGCCATGTGTGTGTGTGTCTCCACCATATGAGCTAGCCGAAACATTCCTGAGCACAGTAGGCCTGGATTAACATGAAGGAACACCGTGGTCGTTCAGCGCCACGCGATAAGGGCGTGAAAGAAGCTGCCACGCAAGGCTTGTGGGCCCAGACCAACAGACAAGAAGCTTCTGACAGCTTGTCAGGACGGGTCCTGCGTATTGGGAAGAACAGCTATGGCTGGGGCTACGGGCAGGTTATATACGTACCTAATCGTACCTACATATATATATATATATTTTTTTTTTTTGAAAGCAGGCACAGCAATTCATGTAGAGCATCCTCGCAAGCCCCTCTAAGTGTGGCCTGCAGCACCGATGAGTTTGAAAGCTAAGCTGGATGGCCACTTGCAGCTAGAAAGCCACCGGCAACTTGCACCAGCCGGGTTTAGTCTTCAACTACACATGGAATGACTTTGACTCGTTTTCTCTGCTTTGTTTGCGTGATTTGTTTGGCCAGCAGTCCTGGCAAGGATCCACAACACACTGCAAAGCAACGCGGGGTGGAAAGATGGCTTCCTTGACTTCTTCGTCCCGTTTCTGAACAGGGAAGGTGGCTTTGCCATTGCAAATGATGTCCAGTCACCGTACTTCTTGAATGCGTCCCTTTGCGAATTGGAGCTGACAGCAAACGATCCCAACGTTACCTCCAACATTCAAAGCTGCCTGAGCGCTGCTGGGGATGTGGATGCGATTGTTGTTGGCACCTCGACAGCAAACGACGACGTCAAGCAGGTAGCAGAAGCGCTGAAGATCCCCAATGTGCATTGCTCTGGTGGAAACCCTGTGCAATGGCAAGCCACGACCCCTCATGCATTTGGTATTCACCTGCCTTTCCCATGGTATTCCAGAGGCCCAATCAGGAGAGCTGCCCTGCAAGGGTTGACCCGCGTCGTTATCATTCGAAGCTACGACTGGGGCTTTCCTCGAACATCGGCAGTGGCAGCAGCAGAATGGAGCTTGGAAGCCTCCATGACAGTTGTTGGTCCGAGTGTAGACTGGTGCCGGCAGTGGGCCAACAAGACCCAAACCTGCAGGATCATAAGCTCCGCCTGCCGCTGTGGAGACCAAGCTGAGTTTGATGCCCTCGGTTACAAGTACCAGGTTCAAAGCATGCCAAGCTTTTATGAGGTTTCCGAAGCTGCTGTTCTTGAAGATGGGCTGGACCCCCTCAGCGAAGTCATCTCCCCCGCCATGGTCTCCTTCGTTGAAGGCATCATACAGGATATCCGTTCACAAGGAGAGGACCCCGACATGGTCGTGAACTGGCTGACTTCCGCTCGAAGTGGGCTTGTGGCCATGCGAAAACAGAGGTTTTCATTCCAGATGTACTTCGGGGGTCCAAACATTGGGGGTACTGCCTGGAATGGTTATGAGTCGTACTGGGAGAATGGCACCTCAGCGCTCGACTTCAGTGATGCTCTTTACAACATTGGTGGTGGGCAGTGGCATCATGGCATCTTGGACATAAACTTGCCCTTGTCGGTTTGCCGGTACTTGCAGTGCTATTTGGTATAGTTGCTTACTTGGCATGTGTGCACGCGATTGGGCCAAGCCGGATTGGTCCTTTATGCTCTCGCATCGGTTAGGCGGTTAGGCTCAGAATAAAAGATTGGCGGCCGTGCCAAGGAATGCAGTTTTCCGATCCTTACTTTACCAGCTCAAGCGAGATGGTCAGCCAATTTTCAGAGATGCTTGGACGGCCTCCAAGCTATGATGCTGCAGCCTGCACGGCGGCGGGCATTTCTCTTGCATTTTCATTGCAGAAGTATGGCCGGCCCCTGTCATCAATGACTCCAGAAGCCCGGCGTGAAGAAATTCGAGTCTCCATTGGGAATCTGAATGATGAAACGCTCTTCGGGGTGCTTCGCTTCAATCGTCTCGTGCTTAGCTCTCTGGCCAACTGCACGTGGAGATGCCCCATCTAGGCCCAGGCATCAATGATTTGGCCATGCTTCCCCTGCTCCAGGCTTCAACCAAAACAACGGACGACTCACCGTCAGCTGGCAAGTCCTCTCGGCTCTGTTTGCATGTTTTTTTTTGCTGATTTTTGCTGCATCTCATGTGACATGTGCTTCTTCGTGCTGCATCGTGGAGCAAGTCGCCGTGCCCCATCGAACATGCCGCAGAACGATTTGCAATCCGAGGTGCTGGAAGAAGGCGATACCAAGTGCCTGGACGCAGATGATCATCATAGTCTCACTTAATGACTTACACTTGACCTACTGTAGGTCATTCCATAAAGGATGTCGGCATGACAGGGAGTGCATTTCTGGGACTTTGGTTTATCTGATAGGCGACACAAGCCCTGTAGTGCTACAACTGTCATTACTGTGTTGAGAGCGAACGCAAGGTTTGGCAGGGAAACCTTGCGATAAGACATGCAGCACGCTGCATGTCTGTGCGTGGTTGTTCTAAGTTATTGGATCCTTGACCACAAAGGGCCCGTCATTTAGATCAACACACATCTCTTAGCACCGTGTTCATTCGATTCATGCCTGAGGCGCTGCCTGAACCCGGAAACACCCAGGCCCTAACACCAAGCCTGCTCAAGGCAAGTGAGTTGGACGCAAGTGAGTTCGTTCCCATGAGCTCCCACGAGCTCCCATGAGCTCCCATGAGTTCCCATGAGTTCCGAGGCCCGTCTTGCCTGTAGAAGCTGCCAGCACCGAGTTCCGCTTCCCGACACCCTCCTGGGAGGCGGATGCCTCGACCTGGGTGTATCGTAGACATTTGGGTCCTAATGCAGGTTCTTGGGGCTTTGAGGACGCCGGTAACTGTGCGCATTCCATTAGCCCAAGTCTTTGGTTGCAAAACTTTTGGTGGTGTGGGCTTCGTGATCTCCCTACTGCTTGAAAGCCACAAGCCCACGATGATCTTGTGTTGAAAGGTACGATTGGGATGTGCGCCGGGCATGTATGCAACAGCGGCTTCCCAATCAAGCCTCATACCCAATCAATGTGCCTCGGTCATTGGTCACGTGTAGGTCCAGGGCATGTGGGCGGTTTCAGACAAACCCTTGCCGTGTTTATTCTTGTGTCCAAGAAGATGTCCGAAGCTAAGGCAAACTCTGTCCAGAGGGAACCTATCGATCTTTACCAAGCAACGGCCTGGTGTTTTCGGAGTGCCAGCAATGCGAGATCGGGACTGGTTTGCTGCCCAATGTCACTGGCGCGACGTCATGCAGTGCTTGTCCAGCTGGGCGAGAGCAACAGTCCGCAGCACACAAGGGGGTCTGCCACAAGTGCCCAAAAGGGCAGGCCAGGGCAGGAAATAGGTCCAGCAGCTGCGAACTCTGCGCAGCTGGAAGATATGCCAATGAAGAGGGCTTGGCCGAGTGCAAGATCTGCCCGCTGCGGTCATCGCAGCCGGATGTTGGCCAAGCTGCGTGCATTTGCGACCTGGGATCTTTTCAGGAGCAAGGCTCCACCAATCCCACCGCCACAACTGCGGAGTGCATGTCTTGTGAGAATGTCTTGCCAGGGAGTGCCGCGCCCGAATTATTCTGGTCCAGGTCCTTGGGGCTTTTATACATATATTTATTTATTTATTTATTTATATGGTTTATATATTCAAAATGCATGTACGGATAGTATAAATCAATCAGTACAGAAAAATAAGTAAATAACATGTATATATATATATACACATGTTTTGCGTATGTATGTATGTCTATATGTATGTACGTATGCATGTATGCATGTATGTATGTATGTTTGTTTGTTTGTTTGTGCGTATCTGTTTATGCCTGTTTGTGTTTTATATGCATGTGAGTATGTATGTATGTATGTATGTATGTATGTATGTATGTATGTATGTATGTATGTATGTATGTAACAGTATGTATGTAACAGTATGTATGTAACTGTACGTATGTAACTGTATGTATGTAACTGTATGTATGAACTGTATGTATGTAGCTGTATGTATGTAACTGTATGTATGTAACTGTATGTATGTAGCTGTATGTATGTAACTGTACGTATGTAACTGTATGTATGTAACTGTATGTATGTAACTGTATGTATGGAACTGTATGTATGGAACTGTCTGTCTGTATGTATGTATGTATGTATGTATGTATGTATGTATGTATGTATGTTGGTATGGTATGGTATGGTATGGTATGGTATGGTATGGTATGGTATGGTATGGTATGTATGTCAAAAAAGTGAAAATTCAGATGATGTCAACGTGTCCGTGTGTATACACTTGCTTCTTTGTTGGGTTTACTCAAATTCGCACAGACCGTCATGCACAATCATTCATAATTGTGCACAGTCCTATCGCAATCGGACATTTGTGTGCATACATGCGTCCTTAAGTAGCCTTCCAAGTCCTACATACTTGAGCTCGCAGGTACGACGCGTTATCCTGGAAGCAATTCGCCACTGCAGTGCCTGTGTCCAATGGGCAGCTTTTGGCACCGGTCCGCTGCGAACGCGCCGGCGCGGTGCAAAGCTTGCGGGCTCGGCTTGGATTGCCCAGGATCTTTTTTTTCTTTGCTAGCTTGCCCGGCTTCCCCCATACTTTTTCCAACACATCAAACAGCAAACTGGAGTGGAGTGTAATTTCTGAGCAAGCATCGCAGGAGGATTCTCTGATGAAAATGGCACCGAACCGAGTCATCAGCCTCCGATGCAGGCTGTGGGCTACTCCGCAGGTGCACAGCTGTACCCTGGCGCAGATCCAACGTATGTCATCAAATGCGAGAACTCTGTGCGATGCCCTGGTGGCCTGTCCTTGGGGCAATGCCCCATGGGAATGCATGGTAAAGGCTGCGCAGCCTGCACACCAGGAAGGTTTGACAATGGCACCGACTGTTCGATGTGCAATGACTTGGCGGTATGGCCGGCGGTGATTTGTTTCATCTTGGCTGTTGTTGGCCTTTTGCTGCTACATCGATACAGCATGAGACTAGAGAAGCCGCATCGCGAGTCACTCATGACTCTGACAATCAGCGCCGGCCTGGCAGTCGTTGCGACACAAACTCTATCAGCATTTACAAGGATAGAGCTAGAATGGATCGAGCCTCTGAGAGCGCTGCGGCTGTTTTTCTCTTTATTGGCCTTCGATATTGGGTTCTTGCGCCCTCAATGCTGGGTGGGAAGTGTGGATCCGGTGCTAGAGTACATCATGGCCATCTGTGCATACCCTTTTGGAGCCGGCTGCCTCTTCTTGATCTTCGGATTCTATCACTTCCTCCTCGGCAAGCACGTCAGCAGGCACCAGGTTTTCAACGCGCAAGGACTCGTGGTTTCGGCCTTCTACATCGCTCTGACATACGTTGCGTTGCTGCCTTTCCAGTGCCTGAGGAACCCTGATGGCTCTGCAGCTTTGGTTTCCTACAGGAGCGTCATCTGCTGGAAAGATGATGCCCATGTCGCCATGGTAGTTCTGTCAGCAATGCCCTTTTTCGGGATCGTTGTCGCCTACTTAGCTGTCGTGGCTTGGGCAGTGTGGACGCATCTTGCCTGGAACCCTAGCGGCCCTAGCGAACCAAACATTGTCTTCTCTGTCTTCACTGCCAGCTCCATCGCCCCGTTCAGTCTTAGATCAGGGTGTGAGACGGTTCTGGCAGGGGTTCCGGGTTGTGAGCCTTCTTCGGCTTGTGCCCTTCAGCGGGCTTTGCTTCGCTACTCAGGTATCCATCAGTTTGCCGAGCTCCGGGTGGTGTAGATTTCGTCAAGCGCTGGTCCTTTCTCTTCGCACGTTACTTGGCTTCAGCCTCCACTCGTATAGAGAAGTTGAACTTTTGAACTAGTGATAGATACTGATGATGTTGCAAGAGTCTTGCCCCTCGTGTTGCGAGCACCTAGGCTTTCACCAGCACAGCTACTACTTTGCACTTGCTTCTTTGCTGCAAAGAGTGATCACGATGCATGACGTGAATGCACAGATCAAGGTTGCAGATTTCCCAGGTAAGGTATAGCGTGCTTCTGACAGGTCATGGCGCTCCGAAACCTGATTGTGGGCCTGTGTCCAATTCTCTTCGTGCACCTCCCTGCTGTACAGCTCATGTGCCTCGCTCAGCTTATTGCGTGGCAATCGGGTAAATCTGAATGTGCTCTAGATGTTCCACCACTTTTCTGTAGCAAGGCTGCTAAACATCACGGTCGTCATGTATGGCTTCCTGACAGCTCGCGTTTGGCCATGGCGGACCCAGACTGGCAATGTCCTGGACACAATCCTGTGTGTCTGTCTACTTCTGGTCATCGCAACAGGGCAGCTTCTTCTGGACCGGGACGAGGAAAACATGCTTGTGCTTCAGGTTGTTCTTCTACTAATCATTGCTGCTGCGCTCTGTGGCTTGGTTGTGGCACTTTCTATTTCACTTCTGCGGCTCACACAAAATCCTCGCCCCTATGGGATCTTCATCAGCCACCACAAGCAAGCTGCAGGCACTCTCGCTCGGTGGTTTAAGATGATGTTGTCAGAGAGGGTTAAAGAAAAGATATTTCTGGATTCAGACGACGTAGACCATCTAGAAGCGATCATTGACATTACCAGCTCTGGCACCGAAAATTTGCTGGTGCTGATTACGTCGGAGACCCTGTCGAGAATTTGGTGCGCTGCAGAGATCGCCAGTTCTTGGGCGAGCGGGACGAATATTGTTCTGGTGACTTGTGATGGTTGCGGGGTATCTCGCGAATGCATAGATGCTATCCCTGGTGGATGGACGGAAGAGCAGCAGACGACATTGACCAACATTGGCGTCTCTTTTCAGACCATCCGAGATGCATACCTCGGCTTGATCGTCAAGCCTGTCATTGCCTTGGACAGACGCGGGGCGGATATCCTAGAGCATGAAAGGGCAGTACATCGAGTTCTCTCACAGTGCAAAGGTCTCGCCAGATCTTTCCATAGCTCTCCATCGGCTGACTGCTCGAGCAGCATCACAGAGTTTAAAGCCCCTGCGGTCCTCATGCTGGGAGACATGGCGTCATCAGAACCTGGCAGCTGCTGCCGTGTGCTGCAACTCCTGTTGCAGGCGCAGCTCGAAGAGGAGATCAGCCTCATAAATCCTGAGATAGCCGTGCTTGACATCGAGCTCCTAACCCGCACTGTGGCTTCTGCAAGGGCGGCCCTTGTCATCTTGACGCAGGGTGTTCTTGAACTGGCATCCTTTGCCTCTTGCTTGACTGCGTGCGCTTTCAGCAATGCAGAACTGGTTCCTGTCAAGGCGGACGAGGCTTTCCTATACCCTGACCCCCCGTTCTGGGAGAAGCTTCTTGATGGCCACTTCTTTCCAGACTTGCAGCTAGCCCAGTATTGCACAGATCTCAGCACTGTCAAGGGCACTTATACGATCCTCTTCGATATGCTCGCGCTCAACTTCACGGCACATGGGACGGAGCAAATTCAAGCAACTGAGATCCATTTGATGTGCGGCAGGGTTCTACCGCTGCTACATTCCGAAACCGCCGCCGCACACGAGCAATCCCCGAAAGTGAGACGGAATTCGCACCGCGACTCTAAGCGCCGTGTGACTCTCCGGGAATCCATCCGGGAGTCTTGGCGCCTACAGCGTGTAGCCAGGACCACCAGCGGTGAGGAGACCCATGACGATCCCGAGATCGAAGAGTTCATTTGAAGTACGAAACGGTACAGGCACCCTTTTCTTTTTGTTGCAGAGGCAGCAGAAGGCAATGGCAAGGCAATGATGCCTCTTTGACCCGCGTTGTGAAACAACCGGGTCCTCGACGAATCAAAGCTCAGAGGATGTAGGTCCCACGCGCCGATGTCCTGGAAATGCTTGCCACAGTATTCTCCATCGTAGCAGGATACCCATGTGGTCCCTTCCCTCTTAGCCTATTGTTTCTACTGTTTGTGCTGCTAGACGGCATGGACAGCTCGCTTGTTCTGATTCCTTGTTCCTGCTCAGTGTGCTTGATGCTATGCAGGTGACAAGCGCCTTGTGCAAGGGCCTCAGAAGCCACTACGACTGCGGCTACTCCCCTGCTACTCCCACTGCGACGACTGCCATTGCCGCTACTTTGCTGTTCTCCTGATGCTTCTGACGTTCATGGTCCCTGCACACTCAGATACGCCATCGGCATGCTTTTCGAATTTATTGCTTCATATCTTGAAATCTGAACATCTTGAGTCATGGTGTTGAAATCTGTTGCACGATGTTGCGCATGGGATCCATGCCCGCAGCCAAGACCTGCGCATGACATCGCAGGAGAAGCCATGAACATGGAGGAGGTTACTGTCCATCGGTTGCTAGATCTCGGACATTTTAGGAAGCGGTACATTGAGGCACTTCTTAATTCTGCAGATGATTTGACTGATCGGGTCGTCCTTCCACAAGACAATCATGCTTGTAGCGCTGGACCGGACGAATAGCCACGACCCCTGCAAACAAGCACTACGCACGCGCGCATGAGTGGCAAGGTTGCAGGAACCAGATGCAAGATCATTTCTCGGTGACTCCAAGTGCAGTGAATGCATGCGAGAAAACTTGAAGTTATACTGCGAGGATGATGCTCGGCCCCAGAACTTAATGGCATCGCCGGCATGGCCAATACCGAGCGATCATTTTTCCTTGCTGACTGGTGTGGTGTCACATGAAGCCTGCGTATGTTGTTAATGCATCCACGCGTGCCGGGCCATCGCGTCGCCAAGAGCTCGTCAGCCCTCTGCGAATTAGGTTCTTTATGGCTCAATCGGACCATGCAATCCACCCCAGTTTCAATTCGACATTAGCCCTCGCGAGGTTAACCCCCAGCCCCACCATGAGCAGCTTGAGCTTGACTCTCTTGTCAACGGCTTCAAACAAACTAAGATTAGCCCCTTGCCGCACCCTAGTGCTTCCCAAAGATTGCTCCTCACTGGGCCTTGCAGATGCTGGGAGGCAGGGCTGCTCAGCGCAATGAGTTCCTGTCACTTTGGGAAGCATGGGCCGGGGATGGGCTTGGAGTGTGTAGTCTTACTTCTCGTGCAGCGACTCTGAGACGAAGACATCAAAATGGCGGTGCGAGCGCGTGATCAATGCAGCCGTTTTGCGACCTTCAAGTGGCTACTGCGGCGGTAGTCTACACCGAAGTTGCAGCACATGTAACCCCTCGAATAAGCATCATGGTCCTGGTCAGTTGGGGTCAGGTCTGACAGCCAGCCGTGAGCAATTTCACGTTGCTTTGTTGGACCCTTGACTTAGCGCAGCTTCGATGCACAACATGGAGCGCCCAGCACAGTGCGGAGATCTCAGTCGGTGGCAGGGCCGCTTGTGCACCATTATGGCCCCTTCTTTTGATGTGTTGCAGAGCAGAGGTCCCCATTGTGGCCTGGGCCTCAGAGGGCCTCAGCATGCCTCAGCTACTAGCCTCATGCCTCTGCGGCGAGAAGGAGCAGTGATCCAGTGATCCGTGCGTGCAGCACACACAATGCGTGGCCTTTGATGCCCTTACCGTTGCGCACATATGTGAGCTAGCTAGGTTGTGCATGGTCGTTGTGTGAAAAGAGCGGGTGGGAGAGAGTGGCATTCGCGGCCCCAACTCCGCAGCCAAGGCAATGTCTACATGGCAGACTCGGACTTCTGCAGGTGCAACCGCGCCTGCAGGGGGTGACCATGTAGAATTGTGATTGGTGGCCAGCACAACTTGGCCCGACACGAGCTCTGCGTTTTATGGACATGGCCATAGTGTTCTTTGTCTTGCGCTACATAGCACTTTCCTGTTCTTGTCTAGAAAATTGTCCTTTGCAGGCACTGTGGGAGAAAGCGAGACACCTTCGATGACTTTCGAGAGTTCTGTACCAAGATCATCTCGAACGCTTCTGCCTTTGGGCTTGAAGTTGGCACATGAGATTCCATCTTGGGCATGTGGCACGGCCGGAATGGCATACTCTGCCAGTCCCGGCCTGTGTAAGAGAACACAGTTCCATGTACCTGCACAATCTGCTATGTCAGCTGTGGTTTTTTGGTTGAAAGATAGATTCCTCAGGCCGGGCAGCGATACATTTTCGCAAAGTTGATTGACATGTTGAAAGGGATGGATCTTCAGCTGAACTCCCGTGCACCAAGGAGAACTTGTGCAACCATTATGAGCTCCTCGGCCAGTCATTACCTGGGCGTCAGATCACTGATAGATACTGATAGACCTAGGGACTCTCGGCCAAAGTCGTCAAGTCATGGTGTAAGGCGAGAGATTCAGCAGCTCACGACGGATCTGGTGGCTGGGACCAACAGCGGGCTGAGATGAAAGAACAGAAGAACATTTTTTGTAAACTGCTCCCATGCAAGAGAACCCTTGAACTCTGTCCACTGTTATCATCGCAACTCATCGTTCCCGTCAAAAGATGTAGGGACCTTAAGGCTCAGGACCTATCATAAACACGGGTTTGTTGAGGTAACCTGCCGAACGCAGCTCGGCCGCTGTGCCGAGCTTTTGGGCCAGCAGCCCCTTGGATGGAGTTGAACCCTGACACCCTCGTTGGGAGTGGGGAGGGTTGCCAGAACACTGAGAACACTGCATGCTCTCCCTTATTTGTCTCAGCCGCGATCGGCCCAGTACGGGTCCGCCAGCTGCAGCTGCTGCTTTTGCGCGTATGAGTATACTGTTGGGTATGATTTTTTTTTTACTACTTGTTTTCCGTTTTAACTACCGTAAGCTTTTTTGACGCGTGTCATCAGTGATTCATTCATGGTTGTTTCGGTCGGATTTGTGGGAGTTTCCGAAAGGATGTGACTCTGTCTAGGGGTTTAGGGCGTAGGCCCAGCGTGGCCAGCATATCTTGTAGGGAGGAGGCGTGCTGTCGATGGATCCGATTTCTTGAGGCTGGCAAAGGAGCAAACCTACAGAGACATCATCGAGAGGCTGTCCGAGAGTAGCTGCCAGCTTAGCGGTATGCTGCGTACTGAGGGCCAGGTGTGCAGTTGCAGCTTGTTTCAAGAGTAGCAGCAAGTCGTTAATTCAAGCAGTCGACACGGCTGAGGCATGCGTGTCCTTCAGAACTTCAACAGCCCGGGTGTGGACGTGGCCTGCCAATTTGCAGGGAAACATTCACCACTCTGCCTTGGCTGGGGAGGTGATGTGTGGAAGTTGCAGCCCAGGATGCCATGAAGCAGCAGCTGCACCAGATGCTGGAGGCAAAGAGTTCTTGGGCGGAGTTGGGAGGGTTTCGAAGAAAGAGTGACGCCTGAACATGATGTTCTGGAGCTCTGCCTCGCCAGGCTATGCACCAGCAGAGCTCGTCGTACTGGCAAGATGGTTTTGGCCATTTGCACGCGCCTCTTGGTCGGAATTTGTGGCAACAGAAGATTTGACGAAAGTGCACTCAGAACACCCACAGGCACAAAGAGCTCGCGGAGACTCACTTGATGACCTCTGCAGAGTTGCAGAACCAGGCGGGCAGACCTTCCAGCTGCCACTCACGCAGCTCCTTGTCTGCGTGGCCAGTGCAGAAACACGCTAGGCGGAAGCTGTACAGAAGGAGCTGGACAATATCATGCGAGTACTCAAGGACCTCGCACCAATGTGTCAAGAGTTGCTGCGTTGCAGCACGCTGCCTTGGGATATTGCCTTACAGTAATTAGAGGCAATCGGGCTTTGGAAATGCAACCTCAGCACCAAGTATGTCCGTGGCGGCTTGACGGATGGAAAAACTACTTGAGGGGGTTAATCGGGGAGGGGGAGCGCATCCTCATGCAGGAGCCGCCTGTGCGTCCGACCAAGCTGGCTCTTCCAGGCATGGCATGGGGGGGGGGGTTGGAACAAGTGCCCGAATGCTTAGATTCCAATTCGTCTTGAAAAATCTAGCAATGATTTTGGAGATCAGGTCCGAATCTCCGAGTTGGGCTTTGTGTTACAACTACATCAACCACAACAACCACAGCGACATCAGCCCCAACAACATCAATCCCAACCACATCAAAAAACGACTACCGCAACCACGACCAACACGACCACCACGACCCCACGACCACCACGAATACCACCGACTACCACGACTACCACAACCACCGCTCGGACCCCAGGACCACTACGGCAACCACAACAACGGCGGCGGCGACGACGACGACGACGACGGACGACGGACGACGGACGACGCACTACGGACGACGGCCGGCGGCCGGCGGCCGGCGGCCGGCGGCCGGCAACCAGCCGGCGGCGGCGGCCGGCGACCGGCGACTGGCAACGGGCGGGGGGGGGGGGCGGGGGGCGATGGGCGATGGGCGACGGGCGACGGGCGACGGGCGACGGACGACGACTACCAGAACGACCAGATTCTGCAGAACGACCAGAACGACAACGACGACAACGGATAATTAGCAATAACGACAAGCCGAACGACAGCCACAGCCTACTGTGGACTGCCATTGCCACATTGAGCGCCGGGACAACGAGACGTTAATTTAGACAATGACTTCAGAGAATGAGAGCCATGAGACGCCAGACTGCACATTGACGAACGAGCCCCTGTAGAATCAAGAAGGGCAGTTATGATTGAGAGTTCAGAGCGTCGAAATTTTAAGTTTTGCGCTCTCTGGATCGCGGAGGCCATGTGCCCAATGCAGCCTTGACTCCACCTGCTGTCTCGGCGGCGTCCACGAAGTCACTGGAATGGCATTGTTCATATGACTGATTTCAGCATTGGAGCTTGCAGAGTATGGTTTGGTGGTTTTGGGGTTTTAAGAGGTTTGTTAGGCTCATGTCTATGAATCCTGGTACAGTAATTTTTTGAGAAGGGTCTGAGCATATTTTCCGCGGAAAATCTGTGTCCAATGTGTGTGTGTGTGTGCAACCTGCTGTACATGCAGGATTGGGGTCACGCCCTTTCTCAATTTCATGTGGGGGGACGCAGCACATCACTGGGACTGCGTCCAACGAAGCTACCAGTGATGTGGGAAGCCGGCGTTGGCCGCTCCGGTGTACCTGCTCAATACAGATTTGTGACATCATCCATCGTGTATGCTTCGCATTGTTGAATCTATTGAACATCCTCGCTGTGCAATTCCGAATGAACCATATGTTGGAGAGCAGACAAATGCAGCTCGAGACATCGAGCAAGGAAGTGTCTGTGTGTGTTGTGCCTGCAGCAATCCGGTCAGTCAGGAGTTTCGACTTCAGAATCTTTGCAAGTTCCCGGACCATGTCACTTTCGAGGCCAGTGCTTTTGCCTCGGCCCACAGCTGTGCACAAGCCGAGTGTCATACACATCAGCCCAAGTTACCGAAGAGGCTGCGCAGCAAAAAGTTGTTGGGTCCTTTGACGGACTTCGATCACAGTTCGTGAGCCGACTTTAGTACATTGACCAGTCAAGGCCAGCATGAAAGTTGCAAGATGCTTTTGAGGGTTCTGTGATGCTTGATGTTGTCCAGTCGAGTGTCCGTCTCATCAGTTCCAGACAAGTCAACGTGTGTGTGTGTGTGTGTTTCTCCTGAGTGAAAATCTGTGGAGAATCTGTGGCCTTTGATTTTGTTGGTTTAGAATCTGTGTCAGGGTCCGGACGCAGATTTTCCCACCAGAACCTGCGGAAAATCTATAGAAGATCTGTGGGAGATCTGTGTTCCCCCATAGAACAGTGAGATTTTGGAGGGTCCAGGCCGGGGGCCCCGACACAGTTTCCACAGATATTCCCACAGATTTCGAGGTCCGCTGCCTTTCGGAACCAGAAAGGACAGCAAAACACAGATTGCATTTTCAGATTTTTTCGAAATAAATGCTTGTGTAAACTCGGGCATTGCCAAGCATTCATACTGATAAGTTTAAGCTGTCATGACAGCTTGCTCAGACTATGTTTAACAACATGCCAGAAAAGATGAGCACCTTTTACATGCACATCCGAGCATTCAACTTCAATGTTCTCCACCTGTTCCTCATACACACACCCCCACGCACACACACAAATTCCTTTTGGAGCAAAACAGCGTTGCTGTGCCTACCGATGTACATTGTACATGGTGCGATGCGTGCCCCTCCCATGATGGAGAAGATGTCGGGAGATCATGATGTTGCTTTCACTGGGTGCTTCAACTCGTCCTATGATTGTGAGGATCTGTTTGAAACGTCAGCTTGTAAGAAGGTCCTCCTCCCCCCGCATTGAAGGCCCTCGCTCCCCACCCCCCGCGCAATTGGTTCGGGGCGCACCAGGCCACCCAACGACATGTGTAAAAACTTGTCTGTATGCTTCAGCATTTTTCTGAGGGGTCTCCTACTAAAGAGTGTCCAACATATGTTACGCCAGTAGACAGGTACCTGCCACGCAGTCGTGTGTAATAAGGCTGTGTACTGTAGCCTCACCACAAACCTTTGCTGCGCCGAGGCCATGTGGATTTTCCCAAATGGGGCAGGCCCAGACCACATTACGATCAGGTGACTTGGCCTCCTTTGCAGGCTTTTTACAGATTTTGAGATTGTGAGGCCATGTCGCTGGCTGATCGTGGCCCATCTTTGGGAGGTCCAAGCCGAGCTCGACAGTTGCGACGTTCATACTGTAAATTGCTGCAAGCTCATGTCATCAGCCGTGCAGAAGTCAGCTCCATATTGCTCGGCCCGGGAGGCGTCTCAGCAGGAGCTCGTCCGTGGGCGGGTTGTGGTGCCTGCGGTGCCGGAATCAATGCACCGAAGCCAGCTTTCCAGCTGCAGGCCGTTTCGTTACAGTTTTTCAGGGACCGGCTAGCCTGCTCGTGAGATTTGCATAGAAATGTTGAGGTTTGTGAACTTCGTGAGGTGGACAAAAGGCCGGGAGTGGACCCGGCGATTGCGCCAAGTGGGAGCTCGAAAGCAAGCTGTATGACCCCTGTGGCCCCCGTATGGACGGGAAATTGATCGCCTCTTGGGCATATGGTCCCCGGCCTATGCAGGTAAGTTAGGGATTTTGTCTGGGCAAACTACGAGGCCGAACGTGGCAAGAGGCTTTTGGTTTCACCTTTTGCCGTAGCCTGCGAATGGCGCAAGCCTCGGCCAAGCCCGTATGTGGACGGCCTACCCTCAGTCCGTGATGGGCTCAGATCCAACACACGTAGCGGCAAAGTCCATCCCGCTCGTCGTTTATTCCACGGGAGCAGAAAAGGCTGCTGTCTTCACTGTGCCTCGCTTGCTTGTCCTGTTGACCTAAATGCCCCCACAATCCTCTGAAAGGTTCCATGTCACGAGGGGCTGGAAGCCTCCTAGATGAGCACATTGACCCAGACTATCAGCCCAGCGAGAAGGAGGCTGGGGCCCGATTCGTCCTGGAAACCACTTGTAAGAATCGAATCGTTGGGGGTCCGGCCATTTGACTTGCGTATGCTGCGTCCAGAGCTCTATGCCCACTGTAAGGCAGGGATGTTGCTCCTGAGAGTGCACCAGGCATCAACCAAGCCCAAGCACACTGAAAGCACACAGGAGGGGGGGGGGGTGGAGGGTGAACCGCTCCTCGGCTGGTGGTACCACTAGGCCACCACATGCCACGTGCCTTATCAAGTGGCCGGTCTGTTTTGGAGGTGGAGGAGTATGCAGAGTGGCTGGGCATGGACTCTTGGAACGCACCTGCGAATGCCCGAAAACCTCTCCCCCACCTCTCCTCCAAACATGCTAGGACTTGGAGAAAGACCGCGACCTTTTCTGGATTGCAAGGGCCGGATTGAAAGCACCGCTACCTGGCAAAAGACAGCTTGCAGCCTCAATCCCGCACTCCTCAGTTCCTGACAGTTGACAAACAGCTTTTTGGTCTACAGGCTGCCAGCGCCATGGAAGCCCTGCGAGTCTGAAGATGGTGAGATCTTCTACTTCAACTTCGAGACAGGCCACGGAGAATCTTAAGATCAGAACAATTTGGCAGACCCCGATAGGCTGCAGGTGGGTCTTGCGCTCGACATCGGTGAGGCTTCCAAGCCCCTCAAACTTCCACGATGCCAGCTTTGCAGGTGAAAGTGTTTGGGACCACCCCTGTGACGAACACTACCGCAAGGTCTACGAGAAGTATAAGGCAGCTCTTGCGCGTGAATGCATGATTCATCAGCGTCGAATGTGGAGTTTGGTTTTGAGTCTTGAGTATGTCCCTCACAGGCAAAGAAAGAAGCAGATCGATCCATAGGGAATGACGACTCAAAGAGGTTACCCGCCATGGATTGAACATTTTGAAGCTGCCGTGGTCTCAACAGGAAACATCAGTGGCCGAACGGTGAAGCTTTTTTATTGTGGTGAGAGGGCCAGGATCTCCAAGGGTATCTTTGCAGTTCTACTCCGCAGTTCATCAGATCGGCCCAGGAAAGATAAGAAAGACAAAAAGGAGAAAAAGCGCAAGAGCGGCTCTGGCGACTCTTTGGGTCCTCGGCCTAGTCGCAAACTGGCCCCTGCCACTCTCATGGCTTGAGCAAAAGCCCCAACATCCTGGCAGCGTAGCAGAACTATTATGTTTTGAGGTGCCGACCTCATGGACGGCCCGCCCAAAATGGACCTGCTCCAGCACGTCTTCTTGGTGTGCTAGCGCAGTGAATAGTCGAAGCCGACAAGTGGGCAAGACGTGGTAAGACCATGCAAGACCAGAAGGTATCTGCATTCATGCGGCTATGCTTTCAGTAGCTCTTGCCCGAGTGCGTAGCCAGACGTTTGGCGAGTGGAGACGATGCATGTTTGATGCATGTTTCTGCATGTTGAATTTCTTGGCACGTTGCGAAGGACCTCCCCAAACCAGGCGAGTCGCTCTTCGGCAAGCCCAGGAGCAAGCTCTCTGGCACCGTGACATCGGGCTTGTCTTACTAGGTCTTCCTTTTTGGAGAGTTAGGCACGTTACACCTCCTTTATTTTCACAAGGGATTGTGTAGTCCCGAACTTCCCTATTAATTCATGCAACCGTCAGTTGCGGCACTTCGCTCGACCGTCTTGCTTCCTGGCACTCTGGTGACCCCATGGACCTGATGTCGCTAAGGCTGGTCTTCGATTGCAAGCCCAAGGAGCCCGGGTTGCTCGAAAGTTTGGATGTCGGGTTTGAAGGGTCCGTGGATTATGCTTGATTAGACAGTTCTCCATACACTTGCAATGGGTTTACAGTGCGAAATAAGCAGTTAGTGATCAGCAGTTTTGGGGTGAAAGAGTTGTTTGAAAGCGTCCTTTTCTTGAACAACATTGGCTTGTCATGTTAACCGAATGCTGACAGAGAAGCTGACATGCATCAAAGAGACCGGGTTTGGCCAGTCCTCAAGTTTCCTGGGGCTTTTGTTGGCAGGCCAAGGCGGAGGCGAAGCCGGCACCAGCACCGGCACAGGCCAATTGGAGTGATTACTTGCATGGTTTTTTTTAGAGATTGCTCCATATGTGGACCTCAGCTCAGTATTCCACTAAGCATGACGCCGTGGCCACAGGCATCTCCAGCCGAAGCCACGGGTGCCTTTGATGCCCAGAAAGTCAAGCTGGAGGCATGGCTATCGCGGCTGTGGCAAAGCGAAATGATAGTCCAATGGTGCCTGCCAGTGTATAGGACCCAAGTTTCACATCAAAAGTCTAGGCCGAGCAGCAAGAGAAGCTACAGCGTCTCGAGCAAGAGCACCAGGAGCCTCTCACATGTCAGTCGATGTGTACCCCTTTGTGACTTGTGCCTTGACATCTGGGCATTCGTGGTTTTGATTTTGGCCACGCCGCGCTGCAGAGGAGAAGCTTCGACAGCTGGAGGCAGACTTTGAACGTCGACGCGATGAGAAAACTCAGCAGCTCGCTTTGGACATGGAGAGGACATCGGCGGCGCTTTGCATCATTTGGTCATTTGGCCCTTGTTCGAGCGGTGAAGTTCAAGCCGAGTTTAGGTTGTACGTGCATCATCTTGTTCAGTGCAGCTTTTGCAGCGGCAGCTTGTCGCGTGATTCGTACGATTGTCCTGTGAGATGTTGCCCTGTTCAGGAGGAGCCGTACAGATGCCGAGCGACAGGCCAGTGCAGTCGATACACTCATACCTATAGCAAGAATATGGGATCGAATGCCGGGAGAAGCAAACTTGACCTTCAATTACCGTGAGGTTGAAGAGAAACTGAAGATGTTGCGTGAGCAGCTTGAACGCGAGAAGCCACGAAGCCGCAGCGAAGAAAGTGTGGGCCTGTCGGGGATGACCCGAACTATGTGTGCAGTGAATCAGGCGAACCCGGCTTGAGAAAGAAGTCGAAGAAAAGTTGAGACCATCCGCAGCTGCCTTCGAACGCGAAGCGCGGGCAAAACTCGAGCGGGAGGTAGCGAAGCAGTTACTGCATCACAGCACGAACGGACAGTCATGCGTGTGGATTGAGCAATCCCCGGAGCGGAGCTAGATTGTCTTTATTTGTGGCCATCTTTTGTCCTTGATGAAGGCAGAGGATAAAGTTAGAAGCCTGCTTCCCGACATTGAGAAGACTGTCCAGGACTTGCTCTTGCAGATTCTTTCTGCTGTTGGCCAGAATGCAAAATCAGTGATGCAGCTCTCGCTGGCACAAGTAGTAGTCGGGCGGGGAGAGATTGCAGGAGCAGCTTGAGAGAGAAGCAGAAAGCAAGGCAAGATTTGAAGACTCTGTAATCTGTAACCTATGACATGATGAGCAAAAACACATGTCTCGAGGTGCGGCTCACGCTGCCTGACGTGGAGCGTCGCTTGCGAGCAGAGCTGGAAGAAGAAACGCGAGGGCGGCTGTCGGCTGATCGCGGGCGCATAGCACCTAAGCCGCCCTTGCACACACTTAAGACGGTGTTGGAGCAGCTATTTTTTCTTTTTGTGTAACACCACGCATTGGTGGCTGACTTTCTTGCGCCCTCAGGAAGAGGAGGTGCGTGCAACCATGCAGAAGCAGGCAGAAGAAAAGTTCAGGCCCGGAAACCAGCCAGAAAGCAGTGCATGACGTCAATGCTGACAGCCGTGTCCATTGAAGTTCTCTCTTTGACACAATGACACAACCACGTGTTCCCATGATGCCGTGAGGAGTATGCTCCCCGAGCTAGAAAAAGAAGCCCGCGCCAGGCTTGAGAAGCAGGCCAATGCAGCACAAACACATTGGTGATGTTGGACCTGTCTTCTCCCGAGACCAGACCTGCAATTTCTTTTTCAATGGCTCAGGCGGAAGATGCAGCAGCCTCCGCACTGCCAGAGATGGAACGGCTAGCTCGAGAGAAGCTGTCGGTTGAGGCGGAGGACTGCGGGAAGTGAAAGCGAGCGTTGAACATCTCGAGCTTTTTTTGTCTTGTTTCATAACAATAGGTGTTTGCGAGGGAAGGTGATGGAGGGTGAGGGTGTCTGGCTTGGACTTGTGGACGTTGTGGGTTGGAACACAGGGGGTCTCGGATCAGGAGAAAGTGCGGGCGACGACGGCTGCAAGCATCGAGAAGGAGGTTCGAGATCGGCTTCGAAGGGAGGCAGAAGAGCGCATCAAAGCCGAAGTTCCTGCACCCCGGACGCCTCAACGTTGAAGCGTGCGCCAGGGCGCTGGTGTCAGTGTCTGTGTCTGTGCCTGTGTACGTGTGAGAGAGAGAGAGAGAGAGGGAGAGAGAGTGTGAGAGAGTGTGAGAGAGTGTGAGAGAGTGTGTGAGAGAGAGAGTGTGTGTGTGTGTGCGCGCGTGTGCGCGCGTGCGCGCGTGTGTGCGTGCGCGCGCTTGCGGGCTTGCGTGCATGTTCTCGCGTGCCCTTGCGCATCCTGCCCTAGCTTCGTGTGGCCGATGCTATTCAATTCAAGCTGCTCCGGCCCAGGAAATGGAAAGAGAAGCCCGCGAGCAGCTCGATACAAACAAGGCGATGGCTCTGTTGGCTTCTCTCATGACCCGATGTCGCTGGTCCGTTCAACTTCTCGACGAAGTCCCGACAAGACATCTTGCAAAGACAGTGCTCAGTGGCGGTGCAGGCCCCGTCCGCACCTGCAGCCATTGCCGTCCCAGTCCCAGCGCCAGTCGGACCCGCTGCAGCGCCTTGGCCTTGCCAGCTGATCCGGCAAACTAGCCCCTTCCGTGAGCTACAAACAGCCAGATCCTCCCAAACCAAAACCGTAGATAAATCGTCGGCCGTCGCAGCAATCCCCAGCAAGAAGTCAACCCCGGTGAAGAAGTTCTGAAGCTCACAGCCCCAAAGCCGAAGGCAAGGCATGTTTGTGCTGTCTGCATGTGAGTACACAAGCACATGCCTGCTTCACCTGGGTCGATCATCCTTGAGTTTCGAACCGAGGCAGAGCAGCAGGCGCAGCTCCAGCAGATGGAGAAGGACCATCAGGAGCCTTGGGGTATACAGAGTATATACATCCGCAACAAGAGCCCATACGGTGTAAGAGCGCACGGAGCGCCGTAGGTTAACGAACTGGGCCTTGGGAGGAGAAGCTGCGACAGCTGGAGCTGGACTTCGAGCGTCGCTTCAGTGAGCGCACGCAGCAGTTGACGGCGGAGCTCGAGAGGACCTGCGGGAGAAGAAGAGAGAATGCCCGTTCTGCACGATGGTGATGCTAGTTCCACTGCACCGGTGCGCCACTGGCCTTGGTGAAGCTTTCCTGAATCGATCGAGGAAGAGTCGGACAGAGGCTGAAAGACAGGCGAGGCAAGTGCACTGGCATGGAAGGTTGCGGAGCCTGAGCCGTGTATCAACACATGAGCAGTAGACTCAGTACACGAGCAACAGGTAGAGGAGAAGACAAAGAGCTTCCGTGAGCAACTGGAGAAGGAGAAGCCACCCGGACTGATGGGACCTGATGAAGTAGCCCAGCTGGTCGTGCAATGTCCTTCAGCCAAGGCGAGCGACGCTGGAAAAAGAAGTTCAAGACAAGTTGCGTCCTTCAGTCGCGGCGTTCGAGCGGGAAGCCAGGGTCATTCTTGAAAAGGAGGCGAGAGGAAGTGTTGATGACTGGTCCTAGCACCCAGCAGACCACAGCAGCTGTGAACCGCACGTGAGCTCCTGATGTTTGTGTGACGTTGAGCAGACATCGTAACATTGTAACTTGTAACCACATCACAAGCCCTACAGCGAACCAAACCGTGACAGCCCGCCAAGACTTGCACAAATGACAACAGCCGAGCCAATAAAGAAAAACCAACTGTTCACGTGCTCACTACTCAATGGCGCAGGCCGAGGAGCGCGTCAGAAGCTCGATCCCGGAAATTGAGCGTGCCGCGAAGGACCAGCAAGACCCGCTGCTGATGCAGAAGTTTAAGAAGCATCGAGAACAACAAACCAAACAAGTGATAGAATCAAATCAATAGCATTTTTCTTTGGAATGCAGGTGAGTGAGCCGTTCTCGCAGTATGCAGGCTTTGCATTAAGCGCTGCTAGTTGAGCTGTTTGGAAGAATATCTTGGGAGCGTATGGTTGAAGCAAGCCACGCCCAGCACGTGTCTGGACCTACCCGCAATTACCCGGAACAGATCACCCGCCAGAGGGAGCGTTAGACATCGTTTGGCTAAGTCGGCAAAGTCATGTGCCTTCTGCAGTCGGTTTCTTGTTAATTGTTAGCAGGAGAAGCTGGAAAAAGAGGCAGAGGCCAAGGCCGGGAGAATTCTTTTATTTTTTGGGGGGGGGGGATCTGCGAATGTCGCCTGCACATGGTCATGGATTGTTGGCGAACCGTCGTCCGATACGATATGGTGTTCAAGATTCTTCAGCGTCGGCTGACGATGGACGCGAGCTTCACATGAGCATGCCCTGTTCTGTTTCGGCACTCTTGCCGATGTGCTTTCCCTTTGCTGCCTGACGACCTGTACTCACGAAGGCCGCGCACAGACATGATGCTCACCCCCTGCCGGGCATGTGAAATACTTAGTGACGTAGTCTTCGAACTGAGGAGTTGTGAGGTAGACAGGCTCCAAGCCGACTACTAAACTTCGAAGATCTTCGAAGCACCACCGTCACCAATGAAATCAAATTCAGGCAGCCTCGTACTGCCTACTGCTGTTGCAAACTGAAGTTTAAGCTCGAGCACCTTGCCACAAGAATGTGTGCAGGTGAGAGCTTCCCTGCCTGAACTCGAGTCACGCCTCCGAGAGGCAGCAGGGGATCTCCAAAAACATGGCCAAAAAGCTGTCCGTCTAGCTTTCCATCGTGAAATCCATCCCATGGACGGAAACCTCCATGCGTGAAGGATAGGGCGCACTAGTTGTGAGCGTTAATCCATAAAGTCATCGGCCCGGGGCGGCGCGCGCTTTTTGCAGCAACATGAGGATCTTCGTGAAAAGCCCGATGCGGATGCTGTCAAGGATCTGTCGTCAGACCGAGTTCAGATTGATACTCGGCGAAATTGGCTTCTCAACCCGGTCACTCTTTCTGGTGTTCCCTGTTGCCTAGGTTCAGGGTCTTGGGCCAGCTGGCTGAAAGGTTCAAAAGAGGCTTCGCTGTAGATTCACTGTAGATCATACTCCAATTGCAGCCCCGTAGATTCTAAACTGCCGGGGGCACCTTCAAGGTCGAAGTAGTCCCATTCGACTAGTTCGGCTCGAGTAAGACCCGCCGCACTGCGCATTGAGAGCTGCTCTGACATCAGGAAGAGGTGGCAAGAAAGCGCCTTGAGCAGGAAGCCGAAGAGAAAGCCAGGACCTTTGGGACTCAACTCTGCCGACTTGTTGTTGTGCTTCCAGAGATCTGCATGGGCGTCGTGGCAGTGGCCAGCGGCAGCCAACAAGCGGGTTCATTCGACGTGTGCAGACTCAGTTTCTTCCACCTTAAAGGAGAGAGTTCCCTGACATGGAACGAACTGCGCGAGAGAAGCTTCAGAAGCAGGCATGGGCTTGAAATGGGCCTCGCACTAATGGAGCATGGAGTTTCGAGAATGACACCTGTCGTGCCAGGCAGAGGACGCCGCTGCCGCAGCACTCACCGACCTGGAGCAGAAGGCACGTGACAAGGTGACCGCGGAGGTCGAGGCGGCAGCTCCAAACATGCGCTCCCTTTTTTGCATGGTACTTTCTGTGCCAAACCGTCGCCATATGTCGTCATGCATTGCTTCAGGAGAAAGTCCGGGCAACTGCCGCCAGCATCGAGGCTGAGATCCGAGAGTGCTTGGCCTGATTATGGTGAGAGATGGCAGGAGGGACCCCACGTTTCTTCAAACCGGGGTCCCGGGTTCCAAAGACATGTGAATCAACAAGATAAGAACAAGCTTTTTGGTACCCAGGCGTCTGAAGAAGGAGACGGAGGATCGGCTGAAGGTAGAGCTCCCTGCGACTCGGGCCTGTGAGGCACTTCTTGCAACATCTTGCGGCCGCGGTTTGGAATTGTGGTTTACGTCGTTTGCGTCCGCTTCGCTTCTCCTGCGCCTCACGTGCGCACTTACACCGCCAATCACCACCATGCGGATATAGTAGCTCTCCAAGAGCCATTGCGGTTAGGGCCAGGGGTTGTGAGGGATTCGGCCACTCTGGCACGCAGTTCCAAGTTCCGAGGCTGTAGAGCAGGAGGTGCGTGAGCGCATGCGGAAGGAGGTCGAGCAAAGAGATGCTGGGCTTGCATGTGTTGGCACTGCCGTGACATGTCAAGAGATGCTTATATAAACAGATGGCAGGAGAAGCTCGAGAGGGACGCTGAAAGTAAGGCGCAAGAGTCGAAGACTTGCCATTGCACTCCACAAACTGCCACAACATGACTAGCGCAAACGTACTCTTGGGTGCAGCACTGGAGCCGGATGGAACCACAAATTTCTCGAGGTGCGGCTGACGCTGCCTGACGTGGAGCGTCGCTTGCGAGCAGAGCTGGAAGAAGAAACGCGAGGGCGGCTGTCGGCTGATCGCGGGCGCGTAGCACCTAAGCCGCCCTTGCACACTTAAGACGGTCTTGGAGCAGCTGTGTTTTCATTTGTGTAACACCACGCATTGGTGGCTGACTTTCTTGCGTTGTGCTCAGCGCGCCCTCAGGAAGAGGAGGTGCGTGCAACCATGCAGATGCAGGCAGAAGAAAAGTTCAGGCCCGGAAACCAGCCAGAAAGCAGTGCATGACGTCAATGCTGACAGCCGTGTCCATTGAAGTTCTCTCTTTGACACAATGACACAACCACGTGTTCCCATGATGCCGTGAGGAGTATGCTCCCCGAGCTAGAAAAAGAAGCCCGCGCCAGGCTTGAGAAGCAGGCCAATGCAGCACAAACACATTGGTGATGTTGGACCTGTCTTCTCCCGAGACCAGACCTGCAATTTCTTTTTCAATGGCTCAGGCGGAAGATGCAGCAGCCTCCACACTGCCAGAGATGGAACGGCTAGCTCGAGAGAAGCTGTCGGTTGAGGCGGAGGACTGCGGCAAGTGAAAGCGAGCTTTGAACGTCTCGAGCTATTTTTCTTGTTTCATACAAATGGGTGTTTGTGAGGGTGTCTGGCTTGGACTTGTGGACGTTGTGGGTTGGAACACAGGGGGTCTCGGATCAGGAGAAAGTGCGGGCGACAACGGCTGCAAGCATCGAGAAGGAGGTTCGAGATCGGCTTCGAAGGGAGGCAGAAGAGCGCATCAAAGCCGAAGTTCCCGTACCCCGGATGCCTCAACGTTGAAGCGTGTGCCAGGGCTTTGGTGTCCGTGTCTGTGTCTGTGCCTGTGTGTACGTGTGTTGTGTGGACGCGCATGTCTCTTTGCGTCCCTTGGCGTTGGCTACATCTTGCCCCAGCTAATGTGGCCATCTGCGCCAGCCCAGGATATGGAAAGAGAAGCCCGCGCGCGGCTCGAGACAAGCAAGGCGATCCGGTGATGGCTTTCTTGACTTCTCCCATGGCCCGATGTCACTGCTCCGCTCAACTCTTCGATGAAGTCCCGAACGCATATCTTGCGAAGACAGTAGCGGCTCAATACCGGCGCAGGCCCCGTCCGCAGCTGCAGCCATTGCCATGCCACTGCCAGTCGGACCTGCTGCAGCGGCTTGGCTCCATCGCGGCAGGGGTGGGTGGCAGGGAGAAGACCTGTTTCATGTTGGGACCTGTGCAGGTCAGGACCCCTTGTCCTGAGCTACGAACAACCAGATCCTCCCAAACCAAACTTGTAGATGAATGGTATCGGCCCTAGCCCGCGCGGCAATCCCCAACCCTGATGAAGAAGTTCTGAAGCTCACAGCCCCAAACCCGAACGCAAGGCATGTTTGTGCTGTCTGCATGTGAGTACACAAGCACATGCCTGTGCCACCTGGGTCGATCATCCTTGAGTTCGAGGCAGAACAACAGGCGCAGCTCCAGCAGATGGAGAAGGACCATCAGGAGCCTTGGGGTTTTTAAAGAGTATACACATCCGCAACAAGAGCCCGTACAGTTTCAGAGCGCACGGAGCGCCGTAAGTTCGAACTGGGAAAATGTGGCCTTGGGAGGAGAAGCTGCGACAGCTGGAGCTGGACTTCGAGCGTCGCTTCAGTGAGCGCACGCAGCAGTTGACGGCGGAGCTCGAGAGGACCTGCGGGAGAAGAAGAGAGAATGCCCGTTCTGCACGATGGTGATGCTAGTTCCACTGCACCGGTGCGCCACTGGCCTTCGTGAAGCTTTCCTGAATCGATCGAGGAAGAGTCGGACAGAGGCTGAAAGACAGGCGAGGCAAGTGCACTGGAAGGTTGCGGAGCCTGAGCCGTGCATCAACATGTCCGTTGTTTTAAAGAACCCCCAAAATAGGCAGCTTACGCATGCCCAAACTGTTCTTTTTTGGGTGATCGAAGGGCTGCCCCAGCTCACTAGCCACCTCAAAAGGGTTCAGGGTTTAGGAGCATCAGCTGTCGAAAGGCCTAGAATGCCTAGAATAAAGATGAGAAATTTAGCAGGCTGCGGGCCCTCCAAGAATGAGGAGCAGAACGATGTTTGACTTCATTGGGGCCCCCTTACGCCTTGTCTCTGAAAGAAGTATTCCAGAAACTTCTGTTGAAGGTGGTTTTCTTGAAGCCTCTAAGCCTGAGCAATACCTTAACCCAAACGTATTTTAAGGTACATTCCTAAATTCGTTCGGAGTCTGGAGAAGGTAGAGGAGAAGACAAAGAGCTTCCGTGAGCAACTGGAAAAGGAGAAGCCACCCGGACTGATCTGACTTGATGAAGTTGCCCAGCTGGTCGTGCAATGTCGTGCAGCCCAGGCGAGCGACCCTGGAGAAAGAGGTTGAAGACAAGCTGCGCCCGTCAGCCGCGGCGTTCGATCGGGAAGCGAGGTTACGTCTTGAGAAGGAGGCGGCCAGAACTGTTTTGAAGTGTCGCGATGTCTAATAAAAGTTCCAAAAAGTTTGCTACCACTTTCCCAGCGCACGCGAAAGGGGAGGGATGGGCGGCAGACTTCGGAGGGGGGGGGGGCGAACGAACATTTAACGCTGCGCGACCCAGTTCGGCCGGGGGCCTGCCCGGCGGCGAGGGAAGGCGGGCAACCCTAAACCCAATTCCCTTCGAGGATCATCCGATAAAATCACAGCATGGCAGCTCAAGGATGACACACACACACACACACACACAAATGGGGGTTTACGATAATGAGGGACCCCATATATACACCCCCCCCCCCCCCCAAAACTAGGATCCCCTTATAAAAGGACCCCAAGAAGGAACCCCTAATATCGTGACTCCCTACGTCAAGAAGATGCCTATCGACCAGGGGGGTGCCCATTCCAAGTAGGAGAGTGGGGCATCTGCTTAGTGCTCCCAAAGGCACCTACGGCCCAAGGCCTCTGTGGATTAGTCCTTGGAAGTCAGTCAATTCCCCGCTCTGTGAGTATAGGCTTGCATAGGCATATGAAAGATGAACCCACGGCCTGGTAACAGCCGAGCCAATGAGCAACAGCTGACGTGCTCTCTACTCAATGGCGCAGGCCGAGGAGCGCGCCAGAAGCTCGATCCCAGAGATTGAGCGTGCCGCGAAGGACCGGAAAGACCAGCTGCTTATACGAAAGTCTGAGAAGTATCGAGACCAACAAACCAAACAAGTGATTTCTTCAAAGCACTAGCTGGTTTCTTTGGAATGCGGGTGAGAGAGCCGTTCTCGCAGTACGCAGTCTTTGCATTGAGCGCTTCTAGCTGAGCTGTTTAGAATATTATCTTGGGAGGCGTGCCTACAGCAAGCCACGTCCACCATGTGGTTGCACCAGCCCTGAACAGAAACTGGCTATGGGTCGTCTTACTAAGTCCGGCTGTCGGGTTCCCTGTCAAGAGGAGAAGCTGGAGAAAGAGGCAGAGGTCAAGGCCAGGAGAAATTGGGGGGTTTAGGGTTTAGGGTTGAGGGTTGAGGGTTGATAGGGTTTAAGGTTTAGAGGCATCTTGGGGGTCCCCTATCAGCTTAAGAGCTTAAGAGGAGTCTGCAGAGTACGTGCTGGCCTGCGTTCCAGCAGCAGTTGCTTGCTTCGTTCCTTGGGCACTTAGGACCGGCTGGTCATAGATCGTTTGCAAAGTGTCGTCCCATACGAAAATGGTGTTGAAGAATCTTCATCCTCGGTTGACGATGGACGCGGCTTCACGTCAGCATGCCCTGCTACTCGGTTTCGGCTTTCTTGCCGATGTGTTTCCTCCTTGAATTTGAGTTGAGACAGCCTCAAGCTCCACGTGCTGCATACGGCTGGTGCAAGCTGAAGTTTTTAAGCTAGAGCACCTTACCACAAGACCATGCGCAGGTGAGAGCTTCCCTACCTGAGCTCGAGTCACGCCTCCGAGAGGCAGCAGGGGATCTCCACAAACCTGGCCCAAAAGCTTTGCATCTAGCCTTCCATTATGAAGTCCATTCCAGCGCACCGGCTGTGAGTGCTTGTGAGTCTGCAGCCGGGTGACATTTCGGCAGTTCCGCCTTGTAAGCTGCTGACCACGGGGCTCAAAAGCGGGCCGACTCTGCGTAATTTTGCATGTCTTGCACCTTGCAGTCATATAGGCCCGCATGCGCACCTTCAATGCCACCGATAGGGTCTTCTGTTTCATGCACTCGATTCGCATGCAGTTTGATCTTGGCTCTTGCGAGGAGCTCGATGCAGACGCCCGCAAGCGTTTGTCGGCAGAGCGAGTGCAGATTGCCCTTCGGCTGTGGAAGAATTGCACACTTACATGCTGCATACTGTATTGGAAGCATGAGATCCCTCAAGAGCTCTTACTCAAGGGATGTTCAACATTGTCAACTTTCTTGCTCTGAGCAGGGAAGTGTGTCGGGAAGAGAATCAAGAGATTCCGGTAGGTTCGGCTTCGTTTTGATGATGAACGGTTCGATTTCCAAGATGCGGTTCATAGATTCGGTTCATCGGTTCGGTTCAGAGGACACTATAGGATGACAACGGTTGAGATGCTGTGTGATGGGGTTCGTGATGTGGGGGGGGGGGGGGGTGGTGATGAGCTTCCTCTAGAAATGGTGATGCTGAATATTTTCGCCTGCATCGGTAGCCCAGGCTTTTGAAAGATTGGGACCTGGAAATGCTGGAAACCTCCCGGGCTGGGGGTCACATTTTTTGAAGGCTGGGAAACTGGATCTGCCTCGCGCGGCATGGGACATGGGTCGAGTTTGACAAACGCTGCATGGGCTCCCGAGTCCAGGTTTGGGAGAGGTTTAGGGCCTGGAAATGCTGGAAAATCTGGGCTTTCCTGCGCAGCCGGTCTCTTGAAGGCTCAGGACCAAAGAGCAAGGACCAAGCTTTGCGTGAACCTAAACAAGCGGTTCGTTTTTGTTTCGGTTTGGTTTCCTGGCTCGGTTTGTATTTTCGGTTCGTGCGCTTTTGGTTAATTTGACTTTGGACCGGTTTGTCGGTGCACGGTTTGGTTCCTCCCTTCCTGCATTTGGCGAGTGGCTTCTGGAGCACTACTGGCATCACTGCTGAAGGAATGCGGGAACAGGTGCTCGGAGGTGCAGGGGCATACCTTATTGTTCGGTGCGTGAGCTCTCCCTCTCTGTTCGCCTTTCTCTTTCCATCTTTCTTTTTTTGTTGTTCTCTCTCTCTGTCTCTCTGTCTCTCTCTCTCTCTCTCTCTCTCTCGCTCTCCTTCTCTCTCAGCACCGACGAACAGATATCGCACATGTTGACTTATGTCAGAGAACAGGGAACTGAACTAAACTAGTAACTACAAGTAACAAGTACTGAAGAGCTACGCTGTCCTTGGAAAGCTTCAGAGGGTGCGTAATTGCTGCCGGGCTGGCCCAACGCGGGGTGTAGCGCGCGCATCACAGACGAAGGAAGGGCAAGTCCTACGTCACTTCTTGCAAAACCACCCACATCATGAGTTCAGGAGGTAGGAGCTTGGAGGGGGGTTTGAAGGGGGTCTGTCCCAAGGCAAGGGCAGGAAAGGTTCAAAGGATATTATGGGGTGCTTTTTGGCGTGGTCTCTGTGGAAGGGGCCCACAGGGAGGGTCCCACAGCCTGGAACCCCGCAGCATCGGATTGCGGCTCCTCCAAGCAGTTTTGTTCGGGGATAAGAAACAAGACAATTGGTCTGCTTGTTCTAGATGCCTTTCGGCCAGAAGCCGAGGTGAATTTCCTATTGAATTTTGAAGTGCATCATTCCATCTACAAGATTTGTGAACAATCATGTAAGCGCCGGCACAAAGTTTTCAACAAGAAACCCGCAAGAAAACCACAGCATGACTCATGAAAATAATGGGTTCTCGAACTAACGAATGTTACGGGCAAATAGGGTGGCAACATTCAAGACACCAGGAGGAGGCGGCAAGGAGGCGTCTTGAGCAGGAAGCTGAAGAGAAAGCCAGGACGTGTGGGCGCTCTTGTGTTGAGATAGACGCGCACTTTCATTTATTCGGGCATTTGGCGCTGCTTGTCATCTTGTGTCCAAAGGACTTTGTTTCCTGACATGGAACGAACTGCGCGAGAGAAGCTTCAAAAGCAGGCAGGTGCTCGGAAAGGGCTTCGCACGCCACGCTACTTCTGCAGCATCGTGTCTTTGGAAGGGCTTGCCGTTTCAGGCCGAAGACGCTGCTGCCACAGCACTCACGGACCTGGAGCAGAAGGCCCGCGACAAAGTCACCATGGTCGAGGCACAAGGGAGCTCCCAAACATGTGGATGCTCGGTTGTTGGGGGGAAGGGACTTGATAGACGCCTCTCTTCAACTCACACCTTTGATTCGATTGTCCATGCGAAATGCAGGACCAACATGCTAATGGAACAGAATCACACACATCTCCCCTCACTACCAACCTGGGGGCTCTTACCGGACAGTGCCAGCGGTCCAATTAAGGGCGGTCTCACACACAACACACAACTCGGTAGACCTGGGTCTTCCCCAAAGGTGGCACTCAGGGATGCACTTTTTTTCCCGGCACTTCGACTGAGCAGAGTGGGTGCTAAGTTGGTATGTGATGGTATAAATGTCTTGTCCGTCTTGTTCTTTCAACACACCCACCGCTCATGTTTCACACACAGACTGAATCGGTAACGCTTGTCCCTTGGGGCGGTCTCCCTTGGGGGGCATCACGTGCGCTGCAAGCAAGCAAGCAAGAGAGAAGGAAGGAAGGAAGGAAGGAAGGAAGGAAGGAAGGAAGGAAGGAAGGAAGGAAGGAAGGAAGGAAGGAAGGAAGGAAGGAAGGAAGGAAGGAAGGCAGAGAGTCTCCCGCAAACTGCCCGTAGCAGAGGCGTCCCGAATACCGGGGCGGGCGCTGACGCCCGGGGCTTGCCCCCATGCCCCCAAAGAAAGAAAGAAAGAGAGAAAAAGAGAGAAAAAGAGAGAAAGAAAGAGAGAGAGAGAGAGAGAAAGAGAAATCATCACACGCCCTTTTGCAGCAGTTCCCCAAACCCTGTTTCAACAAGAAGGCCGCCGCGAAAAACGTGGCAGCGATAAGACTGGCAAGACCTGGGACTCGCGTGCCCTTCGGGGCGGCTCCTCCTCCGGGCAGGGCCAAGCGTGCGTAGAGAGAAAACGATGGCAAAAAAAACGAAGTTAAGCATGCAGGTCATGCAAGCCAGATGCACTCCTCAACTGTTTGGCCTTAGTGCTTTAATGTGCCTGGTTCGCTGCACACGTGCCTTCAGGAGAAAGTCCGGGCAACTGCCGCCAGCATCGAGGCTGAGATCCGAGAGTGCTTGGCCTGATTATGGTGAGAGATGGCCGGAGGGACCCCAGTACACACCTGGTTCAAAGACACGTGAAGAACAAGATAAGAACCAGCTTTTTGGTACCCAGGCGTTTGAAGAAGGAGACGGAGGATCGGTTGAAGGTAGAGCTCCCCGCGACTTGGCCCTGTGAGGCACTTCTTGCAACATCTTGCGGCCGCGGTTTGGAATTGTGGTTTACGTCGTTTGCGTCCGCTTCGCTTCTGCCGCGCCTCACGTGAATGCAGCATGCGCTTTTATTCACAGTCATGTGCAGAGCAGCTCTCCAAGAGCCATTGCGGTTAGGGCCAGGGGTTGTGAGGGATTCGGCCACTCTGGCGCGCAGTTCCAAGTTCCGAGGCTGTAGAGCAGGAGGTGCGCGAGCGCATGCGGAAGGAGGCCGAGCAAAGAGATGCTCGGCTTGCATGTTTGTTCTTTGGTCCTCACGAAGCACAGTTGCGACACTTGTGTGACGATCCCATCCCAGCTTGGGACATTGGTAGGAGCTTGAGGGGTCCTGACAGACACAGTCACCTTTGCCCTGTCCTGTTGGAGTACAGCTGCCTGAGCATTTCTATTTCTGATCTTTTCAAAGGAGCTCAATGCAGATGCCCACAAGTTGGCATTTGTCGATCGAGCTCAGATTGCCCCTTGCCTGGAAGCAACCTTGTTAGGATCCTAACGCTACGTCAGACCGAGCGATGTAGTCTTTGTATTGTACGTCTAAAGCTAAAACCGTTAGCAGACCTACCGACGCCTCGATGTTTCACAGCTTAAATGCCGAAGGGAGCTGGTTCTCACTCAGTACGACAGCTTCTTAAACCGATTGCGCGTGATGCTTTCAGTCGGGCACCTCCCCATAGTCGAATCACATGCTTTGTGACCACAGAACTAGTAACTACCGAACCGCACGGTGGCTGGAATGCATCTCTGAAGACATACAAGACATCAGGAGGAGGTGGCAAGGAGGCGTCTTGAGCAGGAAGCTGAAGAGAAAGCCAGGACGTGTGGGCGCTCTTGTGTTGAGATAGACGCGCGCTTTCATTTTATTCGGGCATTTGGCGCTGCTTGTCATCTTGTGTCCAAAGGACTTTGTTTCCTGACATGGAACGAACTGCGCGAGAGAAGCTTCAAAAGCAGGCAGGGGCTTGGAAATGACGCTACTAGTCTTGAGAAGGGCCTGCCCCTTCAGGCAGAGGACGCCGCTGCCACAGCACTCACGGACCTCGAGCAGAAAGCCCGGGACAAGGTGACCATGGTGGTCGAGGCAGAAGGGAGCTCCCAACATGTGTTCATGCGGTATAGAATCCTCAGAACACAGGCAACGACACACACACACACACAAGAGATGGCAACAAAACGAAGTTAAGCATGCAGGTCATGCAAGCCAGATGCCTGGTTCGCTGCACACGTGCCTTCAGGAGAAAGTCCGGGCAACTGCCGCCAGCATCGAGGCTGAGATCCGAGAGTGCTTGGCCTGATCATGGCTGGAGGGACCGCGCGTTTCGTCAAACCGGGTTCCAAAGACATGTGAAGAACAAGATAAGAGCATGCTTTGTCGCACCGAGGCGTCTGAAGAAGGAGACGGAGGATCGGCTGAAGGTAGAGCTCCCTGCGACTCGGGCCTGTGAGGCACTTCTTGCAGCATCTCTTCTGCTAAGCCTCATGTAGCTGCAGCATGCGGAAGCATGCGCACTTACGCCGTACTCACAGCCACATGTGTAGCAGCTCTTCAAGAGTCATTGCGGTTAGGGCCAGGGATTGCGAGGGAGCGGCCACCCCGGCGCACAGTTCCGAACAAGTTCCCGGGTTGACTTCTGAGTTCCGAGGCTGTGGAGCAGGAGGTGCGTGAGCGCATGCGGAAGGAGGTTGAGCAAAGAGATGCTCGGCTTGCATTCCGGCACGGAAGATCGCATCGCCAACTGCAATAATTCTTTGTCATAGTTGGGGAACATTTTTCATTTTTAAGGGTACTTAAACGCAATAAGGAATAGCATTTTAAATGTGTAATGTTGTCCCAACAATGAACTAGAATTGTGGTGGTGGTTGGTTACTCGAATGCTATGATGCAAACACTACAAAGAGTTTGAAGCGCCGACGTGTCCTTAAGTTGACTTGGCGGTTTTCCAGGGGACTTCTTGCACGCGCCGAGGAGCAGCTTCGAGCATTTCGGAGCGAGCTGCAAGAGCAGCGGACTTCCTCCGAGGCAGGATGGGGCTTTGGGGCGGCTAGTTTCGGAAGTTCGCCGTTTATGCGTTTAGATGGTTTTTAGACGGTTTTTGATGGTTTTAGGGTGGTGAGTGAACATCAGGCAAGCAGGCCCCGGAGGACGCTTACATTCGCATCAATCAATGCCTGGACCTGTCACCGTGAAGCTTTACACTTTCTGCGCGGGGGTCCGAATTCCACACGCTGCAACTCCCAGTATTTGTGATCGGAGCTTCCAACTGCCGTAAAATTGCAGTACTTGTACGTGTTCAGAGCGTCAAGGGGCCTGGCCGAAACATATTTTTGTTCATATTTCGAGGAAAGATCTCTCTGGATCTCTGCCCCCGAATTTTCCCATTGAAAACGCATCACTGCCCAAGATTGTGGCGCAGTTTGTTTTTGAAAGTAATTTCGAAACCTGCGCAGTAGCACGGCAGGATGTGACGCCGTGCAGGGTGTGTCGGGGAGGTGCAGAATTGGCGTTTGGAAGAGGCCCGAGAACGGCAGCTGACAGACCAACGTCATCCAAAAAAGGTTTGAATGCTTTTGGCGGAAGCAACCACGCGCAGCACAGACCTTGTGCGGGAGACGGCCCAGACTTGGAATACATCCAGGAGTGGAAGAGTGGAAGCGAAAAACGATGTGTCACAAGAGTTTTTTGGAGCAGAGCAATGCTCGGCAGTTTCTGCACCCATATAGAACGAATGAGTCGCAAGAGTGTTTGAAGTCGCGTTGAGGGAGCTGAAGAGGTTCAGGGTTTAGGGGTTAGGGGAGCGAAGAGGCTGAAGAGGTTGCCAGCAAAACCCAGCCTGTTTTCAGACAACCTTCTGACGACGGCATGCGTCATAGAACGAATCCAGGGAAGAGTATAACGCGTGCCACGCTCAGAGGCCAACAGCGTGGAGGCAGCGCTGCATTCTGGCAACTTGAGCGGGGAAGCCAGACGCTCAGAGCCGCCCTCGTTGAATGTATTCAGATAGCATCACGACTTATATGCACGATGTATAACTCGTTCAAAAGGATGTAGTTCATCCAAAGCAAGTTCATCCAGCTCCAAAGGTTGTGCTTGTTCTTTCAAATCAGATCATTCTGTTGTGCTGGTTCGTGGAAAGACATCATCACCCATTACAGCTGGCGGTAATCTACCAGAATGAACTGCTCCAAGGTGCTCCCCATGTTGCTCCAGGTACTTGCTTTGTTTGCCGCCTTTGTGCTGCCCTTTCTGCAGCAATGCTGCTTTTACCTCGGGGCTCACACAGGGTTCCCCACAGGTCGGTGAGATGCAAAACTTAGGAGGCTGCGGTCCAGGCCTCTCCGGCGGTTGTGGAACCGTCGCACTAACGTGCGCAACTGAAGTGCGCCATGGCAACTGCATATTGCCGAGGCCATGGCCCCACTTCAAGAAGAATTGGACGCGGAGATCGAGGAGATGCTTGCTGCATCGGTGGTCACCATGAAGCCTCAGGTGCCCCAAAAGCATCCCTCGAGCCTCTTGCACGACCTGTGTTGGAAAGCCCTTCTATAGGCGCAAGCTGAGCGGACCATGGACCCACACGTTGGAGCCTTAGATGATGCCTCTTCAGCAGTTCCACCTCATACAGCGTGCGTTTCCTCCATTCTCTAGCGTGGAGGAGAGTATAATCTTGTGCTGAGGTTCTGTTCTCGCCGAGAGCTGCAGCTCGCAACCTTCCAAGGGAGGAGAAAGGCCAGCAGGGGTTTCAGCTTGCGTGGCCTCAAAGCTTACATTGCTCCTCCCACTCAGGACTCAGTATAGTCTGGACCAACAGTGAACCGTTACGTTAGTGTTACTTCCTTGTTACGGCCCGAACTGCCAATGCCGCATCTCATGATGGGCACCCCATTTTGGCAAGATTGTGTTTGGATCGGAGCACGGCAGCAAAAAGTTTGTTACCGGAGAAACCTTTCAATTCCATGTCGTGGAGCCAGGGCCGACCTGACAACACCATCAGCGCAGTTGCCCATCGACCGATACTGCAAATCTTCTAGATTCCAGCCGCCCCTCCCAAGAGCGGAGCATCTCAATAAGTCCCACATGCGTGCGAGGCTTGTGGGAGCTGACGCAGCTCCGGCGCCGGCAGCTGAAGAAGCAGCGCGCAGCACTCCTGGCTGCTGGGAAGAGATCAGTCCCACAGACCGGAGCTATATTATATGGGGCGAGCCCAAGGCCCTAAGGGCCTGCCGTTGATTCCTTATGAGTTACTCCAAGTGGACAGAAGCCTAAAGCCAGCATCTGAAGCAGGTAGCGAGCGTGTTGGAAGGGAAGCTGGGGACACACGCATTAAGTGGCGTCTACCATGTCACCTTTCGTACAGTACTCTAGGACCCTAGGACTCAGATAGCTTGTGTGCTGAGCTGCCTGGAAAGCAGAGGTTGAGCTGGAACGATGGCGCTACTTTGCCGCACGATTCGACACGGGAACGCAAACTGTCGAATCATGTCGAATCCATACTCTCCAAGCTATGTCCTCACAGCACACAGCACACTGTTGGTTTTCTGCTGCCCTCCACCTGCGTGAATCGCCTTGATCCCCGAAATGTTACCCTGCAGTGCGGCTGGTCTGCCTGGCGGGCCGGCAGGTGGCAAAATGTCTGCCATTAAGGCCTGGACTGTGCTGGGGCCTCGACTGCGCAGCGCCCCGCCCTCGCAGAGGTGAAGAGCAGTTTGGACACTGGCCAGAATGGAACTGTTTTCGGTAGGGCAGGGAGGGCGGGGCTTCGTGAGACGTCGCCAACGGCCTGTCTTTTTCGAGGATTCAGGGATGGGGTTGATAGTCGAAGCTCGTCGAAGCTGGATGCTCAACCAGCCACTTCATGTCTTGGACTAATAAACATTGGGTGAAAACCTGCTAGGCTAGGGTTGGCGCCAGGGTCGAAGCAGGTGATCTTTAGCATGATTGCTTCTTTGTGGCAGATGCTGGCCTGCTGTTTCCATGCTTTCAGGGCCTCTCGAGCTTACTGCCGCCAGTTCTATGGCACATGACATTCGATGTGCGAAGTAGTTAGTGCAAAAGCCCAGGGGGGGCTCTCCCACTATCTCTTGCCTGCTACCCCGCTTAGCCGCTGCGCTGCTCAAGAGGATGGGCCCCACTGTCGTTCAAGGCAATTCTGACAAGGCAACTCTCTCAGATTCATGATGAAGTGCAGAACATCAAGAGCTCAATCGAATGATGCCAAAAGGTGCATGGCTACCATTCCCGCGTTTGGTGAAGGCTTTGCTGGTGTTGGCCTCCCTCTGCGAGGCACAGTCGCAGGTTTGCTGCCGTGCTGGCTGCTGGTGCGACCTGTCACTATATCCGAACATCGATGAGTTGATGCATGGCCTCGGGTACGATCGGTGCTTGGAGGATGGCCCATGTGAAGCGTGCGATGACCTTGAGATGCAGGCCCCGCACTGCCGGGCGACAGGGTATCGCCAGAGGGTGGCTTGCCTGCGCTGCCAAGGGGACGGCCTATATTTGCCACACTGCCAGCAAGGCTACAAAGTCTTCTGGGCTTCGAACTCTAGCTTCGTAAACGCATCACTTGCGAGCCCGAGTGCAGGCCTGTTCATGCGCAGTTGCACTGTGGTGTCGGTATCCAAAGCCTTGCGGCACTCAGAGCTGGAGAGCTCACGCTCTGAGTTCGAGATGCGAGCAGAGCCCGAACCCACCCGACCTGAGCGGACAGGCAGGTTGCATGGCTTGCATGATGATGGCAATGAAGGCTTGGTGGAGGTACTCTATTTTCTAGCTGCCAACGCGCTGGTGCTCGCCACCTTTGGCTGTTCTCTGCGACGACAGCAGCGTCGGCAGCTTGAAAAGACCATGGAAGGTTTGTACTCCTGCGTAGAAGATGGGCTACCTGCACATGGTGTTACCTCCCCACCAAGGGAGAAGCCCAAGTCGAGGGAGCATAGAGACATCCGAAGCCCGTCGCCTGAACCTTCAGAGGCCCGAAGCATCGGCCGTTCCATTGAGTCCTTGGCAGGTGCAGTTGCCAAAGCCACAGTTGGGTCTCAGAAGCTGAAATGATGCGCAGGAATACAAAAAAAGCGCTGGATGTGGATGCTCTTTAGCCTTCTCTTACGTGACTCTAGTGTTGAGTGGTTCCTTTTTCTAGGTAAGTTTCTGGCTATTCCCAGTTGGTCCTTCCACTGCAAGCTGTCAAGGACGAGCGCTACGCCCAAGTTCTGGAAGGCATCCGAGAAACTCGCGCTGTGGAGCGCACGCTCCTCCGCTGCAATGCTCACTTGGCAACAGCGTCTAGATCTGTACGTTTGGCCTTAGAACGTCGGGCTTGAAAAAAGTGAGTCTTGCGCCGTCTTGCGCCATCTCAGACTACTCCGCCTTCGCGATGGACCTCATGATCCCACCACAGCCACCAAGCTGAGATTGTGGGCCCGAGCGAGGAGTTTGCTTGTGTATGCAATATGGCCGCCATAGTATTGCGTTCTAGCGGACGAACATGTTTCTCAACCTTAGGACGGCTTCGAATTTGTTTTTGAACATTTCTGAACTGATGTTTGCAGATTTGGCCACCCTAACCATACTAATTATTGGCACCATGTACTTCGTTTGCCGCGCCGTCAGCGGCATCAATTGCTGGCAGAGCAGAGCACAGAATGTTGCCACGTTTCAGAAGATACACAAATTGTACTCTCGCCTAGGCTTTTCGCCACATTTTAAGGAATGGTCATTTGCCGCGCAAGCTGCGAGTGAGTATGTGGAAGGCTTAAAGAGGGTCCTGATCGCAAAGTGGCTTTTTGTAGTGTTTTTGAGAAAAATGCAAAAACTCTGCCTTTTGGCGGTTGTTTTTTTGGCTTTTGTAACACGAACGTTATCATCGTGCGGACATGGATGCTCTGGCCATTCGCACGCAACGAAGCCACGAAGTGTCGTAAGTACCGATGTTAATCACCCCCTTGGAAAGTGCGGCAAACGAGGGTGATGGAGCCTAATCATTGTCCGGTGAACCTACCGCATGGCAGCGCAGGGAAGGCTCCTGCAATGAGCTGAGGCTGCACCTGTGGAGACCGGGCTCTGGGAACACCCAGGCGTGAGGCAGGAAGCCCAGTGGAAATCTGTACTTTGACACAATTGCTTGGAGATTTCTGGATTGCAAATTTGTTCAACGCCTTTAAGGTCCTCGACTGCAGCCGCCGAGGTAGCAACTTAGCTCAATGGCGTTCCAGCTTGAGCAATCACGAAGGCTGCAGCCATCGCTGCAGCATAGCTGCAGCTAGGCTGCAGCTAGAAAATGGTAAATTCGAGCATCCCATACCGTCCCCGTGCGGCTTCGAGCCTCAAAGAAATTCGCGAGGTAAAAGTGGCAGCATCTCTATAGGCACATACGTAGAGGGCCTTAGTACTTAGGAGCCGCAATGGGCTCGAAGTCTAAATTTAAATCATGTCAAGGCCGCGCGGAACCTTGTGGAGCGCTGGCGGGCGGAGAGGCGGCGTACCGCAGGTGCCCTTGTAAAAGAAGTTGCTCAGAGCAGCGGATGTTCACCAGCTTCCGCGATCCTCGAAATGCTTTGATTTAATTTATTGGTTCTTCTCCATTCCGCGGCTCGGTGAATGACTGCATGGCCTTCAGCCAGGAGAGGGCCACAGGTATATCGGTCTTGAGGTGCAGAAGGCAGTATGCACGGCGAACCAACCAGGCTGTAGCTTTTGGAAGATAGCCTGCTGGGTTCCAGTCTTGCAGGCTCCTTCACCGGACGAAGTGGTGCTTCATCTGCCAGATACACCAGGCGCAGACGGGCTCTATGTCGCACCTTCCTCAAAACAGTTCTGCCATCCCCTTTTTAACAGGGGCCCCCCGGGGCCCAACCTTTACGTGGAGATGCAGCAGGAAGCCGTCCTGGGCCGGCAAGAAGAAGCCACAAGCCCATCCCATATCACGATAATCACTAGAACCCCACGAATGCGCAGTTCGACTGCGCCAGCCTGGTCCAGCCACCGGCGAACTTCGGCTGCAACGAGTTGTGACAGCCGATGGTCAGATGAAGCAATTGTTGCACCTTTTAAGGCACTGAACCCACCAGAACCCACCAAACGTCGGATGCAGTTGTAAGCTTCATGCTGCCATGAGAGGGCCCTATACTGTACGTGTCATGGGAGCAAGTTCCACGCCCCCAAACTACCTAAAAGCTTTTCAGCGTGATCCCACTCGCAAATCTCCTTTGTCATATGTGTGTGCTAGGCGACGAATAATTTCCAAGGTGAAGCCTTGACCGCCCGTGATCTCCTTCGAAGGCTTCTTGAGCTGCACTTTCGTGCTTGCCTTTCGCTCGGCACCGAATCGGTGTCGCGCTGTAGCTGTCTGAAGTTGAAGCGCGCTTGCCGTCTCTGAGGCACGACGTCTGGCCAAGGGGACTTCCTGGCACATCATATTCCGAGTACACTGAGTACACTTGAGAGCGCCGGTCTGCAGCAGAGGCCATTTAAAGACTGCCTCTGTAGACAGCATGATAGATATGATAGGCAAGCTACCAACAACCATCCAACAAATGCGTGCAGACTTCTTCTCACTGCAGCCACAATAGTCGATCCATGAGCGTGCAGTACGGTAGCGTATGTTGACGGTGTTGTGGCATCTTCTTACCTTACCGTAGTCCTGTATTTCACAGAGCCTCGAGCTCTCCATGTTTCCCGAAGGGAACAATATAGAAGACGCAAGGATCTGTCATCAGCTCATCCTTGCGTCTTGAAGTAGCTCATTCTGCATCGGCTGCCAATTGATCCCGCTTAAATTCTGCCCAAGACACCTCACTCTTCTCGTCGCAGCGTGAAAAGGGCCAGAATATGCTCCCCGGACTAGAGAATACTTTAAAACAGGGATCCCAAGGCAGAATTCATGGACATGAACCATGCGTGCATGCAACCAGACGACGAGTCCACGGAGAAAGCAGCGACACTCTGTGAAGTGGAAGGCTGTATCTGTCCCGGGCACCCATTGAAGAGAAGCGGCCATGTTGCTACAGGCTCGGATAACTACAGGACAGGTAAGTAGCTGAGAAGTTTCTTGTGGCGGGGCGTCTCAGCTCTTGAATCTACTACAGCATTACGTGTGACGCTACACATACGTATCCAAAGTGATTGGTTGTCGCTCGGTCGCTCGGCCTGGCCTCAAGACATGTGTCTTTAGACACGCGCTGGGCAGTGAGGGTACATCAGTTTGGTTGAGAATCCCAAAAAAACACCAGCTTCTGAATGTTTGTGGTTTGCAGCACTGTCCCAAGGCCCCAGACCACTCACAGGAGCCTGAAGCTCTTCGTATATTTCTCAGCGCTGAGAAAATTTGGAACTTCTTGCAATTTCTGCAGCACACGCTTCAAAATGCTGAGTCAACTTCGCCCTCAACAAGTAATAAATTACCTTCTCAACGTCACTGTTTTCAGCTCCTCCAGTTTGAGTTCCCACCCATTTTCCACATGTTAGAGAGCAGATTTCACGGTGTCGTGGTAAGTTCTTTCCAACAACATTTTTGCAGTTCCATAAGTCCGCTGGACTTTGCTGAGCGCGAGTGAACAGTCAGCGTGCGCAGTCATCTCTGCAACCTAGGCGCGGGCAGACTGCCAATCTTCGTTACCAGCAGGTCTCCGCTGCAGCAGAGAAGCACACTGCCATAGCCACGGCCTGAGGGGCCCACCAGTTCCACGGATGCAGGTTGTTTCTCACATGCGTCACATGCGGGTTCTGCCCAAAGTGATGGACGAATCCCCTTTAAGCAAAGCATGGCCCAAGGATCAGAAGGCCCGGATCGGTGGACGTCTTCGAGCGCTAAGTCAGGGCATCTGAAGCCTCATCGGATCTGAAGCCTCATCGGAACCAGCGACTGCGTTCCAAGGATGAAATTCGAGGGACTGTCACCATCGTCACCCACGTGTCAGGAGAGCGTGGCCACGGAGCTGGTCCAGCAGCCATCTGTGGCATGTGGCGACCCCATGGATCCCTCATCTGCCTCAACTGTTCGTGCGCATCATTGCCAGACATTCATGGTAAGAGTTGAATTGGATAGCCGGTCAGGTGCGAAATTCATTCCAAAAGGGAGGTCGAACAAAAAGTCCATCTGAGCAGTCCCTTCCCCGTTTACGAAAACTGAAAAGCCCCCCAACATCAACACAGCAATCCAGAGATCCTTTAACGACTCAGGGAAGTATTGGAGGGGGGCAGACCGGAGATGGACATTTCAACAGGAACGGCGACGCAAACGTGCTCAGGATGAAACAAGTCTGATACGCAAGTGCTTTCCTGACCACTTTGCGGCCTCCATCGCGGGTGGCCATGCGTTTCTTCCATGAAACCCAAACGCTCCGGTTGCAAAGTGCGTTTTCCACGAACCGGTTCCCCCTGATACCCTGCTATCAAGACACTTCTGGCCCGGACCCCGTTAAGACCAGAGCGAGTCTTGAACATCACTATTGTTGCTCGCGCATTGGTGCTCCAAGTCAGGGCACGCTTCACGAGCCACAACAACCAATTCAAGAAACATCGGACTGTGTTGGTTCTTGAGTGGTGCATCACTTGCTCTGAGGTGTGTTCACCCTTGAGATGGGAATCGTCAGTTTGGTTCAGCATGAGAAGATGCTGGGACCTTACGAACGGCGTGCTGACACTACGTGCAGCTGGCACCTGAAGGCAGAATCAATACGTCTAGCATGGCGACTCATGTTGTGCGTAGAAGAGGTACATCCCAGCAGAGTCCCCATGTGTGATGCTCAAATGGGATGGCACCTCAGTTTTGCTTGCGAACTGCCATGAATCAATATATGCCCAAAAAAGAAGTCAATGGTGGTCACAGTCCGCCTCATGCGTTCCAGACCTGGCCCTGAGGATCGCGCGAATTGGTCCTCCCCGCCAGTTTGTGCAGTTGCCTGCTTCCTTGGTATAAATACACTTGAGGTGCTTGCATATGATGATTCATTTTAATATTCTTTAAAGATGACATGTGTATATGTATATATATATATATTTATATTTATTATTAACTGTAAATATACACAAAGATGGCAGGCCTCTTTGGCTTAGCTGTGAAGGTCATCAGAAAGGGCCCGATCCGCAGAGCTTTGGAAGTAGCATATTGGCCATATGAGCGCGGTCTGCTTGATGATTCGCATATGCACCTTCTGCGCATCCTTGTGCACCGAAGGATGAAAGAGAAGCCATCCCTCATGCTGGAGTGGTCCAAGACTCGATCACTGAGAGATGCCTTGCGTGTCGAGGCCCTTCCTGACATGCCCAACATTCGCGTCCTGTTGAACTTGGCATGCTCCCGTGCAGATCATCTCCGATAGGGCCTCGATGAATGCGTTCGACACGGCGGCCGCCCAAGAGTTCGGGTTAAGTCGGTTTCCAGCCTATTGAGATTTGTGTCGGGTGGAACCAGGTGGTTTATCATCGAAAGGAGCTGAGGGCCCTGCTGCCACCCCTCACCAGCCGCAATCCCAGCTTGTGAGTTTCCCGGGCTTCTGACTGTTTCCATGGTGAGGCCCATGAAAACTGGCCAAGCTGCTTCTCCCGTGAATGCGCTTTGTGCTGCTGAGATGAGCCTCACATGTCGGTGGACAAGTGGAGCTACCAGCTGCAGAAAGCTGAGAGGTTGGGCTTCCTTGTGTGCTCGGACAAAACACAAGTATCCAGTAGAGATTCATCGGTTGACATCATGGCTGTGTCGACAGCTCCTCTGGGCCGATTGTCTCGATCCCTGGGCATGGTCCTTTCCCCAATCGCAAGATGAAAGCACCAGCAGCGCCAATGTGACTTTTGTCTACCCCCCGAAACGTCTTTAAAAGCAGTGAGTGATGGCGTTCAAATGTTGGCCAGGGCATTCAGCCAGATGATCTTCTTCTTGAGCCACTCTCTTAACTGGTTCAGCTGCCTTGTTTGAGAATGTGTGCTGTGCAGCTTCTTGGTGGGGCCTGACTACGGCAGCTTCATGAGGTTGCATGCGCAGGTCATGTATGGACTCTCCGCAACTGTGGCTCAAGAGCTACACACCGTCCTTTCAGCCACAGCCCGCAAGGCCACTGCGCACAGGTGCAGGTCTGCGGCTTGCCGAAGGCATGGCTGCTATGTGGAAGATGATGTGTTTCCTACCCCTCGTGCTTATCGCCCAGGCGCAGGACCCCCTAGCAGAGTGGTTGGATGACTTGAAGTTTTCGTTGAAGGATGTGACCCAGGAAAAGGCAGGCATCACTGTCACGGCATCAAAGTTGGTTTGCCAGAACCTGCAGCTCACAAGCATTGAGTCTGCTGTGGCGGGTGTTGGGATGTCCGTTACTTTGAACGGTGTGGGCATTCAGTGCTCCGGGCACTTTGACTACCATGGCTTAGCCATCGTTAGCGGGTCCGGCGATCTCAATGCAGTTGTAAAGAGCAGCCCTGCTTCTACAGCGACTGTGGTGTTGCAGGGCGGCAGCTTCGACCAGAACGTGCCTTGGGCTGTGAACGCAGCGAGCTGCACCGCTGACATTGATTTCAAGATCACCTTCTCGGGCTCCATCATCTACTCCATCGTGAACCTGTTTTCTACCCCGATCTCCATGCTGATCAGAAAGCAGGCAATCCAGCAAGCCTGCGATCAGCTAAAGCAAGTGGCAGCTGGCCCGCTGTCAAAGAAGCTGGCAGCTTTCAATCATCTAATGCTCCCCCCGGGCTCGACGACACTGACAAACCTCCTGCTTGAAAGCAGTGCTCTTGAGAACGCGGAGAAGGTGGATGAAGGCTTGAAAGTCACCTTCGAAAGTGTGGCAGATGACATGCTGGCAGCATCAGGCCCAACCCTGTCCGGAACTCCCCCTGACAGGCTTGACAGTCCTGACCGGGCAGCCCATGCCAGCCTTCGCTTTAGGAGGCTCGCCCAGGGAGAGGCGACTGTAGACTGGACGCGTGATCCATCCGTCAGTTGGATGTCCTGGCTACTGGATGACGTCATCGGCCCGGAGAAGATGGACCAGGCTCTGCGCTGGGCGTGGAAGGGCGCGCAGTCTGTGGCCATCCCAGGTCCCGTGACCCCAATCGCCACCAGCACCATTCAGCAGCCTGATGCCGGCCTGGAGCTCAAGGTAGAAGCCTTCCTGAAGCAGGCAGTGATCGAAGGAGCTGATGGCATGTCCGCCTTCACCCCAGTACAGGCCCGTGGCCCCAATGACCTGCGCTTCAAGGTGAGCTGGGGAACACCAGATCGCCCGGCTTTTGGTCTGGGAGTGGATGTGCATGTGAAGGTGGAGGCCATCGACCTCGCCACTAAGCAACCGCAGGCGTCAGTGGAGCAGGAGATGAGCCTACACCTCGCGCTCTTGAAGCCTTCTCTGGATGTCACTGGAGAGGTTCTCGTTCTGGAAAGCGAGTGGCCCGGCCAGCACACGCTGGCCCAGTTCTTGGTGGCACCCCATGCATGTCTCACCAGCGTCTTCAAGTCTGCGCCTTCTGTGAAGAAGCTGCAGGCGCACAGGGGGCCAACACTCACAGAAAGAGCAGATGTCCCTCTTAATTACTGTATGAACGATTATATGTAAGAAAGTGGTTCTCTCTCAAAGAAAATGGCAGCGAGGTGCAGTTCGCCGGCTTGGCAGCGCCACTCAGCTTCCAAGCGAAGACCGTGGGGGCGCTGGAGGCCTCCTTGGCCGCGTTGCTCAACAACGGGGTGGCCTTGTTTAACAAGGTCTATGAGCCACTGCTTCCTGGTGCCATCGAGCGATTCGCAGGCTCGGATGCGCTCATGAACCAGCTGAATGCGAAGCTGAAGGTGCAGATGAAGCCTGAGCATTGCATGAGCCCATCCATGGCGTCGCAGCACGCCCGGCAGACGATTCCGCAATACTACAGCAACTGGCCTCCCATTTTTGACAACTACCTGCGGAAGTGGATTGACAACTTCTTCGACGGCATGATTGCGCATAACACCACAGTGCTGGATCAGGGGCTCTCTGACATGCCGAAGCTGCCTCTACCGTTGGATGCCAGGTTTTCTTTGAAAGAGCTACTTGCCACGGGCTTGGATCAGGTGAGCAAGCTTCGTGTCTTGGTCCCTTCCGAGCAGCACACAAGTTGGCTGGGAATGAGCGCGGTTGCCAAGTGCCCAAGTCCTCAGGCTCCTTGGCGGCCAACTGTTTCCGTGAGTGGCAATGTGGATGCCGGCAACTTCAAAGGCAACGGTTCGATCATCATGGAGATGCCCTGTGGCGCAGCCGATGCACAGCTGGCCGCAGAGTTAGACCTCTGGGCCTTGCTGGACATGCAACTTCCACCGAGCATGACCTGTGCACTCCTATCGCCGCTGTCCCACCTCGATATCGAGACGGTGAATGCCACCTGGACCGGAAATGGCAAGCTCATTGTCAAGCCGACCGAGGGTCCTGCGCAGGAGCCCTTGCAGCAGTTGTGCAATCTGCACCCGCGGCTCTGCGAGCTGGGCGTGAAGTTCCGCGAGTACGTCTCCACTACAGCAGGTGCCACCCGTCTGTACCACTTAGCCCGCGATACGGTCCTCGCCAAGTGCACCGATGTGCCAAAATTGTCTGCGCCCCAGCCACTTGATTCTCTACCGAAGGATGCCTTGGGCTACAGCTATGTGTCTCCTGACAGTACGACACTTTGGCTTGCCAGTGTCCTGATTACCTTGGCCCTGTCTTGCACATACAGCTTTTGTGCGCAGCTCGGCAAGATGCTTCGTAGTGATGACTCCTGTGAGATGATGCCAACCACACCAATGCCTTTGGCCACAGTTTGCTGGTTTGGGAGTGCTCGTTCCCAGGCAAGCATTCTCCCCAAGACCGCTACCGTAGTCACCAGCACACTCATGGCTGCCGGACTAGTTGCTCGCATCCTCGCGTGCTTCTGGCTGCCATTTGCTGCAGCAGGTGTGGAAGTCAGTCAAGCCTCTGGGGCCACAGTCTTCAAAGACGACGCTTTGCTGGAATACACCTTCTTTGGCATCGGTGTGCAGTTTGGAGTTGGAGGCTCCCTGTACTGCGAAGTCCTGTGGTTCTTCATGTCCTTGGTGTCTTCGCTTTCGGCCCATGTGATCCTCGTGCTGGTTTGGTTGACGCCTTTCCTGGCTAAGCAGCGTCGCCAGCTGCTTCTGATCGCACTGGTGCTTGCCCGCTTCCCTCTGTCTGAGATGGAGACAACGGGCAACACTGCCATGGCTTTGAGCGGTGACGTGCGAATGCCCCTGGGCATGACGCAGACTCTGGGCCTGGGCTTGCAGGCCGGGGCCTACGCACCCTGGCCAGCATATGTAGCATCAGACATGCATTCATGGATTCATGGATGAACTTATTATGAGATGTCCATTAATTTCTGTTTCGAAGTAGCACTGCTGCACTCTTTCCTTTCATTGCCTAGGCATCCTGGTTCTCCAGCGTTTGCACCTTGCTCGCGAACCTGCTTCTCCTGAAGCTGCTACCACGGCCCATCAAGGAGAAGGACTGGGCAGCCGGCAAGGCACCACTGCAGGTGACGGTCTTGCAGGGCTTGGCCAGTTGTGCGCTGATCGCAGGCCTTTATATGTGGTGCTTGTGCGATTTCATGGAGGCCGTTACTGGTGGTATTGCCGGTGCCCTTATCGACCCGGCCTCCTTCAGTGCTGCAAGCTTGGGCGCTACTGACATCAGGCTGAGGATCATGGTGAGCGTGACCGCTTTCGGCTGCCCTATCTTACACATCATCGCCTTTCTGCTGGGCGTCTCTGGCAAGGCTCCCAGTGTTGCGCGGGGCTTGGCAGGCTTTGCCGCAACTTTCTGCCTGTTGGACCTCTTTGCCATCGGCTTCTTCGTCACTTTCATCGAGGGCGTCAACGGTTTTGCCTCCTCCGCCATCCGCAGCATGGCCCCAGCGATTTGCGAGGTGGCCAAGGAGGCTGTTGGAGAGGATTGCTTGAGCATGCAGATCAACATTGTTCCTCTGGGCGCCATTGGCTTGCTGTTGGCAGCGGGTGCTTGGAATGTCCTCGTGGGTGTCCAGGTCCTCGGGATCGGCCAGGGCAAGCCCGCCGTAGCGGAAGCTCCACTATTGGAAGTCGAAGTAGGGCCAAGGCCAGTGCAAAACGGGAGTGCTCCTTCAACGTTTCAGGAGTGCAGAGACCCTGTTCAACCTACAGCATGAGGGATCTTTGCCATTGTGCATAGCAGTCAGCCATGAACTAAGCCACTACGGCTTGCGAGGCCCTAGCATCGTCTGTTCGACCTTGTGAGGGCTGGGACAATCCCAGCCCGCAGTGACCATAATAAGCCTGCATCTGACAGTGATTGATGTTCAAGAGGGAAAGCTTGCTTTAGCCAACTTTAGCCAATCCTGGGAGATGAGCGCAACTGGCTCCAGGGCAGGCATGGTGAATGGTGATGCCACCCAAGGGGGGTGCATCATGCGTCTCACGACAAGCGGCAAGCGGATATAGCAAATATTTCAACAGTAAAGTGATGCCCTTGGCCAGTCACCGTGGCAGCTTGTGCGGCGATGAGGGACAGGGCTGGCTTTGCATGTCCCTTGCGTTAGATTATTCTGCTACACATGGCCGCGATTATGCTTCAAAAGACTTTCGGTGCTTCGCGCTGCGATTCGGACCTGTGGACTGCTGCGCCGCTAATCGGCTGACAGAACCTGCGAACAGGCAGGCTGGCTCGGATGGCGGATCAACTGTCGACCGCAGGAGACTTGTGGGCTGTACTTGGGTACTTCCAGCGGCCCATGCAGTTTCTTTTTCTTCCCAAACGCGGCTTGATTGTTCATCCCCCTCCAGTCCCCCTGAATCCATGCCGGGTGCACTTTGACCAGCAAGGTGCTTTTGCTTGCTATGCCAGTGTAAATGCGAGCTACAAGATGGCACGTGCGCTAACTTTCACTGGGGCATTACCTTCGAAGGAAGCTGGACCCCTTGAAGGAGGTGGGGGGTCTCGTTTGGGCATCCCACTGTCAAGGGATGCTGCCGATTCCGTTCTTTCCCTGCGGTGGCTGCCAGACTTGATTTTGTTGGGGCATCCGTTGTCCGTTGAAGATGATTGGCGCGCTGCAAGCAGTAAATCAGTAAGGAGCTAAAGTTCATCACCCTTCCAGGCCTGGTCTGCAGACCCTCAGAGGCAGCGCTTTGCCCGCGAATTGAAGTACGCAGGGGTCCAAGTTGGCCCAGACCACAGGATGCTGATCATGAGTTATGTGTACATATACATATACATATACACAGACAAAGCTGAAGAAACAACCTCTTGATGCGCTTCCAACTTGAGAATGTGCCCAGATTGACACGACGGTGACGTACTTCCATGCATTGGCGAACACAATGCAAGGAGCCCAGCTTTTCACAAGGAACGCCTCGCCCGATTGGATTCTGATCTCAACATGTCTCGGTGAAGTGCATCATCGTGATGCTTGTGTCAGGGTGTCGTTTGGAAAGGTGAGGACGCGTTCCTTATAACGCTTGGAGGCTAAACAGTAGAAAGTTGGTTTTCTTTTGAATAGTCGCCACGGCGGTGCCTCGGCCAAAAGTCCCCTGGCCGCACTGCAGCTGCTCAAAGTAAGCAGGCACACATGAAGCAATGGCCAAAGCCAAACATCACATCACACAGCATGGATTCACTGTCAAGGGCTGGTGTCGAGGGCGCATGTACCCGCGGCCATGTCTTAAGACTGATGGCTTGCATGCGCGCGATGCTTGTCCTCATGGGTGCAGTGCAGTGCCCTGGCTGCATGCTTACAGGCAATGCCCGCCTGCACAACAAATCAGTACTCAGACTCACACCGTGAGTTAGCTTTTTTTGACGCAAGGGCGGGCCCCTACATGTTGTGTGCATCATCTTAGGTCGGCCATCGAACTGCCCAAGGACCCAGTTGCTTGGTCGCAGCACCTGAGTCGCCCTACAGGAATGCAGAACTCATCGCTCCAAGGCTGGCTTCCAGAAAGCCCTGGACGAGATGGACCCGGCCCAGTGCCTTCAGTGACAACGTGGTACGTGTGTCCAAAGGGGCCTATTTTCTTCACTGCAGGAACTCCGGATTATTACGAAATGACACAACTGAATGGCATTATTTCATGAGTCTGCCATAAGAATAGTATATTACATGCCAAATATACTGTTACATGAGCATGTCATGATGCCAGTATATGCTTGCATCTCCACGGTGTATTATCAGAAAAGGCGCCACGCAGCCCTGGAGCGCATGGGGCTCAGCGCTGGCCTGCGGCCTCCGCCGCGGCCCCTCAAAACCTCCGAGGCCCGGAAGCTGATGCCGCGCGGCAGAAAGGAAGGTTGTTTTTTTTAAAGAGTTAGTTGTAATATATGAATGTATACACATATACAAGTGTAATAGTATATTATACAAAATTTGTGGGAAATATCGTCACGTAGGTTGTCGTTGCAGATGCCAGACTTTTAAGTGGAGATGTCCGGAGGGTATTCGTAGTGGTAGACAGAGTATACCTCGTGTAGTAGCACATCTTGCCGAATCCGAAGCCCAGACCGAACACCACCGTTTTTTGGGTCGGTTTTCTGAGAGCGGAGGAGGAGCATCTTGCAAACTCTGCGGCTGATCTCTGCGGAGCTGAGCGAAGCTTGGGAGCTGCATGCGGCCAGGACTCATGGACAGACTTGGGCAATCATATCTCACATGACACATGATTTAACACATACCATGCTACACAGTAGGGTGGGATTCTATGTTGTTCTATTCCCATCTTCATGATTGCTGCTAGCTTTGTGCCGTTACAGTTGCCTGCCACTGTTCTTTCCATGTCAATCCGCGCAACTTTCTCACGGATGAGTCGGGCTTGGAAGATCTTGGAAGTGACACAGTGAGCATGCCTGTTCACCGGATTGTCAAGTGGTGGGGGCTCCCAGTAAAAAGAATGGGCAGCGAAGGAGCTACGAGGAAAGACTCAAAGAGACTTGGTAGCAATGCTTGTTGATGTTGGTTTTTGGTTGGGTGAACCTTACGTTGCAGCGTGGCCACATGACACTCTCGTTGTGTTCCAAACCAATGCACGGTCATGGCCATTTCCCATGGCAGTTCGGGAACAGCTTGGCTCGGGCAGTTTTTCGGGCTGGTCGCTCGGGAGTCGCCGGTTCTTGCGTACACGTGTTTACCAGTAGGAGAGTCGTTCCAGTAATCAATTTAACCGTTCCAGTCGTCGGAATACAAAACCTTACTAAGCGAAGCGAAAGGTTGCTCGAAATGCCGGGGCAGCAACAGCTGTGCGCTTGCTGCTCGTGTGCGTGATCAAGCGAGTTTGTTCAAGCGTATGCTTTTTTGTGAGCTTCCAGAGGCTCGCTGGAGTTGCGGCAGCGCTTGCCATGCAGCTTTCATCCTGGCCTTATTGGGTCTGCTGAGGCCACCGTGCCCTACCTTGAGGACTTGCTGAGCTTCTCTCCTCAATAGAGGTATGATGCGTCTCCGAGCGGGCAACGAACCGCGACCGCAAGTTTGCAAGCTTCTCTGAAGTTCTGCAAGGTCCCACTATGCAGCAGTTTGGGTTTTCCACCGGGTGGTCAGGCTCGTTTGGTGAGGCACGAGCACATCCCTGAGTTTGGAGCAGCTGTCCCAACATTTTCATGGCCATTTTCATGGCTGCGAACGTTTCGTCTAAACAGTGCTGGCATGCTTCGGTCCCATCAGGTGGTCCGCGCCGTCTCTGCCGTGAGCAACCGCAGCTTGTCTGGATGGCGTGGGCGCTTGGGAAGTGCGAGTCTGGAAAGAGTCTGCGCCTTCTCTATACCTGACGACTTCCTTCAAACGGCCAAGGAACCGGATGCCCCAAGATCGCTGCGATGCTACCCAGCAGCCTTCGGCAAATCTAATTCAAACTTAGTGTACTTTCTTTAACACCTCATATGAAGAAAACCGTGACACGTGTGGGGACGTCTTGAGGCTCGTATTGCTTGGCAACAGAAGCAAGAGCTTTGCAACAGGATTTAGGAGTGCTTAAGAATGTCGCTTGGCGTTTTTGAGCGCAATTGAAGAGGGGAGGGGGCTGCATGACAGGGGACAGCACCGTGCCCACGGCAAAACCTGCAGGCTGGATGAGATGGACTCGCTGCTAACAGGGCAGCGACACGATCGGTTTGGTCAGGCTGAGTTGTGAAAAAGTTTGATCAGAAGCAGTACCTCACGGCTGCATCCAATGTTGAGGGCGGCTGCTCCGGGCATTGCCCACCCCCCAATTTCATACATGAGGAGAGTCCTTAGACAGTTGCAGTGCCCTGAGTTAGCCGACAAGGCTTGATGGTAAGAATGGCACCAACCATGAACATTATCGAGATGTGAACTGCCTTACAGCAGCTGTGATGTCGCCATGCTTAGGCCTGAAATGCAAGTGGGGCCCTCAGAAAGTCCTGGAGAACGCTTCGGGAATGCTTTTCTTGTTTGCCCAAGCGGCCGCGACCCACCAAAAACACACGACTGGTTCACTGGTTGTGGTGTTCTGTGTCGTCCTTGATCGTTCGCTCTCATCTGAGCCTTTGAGAAAATTCGAGACGAGCCTTCACGCTATTATGGCACGCAGCGACTGGTCTTGAGAGTCTTGTGGTCCTTCCAGGGTCTCGCAGATCAGTGGCTCTCCTTGGCAACCGCAGAGTGCCAGAACGTAGACTGTTGCATCAAGGAAAAGGAGGTGGACTTTGGCATGCGGTTGAAGGGCAAGGCCACAGGGACACAGGGCAGCAGCCCCAGTAAGTTTGGTTGAGTTCGGGACTGGGTGTTGAGTCAGAGCCTCTAGGTGCCTTCCAGACACACTCTTAGGTGAGAGCAGGGACGTGCAAAGAACCCTGCGCTCCGCAGCACACTTTGGGCCAAACTTGGAGACCCTTGTGTCATGAGACAAGCACCATACTTCTCAGGATCTTATCATGCAGTAGACTAGGTATATGTATATCTATATAATGAAAAGCGAGTCTATGATACCCAGACCACCTGCTCCGGCAGTTTCAGTTACAGACAGATAGTTGCAGCATAGGCAGCGTACTCCCACCCAGACCTGTTACCCTCACAAGGTCCCCGTAAATTGTCTTATCCATCAGAGCCGCAGCAATGACGATGCGGATGCGATCATAGCTGGTCCAGTGAGTTTGCCCCTTAGAGGGGGCAGAGGCATGACACGGGAATGGGCATGCAACCATGCCGATCCACATAGTGCTCAGAGGCAATGATCCGCCCCGACACACTCATTGCCTTGGCAGCCCTTCATCCAGATCCTTCGAGCCAAACACTTCAGGCAAACAGGAAAAGTCTTCACATTGGGAGTCTGCAAATCACCTTGGCCGCTGTACTCCGAGTTGTGCCAGAAAGTTGCTTGCTTCCTGAAAGGCATTGAGCGTCTCCTCGCTTTACGGCGCCGCCGGAGTCTTGAACTGGCAATTCGTGGCGCGTACTTGCCTAGCACGTGGACTTGCCAAGGCCGACGGCTTTACTGAAGAGGAGCAGCAGGCTGTCAAGGACTTCAGGCGCTTCCAATGAAATGCTGCTTGCACGTGAGAAGCAACACGCCTTCGAGTGTCTGTTGCTATGCAGGGCCGCAGCACGTAGCTGCTATGCCAAACTGGGTCAGCTTCTCGGTGTTTTCAGCGACGTTCTTCAAAGCATCCCCAATGAATGTACAGGTAAAAAGGCTCGGAGCCTGCTGGTGGATGTTGGGGAGCCTGTGCTGCAACGCGAAGTCCGAAGGGGCACAGCTCATACTCCGAAGCCTCTTGCAGCCACGGGCTTCGCATCGGCAGTTCGGAGAGCAGCAAGTAAGGATCAAGTGTTTGCTTCGTCGAATGACCGAGACGAAGAGAAGCAGCATGAGGAGGCAGCACCCACTTGCTGCCACTAGGCCGGCTGCCATGCAAGATGATGATGATCTTGTTCAGCTGCAGGAGGTGGAAGCCATGAACTCTTTTTGGGAAAGTGCCACGAAAGCTTCAGTCAGCCGCTTCGCAGAATTGGCAGCGTACTTGTGGTAATGAAGGCAGCTTCAGGCATTTGGAGCTTGGGGAGTCCGGGAGTCGTAGGAACATGCAGAGCAAAAGCAAGCAAGGCTGGAAAGGATCCGAAACGAGCTTGTAAGGATGCCGGGTTTTTGTCAAGGGTGTCAAGAGCTCTCCAGGTTTAGCCGCCTTTTGCCGACCACGAAAGGACATCTAAGGACGGAGAACGTAGAGGTCCAAGCTTAAGGCTCTCAAGGGGCCAAGAATACTTTAAGGAATCAGCTCAGGAAAGTGGACCTCCGATGTCTCCATGTTCAAACATACGCAGTGTTCTGGGCTGTTGCAAGGTGCGGATTCTTTAGAGGGTGCCTTCAACCTCAAAGCAGGCCAGGCGCGGATTGCGACAGGCCCAGCACATGCTTTCTATCTTTGTACTTCCACGTGCTCGGCAGGCACTTGGCTTGGAAACGGCAAGTGGGGCTGGGTCATGATGGCGCCGCGCAAGGGATCGGACAAGCAGGCGTATACATTAGCAACACGCGTTGAAAATTGTCCGGTTCAGCCAAGCGGGGCTCAGAGTTGCTGCAACAGGCGGTATTGAAACTCAGCGACGTCCATCATGCAGATGTCACGGCCAAAGAGTGGGTCTACGGCAGCAAGAACCCTGCCTGCATTTGCACACTGAGGGTTCAGGAGGCTGCACATGATCTGCACGGATGCTGTGCTCAGCCCATCTGACTCTTCAGGATGGGCAAGGGCCACAACAACATAGCCATGGCCCCGATCAGTTGTGCGAGGTCGGAAGAATTGTACTGCGAATGCTCGTGAAATACTAAGGTCAGCTACGAGGATGTTTTCCTCTACAGCGACGACAACGGGGTTATGAAGAAGTGCCTGCTCGATGGATACGCAGCAGGAGGGTGCTTGGAACCCGCTTTCAGTTCTACAGAGCATTCGGAATTGTTGCCGAGGTTAGGTCCACCCGCAGATATAAACTCCATGAGCGAGTGGTCCAATTCACGTTGCAATGTTGGACCGGCCAGGAAAACTGAAATCAGACATCCAGCGGAAGAGCTTCCCCACACACTACGTGCAACCCGGATAAATTCATCTTGAGGGCCAAGCCATTGCTGTCAAGTGTTCTGACGTAAAGGTCAAGCTGGCTTCGTCGGCTGCACGACACGTAGGACGTAGATGTGCTTTGAAGCCAATGGCGGCGGTTAGGTGCATGACCATCGAGAAGATGAACTGTGGAAGTGTGCAACACTGGCTGGACAAAGAGATGCTGAGCCCGGAAGGGAGCCCTTGGCAGCCTACTTCACAGTCAAACGGTTCTACGATCGGCATCAGCATTGTTTGAAATGTCTGGCTGTCGGCCACCGACCCTGTTCCACCCGAGGATGATTGTCATCCTGCAAGAAGTTGCAGCAGCCCTGGCCTACATGCACGAGAATGGCATCACCCACAATGACATGAAGTTGCGGCCTTAGCAACAGCAATCCACATAAGAGCTCGGTTGTCCGGACTTTTGCTGCGTGCTTGCCGGACGTCGAGGCCGGAGAACATCTTCTTGCACAGCAAGGGCCGTGGGGAGCTCAGACATCAAGTGCTCCCATGAAGGAGCCATCAACAAGCTCCAACCTTCCTTCGCTTCAAGATACTTTAAGCTGAGCTCGGAACCCTAAGCAAGATTCGGACAGGTCCTGTTGATCTCGATACATGTCGCAAAGGCTACATCAACTCCAAGCTCGGGGACTTGGGCCTAGCGCAGAAGTCCAAGAAGACCTCCAGCGACGTCACGCGACGCTTCGGCTTGGCTTTCCCGTCTCGAAAGGGGGTCCCACTTTATACAGAAGGCCTTTGATTTTTAAAGGGTATTGGGCTGAGAAAAGAGGGTCTCCTGGCCGTCGCTCGACTATCCCAGCTCGCTGAATCGCTTAGGATATGGAATGACGGGATTCTCCATGGCCACAGGCAAGCAGCGGGGCAAAGGTCTCTTGTAAACTTGTGCTCAGTGCAAGGGGCAACCGGCTGGGGGCTGCGGTTTCGCGGTTGCGAAAGCCGTGCTTGAAGTGGCCAAGTCGGTCAACCTTGACCATTGGTTCGGCGACGTGTGATGTAGGTGAACACTACGGCACGCGCCACTTCGCGAAGGAGCTGCTGCCTTCATCACCTATATTGCTACATGGGTTGCAGTCACTGTGCAGAGTCGCAATCAAGTTGAAGTCTCCACGGGATGTCGAGATGGCAGCAGAAGAGCTGCACGGAAGTGCAAGGACAAAATCTCCACCTTCGTGTCAGAGGTTGACGCCTGCGCAGCTCGGCATCCTGCAATCCTGGGTTTCAGCTTCAGTATTCCCCACACGCCATGAGTAGGACCTCCAGTCTTCGTTTCTTTGCCCAGGAAGCCTTGTGCTTTCGACACCCGTAAGGTCAGCGGATGTGGTCTCACTGGGAAACTCGGGGATGCTCTCCAGGCGTCCTGACATGATCCCGACAGGAAAATGCACAGAAGTCTTTTTGTGCCGTTCCCTGAAATCAAGTCGTTTCATGAATTGAAATGCTGCCGTATCTTCCTGCAGTTTCACAGCACCTTCTGCTGAAGAGTTGCCACACGAACCACTTGTTGAATCAACACCCGAGTCTGGCCGCTTGCTTGCTCAGGATTTGCCAAGAATCCTGGACCAGGCCCAGCCCCAAGTTCCGAATGTGAGCAGGATGCAAGAGCAGTCTAAGAATCATCGGCACGGGAAGTCACATTGAGCTCACCCTCGGAAGGTACTTTCCGAAAAGGTGGCTTGCCAAAACTTGCGGCAGGATGAAGGACGGGTTAGGACCGGTTTTTGGTTGCAATAAGTTTCAGGCATTAGCAGTTCAAGAGAGCAGAGTAGCACTCCGAAAAACCGAGACCCCACCCCCCCACTCACCCGAAGGCTTTTGTTCACACCTATTCTGGCGCTGGAAGACAGCGATCATATGTGTTGCCATGCCAGTACCCAGGTGACCATGAAGCAGGTCCGTGATTGGCGGTCGCTGCAAGGCTTTGAGTTTCTGGACGACGGCGCCGCATCCGGCTTCTCGGTTAGAATTACGTTGAGTAGGGTGATTGTAAAGCGGTTTCTGCTTCTGCCTGCTTCTGAATCGGCTGTTGTTTAGTGCCATGGACTGATACAGCTTGCAACACATCAGGCGTTTCACAGTGCTACAGCAATCTGTTGACAGGCATCAAGCGATCGTCTTCAGAGACTTTCAGCAGCTTCAAGGTTCCAGAGGACAGATCCATGCGGAAACCTCTTGGCCAACCGAGTCATGCAAATTGTGAATGTCGGTGTGCTAGGAGAAACCCACGCCGACTACGCCTTCCAGCGGCTATCCTTCCGGCGGCTATGGTAGTCGGGCCGCGGAGAGGAGGCTTGTTGTTGCGAGTACCGCAGAGCCACAAAGTCTCACTCTAGCGTCGCAGACCCTCTGGGAATTGAGGTAAGGGTTGGAGGGTTTCTGCACGAAGCGACCATCTTCATGTCGATTCATGTCGCACTCATGTACCCGAGCTCCGTAAATAAGAGGAACTTCTTCAGAACTGATGGCGGCATGTGGAGGGGAACGTTTTCAGGAAGCCACAGCTGTGTACGATCGTGGAAGCGTTAGTGTACAATGCCGTTCTTAGCTACTTGAAACCATCTTCGATTAAATGCCACATGTCCACCATGCTGCCATCCGAAGGACTTCCGTGGAGAAGTCCAGGTCTGCCCCGGGCTCAGAGACAAGTTTTAGGTCGTAGCAGCATGGCAGTGACCTTGACACTTGTTGGTTCGCGTAGAACGGAACATCCCCGAGTCTGTGGATCTCACGGCGAGAACGCGCAAGAAGATCGACACAGACTGGCTGCTGGGATTCACTTGGACAGGCAATGAGATGCAACTTCGATTGAGGAGAGAGAGTTGCCATGGCATGTAAATCATTCAGCATTCAGAGAGCGCCGCAACACATACAAGTTTGGAGGATGGACTTTTGCTTCTCACCCTCTGGCATTCTCCAACCAACATTTGCATGAAGCATCTGCAGTACAGGCTGCAAGTGAGCTATCATCTGACAATAATTCGGAACAGCCGTCCTCCATTTCTCAAGGTCTCGCGAGCCATTCAATGGCCTCAACAACAAAGAGTCCCCGACGCGACGCGCGATGCGACGGAGCAGCAGATGGGACGAGGAACCCCATGCCTGTACCGGCTAGACTCTTAGACCGCACGGCACATGCTTGAGTCCGAGCATGTGGTGGTGTAACGTTGCAGGATTGAAGCGGGAAATCTTGGCCATTCCAGAGTTGCTGACTTGCTGACCTCAGTTGACCGGGCCCGCTATGTTAGTGCCAAGATTAAACTGCACAGTTTTCGCGGCGTCATGCGCCTGGACCTCTGGATGTTGAAGAGGCTCTCGGCTGAAGGCTGAGCTGCCTAGTCAATTCAGACAGTCCTATCGTTTACCCAGGAGGTTGAAAAGATCTAGGTATCGGATCTTTTTTTTCAGCTGGCGTCTCTGATCAACACAGGAAATGTCTTCTGCAGACTTGAAGAGCGTAGGTCCTATCAAGAGCCATTGCCCTGTGCATGATTGCTAGTTTGATCATTGTAGACCTGAATCGGAGACCCTGGCTGCGGCGTGATCCTATTGAAAGTATGGCTGCGGAGATCTCAAAGCTCTCCTGCTCAAGAGGACGGCACCAGTAGGCTTTGCCCAAAGTGTGGCATGTTCGGGGGCGCATGAAGCGCCAGCATGGGGGCTTCAGATTCCTTCGACATGCTCCCGGCAAAACATGGCGGAACTTCTCGGCATGGCCATTCTCATTTGCAATTGATCTCTGTCCAGATGTTTGGTGAGTTTGGTAGAGTCCTCCACATCCAGGCAACTTGGACACGAGCAAAGGCCAGGGCGAGGGCTTTACAATAACTGCTTTGGTTGGAAGGCCGAAACCGTTTAGCCTAGGCATGACACGGCCACTTTCTCCGCGAGAGGGTATGTGCATGGGATTCGCCTCCGCATTTGCCAACAAAAATGCCTCGCCAGGTTCCAAGGCTGCCATTGATGATGGCCAACAGGTGGCAAAATGGAAGGTCCGTCTTCAGATCATGGGAGAGCCACAGCCGAAGAGAGCCTCAGCATGTTTAGATTCGCACAGACTCAGCTTGTCAAAACGTGCAGCCTCAACTTGTTTCAGTTCTCAAAACCCTCTCATCAGTGTCACAAACCACCATGCCATCTTGAGACTTACAACTGCCGTGCACTGCCCGGTGCACTGCCCGGTGCTCTGCCGGCAGGCCCGTGTGTTGAAGGTTCTGGTGCGGCCAGCGCCCCAACTCGTGATCACGGGCAATCCTTTCATCTCATTAAACTTTTGAATATTTCTGTGATGTATGCATACATGCACAAAAGGCATCCAATCTCGCTGTGAATGAGGCTTTGGCTTTACTGCTTCCTTCGAAACCACACGAACGAGAATTTCTTCTACACGCTGGGTACCCAGCGCCCCTGTCCTTGCTGCGTTTTCCGGCGTGGCTTCTGCTGCATGCAGAGGCGTGGCTACATGGACATCATTGACGACATGAACGGGCCCGCAGCCTTTGACCTTTAACAGCGAAAGCAAGCATGTGTGCAGAAGAAAAGCTGCACGGCGTCACTCTTGAATCTCGAGGTGGAGTCCGTTAATACCCCTCCCAGCTTCCCGAACCTCGACGTTCACAGTGATTCTTAAGTCCTGGTTTTGTCAGGCGGGGCTTAGGAGCCTCCGATGTATTCGTGGCGTTGCTGAGTCGGAAGCCTGGAACTGGTCAATAATCGAGAGCCGCTGCAAAAGAAGGGGGCTCGGACTCGGAAGGTCAGAACCGCGATTTGGTCCGCAAGGTCAAGCCCGAGACAGTTACAAGGCACCAGCCAAGCAGACGCTCGCAAGTAGTATGAACAGCAGATGTTTTTTTGCGTTTCGCGCTGCACAAGGTCCCTTCTGCAACATGTCAGCACGATGCGCGACTCAGGTTCCTGAAGTTCATTCGAATTCTCGGACCTTTGGACACCTGGTTGCACTTCCTCAAGGCACGGTCCTAAGCCAGAGCTGAGCTCCTCGGAGATGGTCACTTGTTCGAATCGAGCTCTCCGAATGTCAGAGGTAGGACTCACAGGGAGGAGCTGGCACAAAAAGCTTCGGTGAGGCATTCCAGGTGTCATTGCGGAAAGATGCCAGCACTCGGCATCATAAGTGTTTAATTGACGCCCGGGGTCGAACAGGCCTTACGAAAACTATCAAAACTACGCGCGTTGCCATGCTTCTAACTACGTAGACCGTGAGCTTCAAGCCCATGTAGGGCATAGGAGCTTGCTTCCGCAGGCACTGTGCGATCCACAGAATGGCGGAGCATTGAGTGACAAGCAGCAGCTGGTCCTCTCCAAGATTGCCTTCCCAGGCTTGAATCGCATGCAGCAGCAGCAACAGGAGACTTCGTCTATCCCGTCTGCTCGTGAATTGCTTTTCAGGCTTGCTTGCTCCTCATCAAGAGAAGGTTGCCGTAAAACAGAACCGCGAGGACCCGATGGCCCGACTCCCATGGTTCCAAGCCTATACATGCTATACATCTGCTCCGGTTGAAGAGTTGAAGTGCAGGAGCTCATGATTGCCCTGGCCCTCGAAGGGATGCCGCCTCGGCTGCTTCAGGGACATCTGCAGCCGGGCTTGGGCCGATGTTTGTGGCATTTCGTGTGCATGAGGCCAATTGGCAAGCCGCTGGCCAGGCCTGGCAAAGCCGGCAAAGTGGATCCCAAGGCCCTCAAAGCCAGCCTGTAGATATCTCTGATGACCACGTCGCCGTAGCTGCAAGTGTGTCAGTCACAGGAATGCTTGGGTGCACCGCTGCTGACCCATGGAGCCTGGGCGTCAGCTGGCGTAGGGGCTTGGAGTACGTTCTCGCCCGCTGCAATGCTGAGATTCATGATGTTGCCATCTCGTGGGCGCACCCATCTGCGTGGGAAGTGGGCAAGGCAGGACACATGTAGCATGTTTCCAGAGAATTTCGGTGGATGCCTGATGATATTATCCTCAATGCCAGTAGAGCTGATACAGAGAATTGGCAACCACCCGATCTTCCGACCCTTACCCAAGTCTTGTCCACTTGCAGGTTCTGTATCATGGGCCTGAGCAGCTAAACCTACCAATCCTACGCACCAATGGTCCCAGCCTCATCGACCATGTGCTGTAGTCCACATGCACTGACCAGATCTTTGACCTCTGGCCCTCTCGAGGAGGTCGAAAGTGGGTCTCCTTAGCACAGATCGTTGGGGCCCGAGTCGGGACCAGGGTTGCCAGGTCACCGTCAGATGTTCTTGTCTTGGAGCAGCTGATGGATAACCAGCATAGCCTCCGAGGCATGGGTTCTTCAGCCCAAAGATCTCTGTCAGGCAAGGTTCCTGGCAGGTTCAAACGAAGAGACTATGCCGAGACTGGCCCAGGAAGTAACCGGCCAAAGCTGGGCGACCGTCTTGCAGACGGAGGCAATTCGGGCACGGAGGAGAGGAAGATACCAGACAAGCCTCCGTGGCAGGAGAAAGCAGTGAGCAGCGCGAAGGTCTTGGAAGTTGATTCAGCGACATCGAAATGCGCCAAGGACTCGTGCACATGGCAACTGCGTGCTATCTTGTCTGAGGATTGGCAACATGCAGCCGTCATGGGCAAGCCGCACAAGTCAAGGTGCACATTTGAAATCGAATATGGCTTGCTCATGGTTAATCGGTATTTTATAGAAAACCACAGAGACGAGAGCGGCCGCCGTGCGCCAGGGATGCGGGAAATCCTTTCGATGTCTCGCGAATTGACCTGCTCCGGCTGCTGGCCCGCTACTTCCAGGCGAGGGGTGTCGAGGACAGGTGAAGCTGAGAGCAGGCCAGGGGTGCAGCCTTTGAATTTGAGAAGGCCCAGCTGCAGTTGGTGGCTTCCTTGGCCAAGGCCTGGCTTCTCTTGTCTGTTTTGAATGATTTGCCCCTGCCACTCCACATGTCACCCCTCAGTTGACATGCAGTCGTGCCACCCCAAAAACTCTGACAACTTGCCTTTAAACAGGACCCTTCCAGAAACCGACTCATGCCCCAAAAATAGACGCTGGTGGACCCTGTATTGGTGCATCACTGTGTCTTGGAAAGACGTGCCCCCAGCAAAGAAAAAAACCATCCGTTGTGCTGGCTATCCATGCTGCTTTCGCAACGCAGGACCGGCAGATGAACAGCGTGATGGCACGAAGCCCACAATGGGAATACCATCAGCTGTTTTCAACAGCTCCTGCCTGCTTAGCTCTTGCACCCTGTCTTCGCATGCCTCCCAGGCGTTGCAGGAAGAATATTCCTACCAAACATGTCTCAGTGGGGCCGCCGACTCTAGATTGCCAAGTGCTCAGAGCTGCTCGACAGAGACTTGCAGGTTGTCGTTTCCAATTGGTGATATCATTGATATCCTCTTCCTCTCTCAGGCCAGCCAGTATTCGCGCAAGCTTTTACGACCTGTTGATGGCCCTATGGGTGGACCGGCACCCGCATTACCAGGCACTGTGTAAGCCGTTGCTGCTCGTAGTTGCTTTTGGCCCATGCAAGCAGTGACTATGTGGCGTCAGCTGATTGCTTGCCAAGAGGGCCAGACCCAATATGTTGCAGGTCAGGTGCAGCTGACCCTGTGCATAGGAAAACTCATTGCGCGTGCTGTGATTGAGTGCGGGCAGGTGGTAGTGTCGCTGACTCAGAGCTGAGGACGACCGTGATCACTGGTGTTTGTCCGATTCGGGGGGCATTCGCAGCAAGACGAGTCCATGGGCTAAGGCCTCGCCTTATGCGCTCTGCTCGTCCTGGCCAGGCGCGCATCGTGCAATACACTATATTTTGCGAACTTCAATATCTTCAGTGGCTGCTGTTTTGGCTTGTGGTAATGGTGACAGGCAGTCCTGACCTTGCCGGTCTTTCGGCTGTCCAAGGACTTCCAAGATGAAGCCTGCACGAGCTCAAGCAATGAGCTTCTAAGCAACTCTCATGAGTGTCCTGAATCGCGATCACTTGGCGTCGACTCAGGCTCAAGACTGCGTAGTAGTCTTGGGGCCCTAAATAGCCTGTGGTCTGCCATAGTTTTCAATTACTTTCCATGTGAACCGCTTGCTGAGCGGCCCAGCTGCGCAGCAGTGGTGGTCTAACAATGCATTCCGGGTCGCTGTGGCTATTCGGGCTTCTAATGCCAGTGCTGAGCACCGCCGAGCGACGGGGCCCCAGATCTGTGTGAAAGCCGCCAAAGCGTGCAATTGAAGACCTCCACTGTTCTGAGGAGTCCCCTCGCTGGATCAGCTGAGCAAGGTAGAGCCGGAGACCCGCCAAGAGGTCACCGCACTGAGGCCGCCACAGCATTTTGCTTGCCCACACTGCTCGGCTGCATGTCTGTGGTTCCTAGGGTCCTTGTACAGTCGACTAAAGCACAAGGAGTCCACAGGAGGAGTCATCAAGCAGCAGCTTCTTGAGTCGCCGAGCCCCAAGCTGTCTCGGATTGTCTTACCTCTTGGATGCATGACAAACCAACCGCCGAGGTCATTCACGGAGTGACAAATCCCTTCACGCGTCGGATGCAGCGGACTTGGGCGCGTCTTTTTGTGTGCGGTGGCTGGATTCGTTTGCACGACCTTGCATACCCAGCTGTGCAGACTGCTTGGCATGTCTTTGTCTAAGGATCGACAGGAACAAGATGGTGATTTTCAACAGCTCCCGTCCACATGCACAGGTGGAGTTCTCCGGCTTGCCGGCAAGTACAAGGTGCCTACTGAGTCAGCCCTCGGGTTCCTTGGAAGGGTTCTGGGACATCACGATATGCGCTGGCAGGTCACAAGAGAAGTCAAGTTTGATGAGGATTGCGATGTTCAGGGCGACAGTCCAGGCCTCTGCCATCGAGGACTTCTGTGGAGTGAGATGGGTCGTGAATGTAGTTGCTCTTCTTACGGCCCAACTGTATGGCACCCTGCACCGACTTCTTGCACCTAAGGTGCAGAGCTGCAGCTGCTCCGGCGGACGTTCTTCAAGGGAAACCTGCGCTTTTCTGGGGCTCTCACCATCTCGAGCGCGAGATCTTTCCTTGGCGCCTGCGTGACAGTGGGTGGCAACTGCACTGTTGACAAGAGCGCCAAATTGGTCATCGAGGGCTGCCACAATGAAGACAGTACAGTCGCCACGGACTCCGACTCGCCAAAAAAGAAGCGGGCTTTTAACAGGAAGAAAAGCAGACGCACCAAGCCAAACAAGGAGAATGGAGGTGGTCTCAACGTCTTGGGAGCCCTACAGGTTTTGGGGAACCTGAGCTTCCGCAACTGTCACACGACAAGTGTCGGAGGTGCGGCCTATGTTGGAGGTGTCTCGGCTGCTCTGATCTATACAGACTCGACATACACTCTGTCACCAAGCTTTTTTGAACGCCTTACTCTCTGAAGGCCCCATTCTGCAGCAGGCCGGAGTGCTGGCAGTGGCGAATTGCTCGGCTCGATCGCTTGGAGGCCGGACATGGACGCATGATGCTGAATGCGACAGTGCCTTGCAACGTGATGTGTGATTTCCTGGCCCACCCCACCACCAATGGATGCAAGGGCTGAGGGGCAATCTCTCCCGATGCTTCACCTGAGCATTCTGCCAGGTGCATTCTTTGCCCAAGACGGCTTTCACTTGTTTGGCGGAAGTGTACACATCTACAACGCCACAGCTGGAACCGGTGGAGGCCAGAAATGGTAAGTTGCTAAACGCAGCAACACTGCTTGTGCTTTGCTGTGCTATGCTGTGCTATGCTGTGCGAAGGTGCCATTTTTGTAAAGAAGCACTTCAGCCAGTCTGGCGGCACACTGCTTGTTCAAAAGAGTGGCCTCCTCATGTTCAAAGTCAAAGGCCAGGCAAACGCTGGTGCGGGAGGCCGGGTGTGATGTAGGTGTTGCAAGATTCCGGGAGCCCACTTAGGTATTCTACCAGCAAGCCAAGGATGTTGGGCGAGGACCCAAAACAATCGGGACATCCTGAATAAGCCCAGGAAGGTATTTATTTGTTGTACTGGAAGCGTGCCAATCGAACTGTTGATAACTCTGACAGATCAGGCGCCATTGCGGCCGGTGTCTATGACCAGAGGGAACCATCGATGTTCAATCAGTCCGGCGGCCTTGTGCAAATTGAGCACAGCTGGGTCTACCGCGGGGCGGGTGGAGGCGCGGTCGTTTCGAGGCAGTGGATATTCCGACATTGCACGGCATTGCCTCAGATCCGGCAGGTGCCATTTTCACACACGCCTTCTACAAGTCAGGCGGACATCTGGTGGCAAAGTTTGGTCAGTTGCTTTTTGCCGGCGAAAGTACGGTCCAGAACCTTCTTTGCTTCATTACATAAGCCACCCTGAGCAGCAAAGGAAGCCTGGTATTCAAGAACTGCTCAGCGTGGAAGGGCGACGGAGGCAAGCTATCCATTCCGGGGATCATTCCGTGGCGTATGTGCTGTGTGAGCAAAGAATGCAGCTTGCATTCAGACTTCAGATGCTTCTGGCGAAGTGTCAGGGGCCATTTATGTGAAGCACAGCTTCAACATGTGGGATGGTCGCCTCCACGCCGAAGATTGCACAGCAAAGGTGCATGGAGGTGCTGCTTTGTATCACTGTGAACCAGAATGTATATGGCAGTGTTCTGCTGTCTCTTGTGACCTTTTTTGTACCCTCTCATACGAAGCATGTGCATCCTCCAAGCTGCTTGTTCCTAGCCACAGCCTCCCACGAACCCATCCCATCCACGAGAGCGCAGGTGGCCTCAGCAGCCATGGCAACATCACAATTTGGGGAGGAGAGCTCAGCTTTGAGCGATGTGCCACGAAGAGACTGGGGGTCAATAAGTTCAAGACCCGAAACGGCGACGCTTTACAAGTCCAACCTGGCTGGAATTCGGGAGGCGGGGCCCCTCAATTGTGTGAATAGTGAATGGCTTATCGTGCCTGGTCAGACCGTTGAATGGAGGCAGTTTGCAACTTTCTACTTCGGTGAGAGGGTGTAATATGGTACGATAGAGTCGGTATATGTGCTGTTCGGTGCAAGAGTCCAAGAGTTTCACAGTTTCAGAGCTGACAAGCGAGGCGTTCTGCGCAGCTTTCTACTTAGAATGCATGGCCAGAAAGCGCACAAGGCAACATAGCTGGTGCAAATTCAGATGAAGTACAAGATCATCAGCATTGAGAAGCTATGAATGTAAAGTTCGGTGAACACGGCAGTTCCGCAATGCCACACTGGTTTTCATGGCGTGCATGCCTGCAGGTGCAATCCGGGTCAGGCAAAGCTTTACCCAGTCGGGCGGCACTGTTCAAATTGCAGGGTGTTCTTCAACGCGGCAAGGAGGCAGAGCTTCTTTAGCATCAGTTTCAGTTCTGCAGGCAGTGGCAGAGCTTCTTTAGCATCAGTTTCAGTTCTGCAGGCAGTTAGTTGCTGTGGGGCAGGCGCGCTCGCCGCAGACAACCCAAATGCAACCGTCACGCTTGCCGGCGGAAATCTGAGCATCAATGGGTGCGCGGCACCGACTGGAGGCACTTGCCTTGCGCAAACGGACTGAAAGCATCTTGATGCTGTCCATGCTCAATAGCAGTCCACCATCCATGCTTGTAAGGACGTTGCCTGAATTCGCCTCAGGGTCCTTAATCCCCGAAAGACCACCGCTTGGATGCTGTTACACTGCCGACATGTGCCTGGATAAGACTCAATGCCGAGCGCACTCTGAGGGCACCTCCCATGAACCACAGTGATGGACCCGGTTTGGTGAAGTGGAGGTTACGGATTTCGCAAGTGTCGTGTGTCGTAAGAATAGTTCGAGTGGCATGAATGCCTTGCTGGGCCTAAACTCTTTCCAGCGGCTCTCTTTAAAATCTCCGGCGCGTCTAAAGAGGGTCCAAATCAGCTTCGATTGTTCCGAGGGAGGGAGAAGAACACATTAAACGAGGTCCAACATTACCTCACTGAGGAAGGGTGCATGGAACCCTGTGAGCCCTTGTGAAGGCGGCATCTACGCCGAGCGATTCAGGCAGACTAGCGGCGTCTTGACCCTGCGAGATTGTTTCGGACAGAAAGGAGGTGCAGGTTTTGTGTGAAGAATGCAAGGTGGCTTGCGAGGGAAGCTTGAGCGACAAGAAATTGAAGTTTCCCACCCGATTGCAGGTGGCATCTACGTTGCTCGAGGAGTGCAGCAGCATTCTGGGGTCATGTCCTTGCAGGGTTGCACGGCTGAGCTGTTTGGTGGAGGGATTTTTGTCAACAGCGGTGGCTTCCACAGCCAAAGCTGGTTGAACATCCAGTCCTGCCTGGTTGTCAATGGGAATGGCGGTGGTCTCCATGTCAACGAAGGCAATTTTAGTAGCTCCGGACCAGCAACATTTACCGACTGTGCTGCTGATCATGGTGATGGCGGTGGTATCTATGTTCACGGCAACCTGACCATGACTGGGGCAGCTAGTTTTAAGGCCTGCAGCGCTGCATACAGTGGCAGCGTGGCAGCAAGTTGGGTAGTCAGGCATGTGTTCAATGATAGGCGGGGTTTTGTGTATATTTTGTAAATATTATAAAATAACCTTTAGAAGAAGGGAGAGGCTAATAATGCCGCAACTTTGACTCCTTGACCCATCTCCTGCAGCAGGTGGCGGCTGCTATGTCCGTGGCTCCGTGCAAATGGCCAACGGCACTTTTGAAAGATGCAGGGCGGTGGGAGGTGGCGGTCTGTGGGCCAACGGCAGCATCAATATTGCCTCGATCACTTACCTTGGCGAACCTCAGCCCCCTCGTGGTTCGGACAGCTTCGTCAAGAATCGCCAGAAGCAGCAGATGGTGTTTGGCTTCGTAAATTGCCCCCAGGGCTCAGGTCGCCGAGTCAGCACAAGGGAGATGGGCTGTTACGAATGCCCCCCAGGCCGCACACATCTTTCGGCCAATGGCAACGATCCCTGCGTGGATTGTCCGGAAGAGGCAACCCACAACTGTACTCCCACGCAGCTCACCCTACTGCCAGGGTTTATGGTTCCTTGTCTATTGCTGGTACGTTTCTGATGCTGTGGTGTCCGAATGCAATGCTGCCCATGCGTCTTGACATCGTCCTCCAAAATCATCCGAGGCCCAAATGGATGATCCGAATGATCTCTCACGCGTCTACCGCTGCCCAAATGAGAAGGCGTGTCCGGGTGGGATCATCGAAGCTGCCGAGTCGTTGGGCCAGCTGCCGAAGATCGTTCAGCCTATGTGCAAGCACGGTTTCGAAGGATTGGGGTGCCTTGACCAGCACAGGTGTTGCACATGAACCCATGCGGGCAAAATTGTTGTGCGAATCCGGATGCGGAGAGAAGTTCAGACTCGGGAGTGTGAGGTGCCTGCAGTGCAACGACTCCACGCATGCCAGATCGGACGGCAGTGTGTTGCAGTGTGTTGAATGCCCACACTCCTCACGCCAGGTGGCCTGAGTCAGTCAGTGGCGTTGCTTTGCGGGCTTTTTCATAGTATAAGTACACTCCCCCCCCCCCACTGACCAGAGAACTCCGCGGCAAAGCTCTGAACTTGGAAGCTTCAACCCATCGACAAGCCACTAACATTCAAAGTGAGCAGTGTCAACTGGAAGTCTGAAGCTGAACCTTGGGTTTAGGGCTTAAGGCAATGGAACCAGCTCCCGGGGGGAGCTGCCTTCGACATGCTGCAACAGGGGCAGCTTTGATAGTTCCGCAGCACTCTAAATTTCACACTGTTCCCAAGAACTTTGCTGAACAACGTGAGCAGAAGTCTGCGTTACGTGTGCATCATATCCGTGCATGCCCAACTTTACCCCAACATGCCCCTGACAGGTTGCCCTGCATGTGGCGTTCTACATGGGGAAGGACCGAACAAGCGTCGTCACGCATTTGCTTCATAGCTGCCTTGTTTTGGCAAGTTGTTTTCTGTGCAGAAGGACGCTTTGTTGTTTGCCTCTGCCGCCCTGAGCGTGCTGAATGTGCAGTCTTCGAAGCCCAGCAGTGGAGTCTTGATCAACCAGCTTATGGCCTTTGCTGCGGTGTCCGGTAGCATCATGCCACTCGGTGGGCACCTTTGCATTTTGTGGATAGAATTAAGGTGTTGGAGTGAGGGGTTTTGGGCCAGCAAACCCAGGTCCGGCGTGATGCAGACGCAATCGTTCCGAACCATGCAACAAGGGGCCCAAGAATGGTTGAGCGCCCTGGGCATGGCTGTTGACATGGCGGATGGAACGACCCTGGGCAAAGCTTGGTGCTGCAAGTCGGGGCGTGGCTCTCGCATCTTTACAGTTAGTTTTGGGGCCTGTCCTTGTTTGCAAGACTCAATAGACTTCACTATCAGAGAGTCCCTAGGAGTGGTTCTGCAACCATGTCTCTCGAGTGCATTGCCGGCCACTTTGGCTTCAGAAAGTCACTGCTCCACGCCCACGTGCTTTCTTCTTTAACGCCACTGGTCCTGATCGACGCTTGGCAAAGTCTTTTCAGGCGAAAGGCCGATAAAGATGAGTGAGGTGGGCCGAGCCGACAAAAGGCATTCCTGAGTATTGAGTGACGAGGTCTTCCTCTCCATCAGACGGGACCCATGGCTGGCGATGGTGGTTGGGACCAATGTCTTTCTGCCCGGCTTCGTGGCATTCTTCGGGAAGTACTTGGTGATGTTGAGGCTGCGTCCAGAGGGCCAATTTGGAGGGGCACCTTGGCGCAGCGTTTCAGATCAATACCTAGTATATTCAATACCTCCCTGATAAAGACGCGCCGTGTGATGTCTGGTGTGCAAAGGGGGTGTGGCCCAAGGAGCTTCGATATGAATTCCTGCCTCCAATTCTCCACCGCTCGGCAACTGAAGTCATTGCTGCTGTTCTTTTGGCGATCTCTGCCTGCTTCGCCCTTGCCATGTACGGCTGGGTGCATGCAGCAGCTTGGCAGATGTCTCCAACCTTCCGTCAGCGGTTGCACCTCGTGCTCGCCGCATCAGCTGTGAGGTACAGCGAGGGAAGGAAGAGCCCCCTGTCCACGTCGCATACCTCATGCTGCCATACAAGCCGGAGTTTGCGTTTTGGGAGGCGCGTTGGTAGACCTTGGTGCAAAGCCTAAAAACACCCTGTGCCCTGGCCAGGTCGAGCGGTTGGCTCGGAAAATGCTCCTGATGCTTGTCAGTTCGATGCTGCCTTCGGCTGTCTCTCCGGACACTCAGCAGCAGTTCACAGTATCAGCAGCATGAAGTCCGCGTGTGGAAACTCGGGGCTTTCGTGACTTCATGTCGTGTAGCTACCCAGTCCGTTTCAGTCCTGTACAAGATGATTTGGCGATGTACTTTGATTAAAGGCTCTGCAGATGGAGGGGATCGCCCTTGTTCTGATATGCTCGCTGGGGCTCTACGCCATTTTCCGCCCCTACAAGGCCGGCGACCGCGCACGCGTCCGGGATGTCCAGGTAAGCCCAGCCATGCGCACGATTCACACGTGCCAAAACCAAAGGCCGATGCCTGGAATCTGGCGGAAATGTCTCTACTTCTCGTTGCGTTGGCCATTGCAGGGTTGACAACCTGCCTGCTTGCAAATGATCTCCACTGGGCACACTCACAGTCGACACAACTTGTCTTGATTTACCTGATCTGCTCGTTGGCTGCAGACCCTGAGCTGCATGAGGTGGTACAAGCAAGGTGGGGCATAGGACTGGGATGGAATGGCTTCTTGGACGGCCAGTAATCATGAAGCATGACGTCTAGGATTCTGATGTTTCAGCTGAGGGCATCTCCATTGGAATGAGTGTGCTCATTGTCTTGGCCTTGCTGAGCGAACGCCGTGAGCGGCGCAACCAGCAGGGAGTCTGACAGGCAGCTCCCCAAGAGACTGCTGGTCGCATGCAAAACAGATTCCTCGATCCCATGATTGCCACGAACTGCAAAGATTGCACTCACACGACTTGAGTGACTTGCACTGCGGCTGTATGGAAGTGATGCCATGCCAAAGCATCTTGTAGGCACAATAAGACAATCAGCAAAAAACAGTAGCGCCGGCTTCCACGTGCTTGCGTTCGATAGGGAGGTTGTAACCTTCCCCATCTCCGAAGGGTACCGTAGTATCGCAAGCACAGTCCACGATCTCAGTTTTCCACAAGGGTCGAGCAGGTGAGGCACGGGACATCACCGCAATATACCGCAATGTTGGGTGGCTTGCGATGTCAGCCTTTGGTTCGCTCGATCTCGCCACGTCCGTGCGATGTGAGCCGTTGCCGCGTGCCGCGGCATTCTCGGAATGCTCGGAATGCTTCGGGCTCGCGCGTTCCCTGGTCGACAACCGCCTTCGTGCTAGGCTCGCTGTCTTTGGTCAAAGGTTCCAAAGATCAAGCGAGAAGTACTTTCAGAAGTACCGCTTTGCAATGCAAGTGGCGCCGCTCCATCTCCCAGCTCTCCCAGGAGGTGCCAAGCCGAAGCCCCGTGCACATACTCTCGGCCTGCAATGCGTACAGGCAGGAGACGGTCGTTCTGGAACGAAGTGCTGCAGTTCATGGCTACTCATTTCGCGCTGTTGGATTGGGTGAGCCGTTCACAGGGGTTGGCATGAAGTTAATTCTCTACGACAAAGCCTTGACAGAGATGGTTGGGCGCGAGATCCCTCCCAATGAGCCCGTTTTGCTGCTAGATGCTTGGGACACGATCATCCTAGGCCCAGCTGAGGAGTTTGCCGAGAAGTTGCGAGCCAGCAACATTCTTGACAGCGGCGCGGTGCTTTGTGGTGCAGATCGAATCTGTGCACCCGACTACAAGATGGCACCCAAGATGGAGCGCCATTTCCCTGACATCCGAACTCCATGGAAGTATCCGAACTCTGGATGCATGGTTGGCACCGCCGCTGCCATGCGTGCTTTCATCCATGGCCTTGTCCACGGGACGGATGGCGGATCGTACACGGATCAGGACGATGACCAACTTCGAGTCCAAGAGTTTCTCCTTGGCTGGCAAGAACAAGGCATCCGCTACCCTTTTCAGCTCGACACAGACTGTTTCATCTTTCAAAACATGGGGGAGCAAGAGTGTGGCTGGGAATTCGAGCTGGCACCTCCCCAGGCTCCTCGCATACGAAACATGACCACTGGGCACCGCCCGCTCGTTGCCCATGGTTGCGGTGGCCATGGTAGGTGGTTTTTGTCAGACATTTACAGGGAGTTGGAGCTGCTAGACTTTCTGGAAGTTTCGCCGGATGACTTGGCTGGAATGCCCTATGCTGGCTTGGTGCCTCCCGGTGAAGAGATGAAGGAGGAGTACTGGGTGGATCAACCCCCCTGGGACTTCCCATTCCAGGCTTTTGAGGTGATACGCGGCGTTGCTATTCGTGAGGAGCAGGAGGAGAATGAGAAAAACAAATCTCGTGGAAAGGTCCAATTGACTTGACGCGCTCCTCAGTGACAGCAAGTCATCAGCACATGTGGGGTGTCAAGCGAGGCTTCAGTTGCACTATAAATCTTCGGCATCTGCATGTCAGGAGGCAAAGCCGGACTGCTGGTCCGCAGCTGCCCTGTGGATGATCGCTGACTGTAGCGGCTGTTAACTCCGTGGCAGCCTCAGGTTTGGTGTAGTTCCTTCCTTGCCCATGTAAGGCCGAACACGCGCGCTCCTTGCCCGAAGAGGCAGTCTGCAGCACAAGCCGGGGGTCTGAATGCATTGTCAGGCGAGCGACTTTCCGTTTGCAGTGTTTTGTTCCTGCTCTGCTCCCTTTATGGCTCAAGCGTCAGGTCCGTAGATCGAGCAAGCAGACTGCACGACCCCGATACCCCATTAGTCTTTGTAGACTAGCCTGGCGCCATGCAGCACACCAGCCAACATGTACGCTGCATAAGCCAGTTCAGATTCAAAGCAGAACTTCAACTCCATTGCACACGTATACACGTGCCTGCCAAGCCTCTTCGCACTGAGCCATGAAGAAACTCTTCACTCTGGGCCCGCACTGGCATGGCCAAGGCAGCGTGATATTTGCCTGGCAGCCAAACGGCAACTTTGTGGCGTCCATTGGCGAGGGCCAGAGAAACATCCATCTCTTCGATCGGCAGGGTGCGCAAGTGCAGGAGGTGACCCTGAAGTCGACGGCAAAGGTAGTGCAGCTTGAGTGGGACAAGGATGGCGAAATCTTGGCCATCCTGCAACAGAAAGAAGAGACAGTGATGTTGTGGCGCCATTCCGAAAACAAGCTGGACATGGTCGAGATGAATTCAAAGGATCCGACCTGGCTCTCATGGTCCAAAACCGGCCCGCAGCTAGTCATCGGCACAGCTCGAGGGAACCTTATCATCTACAACAAGAGGACCATGAAGAAGCAGACGATCATGGGGAAGCACTCCAAGCGAATAAGCTGCGGAGCGTGGCACTCCGAAAACATCTTCGCAACCGGCTCCGAGGACAAAACTGTCTGCCTGAGCAACGAAGAGGGGGATCCTCTTGAAAGCGGTGAAGCGGAGCCCCTGCGCTTGAAGAACGATCCCAGCATGCTACAAATCGCGGATGTGAAGGCTGATGACCCCAAAGATGCCGAACGTGAGCGAGTTGTCAGCATCGTCCTGGGAGAGGTGACCTTGCTGCTTTGCAATTTGAAAGATCCACAGAAGCCAACCGAGCTGGCCTTTCAACCCAAGTACGGCACAATAAAAGCCTATTCTTGGTTTGGAGATGGCTACCTCGTGATCGGCTTTTCACAGGGGTACATAGTCGTCATTAGTTCGCGGCCCCGGGAAGTCTCAGAGGAGCTTTCGTCCGTGAAATATCACCGGAATACCCTCGACTGCCTATGTTGCAGCAAGGCTGCGGGCAAGATTGCCTCAGCAGGGGATGATGGCATCAAGCTCATCAGCATGAAGGACTGGACCGAGATCCGAGGAGAAAAGATACAAATCCGCCCAGAGGCGAAGGTGACGCAAATGCACTGGTCTGAAGATGGAGAGCTGCTGTCATTCTGTACAGAGACTGGTTGGGTGTATTGCTTCCTAGCCAAGTTGACGGCGCTCTCGGCCACCTGCAACACGCGGCTGGCTTATTTGACATCGTTGCGAGAGATGACGATCATGGAGGGAACGGCTGACTCAGAGAACAAGGTGGTCCTGCAGACTGATGTGGAGCCAGCTTTCGTCGCCCTCGGCCCTTCACACTTGGCGACTGGAATGAACAATCGAATATGGTTCTATTCCTGTACGGACCAAGCGACGGTGGAGAAGGTCAATGAGCAGGAGTACATCGGCAGCGTGGAGAGCGTGAGCTTGAATGCCACCCACGCCTGCGTTTTGATTGATGGCCGTGTATATCTGCACCAAATTGAGCCCCGCAGTGGCGATGGGAAGACGACCATCTTCCCAAGAAAGGAGGAGGACCGTAGCGTCACTTGTGCCTCCATCGTGGGCAACTTCTTGATCTACGCACATTCCAACGGCCGCTTGCAGTACTATTCCCTCATCGATGGCCAAGAGGTCAATGAGTACAAACACTCGAACGGGATCCGAAAGTGCTATCCCAATCACGAAGGAACTCGGGTGGCTTTGATCGACAACTCCGGGAATGCTTGGCTGTATAATCCAGTCAATGACGATTGCATTCCCATCGCAGACTTCCCGAATACCGCCGATCGTATTCTATGGGACAGTTCGGATTCGACGGTCTTTGTCGCTTGTGATCAGCTGAATTTGTACACCTTCGTGTACAGCCAAGTGGAGGTGGGAGGAAGTGGGGTTCGGTGCTTGGGCCAATTGGAGTTAAATGCAGATGAGCTGCAGATCCAGGCCTCGCCGACTCCGCTTCAACACGGCCAAGTGGGTGTCCTCGTCTCTGACGGCACTGTCGTCTGCCAGCAGAGCAGCGGCACCCTCTCCCATCTGCGGCTGCAATCCCATGACATGAACAGCCAAACTCATGTGGACACCTTCGAGCGGCAGAAGGCTTGCTTTCTTCAGGCCTTGGCGTTGAATCGCTTCGCCTTGGCTTTCAAGATCGGCCTGGCTCTGAATTCGCGAGACCTTTGGCTGGCCATGGGTAGAAGGAGCCTCGAGTGTTTGGACATTTCCTGGGCAAAGAAGGCGTACAGACAAGCTCCTTCTCCTGGCATGGTCATGTACTTGGATCGAATCCAGACAGTGGAGGACAAGTTGCTCCTGAGCGGTCACGTGTCTGCCCTCTTTGGCAACTTTGCTAAGGCGAGGGAGTACTTTTTGCAGAGCTGCAGCCCAGAGACTGCTTTGGACATGCACTGCGACTTTCTTGAGTGGGATCAGGCTCTGCAGCTGGCGCAAACCTACGCCCCACACCGCCTGAGCGACATCTACCTGAAGAGCGCACTGCAACTTGAAGGCCGCAGCCAGAACGAGCAGGCGCTTAGCCACTATGAGATGGCGATGCGGGACCACATCCCTGGAACAAGGCCTCAGCACGAATCACAGTGCAAGGCAGGCATTGCCCGCACATCTGTCAAGATGGGCGACTTGCCACGGGGCATGCAGATGGCCTTCGACCTCAATGACCCGTCTGTTTGCCGCGACTGCGCTGCTGTTCTCCACAAGATGAAGCAGTACGTCGAGGCTGCCCAGCTTTATGAAGCTGCAGGCTCCTATGACCAAGCCGCATCTTTGTACATCTTGGACTTGAACTTTGATGCCGCAGCACCACTCATGGCCAAGATTTCGACTCCAAAGCTGCACTTACAGTTCGCGAAGGCCAAGGAGTCTCGTGGTGCATATCAGGATGCCTTGATCGCATACGAGAGAGCTCGCGATTTGGACAGTATGGTTCGAATCTGTCTGGACAACTTGAACCAGCCCCAGAAGGCATTCCAGCTCGTCCGCGAGACCAAACTGGCTTCGGGTGCTGAGCGTGTGGCAGAGTACTGCCGAAAAAATGGCAACATCTCCGGCGCGGTGGAGTTCCTGCTTCTGGCCAAGAACACCGATGAGGCCTTCTTGCTGGCGGAGCGCCAGGATGAGATGGCAACATTCGAAGCAGGCTTGGGTGATCATGGCACGCAACAGCAGCACCGTGCAATCGCGAAGTACTACGAGCAGCGGAATCTCTTGGCCAATGCCGCGAAGCACTATGCACTGTGTGAGGAGTACCCGACTGCTCTGAAGCTGTACTTGAAGGTAGGTGAGAAGGAGATCGATCATGCAATCGAGGTGGTTGGCAAGGCCAGGAACGATTCCTTGACTCATACACTCATTGACTACCTCATGGGCGAGACCGACAATGTGCCAAAGGATGCAAATTACGTTTACAGATTGCACAAGGCTCTCGGAAATTACATGCAGGCTGCTGGCACCGCCCACATCATTGCCAAGCAAGAGCAAGAGATGGGGAATTACAAGCAGGCTCACCAACTTCTCTTCCGCACCTACCAGGACCTGAAGAGCCAAAAACTTGCCCTCCCGCAGGAACTCTGGCGCAGGCTCATGCTCCTGCATTCGTACGTCATCGTGAAAAGGCTAGTGAAGGCTGGCGATCATCACAGCGCTGCCATCATGCTGGTGCGTGTTGCCAAGAACATTCAGCAGTTCCCAGCGCACATCGTGCCAATCCTGACTTCCGTAGTAATCGAGTGCCAACGTGCCAAAATGCCCGGCGAGTCCTACCAGTACGCCTGCACCCTCATGAAGCCCGAGTACCGGAAGGATGTTTCAGAGCAGTACAAGAAGAAAATAGAGAACATCGTGCGGAAGCCACCTCCAGAAGTGGATCAAAGAGATGCGTTGGAGGCAAGCCTGCCCTGTATGTACTGCAACTTCAGCTTTGCGGAGTCACAGCTCGATTGCTTGAACTGCAAGAACATCTCCCCCTTCTGCATCGCCAGTGGCATGCGCATGCTGAAAGAGGACTGGTCAAATTGCCCAGCATGTGGCTTTCCTGCCAGGCATTCGGTCTTCACAGCTGCACTGCAGGCGAATGAGCAGTGCCCGATGTGTGACGCAGTCCTGAAGCCTTCTGAAGTTGTCTTGGTGCCAGATCCGACACAGCAGATCAGCTACTACAAGTCTCTGTTTCAGGCCTCAGAGTCTGAGAGTGCTCCGCCACCTCCGCCACCGCCACCTGCGTGAGAGCTGTGGGCTTCCATGCATGTTTCTTTTGCTAAATGCGATGCACCACAGAACGCTACCCCTGCAGTCATCTAAGTCTTGCACTGAATCCAGTGCATTCGGTGCATGGTTTCACAGATCGTATGTTGCAAGATCGCCGATGCTATTGCATCAGATGAGAGACGTCTGTTAGCTGTGTTGTCATTTACTGCGGTTTGGTTTGGCAATGTTTACATGGTGTGACTTGTCTCTCGGTACTAGTAGGATAAGAATTAGTGGACTTCGAACTGAGAACCTCGCCTGCGTCTGTGCCAATGTGAAGAACCGGAAGTGGGTCTGGGGGGTATGAGAGCGGAGCTCCGTTTGCAGATGAAAGGCGGTGATCAGCTTTAGATGACGCACAGGACATCGCAGGACATCCCACACGCTTGCAGGTTCTGTCGTTCTACAGCTTTCGGACAACGGAGAAGCTGGAGGGGCTGGTGCAGGCAGATTCCAGTTCGCGTCACCTCAGCTCTGCAGACTCCAGGAAGCCATACACGGGGAGCCACAAGTACTTCACGGAATGAGTACATGCAAGCGAAATTCATTTTTTCTTGGTGTCTGGGGGACCAATGATCATCCGCACGTTTGACACAGTAGGCCCGATTTTGAGTGCAGCGCAGGCCGTGTGCCACTACCTTACGGCTGGTCCGAAGGCGCCCATAACACTGCAGACTTGCACTGCGGTCCTCGACCTCCCTATGAAAGAAGTCTCGTTCTCGGCATGTGGGTCCAGGTGGAGCATCAGGTTCACAGCCAGGAGGATGACAATAAGCTCACGCTGGCACCTGGCTGAGCAGATCATGCGCAGTTGAGCAGAACTTCTTCCCGAAGAAGTCCAAGTAAGAGCAGTTCTGAGACTTGATGCAGGGATCGCATACGAAAGCGCCTCCAGGAATATAATAACACTGATGCTCTGACGTACATGACGTACATGACGTACACGTCGAACCACGTGCTGCTTACTTCTCCTGCATTGCATAGGCGCACATCGCACTGCAAATTGCCAAGGCGGCTGTGCAGACCCTGCAGTTCTTGCTTCGCTTTGGCTTCATGCGCTCTTTTGAGCCCCAGCCCTAGCGTGGCGAATGTGGCAAACACATCATGGTGATGGACCTGGGGGGTCGTAACCGTGACTAGCAGGACCTGCGCCCAGCTGCAACCAGCATTGTTGCGGCTGCTAGATGGCAGCCCACGCCTCAGACCTTGCAGGTTCTTTGGTAGAGGGATGTGCTGTGAAGACTCCCTTTGGTATGCATGGCGCCGTGCAGGAACAGACTTCCTCGAGCCACCCGAGGCCAGCGGGCATTGAGTCAGGACTCGAGTAGCAAGGCGTGCCACGTGGCAGTCTGACAGCGTGCACACTTGGATCCTAGTTGTTTTCCCTCGTGGTGGTGCAGCGTTCTTGTCCCGGAAAGAACTCCAATGCACGAGTCACTGATCCTTCTTGACCGCAGGAAGGCGCCAGGAGAAGCGAAGGTAGGGCTTGAAGAGCGGACATGTATTGCTTTCGTTGATGCTGATCTCGCAAAACGGACAATCGGACATGATGATAATGATTGTTTAGTTAGCCTTCGTCTACGTTTTGTTTCCTGAACGCGCAGCCCTGAAAGTAGAACAAGCAAGCCTGGCAGAAAAGATGGGCGTCAGTCACTGGCACATCCACCGCCACAGTCAGCAGACTCTCTCAACAGCAAATCACGCGGCACAAAGGGGGCACGCTGCTGCTGATGCAGTCATTGATGGACCTGGCGTCGTGCGCTTTGCTGGCAGCACCACTTGCAGGGAATGGAGTCGGGCGAAGCTTGGGCTGAACTGTTGCAATCTGTTTGAATGAAAAACGCCTTCAGCAGACAGTCTCAAGATGACAGCACCAGGGATGCGGGACTGTGATTTTCTAGGATGTGGACAACTACTTCATGCTCCTGGAGGGATGTGCACAAGAGGAAGGGGAGGAGGACTGCCATGCACATCAGGGATGACTGGCTTTGAAGCAGAGGGCTGCTTGAAACATGCTTCACATTTATCTAATATCGGATGGTGCTTTCAGCGTGGAAAGCCATAGCCTCACTCCCAGCAGGAGCCACAGGAGCCGCAGGAGTCTGAACACCTGGAGGCCCAAGGAGACGATGCCGAGGGAGAGGCAGACCTTGGTTGGGCGGTGGATACCAATGCGGACACGACCAGGGTTTGCCACTCAGGTGCTGAGGATTGTTCCTTGCAACAAATTTCAATTTATACGGTTTGGCGCCGTGACTGGGAGTCCTTTTGCATATCTTCGCCAAGGACGTTGCCGCAGACATGGGCGACACGGACTTCGAGGAGGGATGCGCACGGGCTTTCTGGCACTCAGTAGGCGACAGCGCTTTCAGACAGAGGCGGCTTGACTGCTCAACCACGTAGAGTGGTTTGGTGCGCATGTCGCAGAAAAAGAGGAAGCCAAGAATCTGAAATGAAATGGTTTCGCCAACCATAAACCAAAACACAAATATCAGAAAACAGACCATACTTGAGAAGCGTATGCGGGAGCAATTCTAAATATGGAAGTGACCTTGTGAACTGCGTGCAGCCGTCCGTGTTCTGTTAGGAGTATGCCGCTGACTTGGAAGCGCAAGCACAACTCCAGATGGAAGCAGAGGCCCAAACCTGCACACTGCACATCCTCGTAGGGGAGTCTCGGCGTGGGCTATAGTTACCAGAACTTTGTGACCTGAGAGTTTTACTGACCGGAACTCTTGGTGTTCATCCAGCTTGCTCTCCTTGCATTTGCAGGTGGATGCCCAAGCGGAGCTTGCCTTAGCTGAAGAGGATGCGCGGGCGCAGGAGCTCGCTCAGGACGCTGGACCCACGCAAGCTGCATCGTTCGTGTGCAAAGCAAGCGGACGAGGGAACATGTCTGGCCGAGCTACGAAACGGCCATAAGTGCGACGTGATCTTGGAAGTTCGAGCTGCTTCCAGTTCGATTTAGGACCTTTTAAATTATAAGGATTTCTTGGGCTTCTGCTCGTAGCTGCTGAGTCTAGCTGTTGATGTTGTCCGTGGCGAGCCTGAGCCCTGTAGATGCCACACAGGAGGCAGCGGCCGTGGCGGCTGCTTTCGGAGCACCTCGACTACCTCTGAGCCTTTGGAGTTGGGCTTACGAGGGTTTACGCACATTCCCGGAGGAGGTGGTTTTGAAGGCGTTTGTTTTCCCTGAATGTCTCATGGCATTTCCATGGTGCTCCTGTTGCGGTTCTTCAACGACATGACTTGTCGCGGATGAGGGCACTTGAGGTTGCCAACTGTCATGATTGTTTATAGTGGTTTGCCGTGCTGCCATGAGCTACAAGGTCGATAAGGTAGCAAAAAACCAGCAAGGTTTCGTGAGCACGCGCAGAGGCATAGAGGATGAGATGGCGATGCTAGCCGCTGGCGGAGCCGAGGTGGAAGATGAACTTCCAAACTTCGAGATGATGGAGGGATTTGCTCCAGAGAATGGGACCCCCGTTCACATGCTCCATGAGGCCGTCATTCTGTCTTGGCAGCAGTCTTGTGCGTCATCTTAAGATGCAAAAAGTCAGGTTCACCCAAAATACCCTAAGTAACCTTTCAAAAAGATAAATGAACCATCCCACATCCATGCACGACCTCATCAACCTCAGGCTGGTGAAGCAGAAGCAGGGGAAGAGGCTTTGCTGCCTTTTGCTGACATGGGCCGATTTTTGTTCTCGTGTTTCTTCAGGTTTGGATGTTGTAGGGATGGCGGCGGAAGCCTTCGCAGTAACAACATGGCTGCAAAGAGGCAGCTCCCGAGCAGCCTGATGCAGAGGAGGCTGCTTCCGACATGTCTGCGTGATAGTGTCATGAGGCTGGTCCACCTTAAGACCATTTAAGACCTTCACATTCACAGCACTTTACCGAACGCATGCTATTGGACCATGACAAATTATGAAGTCTTGCTTCCGAACGCCAGGCCGTCACAGTTGTAGAGGAAGAGTTGGAAGCTGAGAACGGCACAGACAGGCGAAAGTTCAGAAGAATAGCTCTGGGATGGTTTGAGGGCCATAAGCCACGCTGTGTTGTTTGCAAGTGTCTGCGTCACCCACAAACGGACAAAAAGCAATGAACCACAGGATGGAGGACGCGGAGGATGCTGGCGATGCTGCTGAGAGTGCGTTGGTCAGCTACTGTCCTGCACAGCAGATGCCATACTTCTGGGACGGACGAGGTATTTGCATGATAGGCGTGCGAGCGCAAGGCATGCAGCCATCACGGAAGCGGTCTCGTGATGCCGTGTCTGCAGAAGCACAGGACTTCGAGATACGTCATGCACGCGTTGTCAAGCACTGCCACACCGTGTGAGAGGCAAATAGATTGCGTGCGGTATGTTCCCAGGAGCTTCTGGCGACTGTCACTCCTGCTGCGCGGCTTGCATTGCTGTCTGCAGAACCCAAATTTGCAACCCCAGTGCTGAATACTCTTGGGATCGATCAGCGCTTTGCAAGTCAAGCGCAGCTACAGGCAAGCCTTGAGGCCTTTTTTGGTGCAGCACATCACGGGCCATCTAGATGGGCCATCTAGATGGGAATGCATGTTAGAAAGCACGTTTGCTGAATATAGGGTGTACTCTCGAAAGAATTCTTCGAAAGGCGCACTTAAGGAGTGCACTCTCTTTTCTTTCTTTTTCTCTTTTCCTTCCTCGCACATTCGTGCGCGCATGTTGTCCCAAAAAGAGGGCACGCGGAGCTCCTTTTGAGGCCGCCTTGTTGGGAAAGCTCCGACGCTTGGACCCAGCGGCCGGCGTCAGAGACAACTACACCGTGGATGCCACTTGGGGTTTTATTTAAAAATTTCAGAGGATAAGAAAAAAGGAAGAGTCTAGTGAGTCTAGTGTTTGCAGAGCCCCGCTCCATCGGATTTCGGAGGAATTTAGTCAAGTTTTTGAGATGCCTTTTCGTGCGCATTCTTATTCCCACCTTGCCGAGGAGGAGTTGGAGGGCCAGGACCTGGCCGAGGACCTCAGAGCAGCAGAGAGCAGCTAGGCACAGGCCAGGCATAGGCCAATGTCTCAGCTGAGTAGGACTTCCAGCTGACCCGGGACTTCTACTGTGCGCAGGTGCCGGTTTCAAATCAATGCCAACAGAGGTCTGCATCACCCTTGAAGATTCCTGAAGCCGCTTCAAGTCTTCAAGCAGTTGTTTCAGCGGGTGCAGGCTCTGGAGAACTCGCTGGTAGCCGCGCGTGCTGCTGTGCAGCGTGTGCAGAAGTCGCAAGTCAAAACTCCGGACAGCAGCATAACAGAATCTCGGCTGGTCGTACTGCGTCGCAGCGCAAGGGGAATGAAGTCCAATTAGCCAGTAGGTAGCCCATCCCAGCAGAGTGATGTCTTGTGAAAGCTGGCTACAGCTGAGGAAGTCCTGCCAGGCCACCTGACATGCCTGGCCTATGGCCTTATTAGGTTTTTTGGGCATGCTTGGTTATGTCTTCTTGCCCTGGTTCCTCTTCGCATACTTCTCAGCAGAGAGGCACAGTGGTATGGGATCCAGCCTTGACAGGCCGGATCTTTCTTGGCGACGCCGCGGCGGCGCGAAACATTGCGGCCCTGCAAAAGCTAAACATCCAGAAGGCGTTGCATGCACGGCAGACCAAGCCTCTACTGGCATTGTTCCCTGAAGTAAATTTAAGTGAATGCCACAACTTTGTGAATCTGCCTTTGGGGTGCTTTGTAGACAGGTTATCAACTGCTCCCCCCAAACTGCCCAAGCCTCAGTGCACCATCTGCACCTGAGCTCAGTGCATGAATCAGTGATTGCCACACCATAGTCAGACCTTCTGTGCTCAGGTCCGTGACACAGGCCAGATTGGAAATGCACAACGCAGAGCTGCAGTGCAAGCAATACTATATCTGTCAGGCCAGGCATTCTATGGTCCAGAGGTTGAGTACCTCGAGCTCTGGCACGATGCCGCTTGGCCGCCCAAGGATATGTGCAACAACGTTCGCGAAGTGCGAGGTGAGGCACGAAAATGATCGGAAATCAGCGCTCGCCCACCTTTGGTTTGCAGTTCTCGACAATGTCGAGACTCTAGCACGCGTCAATCCGAGATTCAAACGGCATGTCGCCAACCCACGTCCGCACCCACGCACACCCACACATGCCGCCCTCACCCCAACCCACTATCACACCCAGGAGCTCTCATATCTAATCCCTTCCCGGTCAGATAAGAACACCCCGAAGATAAATGCAAAAAGCAAAAACTCCTTGGCCGCAAAACTCGGCCCGGCAGTCGCCCCTTTTAAAAATCTCTACAGAATTAGCGGATGGGGAGAAGCCTGAACCGACAAGCCTAAATTTTAACGCTTGAAACCTGCTCTACGCGCTGTTTGTTTCGGGCACAAAATAGGAACCCCGCCCCCCCCCCCCCGGTACTCAAAACCCTTTGGGGTTTTGTGGGGCATTTTAAACTGCTGGGGCGGGGGGTTGGGGAAACCGGCCGTTTAATATGCAAGGGATTATTGCCCGTGTACACAAGCAAGCCCAAACCGAACCTTCGGTTCTCCTGGCAGCACCTGCTCCAGGATTTTGAGGATTACTGCATCCTGTGTGACTTTGATGTCGTGTGGTCCTTTGCGTACTCCAGCGACACGAGTGCCTCGCCTTTATCAGTCTGCACCCCCGGAAATGATGGTTTGGGTGGGAAAGGGTGCGAAGCTGTCGAGCCATGTGTGATGAAGGCAGCGTCACGTCTCCTGTCAGGCGGCCCAGTGCTGGTGCATTGTGAGGCAGGTGTGAACCGCAGCTGCACTCTCGCAATAGCGATGCGTGCCTTATCTGACAAGTCATGGTGAATTGGCTGATTGGGCATTGCGCATCGCAAATGCCTCCAGACATCCAGTCCGCGCGTCCCCACCGTTTGCAAGCTAAGGCATGAGGATCCTGCGGGAGACAAGTCGAACTTCGGACCCCGACGTCTTGTTCAGGTCCTCGTGGTGCCATGTAGCGGCCAGCCCCTGGCCTTACCTTAGTCCAAAACGTGCAGCTCAAGTTTTGTTCCGTGCCCGGAGCTTGTAGTGTAGCAACTCGTGTAGCAACTGATTGTACATGCCCTTAGTTTGTGAAATCGCCAAGGGAAGCAGAGAGTCCTTACGAACACTGGCCGCAGTCTTAGCTGCAGGCGAAAGTGCAAGGCAAAGCAGACGAAACCTCCAACGCTGCCCAGGATTCCAACGTCAACTGCTGCTATTTGCCCGCATGGGCTGTTGTTGGTTCCAAACTTTGGACGGAGTGTGGCGCACCGTTCCTGAACGCCACATGGCACAGTTCCGCTCGCTTGCCGCTTGCTTGCATCAATGAGAAATGCCCAGCAGAACCTGTCCGACCTGTTTTTGAAGCCTGTTGTTGCTTATGAATGGAGCCTAGGCCGAGGAGACGGCGAAGCACGCGGTGTTCTTTCCCTAGATGTGACAAACTGACAAACTGCTGTGTTGAATCTGAGCGTAGCAAAGTTACGTACATAAGTTTTCCATAGTTTCCTCAAAGCCCTGTGTTGTTGAGTTTTTGGTAACGAAGAATCGAAGTATCATACATCATACAGTCCCTCCCGCATCCCCAGGTGTGCCAACCCAGCTTCTCGGCTTTGTTGATATGGGGCAGGGCGAAGTCTGGCTGATCTCGCATGTGGAGCGCGCAGTGGTCCCTGTACGCCCTGATGCTGGCTTGCAGGACTTCCCGCCAGGGACGTGGTGGCGGGCCATCGTTTACATCCGGGATGGAGTAATGCGAAGCCGGGCGCTCATTTACATCGAGGCCTACTTGGCCTACTTGTTCCGTCTTTATGATACCTCTCAGGGGATTGCGGTAGCGCCCACAACCTTGACCAATCCACTTGCGAGATTGTAATCCCTCACACTAGCCGCATTGTGCATTGTCGGCAGCAGTGGCGCAATACTTTAAAGCATCTTGTATCAAGCCGAAGAAGGTTGCGTGAGCGGCAGCATGCGGAAGGGTTGCGGAACTGCAGAAGGCACAGCAGTCCCCCCCCCCCCCCCCCACCGCCTGGAACACGAAAGGGAAGAGGAAGTGAGGAAGACGGCTGTCGGGGGTCTTTCGCACCCCAAGGCGAGAAGAAGATGGAGGGAGGCTTCGACCTGAGCACGGACGCGAAGCGCAATGCTGCGGAAAACCGCTTGCGCAGCTCTGCAGCCGCAGCTGCTTGGCGGAACCTGCTGACTCTGCTGACAGCAACTCTCAGTATGACTCTGGTGGCACGGGCAATGGCGATGTTCACGCTGATGCCTGAAGAATTGCACGCGGAAGCTGCATTTAAGGGGGCAAGCGCAAAAGAGATGAGGGAGAGAGAGAGAGAGAGATATGTATATACATATACATATATATATATATATGCATGCTACCCCCCTCAAACCCACGTTTTACTATATTTTCCTATCGTGCACTATGAAAACCTCTCCCCAGAGACCCAGCATTCTAGAATTCCAGATTTTTTTGAGACACCCAGTTCCAGAATTCCAGAATCTGTCTGGAACTGGGGGTCCCCAAAAAATCTGGACCTCTCGCAGAAGCAAATACATGTTGAAGTGTGAGTGTATATATATATGCATAGATATACATGTATATATATATATGAAGATCTATATTTGTATATTTATGTACATATAGTGCGGCTGCTGAGTCAGATGTGACCCTAAGACTTGTCAAGGCTATCCCGAAGCTCATCGCAGCGGCCAAAGCTGGCCTGACGCGAGTCGCTGCCGGGTGAGCGTCGATGCCGTAGAAGCCGAGGGCAAGTGGCGTGAGAATTGCTTGAGATCGCAGGTCCTCGTGAGTTGAGAGTCACGATTGAAGCACTGCGAAGCACTAACAAGCTTAGGGCGAGGCCCGGTGGCTTTTGTCGTGGACACCCGACGACACCATGGAAGTTAAAATGCCTCTATGAATACTGGCTGATGAGGGATGAGCATTGTTAGTTGCAGCCTGAGCCTATCAACAATCGCAGGCAGCGGGCGAGAAGCAACGCCTCGGGCCCGGCTGGCGACGGCCAAGTCTAGGCACATGTGCATGCTGCGTACAGATGCGACACGGCGCGGCAGAAGATAAGGCATGGAAGCAGCACTTGGGGGGCACTCGCCCGAGAAGCAAGGCACTCAGCAATGCTCGGCACAGTGCCGTACTCGTAAAGCCACGCGTAGTCGTAGAGCGATGTGTGCGAGCCTCTCTCCATCTGTACAAATCGTTTCTTACCCTTTCCCCTTTCTTCAAGCCAAAGGTCCCCACTGCTGGGTGCCGAGGTGCCGATCGATCTGTTTGCTGAATTGTGAGCTTACCGCGGAGAGGAAATCAGATAAATCAGCCCAAGATAAGGAATTCTGGACCCACACATCTACCCCAGAGGATATGCCTGTCACATGCCTTTTTGCATGTGCGATGCATGGAGCACGGAGGCGCCTGCAGTCGGCATTCGGCGCCCACCGACGAACGATTCGGCCGGGGGCACAAACCGTGTGGTCCATCTTTAGGGTTGATATGGGTGGATGCTATATCATCACCATGAATGGTTTCACATGTGGCTCATGGTTTTCGACTGTGGACTCCACCGAGAAGGTGATGTTGACAATCACAGGATGAGTGGAAGGAACATGGCAACACTACGCAACATGTGCACCTCGAAAGGGTTGCACAGGTCCTGACGGGCTGCATGTTTCTCGAAGCTATACTATCACCATCTTCCACGTGTGTCCAATCACTTGCTCAGGCTAGCAGCAGTGCGAAGTACAGCAAACGTCTCATCCTGAAACCTGGTTCAAGTTGCGCGTGTAAAGGGTACAACCCAAAGCGTGAATTCTTACAGCCCCTCCAAGCTTTATGCTACTTGGACTGCTACTTGCGGATGCAGGCACGCCGCTTCCTCCAATGCATGCGCCTGAGCCAATGTCAGCCGCTGTCTTTTGCTGCACACATAACGTAAAGGCTCAATTGGCTAAATATGCTACAGCGATCACGTCGGGGTGCGACTTCATCGTCTCAGGTGATGAGAACATCACTGTGGTAAACTCCAAGGCTCGATGCCTTCTACACCTAAGCATGTGATGTTTGGTGCGGTTGCCTGGGGGGTTGCTACTGTATCGAAGTTGTGGTGGGTTATGTATGGTTATGTTGGTTATGTTCCTTCATCTCGACCCGTTGTTGATTGGCCCGCAGCGGCGCAACAGGGAACCATTGCCAAGTGGCTTTGCGGCAGATGCCTTGATGGTGCGCTTGCAAGATGGTCGCAAGCTATGTCTCAGATGACCTGCTCGCCGTCAACTTGCACCTGGTCTCCTGCGTGAAGGCAAATGAGATCTTCGGGGTCGATGTGGCCATTGACCAAGGGGCGGACATCAACTTTGCCAACTTGCAGGAACCGATCAACCTCCAGACCCCACTACGGGCTGCCTGTGCTTTGGCAAACGTGAAGATGACAAGACTTCTGCTCAGCCACGATGCTGATGTCTTTGCCCACTTTGCCCTCGATGGCTGGACTGCTTTGCACAGCGCGTGCTACATTGGCCATGACCACGTCGCAAGGCTCCTCCTAGAAGAGGCTGCAAGCTTGCATGAGGGCACATGGCAAGAAGGGTGGAGCTTGATGCATCTAGTCGCACTGTGCATAACTGACCGGCTGTCCAACCGGGGGGCATCCTTGATCTGCTGGCTTCTGAAGCAGATGCCAGGAGTTGAGCTAAATGCTGTTTCGAAGCATGCAGGTTTTTACGATTGGACGCCGCTGCATGTGGCTGCAGCACGTGGCATGACGCAGGCCTGCAGCGCCCTCATCAAAGCAAAAGCTGATGTTTTGGCAGCATCCGGTGACTTCCACGTCAGCTCCCCGCATTTGAACAAGTTTGCTTTGGCTGGGAGTATTGCCTCTATTGGCGCTGGCTTTGACAAGGTGGAGGGCCACCACTTAGACAAGGGTTTGTTGCCCCTGCATTTAGCCGCCTTTGGTGGCCATGAACGGACTTGCCAGCTGCTACTAAGGCAAGCTACCCAATCAATTCACATCATGACGCATCGGCACTGTTGGACTGCTTTGCTACACGCCGTTTGGAGCAACAATGTGGAACTGGTGCGCGAGTTATGCCGGCAAGGCGCAAGGAAGATCATCAACGAGGCGGATCGGAGAGGTGATGGAACATCATGGTCGCCCATATCTCTAGCCGTCATTCGTGGTGGGCCAGACATGGTGCAGGTTCTCGTGGAGTACGGAGCTGACCCACTGATGAGGATGGCCTCGTCCGACTTTCCCGGCTCTGCATTTGTGAAGTACTGCTCATTGGCACTACCCGATGCTGCAGAGAATTCCTGGAGTGGACCCGATTCACGCATCTCCTTGCTGCATCTTGCCATCTGCCGTGGATGCAGCACAATGGTCAAAGCCCTCATGCCTCTTCTGCGTACGGCCCATCAGCAGCCCGTGCGCTTGAGCTCCAGTCGCCCACCCCTGACAGGCAGGGGTGCCTCGCCCTGGCAGGACTTGGCACCAAAGGCGCGCGCTCGGGGCCAGTCTGGCGCTTTGACGCAGCGCTCATCAACGCCGCGCTCGTCAACGCCGCGTTCGATGCCGCCGCCCTCGGGGGAACGCTCCGCGGCTATCCAAGACCAAGCGCGAGAGCGTCTAATCAGCGGCCCTTGCTCAGAAGCTCAAGGCAATGACCCTGTAACCTTTCGAACCAGTGAGGGTTGGTCTCCTGTCATTTTGGCGGTCCTCCTGCAAACAGTCGACCCGGATCGCCGGGTTTGTCCGTTTCCCATCACAAGGGGCTTCCCTGATCGGTCGGCTGGTTCCAGAGCCAATGTTCTACAAGATTTGCTGGCTGGTGAGTCCTCCCCGCTAGCAGACCTTGAGGAGGACAAGCCACTATTGATCCCACAAAGGTTCCCAGATGTTGCGGCTACGTTGGTCAACATGGCCATCAATGAGTTTATACGGCTGTGCAGAAGCTCAGCAGAACAAGCAGTAGACCGGATTTTGCACTCAACACTGTGTGCAGCATGCCATCTAAATCGGATGCAGATTGTGCAGCATCTTCTTGAAGCGGGGAGGTGTGACCCCCGCTGCACCCTTCTGAAGCCGATCGAGCAGCGTCCGTTGCACATCGCGACCTCGCATGGCTATGGACGGCTAGCCCAGTTGTTGCTGGATTACAAAGCGAATCCATTAGAGGCAGACGAGAATCATCAGCGTCCGGTGCTGAAGCTTACGGAATTCTTTGAACGTCAACTGGAGAGTCTGCAGGCCAGGGTCGCAGAGTTAGAGGCGCAGCTCTGTGAGGGGCGTGCGGACACTGACATTCTGTCCGCTAAGTCGTCCCCAAAGACCCGCGGCTTGTCCCGCGCTGGCCGAAAGACGGGGGGTGGTCCTATTGATGTCGCGAGCTATGAAGCTCTGCTGCATGACTCCCGTATCTGACGTGGAGGCCAAAGTGTCAATCTGCGGCGTGTGTACACCGTGTACACCATGTATGCCAGCCCCTCTGTAAGACGGCCCCTGAGGAGCTGCAGGCGATTATCCTGCGCTGACGGGTGTGTTGTCTCAGTGCCATAATGCCAAATGACACTTCCAAATGATGCCAAATGCTACCCTCGTGGCCGAAAAAGTTGGCTTTCTTTGCTTCGCGTGGGCTGTCCCCTCCCGCTAGCTGTCAGTATCATTCATGGGCCTGAAGCAAACTGCTGCCAACTTTCGCAGCAAGCACCACCATGTTTGTAAGTCCATGGTAGACGTCCTACAGCAAGATGCCAGAGGCTCGAGAAAAAGAGGGCAGACACAGCCAACTTAGAAGGGACAGCTGGCTGAATGCTTCTGTGTTCAACAGGTCAGCATCGCACAGGCTCTTCTTCAGCTCCGAAGTCTGGGACATCAGCTCAGCATGAGTTAGCATGGCAAGTCAGCGGGGTGCCAACTCTCAGACCCAAACACACTATTTGCAACAGAAGCGGTTTTTTCTTTTCAGTTGTCGGTGGAGGCAGGCAGACATGAATCACGGACTTTGTAAAGCCCTTGTCGGCAGTTGGGGAATTGGCCTGGGTGTATCGGTAAGTCGGCAGGGTGGATTGTCGGGCAGTTGTCTTACCTTGTACGCGATGCAGACACCCACGAAAAAGAGATGGTGTATTTAGGTAAATTCGAGTGGCACAGGCTCACCCCAGATTGCTTAAGCTTATCTTAAGCTTTTTTGCTTAACTTGAGGCCTGGACGTGCAGATCTCGCAAGTTCTTGTCAAGCCAGTGGCCCAGCATTGCACTATTTGCACGAGTATTTGTGCTTGCTGGTTCCGACTTTACCAAAGAAGCAGCAGCAGCAGCAGCGGCAGCAGCAGTAGCATCCTAGAGGTAGAATGAGGTGGACGAGGGTGGCCGAGGGGGGTTGCAGCTCATGGCGGTGTCCTTGTCAGTCACGCCATTGATGTTGACTTCCTAGGCCCTTCGTGGGGCACCCTCTCGAAAATTCTTGCGAGTGCTGCCTGAGTCAAGACTACCTTAGTTTCTGGAGCTGAGGTTTCAGGAGTTCGCCCAGGGAAAGCTTACATTGGCTACGATGTGTGACACAGCCCCACCCTTGGTGCCCTTTTTGTCCTTGCTCAGAAGTCTGTCCAGCAGCCTGGGGCCACATCCGACCACAAGGTCGTGGCTGTATTGGACCACCCAGTTCTGCCTTTTGTGCAGCCTGGCGTGCTGTCGCCAAACGTCTCGGACCGAGACTTCAGCCTTTCACGGGTGTTTCTGGATGTCCATAGACTTCGTGACTGTAGCAGAGCTCGAATTTCGGGTTCGCAGGCTTGTGGAGTAGGTTGGGGGGCTAATGGCTAACAACATCGCAACTTCCCGTCAAGTCCTCACACGGGGTGGAGTTCAGGCCATGCTGATCGACCTGCTCATGTATGAGGAGTCATGCAAGTGTGAAATCGGCTCACCCAACGTCGTCTGAATCATCTTTTGTTGACAGGACGCGAAACTGCTGCCCCTGGCCCTTGAGTTGATCTGCGCCAACAGCTATTCGGCAGGCGAACGCCGCACTCTGGGCAGAATCTAACGAAAGGGTCTTGCCTAACTTGTGATGGCTCGTGGCGTCTTTGCTGTAGTTCGTGCCGCTTGGTTATTTTTACAGCTATGCGAGGACTTTCACAATGTTTGGTCTACTTGCAGCAGTTCGTCGGCATACTTGCTTCAATCGTATCAGAATGCACCAACACCTTGGAACTGCTTGATTGGAATGGCGTTTAGCATGGCATCCCCTGGTGATCTAGGCGAGTAGAGGGAGACGATGGATTTCACTCGGTCATAGATGTGCACCTTGTAGGCGACTTCCTGGACGAGCTTGAGAAGGCACTGTCTTTTGCTCGACTCCGACATGTGGCATCATGTGGCACTGGACGGCTGGAGGCTCATGAAAGGGAGGTACACCAGATTGCACCAGCACTTCAGGTGACGCTGCTGACAGAGCAGCAGGATGCCTTGATGAGTCAGCCTCAGGGCCTCCGACACTGAGGCTGTTAGTTTGACAAGAGCAGATGACAACTGTTTTTGAAAACTAAAGATTTCTGGCTTCCAGTGTGCTCACAATGGTCAAGAAACCATGCTATGGCTCATTCCCTGATCAGCTGGTACGAGCAGCTTCAGTTCCCAAGCCAACGCAAATCAGTTTGTTCACACTTTGACAGCACATGTCAGCTGAGGCAGCAGCTCAAGTCAGATGTGGCGCAAATGAGCAAGATACTCTACAGCTTCGAGAATTGGAGCTGTGAGGACCTTTGCAGCCGCAAAAGACAGCATTGTCAGTGAGGAGAGCAAGAGCAAATAAATAAGATGGTTGGCCTTGCTACCGCGTGCACTGATGTGGACCGTTGCTACAGGATGCATTTTCCGTCTCGGACCGCAATCCGCTCAATGAGCTTGAAGAGATAGGCCAACCTCTGAAAGAGGCTGCCACGATGAGTGAATGACAGTTGCAGACACTTGCCCGAAGGCAAGCGCTTGCAGAAAGCATGCTCCGGCAACGCGCCCGCTTCAGGCAACGAGCTTGGATTGATGCAAAACTTGTCGCATTCTTCATCGCATCTGCAAAGATCTGGGTGAAACCATGGTTTTCCAAAACTCGAAGCAACTGTCTGATTCTGCACCCACTCAGCTTGCACAAGTATTGTCCTGCCACATGATTCTACACCAGGCCGTCAATGTGACACATCCTCACACACCTGATTAGCAATTTGCATGTTCCAAATAAGACGCGGCGTGAGTGCAGGCCGGATGGTCCAAGACATGCTGATTCACACGGACTTCGTCTCGATCGCGGGATATTGGTTGATGCTCGACTGGCAGGACAGGCGCATATCACATTCCGTAACATTCAGGCCGTGCGTGCATTGAGTGTATTGCTTGACTATACCGCGCCACAAAACTGCAACCCTGCTTGCAGCTCATCACGAAGTAACTGCCTGAGCACAACAGAGCAGACGTTCCTTTTGGTCTCTGCGAGGACACCAATGCAGAGAGCCGCTTGCTCCATCGACGACTGACAGCCATCGTGTGCAGTGCCGCCATCCCAGCTTAGCGCAAGTATATCGCAAGTATGGGCGTGACCGGGAAGTGAGAAGCCATTGCAGGAATTGTGTCAAGTAGTTGCTGCGTCCTTCTGACCTGCACGTGAGCATCATGCAAGCCGAGGGTGCCCCCCCCCCCCCCATCCCAAGCCTCTATTTGCGGCACAAGGCTTGCAATTAGACAAAGCTGTTCCCTTCCGTTCTCCTTGTGGCAATGCCCCGGTGTGACGTGACATGACTTGCTCCCGAAAGTAAGCCTGGCGCTCCCAAATCCTGGCTTTGTGCTTCCGCTCCCATACAGCAAGAAGGCAAGTGTTGGCTCTGGCCTGCCCTCACTGTCCAAGGTGCCGCCTTTGAAATTGTAAAGAGATATTGTCACGCTGCCTCAAAGAATGCACACCGGTCGAGCCTCAGCCACTGTGGGCCATAGACTCAGCAATCAGTAACTGTGCTGCCGAATTGGTTATCGGCCAGACCCGGGCTGCGCGCGTGCATGCAAAGCGGCGTCTAAGCGGCGTCTCTCCATTATTGCCTTTTTCTAGTTGCCCCAGCATGCAGGGAGCCACCTCGCTGTCTTGAGCAGAACGAGACAGTAGCGTAAAGCAGCAAAGCACATACGACGCGCACAGCTTTTGGTATGCTTTGGTGCTCGTGTGCAATCTCTTGCACCTCAGATTGCTACGGCGTTCTGCCGCAACAACCCGCAGAATCAAGGCCAGCCCGTAAACCTTTCTGTGGCTTCTCACGAGTTGCAGATCATCACATGGCAGGCATTTTTATGGACTTCATTCCAGGGCTGTCGAAGGTCCTGGACGAGGCTTCACTACCTGACGATTGCACGTTTTGCTCTGGCCTTCCAACCAAAAACTCTTGCTGTCGTAATGATGAAAGGACGACTTCCCGGAGAGTGCTGCACTTGTTGCAGAGATTTTCCGCTTCAGACTCAGACTGTCTGACAGCCTCGGTTCATTCATGATGCACGTGCCTTGCTGATGCTGAGAAGTTGCGGGCACGCCCGCCAAGTACTGCTTACATTCCAGCTCCACTAAAGGATCCTGCTCTGCACAGTCAGCCCGTTCCAGTGTTGACAACTGACAAGCTTCACAATGTTACAGATGCAGACCGACAGATGCGGCCCAACGCTGGAGGTGGCAACCTGACCAATTGCGAACAGGTCCCGGAGGCCATAGTGCGATAAGCCACAGCATATCGAGGTCTGGGCACTAGAGGTCAGCAAGGGGAGGGCGATATCAAAACAGGCTAAGTGGCTAAGTAAAGTTGAGCTTCCTGGGGCAAGTTAATTATGCGCATGTGCAGATAAAGGTTTGGGCCTTGGTGAGTTTTATGACCGGAGCTTTAGAGCCCGCGGTTGCCCTTGGACTTCCAACCAAGCGGCACAAGAGTTGTTTACATGTGAACATAGACATTTGGAGTCTGCGAGGAACCCTGCACAATTCACCCCAGAATTCCGAAGAAGCTCACACGTACCCCTTTTAAATTACTTCGAAGCTCGGCTGCAGGAGTTGGTCGAAGCCTTTGGAAATCAAATGGCTCCGGTCTCGGTGCAATAGGAAGGTAAAGGTTGATTTTGTTTGCTTCTCTGGATGAACCTCCAACAGCACTGGAAGGTGCGGACAAAGCGTGCGGGCCGCTACGTGCCTGAAGCTTACAGAGTTGCACATGAAGCATGAAACAGATTCAATCGCTAGTGCTCTGATTTCTTGCTAGAGGCCGTGGTACACCTTCTTCTTGAGCAGCATCGTTGCGGCACTCCCCTAAGTTCGTCGACAAGTTCGTCGACTGCCCTTGTGTGAGGGCTACCACGGCATGCCGCAGCTGTTGTGTCACCACGCCCAGATGATACTTACATGGGATCGCAGCTCTTTTTGGCTCGATTGCCCGTGGTGATCCCCCCGGCTTCTGCAACGTACCGTAGTCCTTTGTTTTTTGCCATGGGACAGGCAGAGCCACACGTCATGTGCGGCAAAGACAAGCGAGTGTGACACCCTGCTTGTCCAGGCGATGTCGGAGATGGCCAAGGGCCTGTCGGACACTTGCTGCAGCCTGTTTGCAGCAGATGTGTAAGCTGGTTGAACAGCGGACCAGACAGGCTGTTTCTGCTAGGTCAGCAACTGCATGGGGAGTTGCGAAGGGTTGTCCTTTGCTCTGCAACTCGTCAACATATCGGAGCTGGTGACCATGCGGGCTTGACTAAGGTGGGGACACCACAGGAGAGCTGCTTCATTGATTCTTGTGATTCGTTACTGTGAGATCTCTGTGTTTTGTTTTGGGAAAACGCGGCTGGATTCCCAGATTGATAGAAAGCAGAGCCCACGGCAGGAGAAGATGAGGTCAGGAACATTGCTCCAGACTTGGTGCCAGGTGCCTGAATTGCACTTAGAGGGGGGCTTGTGTCACAACTGTTGGAGACCTGCTAACGGGGCTGGCCAAAGCGATCGTTGTCAAAAATTGCAACCAGCAAGGCACTAGACCTGCCAGGGTGTCGCCAGAGGCTGTCAAGACCCTCAAGGACAGCGACAGAAATGCTGCAGCACTGCAGCATGTCAATGTTACGCTTATGCTTTGCTGATTTGTTGAAGCCTTGAGCACAGGACATGGGCTTTCAGGAAGTTGAGGCAAGAAATGCGCTGGAGGCTTGCAATGGCACCTTGGATCGCAGAGGATAGGTAATATGCGCAGTTGTCGCAGATCTTGTGACAAGGACGGGCGTCCTTGCTGCTGTGCCAAATCCCAGCTTGAATAAAAGTAGGAAGCAGCATAGCGCCTGTCTATGAAGCAGAACAAAAGCACCTGCAGCTAGAGCGGGGTCCAGGCAACTTGGATCAAGCCACACAGTTGCTACTGTCGCCTCGGCCTTAGCTGAAGCGCATGGGGCATGGAAGCCACATTCAATCGAAGATGCTGGCTCAGCTTCCTGGTGCCTTCTCCGACTGATTTGAGGTCGTAAGGGCCGGTTGACTTTGCTTGCTATGTTGGCCCGGCCGAAGTTGCCTCGGTGGCTGCAGGTCTGCTGCAGTCGAAACCGGTTCTCCTCAATCACCGATTCCGGCGCCTCCGGTGGTGGAGGCATCTACCGAGGTAGTGGGAGGTAGTTTGAAGCAGCAGACTAATGTCTATTGATGTCTATTGATGAAGCAGATGAACTGAAGAAGAAAATCCATCCACAACGAGATCCTGATTCCCAATTTGCATACGGCGTGTGGCTGGCTGATCATCGGGACGTCACTGCGCTGGCCTTTCAATGCACAACTTGCGAATCTAAATGCTCGACACCTCACCCAGCCTTGACTCCCTTTTCGCCCTCTGGAGGTCGATCCGCTCGGCGAGTGGCTTGGTGGCAACAGCCGTCTGGAACAAAAGGGCACCGCAAGGATACACGCACGACTCCATCGCAAGATGAGCTGACCAGGAATGGAAAACTCCGAGTAGGTTCAGAGAAAACACCCCCCAAGAAAGTAATTCAAACAACGGACGACCGATTCAGAAACATGCTGAAACATGTCTATGCAAAATGCGAGGGGCTTTATCTCAGCTTCCAAATTCGAAGTATTTGATGCATGCTCCCTTGGCAAGATGTCGTCTCATGCTGACTTGATGTGGCAAAGGGCGCCTGAAATCCCAGGAAGGTGGATCAGCTGGTGGGCATGGGCTTCACTGAAGTGCAGGCACGAGATGCCCTCGACGGTTGCAGCGGCAACTTGGAACGAGCAGCCCCTTGGGACAAGACTTTATAAGCAAGGTCACTGAGCTGGGCCGTCGACGCATGGCGATTCATGCCAGAAACCATGCAAGGTCGAGTACCTCACTGCCCAAGCACCATGAGATAGCAGAGCATAGGCATCAGGTTTTTGTAGCTATTAGATGCGTGGACAGGGCCAAGGCCAAAGACACCCAACCCTGCTCCGAGTCGCGCGCCCGCGAATAATTCAATCTCACGATGCCAACTGAGCAGCCATCCATTCTTGCCTGAGCGGGCCGTTTCACCTGCACCGAAGCAAAAGTCCCCAAGTGCTGGATTCCGTTGCCCCACATCACATCGGTGCACGCGGACATACTCACGCTCTCCGTTTCAATTCCGTTCGGCATTCGGCATGCAATATTTCAATATGCAGTCCCTGAAGCTGTTTGAGACAAGTGCGGCCGGGCATCTTGCAATAGCCAAGCCTTGGCCATGGGCTCTGTTGGGGGCTCAGAGACTCCCCAGGATCGGTCTCACGATGTCTTGCGGCTTCCGGAGCCATATTTTTCTGATGTGTTCTGATGTGTGCTGATGTTCTGATGTCACCCCGTCTTCTTAGGTTCTCTCGGAGCCCTGCTGTTCTTTGGCTGCACCACCAAAAAGCCGTTTATCAATTTCAGACACATGTTCAGATGTTTGATGATACGCCTGCAGGTGGAAATGGGTCAGGAGACGGGCTTTCAAGCAGACATTCGATCACTCCTTCAGACGTCAACTTGGTGAAACGTGTGCCCAAGCTCCCATCCCCCATGGAGGAGATGAGACGACTGAAACAAGGGATGTTATACCAGCGTTGGTGCCCAGCACCTGTGCAGCAAAATGCGTGGTCAGTGAACAAATATAGTGATTGAAAGCACCAAGAGCTCCAGTCATGACAGTGTTCAGTAGGGTTCATCGAGGTGCGGAGATACCTGCCCGCGTGACTGACACCACGCGGTTGGCAGGTGAGCTGGTGCCACAATTCGAGATATTGAAAGCCTTGTCTGGGCTTGTCTGTAGGTACCCAGTAATGGCTTCGATGTCGCAGCTTATGTCCGCTATCATCCGGTGCTTCGTTGAATTCTTGACATCTTCACGTCAGGTCCAAAGCCCAAAATGCCCAGAAAGGAGGATGTGAAGGCACTCAAGGACCTTGGGCTTCTGTGTGGCCGTCAGAGATGTGATACCTTCTTCGTGCCAAGCCAAGCCAGTGAAAGTGTGATGTCCTGATGCCCTGCTTGGCTTGTGGCATCGCTTGGCAGGACATGGGATTCGAGGAGGTTGCTGCAAAGAACGCGCTGGAAGCTACCAATGGCCGCGCACAGAGAGAGCAAGCGAGAGGGGGAGGGGAAGAAAGCGAGAAAGAGGGAGAGGTTTCAAATCTTGCCGTTCGCAAGCACAAAGCCACTCAAACCGTAGGCCGCATGTGAGTTCAAGTCGTGATTGCTTGGGGTGACATGCACCTCGGTGTGTTTTAGCTTCCTTGCCCGGTTAAGCCGGTTAGGCCCAGCCGCCCGGCACTTTTGAACTCGCGTTTGCCATCACTTGCCACCGAGCAGCACGATACCATTCGAGCAATTGTTCAGGCAGGAGCCGAGGCATTCATATACAGTTGGTGGCAGCCCACCACCGTTCAAATTCCAGAAGCGCACATGCTTCACCGACTAAAGCCGTGGGTCTTGCTCGGGAGAGATAGAAATAGGAAGAAAGGTTCCATAGTTTCTCTCTCCACGTCCGTAGTCCAAACTCAGGCCGCAAAACGACACACGCAGCACCCGTCGTTCCAGCATCCAGCAGAAAGAGGACGGAGATTAACGCAGAAAGCGACACTCTATGTGGCCCGAAAGATGTTGAAAGCCAGTCGCAGCGCAAAGTTGCGAGGTTTTCATGCGTCGACGTAAGTGAGAATGTCAAGCCCGTCTTGGTGATATTCGAGGGTCACTTGATGTGCTAAAGCGATGTATTTGAATTAAGCACTGATGCCTGACCGCGAGTTTGCGCCTTAGGGCCTGTTCGCGATGAAGTAAGCGTGTGTGTGTGTGTGTGTCTCTGTGTCTCTGTGCCTCTGTGCCTGTGTGCCTGTGTGCCTGTGTGCCTGTGTGCCTGTGTGCCTGTGTGCCTGTGCCGGTTGAGTTGGCCACACAAGTTTCGGCCTGTCTCCGCTGCAATACTTGGACACTGTGTTGAGAGTCCTCAGGCAACCTTGAACAAGCAATGCAGCTGCTGCTGCCAGAGCCTCGAAGACACCATTTTGCGAACTTGGATCAGAGTAGGTCCGAGTCAAGCTTGAGAGGTCCACAGTCTCAGAGTCCGCGCCTCCCACGAGCCCTCGTGGTCCGTCAGCGCGGACGGCACCAGCGGCGAAAGCGGCGCCAGCGCCACCAGTATCCAACGCTATGGACGAGATGCCTGGCATCAACCTCCCGCAGCCGCAAGATTGTGTGCGCCGTGTCGGTTTGTGGCACGCTTAGACGCACGTAGCTCGATCTCCATGCAAGGAAAATTGCCCAACTTGTGGGCATGGGCTTCACAGCCACCCAAGCCCGCAATGCCTTGGACGGCTGTAGTGGGAACGTGGAAAGAGCAGAGCCCTGTCAGCAAGGAGCAGCGCTATGACACCGACTGCGCACTTGCACAACCTTGTACAGCATGACGCAGCAGTGATGCACTTGATCAGGTCGAGTACCTCATGGCCTCTGGTGACTGAAGTCGAGACAGGTTGAGACTATAACTGCAGTAGGCGCGACTTCAGGATTAAATCCTTGTGGTCGTGGATGTTTCTCACAGGGCTGTGCAGCTCTCAACCAGCTGCCAAACCCATGTCATGTTGGAGAGCTGCATGCTCCGCTTCAATCGAAAGCCAGAGGGGTCTCACCAGGTTCGGCGCTCGCTCCCTTCCTTGGGTCGTCTCGAAACACGCAACATTCTCTACCAATGGGGGAGCCTATAGCATCATCGGTACGGTAGGTATACAGGCGCGCAGCCGGACGGGCTCGTGCTCGGAGGCTCGAAGGCCTCCGTGGCTTCTAGCAGGCTCTCAAGGCTTAAAAAGCCAACGAGAAGCCAAAGATAAGGGCCAAGACGGGAGGCAAACCGATGCAACGGGCAAGTCGCGAGGCGGAAAAGAACTCAAAAAGAACTCCTAGGTGCTTTCAGTTGCTTTCAGACGACTGTATGCAGCTTTGAGTGACACTGAATGATTAAGGTCGGTTCGCAAGGCGTGTCGAGGAACCAGAACCTCGTGATCGAGGCCACATGAGGAACCTGAAGCGGAGAGGTCACGAAAGCTAGCTCCTGGCACCTAGCAGAAGTGGCAATCGTACACGCACGCACCTGCTTGCCCTCAGTGCCTCCAAAAGCACAACGGCAAGAACCTCATGAACGCAGGCTTGATGCTCGCTGCCAACTCAGCTGCAAGCAGTGCGCCAGTGCCTGCTACGTAGCCGATGATTGCTGGCCCGTTGCCGAGGATCGCGTTCGACAGCTCATCCAGAGCTTTACATCCACGGACAGCTGTCTTGTTGATTCGGCATGAACATGAAACGCATCCTGCACGCAGGGTAGACCTTAGTTGGTAAAAGCACCATTTGATTCACCCCAGGTTGCACTGCAGAAAAAAACACATGTGATGTGATCAGGAGATGCTGAAACGCCCGTCTCCAGACGGTGTTTGCCCCAGTGCCACCAGCCATTCATAGTGGACATTAGGAGAAAGCGAGAGATCCAGAAATGCAGCCCTCAACCAGTAGAAACCTTCACGTAGATGCACGTCTCTTCCAAGACCAGCAACGTTCATTCAAACATGGTCAAGCGTGCGTGCCCAAAGCCCAAAAGCGGATAAGGTTGGAGGCCACAAGATGGCGAGTTGGGGACTTGAGTGATGCAGGGAGTGTCAAAGCTGAGCATACTGTCAGCTGTGCCTAAGCCTGGACATCGCATGCGTGGAAAGCGAGGCTGGCCTACTATGCGAGTTGCTTGGTGCTGGCCTTAGCTTTGCCACTATCTCGTTGTTTCTTGTCAGGGGCATACTCGAATTTAAATCCGGGCAACAGTGCGCGATCGAGCCATTGCTACGGTTACGACTGCGATACAGCAGCTGCCTGAATGTGACGCTACATTGTCTAGTTGGGAGAATCAATCTCAACAACGCGTTCACCTTTGGCCATCGGCCCACAACCTCAGGACCTTTTGGTGGGCATCGCCAAGGGGCGCAGCAATAACTTGGTCAACAAGCCTTTTGTAGTCACGGCCCCGGCGTGATTTGTCGCAGGCGGTCGCTGTTTCGGTTGTTAAGGTTCAGTAGAAGAGGTAGGGCGCTGCGCCTGAAGAACGCGCCCTCTCCTGTGTACAAGAGCAGGTGGAGAAAACCTGTGTGGACATGCGCACTGCAGACCTAGACCTAGACAGGAACTTCCAGTGGAGCTGTCAGGAAGTGGAGGTTTAAGGGTTGAGTCATGTTGAGTCGGAATGGGCTATGTCTTGGCCACTCCCGCACTGGCAGTCCGACATCTTCTCCTCGATCCACGCTTTGGCGCTCCTCTGCAAGGCTTGCAAAATTTGCATGGTTCCTGCAAATGGGATTGGAGGTCTGTTTGCAGCCTCCCAGTCTTTGTGACATTGTACTGTTCTGAGATGGCAGTACGTGGATGCATTGCGCCGCCTGTGGAGAGGGAGAGCAGGTTCAGTCTGTGGAAGATGTGACACCGGTGGCTGTCGACCGGAGCTGAGTTCTAGCGACCAGTTGAGACGACTGGCGGCATGATCAGCCGATAATGAAGGTTTTGATACCAATGCCAATACAAGTCCAGACGTGTCCACATTGGTGCTATTGGGAATGTGGGTCTCGGGCAGTGCTGCTTGAGGTCACTAGGCATCTTCGCACACGGTGGCTTCACCTGCTCCAGCTGCTGTGCAGCTGGCATGCTGGTTATCTTCATCGCATGCACAAGAAGCTTGTTGGGCTTCTGGCGTACTCTTTCTCGGCGGACGCGCAGCAGACTAAGCACCCATGCCAGGCTGTACGACGTGGACAAGACGCTCTACGCACCGAGCTCAGATGGCAGAAAGACACACAGAAATACAATACACCCGCCCGTGCTTTTGGCGAAGAGCCCAGCTCCAACCACAGTTGCGCTAGAGGACACCAGCTTGATGTCCAGCCCTGCCCACTTCGAGTTCCTGGCGCCCGGGCTGCACTGAAACATTCCTAGCCGCCCCAGCCGCGGATTTCTTGACAGCCTTGCGTCGCTGCGGCAAGATGCGGCAGGAGAAGCTCTTGACATCTATGGAGGCCTGTGCGAGAGCTGCAGTCGCCTCTGGAATGCCTAATAATTCCTATGAGACTTAAATATTCCTATAAACGGGCCTGTGCCAGGAACGATTCGTTGTATCACGCTGGTCATGAGCAGCTCATGCTTCTCGTGTAGCCGATGCGGCATATTGACATGCACCGTCATGCACCCCCTGTTATCTCACTCAGTTCTCACTCAGTTCTCACTAGTTTGGTACAGGCTCTCCTGTCTCTCGGACCCGTGCCCAACACACCGCGTACTGCCGGGCACTTGGGGGCACTTGGGCAGCGCAGTGTTCCGATGAAGCTCCACAGCTCCACATCTCCCAGCAGAGTCCGCTTTGTTCGTTCTGATGCCGGCGAGGTCGACCTTCCAGAGCTGAGCGCGGGGGCTCTCAACAGCAGCATTGCTGACATGATGACTCACATCCTTATGCTGAGATTCTGTGCAAGACCTATGCTGTCCTTGAGCCGTAGTGAGCAAGAGATCCAGGTGCCCGCAGATTTCAGGGCCCTCGACCAGGACGATGGGATCTGGACATGAGCTCCTGGAAGATTCACAGCTGGCGGCTTCCAACCGGTACACGTTGGCAAAGCTCAAACGCAGAGTACAAGCTTGCTCTAGCATTTCGGCCCAAAGCAGCAGGCCAGGATTTGACCTCGGTGCCATGGCTGGCATCCAGTTTCCGGCCAATGAGAAAGGCGACAGGCCCCGATTTTTGAGTTTCGGTCCCGGAGTTTTGCCCCGACAATTTCAAATAGTGGCATGGAATGGCCGATAACCAAGAACCCTACGGTTGCTCAAGCCCAAAAGCCCAGAGCGATGTTGTCGCAAGGTCATGCCGTGAACCTCAATCACCCCTGCCACAACCCTCACTAGCAGGCAAACATGCCCGGAGGCTCCCCCCCCCTACAAAAGATGAAGAAAGGCTTTTGAAACGCCTAGATGCATCTCAAACTGGAGTTCTTTGACATCAAAGAATGGCATCTTCTCGGCTGGGGTGCCAAAGTCCAAAGTCCCAAAAGCTTTTTGTTTTGCCTTTGGGGCTGCGTGCAGTGGCGTCAAGGTTGTGCTGGATATTTTTGGGGGATTCCAGAGTGCAGCTGGCCGGCCGGCTGGCAGGTCCACCACGTCATTCAACAAGAGTGTGTACGAAGTCATGGCGGCAACCCTGAAAAGTCCTGAGGGCAAGGACTGCTCTCTCGGTTGAGTTCTTCGGAGCACTTTGCGCTGCGGCGTTTGCCGCGCCTCCTGCCAGTGCTTTGCAAGGATCTTGAGCAGAGAATCAGGTCTGAGAAAGACTGGCGGCATCAGCAACTCGGGCAGCATCTGAACACGCTGGATATGTCGCCGGACGCATGCCCAACATGGAGTCTGACAAGATTACCTTGTCTATAGGGAGCGTGCACTGGCGCAAGTTGGCCCGCCCGTGGAAACGTGGCAAACAACCCTGGGGCTTTGTTCTGCACTCGTCCTTCGCGCTTGGAGCTGAGGTACTATGCTCATTTGGACAACCTGATTGAGTGCACCCTGAGAACGCAGGCAAAAGCTTACTCAATGGGGCGCGCGAAACTTCACGAGCAATTGCTGTCATTAGTTAGGGCATGTTAGGGCGATTGTAGAGTGTAGAGAAGGGACGGCACTGTTGCAGAACAGCCCTGTGCACCTTTCATCAGGATGCGACTGTACTGCAAGACGTTCTGAAGAAAGGCCTCGAGAAGGAGCGCCGAAAACTCTGCATGTTGCTGCAAGAACCTGTTGGTCATGTTTGGCATTTCATTGCTGCGACTGAGAGACTGGCTGGCATACAAGAAGTTGCCGCCTCGCGACACAGTTGACAATCAAGTCTTGCAGAAATCAGGCGCGGGCTATGGAATTCGAATGCGCTGATGGGAAGATTGTCCCGCTTAGCCAAGCCATGGCTGCACCCAGCGTGATCCGCGGCTGCAAAATTTCCGATCATTGAGCATCACGCCTGGTTTTCCGCACGGTTGTTTGATTTCAATGCTGACTGACTACTTCAGGAAATATCAGACCATCACGGCCCCTTGTCTTAGACATGCTTACGTTGCACCATGTTGCACCCTACATGAATCAAGCATGGCAAGCCAGAACCTTCTTTTAGAAGCCGCAGGTACAGGGAAGTGGTACTCCCCAGACCGACTATGCTCTGCCGTATGATGGAAGGTTTCTTAGTGGAGCGGAGCTTGACTCGCAGTGCGCCCCATGACGGCATCAATAGCACTCTTCGCCGACGCAATAAGCTGAACAGCTACAAAACTAAATGTTCACTGGATACTGCCTTCAACCTGAGAACTCTTAGGTCTTCGGCATGCCTCGTGTCACACTTGTGCCAAGATGTCCATGTCTGCAAGGACAAGTGGGCTGGGTATGGGACGATGGAACCGGACTGTGCCGCAGCCATAAAGGCCGGAGCAAGACAGCTGGGAAGCCTCGCCGGCCGGACATTTGTAGTGAGACTTGGCTGAGGAACATGCTGAGAGACTTCAACATGGTGCATCATGGTGCCCATGTGTGCTGATGTTAGTGATGTCCTTGCATTTATTGTTTTTGAGGCTGGGGGCAGGCTCGGAACTGGGCCCTGTGCGGCCGCTGCTGCAGGCCCTATAAACCGGGCACTGTCTGCTTCATCATTACTGGTCGCTCGTCAAAAGGCCGGGGCCACCGTCGCCGCTGTCGCAACTCGCCGGCCAAAGCGCTGGGCGGACTTGATCGCCTTCGCCAGGAAGATGCTCAGAATAGTACTGAAAATAGGTACTGGTACTGAAAGTATCCGAAAGTAAGTAACCAGTCGCGAGTCATGGCGATTCTCTTGCCAGGAAGTCTGGTGGCAAACTGCTTGTGCCTGTACTTGGCGACCAGACTGCCAACGATGAGGCGTCGTCTTCTGTCGTCTTCAGGTCTCCGCTTGCAAACCTTCTGCTTCTAGCATCCTGGCGGAGGATCTTGCAGCTGTTGCTGGAGCCGACCTGCTTGCTGAAGCTCCGGCGGTTGTGGACTGGCTTCGGGCTAAGCCATGGCAAACCTCATGGAGCTTCATAGGCCCACTACATCCCACTATCACTTTCACCCATTCTTCTGGACGTTTGCCGTGGGCAGTTGAAGCGACAGAGGTTGCGCCGGGTCGCAAAGGACGCACCTGGCAAGGTGGGCAGCGCGGCAGATGCATGCATGCACGGTTACGTCCAGATCTTGCACCTTCCGGCTGTGTCATCAGGGGTACACTGAATCACTATCTGGGCATCAGAATTGCCCATGACATTTTTTTTTGATGAACTCGCTCGTGGTGCAGGTGACGCTGGGCACGTACCTTTATGCAGATGGTGAGGCCAATGCGCCTGGTCGGCACGGGCTCGATGAGTCAGGCAACAGAAAGCTCAGATCACTGTTCCAACAGCCCCATCATCACGGGCCGCAGACCAAGGTACGCCTTACCGTTGCGTCGGACTACGCGGTGGAGGCTTTGAAGTCTCTGGGAACCGACAAAGTGAGCTTTGCCTACCTTGTCCCACGGCTTAAGCACTGAGCACACACAAAGAGCGAAGGCTATCTTGTGAACAGATCGTACAGGGTAATTAGTCTCTTGATGTTCTATCTTTGCAACGACTGCAAGGATTGTAGTTGCAAAAGTGCCGAACAATCAGCATCCGTCGGGCATCGAGAGATTTGAGAGCTCAACCCGTGCAGCGTCCACATTTACGGCTTAGGACGTTTGGATGTGTATTCTGTAAGACTTTAAGGGATGTGCATTCTCGCGCTAATTCCACAGCAATCCCAGGCAAGCTGCGGGACGTCAACGGCGATTCCCGCAGAGGTGACTCAAATTGTCTTCGTGGCACGTGGAATGCCTCTTCGCATCAGCTGATAGAAGTGAAGTCCCACTTCGTCCAACGCACCCCTGATGCTGAACAGGCGGTTCAAGCCCAAGAACAGATCTTCCAGTCATCTGGCCAATGGGCCAAGATGTTTGGCAAGAGCAGCTTGGATTGGAGGACTTGGGAAATCAATAAATGGAGGTGCTAGCGCAGCGACGGCAAACCCATCAGACCCTAAGTGACAAACACCACCCAATAGAAACCCTCAACCTATATATGTATGAACGTACAGTATACATATATATATATATGTATCATACACACATACATAAAACATGGTATGTATTCATGGGCGGCTCACTGTTTGGTTGAGGGGCCTCAAGGGCTAAGCCTCATGTGTTGCCTGGCGCTGCTAGACCCTCTGGATGCAACGGCAGAGAGAGAGCGAGAGAGAGAGAGAGAGATTCAAAATTCCATTTCTAGGCACATAGACAAATAAAATAAAGGCCCCCGGCTCGGCTGAGCTGAGGACAGGTGTGCAAAGACCTGGGCGGCTCACGCTTCTTGCTAAGCGCCTTCGAAGTGATACAGGTGCCATGGTCCTTTAAAGTCCCTTGGGTTGTTTCTTGGGGTTCTAGCAGTTTCTGTGTCGTTTGTGCTTGAAGTTTGCAGCCAGGGGCCGAATTACGCACTGGCACAGATGATGCGCGATTCAGCGGCAGCGAGACTGTTGTGCTATGCTGTGCTGTGTTGTGCTGTTCCACATGTGGTCTCAGATTGGTGCCACAATGCACCGACAAAGATACTTCAGACGGTTAGCTCGAAGTGCCCTCACACTTTGCTGGAACAGGTCAATGGCGGTCTGCCCTATTGCATGCCGAAGGCTTCACAGCAACCATGGTCGCAGCCAAATGTGATGACTCTTTAAAGTCTTTCCACTTCAACGAGGGTCCAAGCTATGAGAGCTTATCACCAGCAATTCATGGCATGAGAAGTGTGGAGCTTCTGCCTCCCGCGCTGAGGTGTCGAGCCCCATTGCGCCCATGTGCCGGACAGAGAGTGTGGTGCACAACACAACGATGGCAGTGTTGATGGAGGGCATAGTCGCAGACCCAGAGGGAATTCCCCATGATTCTGGTGTGCAGCGGTTGAGGTTCGCGAGAGCCACTCTGGTGTTCGAGTTGAAGTTGGGCGCACCATGACACGGTGAAATGATGAAGGGTCGGGCTACAGGTTGGCAATTGCTCCGCCGCTGAGGCTTACTGGGCTCCGCTGGAGAGCTTCGACGCAGAAACTGGCCGTATGGCCATGTTCGCCTTGCTTGTCTCAGATCTGCAGGACGGGACAGAAATCATGTGAAGCAAGATGAAAATTGTAGTATACAAGCAAAGTGAGCATCAGCAAGTCTGGGAGGACGAGCCACCAAAGCTGGCGTCGCCACTCCACATTGTGACGCGGAAGTCGTTTCACTCCGGCATCTGGCGCGCTCCCTTTGCGATGGCGAGTCTGGGCAAGTCCACCTGGTTTCTGGGAAAGGTGGCCCCGAAGAAGACGGCTGGATGAGGGACCTCAGCAAGTGCGACGCCTCTCAGGGCATTGCCGGGAACAGCAGTCAGCAGATGCCTTGCAGGTTTATCAGTGTTTGTTTTAAAGGTTTGGGGTGTCATTTGGCTCAATGAGTCTGGTGGCACAAGTTTGCTCAGTCCCCTAATGAAGGCCCTACGGCTCCCTTCAGGAGCCTCAGTGGCTGTGGGTTTGTTTGATTTTGGGTGAGATCAAGCATGCTGGAGCGTGGCATGCCAGCAAACCCAGCTAGGGTGCCACAAGCCGCCACACGCATCCGCAGCCTTTCCACAGCGCATGGTCACAGCACCATGCTCAACAGGTGCTTTATTTACATGACCACGTGCACGCACATGATCGTATATGTAAGCGGGTTATGGCTCTCTCTGTCCTCGGCAGTGATCTATGGATAGCATCGATTTCGCAGCTCCTCCGTGCCAAGCCGGTCTGAGTGTTATTCTAAGTCACTACATGCACACTAGACCCCGCAAGTAGAAAGAGACTGAGCGATCTGGAAGCCCAACGCCAAGCTTCAGACATGTTCAGCAGGCACAGCATCTCCTGCTCTGCGCCATGGCAGAATGTCACCACAGCCAGGTCCAGCATCACTGGCGAAGGCCTGTCAGGAGGCCAATGACGAGGACACTTCCTGCTTTGTGACGTGGGAAGCCTTCCACGAAGCTCAGCGCTCTCTTTGCAGGAGTATGACAGAATCTGCCGGCTGGGGCCATACGAGCTCGAGGAGGCCGGGCTGGAGGCCTACCACAACAACCGCTTGGAGGAGGCCGATGGGAAGCATGTGGAAGCATCATGAATCAAGACATAGCATTCCTGAAGAACACATGACGCATGTTGTCTTCCGGTACCACCAAAAGTTGCACAGAAAATTTTGTTAGCTGTCCCATGCTGTCGCAGATCTGTATTTCAGGAGTATTGGTACATATTGAGACCTATTGGGACATGACCGTCCTCGTTGCACATTCCGAGGCGGAGCGTCTCCTCAGCGCAGCCTTGCGTGACTCGGCGCCCCGCCGCAAGGCGGCGCTTCTCTGTGCCCGTGCCGCGGTGCGGGTGGCACTGGGCATCCCGTCACATAAAACTGGATGAGGGTCACAGTATGTCACAGTGCATACCACGCACACACTCACGCACACACTGGTCTCATCCGAAGTTCTTCAGGTGAGCCATATGCTGGCCAGAAGACATGGACGCCCTTGTGGCACCTCAAAGAAAAATGGCTTGGAACGAGTGGCGCTGTAAGCGCAGCGGATGCTACTGTACATATTGCTGCGCTCGCCTAGGCGTTGCGTCTACAAGCTCATGGCTGTCAGACTCTTGCGCTCACTTGTATGAGAACACGGTTGCTTTCGTTTCTTTGTAGGCCTGCAGCGGCTACAGCACACGTTGCGTGATGAGGCTTGGGTGGCTTTGCACTTGACCCAAGGACGCGATAAATCCGTTAGTGATGAAACTGGCGACCCGACCGGTCGCATCATTCGCTCACTCCGCTACAATCAGAGACTTGGACATATTTTGAGCCCTAACGCCTTGGGAAGGCCGGGAATGCCGTGCTGCAGGAGAGGAGCAGTGACTTGTAAAATGCATTGAAAGGACCATCCGCGTGGATGGAGCACCAGTCGAAGGCTGGCTCAAGCTGTTGGACAGCCTCGGGTACGCTATGATCGCATCGCCGCATGCGTCCGGGCAGCAGATTGTATTTTGTCCTGAATGCTCCTCGCATCGAATGGAGAAAACAGTGTCCTGTCTTCTCAGGGTTACAGTACCACATCGTACCCCCAGCCTAGGTGGGTCAGCTGCTGGAACTAGTTGCTGAGGGCCCTCATGCGTTAAGCCTCGCTTTGGAGGCAACGGATCTGATGAAAGAGTCGTTTTTAGGACACAGCAAAGGGAACCATTGTACGCGTCTTTTTGCTTCTCTGCGACTTTCAGGATTGCGAAGCGGCGATCGCTCTTCAGGCGAACACTGCTGAAGCGTACCTCCTGGCATCGAGGCCGAAGTTTTCCAACTGAGCACAGAGACCAACTAGGCCCCTAGAGGGCTTTCTGTCACAGACTGCACAGAGAGTTGTCCAGCCAGCTAGATTTCAGCAAGTCTGCATTGTCTGGATGTGGAGCTGATGAAATGCGAGGTGCCAGGTGCTTCAAGGTGAGTTTCAAGAGGCTGAGGCAGTGCTCAGGCGTGGGGAGGGCGCGGTGAAGCCAGGTTCCCAGGCTCCTTTCCATGCAGACAAACATGCGGCATGCATAAAAGAACTCTTGAAAACGCACTGTTGCGGAACTGTTGCAGAGCTTCGGCTGCAATTTGCTTCTCGTCATGCTTCGATTGCTGAGGCCTCGTGAACTATCGAAAATACAAGTGCAGCTGCGTAACCTGCAGAAGATTGTCCCAAAGCTCTCGCAGGCAGGAATGATGCGGACTGATCAAATAGCACCACCCCACACCCCACGTAAACACCCACATCATAAGAGCAGGCAGCGGACCTGCTGACTCCTGATTTCAGCCAGGTGCCGGACCGAGCACTAGATTCTAGCATATTGCAGCATTGTAGCAGGTCCACCATGCAGCAGAAGTTTTAGATCCAAGAAAGTTGTCTGTTTTAAGGAGGAGGCAGGCAAGCGGGCGCTGGGCCATCTGAAGGAGCTTGGGGAAGTCAAGCTACGAGCTCATAGTTCACCCAAATGTCCTAAGCCATCATAAAGGCGTCTACATTGTGCATACGCCAGGAAGCTGCCCGCCTGGGTGCATCTGCGATGATCGTGCCTCAGCACTCGTGCCCTCAAAGGCCTTTGCTCGCAAGAACTGAAGGTGCGAGAAAAAACCGGAGCCCAATGCTGAGGAAAGTGCGGCCCTTGCAGCTCCACGCGCTACTTCAAGCTCGTCAATACGTCCGTGCTTTCGAGGCGAAGAAGCTCGCAGAGGAGCGGCGCAGCTTTGCAATGGTTGCACAGGGAGATACGCAGCTACATACAATGCCTGTCAGAAGCCAGGAGATTCTGAAGAACGCGCCTGGAACTCCGAGTCCCAAGGTGCCAGTCACACGAGTGGTCACTTGCAGAAATAAGTGAAATGATGTGAAAGAAGCGTTCCCAGGATGTCCTGCTGCATGGCGCTGCAGGGCTCCTCTGCTGCCAAGAGGAAGGGAAGAAGGTGCTGCAGTCACTGGTGCAGGAGGCACCACCTGATCCTTCATGAGCTGGGCTGGGCACAAGCCCTGCAATGCTGGCAGGGATTTAGGGATGTTTGCCAGAGTCCGGGATGTAAAATGGATGTTTAGGGTTTAGATGTGGACAAGAGACCAGGTTTAAGAAAGGGCTGTTCGCCACGAAACTTGCTGCAAAAGCTAATCTTGCACATCCTCAAACACGCTCTAGACTTGGGTGCTTGCAGTTCCGGTCTGGGCCAAGTGCATCATATCTAGCATACGCAACCTACACAGAGCGACCCTGCATCGGGCACCTGAGTTGCTGCACTACACTTGCCGCTGCTGACTCGGATGATGATACACCCGACTGAAGATGCCATGATCACCTAGTGACTATGCAGCGTTCTGCGCGAATATCACACCCCACATGTTCTTGAATCACGCGCCAGGCCAAAGAGGCTGGAAGCGTTGCTGGCCAAGGCTCGGACTGGAAGCAGCACAGAATGCTGGAAGCTTGACCTTGGCCAAGGCCCTGCCATGGAATGGTTTGAAGTCGTTTTCAAAAACGTCCTGGTCAAGAAGCGATGTGACGAGAAAGCTCCCAGCTGGTGCCTATTGGAGAAAGGCCGCAAAGTCATGGTCTTGCCAAAGCGCGAGACAGATGCCAAGGGGCGGCTTGATCATCATTGGAAGACTTTGGATCTTGATATTGTTCAGTCAATGACATTATCGCCTATTGTAGCCCCTTCCCAGAACATTCTTAGAAACGGGGCTGGGCAAGTTCAATGCAACTGAGGCAAGATTGGGTGGAGCTGGCGCCTTTTGAGCTTCACCGGCTTTGTGGAGACTGCCGAGACCACAGAGGCGACAGTTCCGCAGAAGCCCGCGGCTTTCTCCTGAGCTTCGCCTGCCATATCCTGAAGCTGCCTGCTCGTGCCCGTAAATTCTAGCCGGCTGTGCCTGCGCTTTTGATGCTTTGAGTACTTGGAGCTTGGAGCCAAATCCTTCAAGCAGGAAGTGCCCCGGTGACACTCCTCAACACCCTTCAGGATTGATGGCAGTGCCTTGGGCCTCGGTGCTTTGCTACGCCCGGTGGACTTCGACCCTGGGCCTGCGCTGCGAGCCGGCGCTTTGTTGCGCGCGCAGCATGGCGAAAGCAAACACAATTCTGAGAAGGGATGCAAGATGATGCAAGGACTTCGCCTTTGACTTCCTGTTGACCCAGTGCTCTCAGCTCTTAGCTCTCTGTGCTCTTCTCACTCTTCCGCGCTCTCTCCTTCTCTCTCTCCCTCTCTCCCTCTCTTTCCGAGTGAAAAGGGAACATGCATGTTGTGTCTCAGCATGACTCCTTAGCTTCGGTCTTGTTGGGTTATGAGGTTAGGAGACGGAGTGCCTGTTACACGACTGTAATGCGATGGGGCAGGACTCAAAAGTGCAAGATTCCTTCGGATAGAAGCGGGAAGATCATCTAGTACATTATAATCCCCACTTATCCCAAATCAATCCCAATCCCCATTCCACATCATCCAAACTCCCATCACCTCTTTCCCACATACTTGAGCCACATTCGTGGCAGATGTCCGATGTCATCCTTGCGCAGGGGCCATGCACCCCACATATCCTTCACTCCTCCTCGGCAGGAGCTCCATGAGGTCTCTGGCGCCCAACAATGGATATGTCAAAAACATGCGACGGTTCTTAACTGGACTATTCCTTCGGTCAAGAACGCACGAATTATCATAGCTCAACACGCCTGCAAACACATCAGCGTAAGCAACCTGCGTCCCAGTGTGATGACTCCACCGCCTGCTCCACCCATATCCGGGACTAGCTCAAGCGATAACATCATCGCACGCTAAGCTGCTCTCGGGCTTTCTCCAGCTTCAATCGGGCCAACGTTTTTGTGAGCCCGTCTGCTGGAATCTGCTCGCCACTCATATGCTTCATTGGGATACCGTCATTCCGAAGATGGTCCCTCAAATACGAGCATCTCATGCCAAAGTGCCTAGTGCGCGTCGGTTGGATGTACTCGGAACCCTTTGTCAGATTGGCCACGCATGCAGAGTTGTCCCCATAGAGCACGGCTTCCACCTCTGCTCCCAGAAACTTTTCCACAAACGACTTGACTTGAGTTCCTACCTGATATGCCGTTGCGGAGGCCTCGACTTCGGCCTCAAATGCGCTGAAAGCAGTCAGCGACTGCCGTTGTGTCTTGTACGCCAAGACATGCTCGCCAAACTTCACCACGACCCCCGTCCGTGAGCGAGAAGCTCCTGGTGCTAGCGATGCATCTCCAAAGATCGCCAACGCCGCGCACTTGAGATCACCCCCTGCCGGAAAAGACAAAGCCATTGCCCGCGTTCCAGCAACATATTTCCAAACCTGCGTTGCAAGCTTGTAGGTTCGCCTCGGGTCTACTGTGCTCAGACACGATAGTGACCCCACTGTTGCCAGCAAATCAGGTCTTGTGCGGAGTCCTAACCAAAATAAACTTCCAACTTCACTCTGAGCTCGTTGCAAGTCGGCTCCATACTGATCGTCTCGGGGTGCAGGGTCGGTTTGGCCCTCAACTACCTCTGGAAGATGTGTTGCACCTGCCATTGATGTCCAGCCTCGTTTCTCAAGTTCTGCTGTGATCCATGGGTGTTGGTGCAGACACACCCCGTCCTTTGATCTTTTGATTACCATGCCAAGGAATGGGATTGCTTTCTTGACTCGGACCGCTGTGTCACCGAGCTGCACAACCGCTCCTTCTTCCAAACCATCACACGGCAAGAAGCCCTGCAATTTCATCTCCCAAGTCTTCAATAACACTTCTGCAAGAGCTTTACAAATCGCAAGTGGCCCACCCAACAAACCATCGTCGACATACATATCGAAAAACCCAACAAAAGATGTAGGTTCTCCCTTCTTTCGGATTGCCCATACCCCTGACGATATAGGGTCCAAGTAATACGTCACGTTGTCAGGACCGTCAAACTCCTTGTAGTCAATCTCTTCGTTTCGGCATACCTCCCAAAGCTTTGGGCCCTTCCGCAGCCCATACAATACCTTTCGCAACCGCCAAACCTTGCTGTTCTTTATCAAGCCTTCTCGATACAACACCTTCGGCGGCCTCACAAAAGTTGTGTCATTGTCCATATCAGCGTTTAAGAAAGCAGCCGTCACGTCAAGGACCAGGCCGGTCCAATCGGGGTGTGACGCCAAACAAGCAGCGCTCCATCTAATATGCTCGATGGCTGGGTTTGCACTCGAATTGCTCGGATCATGACCAAATGTATCTGCCTCGTAATTTCCACAGACCACAATCCTTGCTTTTGCCCTCCATTCGTCCAGAGGGTTTTCGCACTCTACTGCATCCCCATCGCGCGGCTTCTTCGTCAACACCACCTTCGCAGGTAACACCTTCGCACCTGGTGGAAGATTTGCTTCATCAACCTCCTCAAAGATCTCTTTCTTTTCAAGGGTCCCAAGCTCGGTACGCAATCCTTCGTTCACCCACTTCGCGTTCTCTTCTTCCGACGTCCGAGGGTCAGACAGGATCCTGGCATCAACTGTATCCGTCACCAGCTGCGCAGCTCGAACTTCTGCCCGATTCATCTCCTGTTCAATCTCATACGGCAGGATCTTGTATTTCCCAGTGTTCTCCTTGGTCTGCGCTGCCATCACCTTCTTGCAACATACATCTTCAGCATCACGCTCCTGGATAGCCGAATCTACGACTATTACTTCTGGCTCGTCAGCATCAGGACCTAAATCCTCGGGCAACACCTCGGTATCGCGCATCAACAAGCCATGGCCAAACATACCAAACAACTGAAGAGCTTCTTCAGGAATTCGATCCCAGCTCCTTTTCTTAATCACCCGCTCCAGGTCTCCAGGATCATGATCTGGACCCTCCAGTCGCTCTTCAACAGTCAGCATGCCCTCCGGAGCATCTTGTTGCCAGATTACTCTTCCATCGCTTGCCACCCAGACTCGTCGATCGCCTTCAGGATCTGTCGACGTTTTCCACCGAACAACAGGTTTGTCCAGGAGCATCGGCATTCGGGCCCGCTTGAGCTTCAGCACCCCTTCCTCTAGCACCAGAACCCAGGCTCCGTTCACACAGGATGTGCAATGGCCTACAAAAACTCCGTGCGACGCTCTCTCCTGAAAGTGATCTACCCCAGGACGCTGAAATCCCACATAGTCTCCCATCCTAGGGGTTCCTTTAGGCAACTTGATATCCAGCGCCCGTAACCTCGTCAAGAAAGCCACACTTTGGATTGCATACGACCAAAAAGTCGGACTAACAGCTCACGGATCGTCGCTTGCTTCAAGACCTGGACTCCTCGTTCAACCCTACCATTTGACTGGGGGTGATATGGGGCCGATTGTGTGTGGAATACTCCGTGATTCTGCTGCAGCTCTGCGAACAACGCCGCTTCGAATTCCTTCCCACAGTCGGTGTGGACTCTGACCTGCAACGAAGCTAATTGTGCCATGATGTATGTTGCCGCCCTCGCTACGTCCCTTGCCGATTTCGTTTTCGTTGGGACTGCATAATACAGGTTTTTCCCAGACGGCAGCCGATACACTCCAATGACAGCATATTTCATCTTGTCAGCAGATTCGCAGTGAGGCCCCGACACATCAAGCGATAGGTTGGCGTACGTCTTCCCATCCTCGTGTATCTGGCGATGTGGCCGGATTGCTCCCCGCGCTCGAATGCACTTGTCACAGGAAGCATCATAGCACCCCTGTTGACAGTTCTTCATCAGATCACGGAGCGCAGCTTCATAAGTAGCCTGCTCAAACGCATCATGGCCCCCCAGGCTTCTTCAGGACTTCTCCCTCCGACGGCAGCGCAGGTCCGTCAATCGCCATGAACCCTTGAGATGGATGACCCTCATCATTGCTACCATCGGGGCTTTGCACGCTACTCGCGCCTAAACCCTGAACAACCACCGAAGACCTCTGATCATCCTGAACCATAACCAGCTCCTCATACGAGTCAACCTGAACTTCATCATCATCCCTAGGGTTGGGGAGGCTCTGGTTTCTGAAGGTGTTCGTGCTTGATGTTTCTGCTTCTAGCTTGCTGCTGCGGCTGTGGTCGGTGCGTGTGAGCGCAGCTGCCAGCATTCGGCCCTTCTTCATCCTCTGGTCATAGAAGCCCAACGCCTCCAACTCAGATAACACCTCCTTGGTCACATTGCCATGGCCCCGCGGCGTGTATCCTACAGCCACTGCTCTGGTGCCTCGGAAAGGCTCTGTTCCATGTGTCCGAAGTGCAGCGTTGAACCGAACACTCTTGCCGCCGGAGACTTCATACAGTCGGCCCACCTTTGTCTCATCACCATCTGACGTTCGCCTCACAATGTTGTTTCCCTCCTCGCCTTGCAGACCCTCCAACCAGAGCTGACCACCTTCAAACTTCGTCAAACCCAACAGCACGGAGTCTCGCTCAAGCGAATTTCGATCCTTGTGTGGGCGAAACACCAGGTTCACTGCAAGGGAGATTGACAGGAACTCCAAATCAGGATGCTGCTGTCGTACCAGCTTGCAAATCAACCTTGTCAGCCAAGGATGTCTACGGGAGTCCTGGGTCAACCCCAGTACTCCCCCATGAATAAAGAGGCCAAGTGTCCACATTGGCAAGCCTTCATTCGGTTTTCCATCTACTAATTTATCCCGACTGGTCTTCCGCTCGGTAAGCGAAGCACGTTGTACTGCATTCCAGACCTCTGCGCAAGTCACCTGGCTTTTGTCACACAGCGTCTTGGCCCACATCTCTCCTTCATCTTCCTTGGCATCCACATGCTTCACCAGGTGTTCTTCCAAGCAGCTGCGCGTGATAGCATCCATCGTTGCGTCATAGTCCACGATTTGGAGCTCCCGACCTTCCGCCTTCATCACTGCGTTGCCGCACTTCTGTCTCCATCGCTTGGCTAACAACACCCGGATTGGCTTGAACTCTGCCCAGGAAATGTAAGGCAGGCCGTTCTCTTCAATGCAGTGCACGGTTACCTTGTCTTCTCCATTGTGGTAGGTGATTCGCGGTCCATCATCGTCCCAGTGAAACGCGCCCTGAATCCCTCTCAAGCGTCGCACGCTCAGAATCCAGTCTCCATCTGGTTGCTCTCCCAAGATGAGTTCCCCATCTCTTGTCCTGTAAGCTTCTAAGACATCCCGAGAAGCCAGAGCGACTTGAGTGGACTTGCATCGGTTCAGTTGGAGGTTAGGGTTAAAAGGACGAATTACCTCGTTTGCCCCTGAATCCACAAGAACCCGCGAGCAATTCCACACGCCCGAAGCCTGGATCGCCGAAGCCCCTACACACTTGACTTGGTTTGCAACGCTGAAATCCCCAAAATGACCCTCCTCCTCAGACCCTTCACCTTCTCCTACATCGGAACATCTATCATAGGTCTGAGGGCCTTCCGGGGCGAATGACTGTGAGACTGAATCATCTGACTCCTGATTGCTACCTACTCTGCCTACGTCGGAATCCCTAGCATCCCTTTCTTGTGGCATAGGAATCGTGGGTGGCCTACTTGGAATTTTGGCGAGGTTGTGTGAGCTTGATGCCCCTGACGGATTCAACACCCTTAGCAGCATGCTACGGGCCTCTTCTAAATCCCACACCCCCACAATCGGAGCTACATCACTCTCGGTCAACGCCAACATCTGCTCCCTACCCGTGTCAAGGTCAATCAAATGAACAAGCGCCAATGGCCGAATCACCCCATCCTCATAGAAACAGAGCTGATGACGCGCTGAAACGATGAATTGTCCGGACCCAATCTCCACGTTGCTGACCGGAAGATCAAAATCAATCTCTGACAACGCCCACCAAACCCCAACTGCGATTTGGTTAGGGCCATCTACTTGGTAGAAACGGTCAACGGCCTGCGTAACTGCTTCACTAGTTGAAGTCCAGAGAGTATACTCAACAGGGTCAAGAACTAAGTACCATAAGGGGGCTCTCCTTCTAGGCACTCGTTCCCTCAAGATGCTAGCTAAGTCTCCAAGTTGTGAGCTTCCCTCCGAGGCCCCTTCATGTCCCGAACCTTCTTCAAGGGCCTCCCCAGTAGACTCACTTGAATACGCTGACCCAGCATCCGACAAGATCCCTTCTGAACCAGACTCTGAAGGTCTGTCATCCGAACCCTGACCTAGATCCCTCGCAGCAGAAACCCTAGCCATGCACCCTGCCCCAAGAAGCCCTGGGACTACTGCAGCTTTTGCCTCAGCCTTCGCTTTAGGTTTGTGGGCGCCCTTTGGGTTAGGGGTCGACTTAGCCTTCGGTTTAGGTTGGGTTTCAGGTTTGTCGACATTGGCCTGTTTGCCTTTCGCCTCTGAACCCTTCCCTTTTTTTCCCTTGTCGGCCTTCCCTTTTCCCTTAGACTCACCCTCACCCTTAGCACTATGATCAAAAGGACAATCCTTGCCCCTCCAACAACCCCCCGGCCTATGGACGAAGTAACACGCTTGCTTTCCTTTCCCTTTAGCTACTGCTTCGGACGCAACATGCACTTCATTGCTATGCGCCGCCCGGGCTTCTCGAACCTCTTGGTCAGAGGCCAATCTCCTACACTCTACCTCCAACAAGGCAACATAGCGATCCAGGCCTGCAGTCGACGGGACAATCATGTCCGGCTGCATTCTCAGCAAGTTAATCTTCATTCCTAACTGCTGGTTTTTCTTCTCAAGTACTCTCATCAGCGAATCCATTGCAGCAATGCCTTCGTTCGGAGCCTGCTCCGGAAGTCGAAGATTCTGCGCTCTCTGCTTCGCCAGCTTCCATCGCCTAAGCGTCATCAAAGCTCCCTTGAAGTCCTGAGCTGCAGGTAGTTGCCGGAGATACCTTTGGATGGATTCCAACTCTTCACGACCTCCTGGCGCGTACTTCTCATGCAAACTCTCAAACAGCAAGATGCATCGCACATTGGTGGATGACGAAGTCTCCACCACGGGCTGGCGGACTGCCTGAGGCAAATTCTTCAGCAAGGTCAGTGATAGCCGAGTCTCCATATCAGCTTCACCGCTCGCTATAGCAGGAACCTCAGCTTCCACGCCCGTGAGTCTTTTCTGCTCATATCTCACTCGTCCTGCTTCATATGTCCGGTCGAAGAATTCCGCAAAACCTGCATGAATTGCAGCAAGAACTGTTCTCATCTCAACCTTCCATTGATGAACAATCATACCAATTTCCCACGGCTCTCCTCCTGAAGATAGGTCCAGCTTCGGCGCATCCTTCAACAGCTTATATGCAGCCTGATGAATCCGCACCTCGCTCGCTCCAAGAGGTTTCGCATATGCCTCCGGGATCGGTGGCGGGGGCTCTGTTGGCCCCAGTCCTGGAGGATTCACTCCCCAGGACTCACGCTGCCATTCACCGTCGCCTGCCCACCATCGGTCCTCAGCATCACGTCCTTCCCAAACTGCCGGGAACTCCGGGGTCATCGGAAAGTACTCTGTAGTTCCTGGAGCAGCGCTTATCCCAAGCTCACTCTGGATCTTCGCATCCTGAGCCCGTAGCTTGGCCACCACTTGTTCCAGCTCAGCAACCTTGTTGACCACCCATCTGGTCTGGCCCCATTCGTGCTCATTCCTCTTGCTCATCTCAGCAGCTTCGGCCTGCGCCCTTTCAAGGCTTTGCTTCAACTGCTTGATTTGCTCCTCACTTTCTGTTTGCTTCGCGTTTGCGATTTCCAAAGCTGCCGCTTGCTTTTCCAGCAGGCCAATCAAGAAATCGCGCTGTTCACCAGCGGAGCGACCAACCAGGCCTTCCAGATCTCCTCTTATCCCGGCTTGAGCCGTCAGGAAGGAATCAAGTTGAGCCTCAGTTGCAGCTAGCTTCTGCCAAACCTCGCCCCACCGTGACTTCATGCTCACTTCAAACTCTGCAAGGAGGCTCATCGTCCGCTCATGCTCAGAGGTCAGAAGTGTGATCTTTTCCTGTTGATGTACATCGTTGTCTTGCAGCACCTGCAATGCCTGCTGCAGGCACTTGATGTTTTCCCTGTCTTCTATCGTGCCACAAGCAGCCTTCTGAACACACTGGCCAAGTAGTTCAGATCTTCGCACCAGCTCATCGGCTAATGCGTTCATGCCTTGACGAATGTTGTCAAAATCTGCCAAGGTTCCCAGCTCCACTCGCTGCAAGTTCTCCAGTCGCAACAATAAGTCCGCTGGAAGAACGACTTGCGACAAGCTCCGAAAGACAACCGACCCGTCGATCTGCTGGCCTTCTGCTGAGCTGGCTGCTGCTGCTGTTTTGCTGAGTGCTTGCGGAGTTAAGCCCAAGGGGAGCCCTTGGGCTCATAACCTCTTGTTGGGTTATGAGGTTAGGAGACGGAGTGCCTGTTACACGACTGTAATGCGATGGGGCAGGACTCAAAAGTGCAAGATTCCTTCGGATAGAAGCGGGAAGATCATCTAGTACATTATAATCCCCACTCATCCCAAATCAATCCCAATCCCCATTCCACATCATCCAAACTCCCATCACCTCTTTCCCACATACTTGAGCCACATTCGTGGCAGATGTCCGATGTCATCCTTGCGCAGGGGCCATGCACCCCACATATCCTTCATTCGGGTTCTGTTGGATTCTTGGCTGCTCAGGGTGGAGGCCACGCCAGAGCTGAAGGCGCAGGGCGCCACTTGGCGTCAGGGTGCTCCTGGAGGGTTCCGCAGCACTCTTTGTAAGTGGATTCAGCGTTTTATGTTTTATCCCTGGGCCAGGAGGCCGTAGGGAAATTTTCGGCAGCGTGACCTTTGTTGAAGTTTCAGGCGATGCTTCAGTGAGCATAAATGAGTCTCTTGGTCCTCCTGAGGACCGGCTCCTAAAGCGCGGAGAGGCGGGGGAGGCCCGCAAATGTTACGCGGCAGCGCATGCGGGCGGCTCCTGGGATGCTGATCTTCGAGCACAGCTGCACCTCAAGCGCCTAGACAACCGTCAGAAAGCCACCACGGTCCGTCAAAAGTTGTGCCGGTGTGAAAGATGCACCCGAGGACTGCGGAGGCTTTCAGGTTGGAGGGTGAGCTGGAAGAGGCTTGGAAAGAGGTCACGGAAGCTCTCTGCTTCATGGACAGAGCCAGGTCTGCACCCGCACTGCTGATTCGCTGCATTGGTTCCACAGGGCATGTCTGACCAACGACAATTGGGGGATTAAAACAGATTAAAACGAGCCTGCACCGTTCTGGGCGAGTTTGTGGCTTGCAATGGTCCAGCAAACCATGCTACTGGGCATCTTACCTCGATTGGCCAAGGTTGCTGCGCGGCATTCTTCGCTTCGACTCGGGGAAGTGGCGTGAGAGCTTGGAGGACCTGGAGAAGGCACAGGACCTGGCGGCGAGGGCCCAGCAGATCTTGAAGGACGGGTCCACTGTATTTCTGGCCACTGTATTTCTGGGAGGGATCGAGGCTGATAGACTTTGCGATCTCCAATCTCGCTGAAGGCCTGTTGTGGAAAATTTGGAATCGCACGCTCCAGGAATTGGCGATGTGGCTCCGCCGCGCCCGAGAGGCCGTTCGCCGCAATGACTCGAGGAGCCTGAGTTGCATGGAAAAAAGTTGAGAAAGAACGAGAGGTGCAGCCATCCATGCAGGGTGCTGCCTCTGCGCCCCTGGCTCTGCCTCAGGAACTTCTACGCCATCTTGGGCTTGCGCTGCGACTGCGATGCTGCAGACGTGAGCCTTGTTTCGTTTTTCAGAGTCTGGACCTGCCACATGTGCAAACTTCCCATGGTGTCCACCACCGCCCATGATCTCCTCGTTAGCGTTAGGAAGAAGCGCTTCCACAAGCTGGCGCTGCAGTGCCATCCCGACAAGGCTTGGTCTACTCTGAAAAATCTCAAAAAGAAGTCTCGAAGAACCTTCTCCAGCCAAGGTTCACTCAACCTCGGAAGTGAGCCCGGCTTGATTGTGTCATATTCATTTCATTGTTAAACTACTGAAGGTTTCATAAGGTTTCTGCTTTCAGCGCATCTTTGGCGCAGCGGTTTAGGTGCCTCGCAAGCATGCGAGGGTGCGGCAACACCACCTCGGGGAGACTGGGGAGTTGTTTGCAGAAGCAAGAGTGGGTGATGACCTCCTGTTGCCAGGTGCTGAAGAAATCAGCTGAAGCACGTTTCAAAGCCATTCAGGAAGCATACGAGGTCCTAAGCGACCCGACCAGACGCCGAGAGTATGATTATGGCAAAGGCTAACAAACCATGCTCGTCCTCACGCCTTTTTGAGCTACTGTGTTCAGTGAAGAGCGTGGGAAAAAGAACCTCGGCCACCTGCTCATATCGTTGATGTTATGTGCTTCATCATGTTCGTTTTCACGTTCGCGAATCTCCAGTTTTGGAACGGGTGCTGTGTTCTCTTGCCACTTGCCAGCGTAGCCACATCCGTCTACCCTTTGTCGTGGACTTAAAAAGTTAAACTGCGGCCGATGGAATATAGCATGAGGATAGCGTTTACTATCATCTGCTCATGCACATGTTTCGTGCAGGAGAAGGAGGAATACCTGGCTGCAATTCTGAATTGCGTTGATTCCTTCTTCAACGGGCGCCGGCCTCAAGTGCAATGGTGCAAAACGCATGGTGCAAGCAGTGTTGCCGAAACAAATGGAGCAGCCTACATGCCCACATGCAGCTGAGCTTGCTGTGACAGGCCATTCCAGGCATGCATCTGCAAGGATGAAACTGCAGGCCATCTCCTTGAGGAAAGCAAAGCAAGCAAGAGCTTGGGACATCTTGGGATTGTAGATTGTCGAGTTCATTCAAGGTGAGCAGCTGCAGATCCTCGGACAGAAGTACCTCAAGCGCAGCTTGGACTGCCAGTACCGGTTGGCAAAGGGTGCCAATGTGTGCCCTTGGAGCCTTGGAAAGGTTTCAAGATGTTGGATCGGAGTGCGGCGTCCCGCCCTTGGAACCGTCCCTGTCTACGTGGTCAAGCTTGGCACGTTGCATCATGGCCCAACCCTTGCCAAAACTGAGTTTCCGCGCCCGGCTTCCTGCCAGCAGCATGGAGCTTCTCTCCATCGCGGCATATCGTGTCATGACAGCTGTGGAGGGCAAGGCAAGCCGGGAAGGTGTGGTGTGGATATTTCCGGAGAATCCGGCGGTTGCCTGGAGGCCGACACTGCCACCCTCCTGGAAAGCAACGAAAACCACACAGACACCAAGGCAATGCCTGTGCCTTCTTTGCTTCTGTTGCCTTCGCAAGCTTGAGCTTGTTCAGCTCTCGAAGGAGCTGGAGGTAAGCTCCCCCGACCAGGCGCGTGCAGATGTTTTTTTGGTTTTCGTGATATCAGGGCACGGCACTTTACGCACTGCGCAACACAAGTTTGTCGATGCCAGGAGCTCTGGCATCGGCTGATCCAGGCACTGCGCGAAGATCCTCGATGCCAGGATTGGGCGCCTGCCTTCACCTAGGAAGGTCAGATTAGAATCAGATTGGTGTCCAGTATCGTCGTTGTCCATGTTCTTTTGTGAGATGGGTAGCTTCGTTCTACTGCAGCCTGGCTTGTCCGTGAAAATCTATGAAAGTTAGCCTTGGAACATGAAGATAGAATTTCGTTGTGTAGTTTTGCACATGGATGCTTCGTAAACTCGCTCCGCCAGTCAAGTCTGCACACCACTGCCTGTGTGAGCGAATGTTGGCAGTTTGGGCATCGAAAGGAGCGTTTGCGGCGACAGAGCCATCTGCTAGGGCAGGCAGCTGCGGGTTACAAAGTACTGCCACGAATGGAAGTGGACAGCGAAAGCGGTTTTGCACGGTGAGCCAGCCCAAGCTGCAGTGGTGCCTAGCAGGCTTTCCTGACCATCTACGAGGAAACCGATCCGGAATATCCGCCGTATTTGAAGAACCTCACATCGGAGCAGGGCACACAGAGGGAGTTGGGAAGTCGTGGACATCTGAGATCTCAACATCTCTCCACAGCTTGGAAAAATAGCGCCTTAAGGACTGAAATGGACTTCCGCAGGCATGCCATTACGGTGCCTTGGCGCAATCGGAAGGGTTATTGAGTTGTGGACACTGTCTGCTGCGGGCACCGCGACGGCAGCAACAGAAAAGCAGCACATGCTCCAGTGACTGCTGAGGTGCAAGATTGTATTCATCGGCTGGTGCAACACTGCTAGGCTCTCAGGCACTGCGCTTGCGACAGCGCACGAGACATGCGTCGAGCACCAAATCTGAGGCGAGGGGGACTTGCACGATCTTCCCAGCCTCCGTCGCACGATGAGGCCTTGCAGTTGAACAGAAGAACTGTACATGAATGGCAGCGAATGGCAGCATGGGAAATGCATAGTACTGCAGGGTCTTTCTTGCCATGATTGGCATGGCATGGGGCCCAGCTGCTGGCATGCTTGTGAGGGACGGCTTCAATCGACCATGGTCACTGCATCGTGTGCGTGTGTGTGTGTCAGTGCGTGCACAGGCGCAAAGCGAGGATGCAAAGAAAGAGGACACACAGCAGTTGACATACATTCAGGTGGGGCATGCTGACTTTACGTTCAGCGAAGAACCAGGCAAGAAGTTCTACCTAGATTGCTGGGTACTACCATACTGTGCAAGGTGGAGCTTTCAAAGGCTGGTGTGGGAAAGCTTCTGGTGAAAGCCACGGCCTGAGCCAGGGGAAGAACATTCTTGTCGCTGTTTTCGCTTCGGCTGGAGCCAGGTCCTCAACAACCACGCTGTGCAAGACGCAGGGTTCCCAGCAGAAGTTATAAAGCAGGACACCCTAAACCTCCAAAAATTGTGTTTTATGGAAACTCTCCGACTCCCCCGAGGTCCAGCGTTTGGCGTGGCATGTTCTCGGAGCCGCTCCCTCAATCCTCCCATGATCAAGTTGGGCTCAAGTCTTCCTTTTTCGTCGTGTCGCGCATGTCAAAGAGCGACGAAATTTTACTAGCCTACGGCATGCCTTGTCACATCTACATGTGTGTCTGTATATATATATATGTGTATATATTTATATATGTGAGTCATATGCTGTCAGCTGTCAGCTCCACGATGTTCCACGCAGCTCGCAAGCTTCCGCTTGTTGAACCCAGGAACTGCTCCAAAGCCGGGGAGCGGATGGCGAGGCAAAGGTCAACAAGGCGGATGCATCCGAATCCGAGAGTTGTTTCTTGCCACTGGATTACGAGGCTCAATCTTGCCACTGGATGTTCGGAGGTTGATGTTCAGGTACAGTTTGGGCTTGCAACGGTCTGCACTCCGTGTGTCGCGATATGTCGACGCACTTCTTTAACCGGTTCCTCTCAGGTAACAAAGGACAGACAGACTTCTGATGCAGGCCCATTTACAGTTTCAGACTGTTCGTGCAGGTTGTCCAAGTCGGCCTGCACGAAGCCATGTCTTCTAGCGACGATGACACGGGCATGTGGGAGTCCTTCCACGAGGTTCCGGCCAGTGTATCACAGCCAGCGCACCCCAGCTAATCTTGATGTCAGATTCTGTCAACGGCGGGGCGCGCAGCAAAGCGCTCGCCTCAGTCGGCCTAACTTGCGGCCCTTCGACTGTCTCGTGTCTCTAAGGCGCATCCTTCTAGGTTGTCAAGTTTTGTACTGTAGCCCCCCCCCCCCCCACCCTGGTGACGCTTCAGAACTTCATCTCTTTGAGCTGAGGTTTGTGCACGGCTTCCGGACACTACCAGTCCTGACGTCCCAAGAGAAGGCGGAGACAGACAACAGCCCCACATGTAGCAAAATCTATATACTTATGACGGCTTCAAATGCTCTGTCGCTGAGGCAAGGCTGCGCGAGTCCAGCCCCAAGATGCAGATGCGGCACAGTTCAAAGATACTTTGATCTCCGGCTTGGGCATTCGTTTTGCAGCACATCCTTGGACCTGTGTCCGTGCCAAGATACGATGACTTGTTGGAGCAGGCTGGGCCGGCAAGAAGAGCACACAGAACACACCGCAACAAGTAGAGCACCACTGCGGGGGCCCGCGGAGGGCTGGAAAGACATTCTCTGATGTTCTAATTGTCTACCGAGATCCTCTGCCCCAGGCAGTTGACGCCATACAGGCCAGCAGCGCTCGCTTTGGCAGGATATGTGCCATGTGACGATACCTGCAGAAAGTAAGGCTTGAAGACTTAGATTAAAGACACAGCCTTGCTGTTCGTTCCATTCTCTGATCGGAAGGCTGTGAGAATGCTTGTGGAGGGCCAGTTCAAGGCAATGCAGGACTTGTGTATGAGCATTCTGACCTGTACAGCAGACGTCATCCCATAACACACTCGCAGGACTACCTATACTCCCAGGAGGGCAATGTGCGCTCCTTTAACGACCGGGCCCCCAGACATCTTCCAGTCCTATGCCTATCCCATACCTTCTTGGGCATGGCGGTGGCAAAAAGGCTGAGTTATCCATAGGAGCCGTAGATCCTTTGGGTTTGTGTGCGCCTGCGGTCCATGCTTGTTTTGAGTCCAAACAAAGCTGTGGCACCAAACGGCGCAAAACTGATGACGACAGTGCATCTCCAAAGCAGTTCGAGGTTCCCGGTCTATGTTGCTGGCTGCGTCGGCCTCAGCTTGTGCAGACTGCTGGTTGCAGATGTGCCACCCCTTTCAAGCGTGCTTCCCTTCAGAGCTGAGCTTCTCCGCAGCAGTAAGGTTGACAAGGTTGTGCAAGGATGCCCAGGGCGCGCGGATCATAGCGATATGGGCGACGCATATCGTTTAACATCTAGTTGTGGAGTGCCGCTGATCTGTGGAGCGAAGCATCGATAAACCGTGCTTTCTTGTGATATACAAGGCGAACTATGCTTCACTCAGTGAGCTCAAGTGTGTCGTGGCCTTTGTCGTGCTGCTTTTGCTTCAGTTCTTCTCATGAGCCTGCAGTTGACTTAGAGACAGGGCAGAGTTCTGCTGCCCTCCAGCTTTAAATCCCAATTACGTTTGTTCATGCCTGTGCTCTCTCACAGCCCTGTGCCATCTCATGTCGCATGATGTCGCATGTACTTCAGATAAAGTTCGTGGTCGTGCTGCTGACCGAGTTGGCACAGGGTCCCGGACTTGATTGGCCAGGTGTGGACTGTGCGTCAGCTCTGTCGTTGCATGCTTCCTTCATGTGAAATCTAAGGCCCCAATCCTCGCAACCAGGACGAGCGAATTCTGCGCACACTTTCCGTTCCAGTGCTGGGGTTCCAGAATGTAACCAAGGTCTAGGTCGAGGTTTGGGTGATACATGCATGTCAAGGAGTTTCTGAGCAACATGGGCCTCATCGAGCTGGTGCCAACACCTCGGAGCTGAAAAAAATGCTTGCCAGAATTGATTTCGTAGTGTACGCTGTGAGCTTTGCAAATCTTGAAGGTTCAAGTTGCTCATGGTGAACTTCCAGCAGTTGCAGAAATCAGTCGGGCCCTCACCCGGCCCCACGCGCACTCAGCTTCCATGCCCGCCGTGGCCCATGGGCCCTCGGCACACCGACTTTTTACGCTTAACAGGACTGGCTCAGAAGGTCTCAGACTTCACCAGGGGCCAGGAGGGCACGAGGAGGTAACCCCTGCCAACAAGTCTTGGGTCCATTGCCGGAATTCGTTCCTTGTAGCTCCGGTTGAACAACGCATCGGCCCTGAGGACTTCGCTAGAGCCGGCACCAGGTCCGTTAATATGTCCGTAGACCAGAGAGGTTCTAGATTCTAGATGAGCCATGCAATGCCATCATGGGGCACGCAGCACCACGCATTGCCGCGCCGAGCCGCGACGACCCTTTTCTGCAGCAAGAGGTTGGAGATACTACTAGTATCAGATACTTCAGGGGCTATTTGGGCTTCTCTACTGAATTCTTCTTCAACACACTCATTGTGTGTGTGTGTGTATGTGTCTCAGTGACGTTGCCCGACTGCAGCTTAAGCCTGCAGCCTGTCGCTCTGCAAGCACATGTGTTGCACACCATCTTGAAGCACTTCTCTGAAATACCCGTAGATTTCCCGAACATAGTTCCATATTCATATATCCGTATCCTGAGCCAGCCTTGGCAGGGCGACCACGCTCACCTGGCGAGTGCAGCGTCACGAGCTCCTCATGGTGCGCGCTGGTCAAAGCCTGCGAATGCATATGTAGGTCATACTGGATGGCTGGTCCGCCCTGATTCTCACAGAGAACTGGTAGAGAACTTGCAAGACCCTGCCTTGCCCCATCCTATCCTAGTCCGATCCTGAAAGCAGCTACTGTAGTGCAAGCATAGCAGCGTGAAAGTTGTTAGTGAACAGTTGTCCACACGGTCCTGCGCTTGCTTAAGCCTTTTTTGGGTTGCAGTTTCTGGATGCCCTGTGAGTGCTCCCTGAGAGGACAGACTGTGCACGTGAAGGTCTGCGAAGCAGTTACTCACAAGGAGCACTGCGAGCTGCTTGGCTGAGTTTTAAGTTCTGCTTGGACAGACAGCGCCAGAACTGGCGGTGCGTCCCCATGCTTCTGCTTTCTCAAATTGCCAAGCGCGTTCATTCCATGCAGCCCAAGGAGAGCTTGCCTCACCTTTCTGCACTGAGACCCTGTACCAGCAGTTGTGGTTTGTTGTGGTTTTGTGCCCCTTTCGATTTTGCACAACTGCATCTCTTTGAATTCGCAGCTCGTACAGGTTTGTTGATGGATATTTGCCCAGGACACGACAAAACGGCTGGTCACAGGCATTCATCTGTGGCAAGAATTCCGTTCTGGCCTGGCTATGACACGTGGTCCCACCAGAGGCAGTCGGCACGTGCACCCCCTCCAGACAGCAAGAGCCCGCCTTTTGTTTGTTTTGCGGCATCCTGGAAGGTCAATCCCTCCTTGGCAGGGCTGGCGACGCCCTGCTGCGGGACAATCCACTTTTGAGCATGACAGGCCTGGGACTGCCAGGCACCTTGCATGCTTTCCCCCTCAAAACATGCGTCTGCATGCCTTATTTGTAGGTCGAATGTAAGCCGGGGTGGTGTCATGCTGCTATGCTGTGTAACTCTTATCACTTCCTGGTCAGGCACTTTCTGGCAACGGGTGGGTTTACGGGGACATGGCGTGCTTCCAGACTGCAACAAGAGTCTGCAAGTGTCTGATGTGCAAATGCTCAAAGCTCTGTGGCAACGGAGTGGTTCATGTGGGCTTTGTGGCGGCTTGCAGTACACTACAGAACTGAGGATGGATTCCCTGGTCTCACGATGGATCGCTTCTACCGACGCTTCACTGCATACACCCCCTGAGGTGCAAGAAGATGCAAGCATAAAGTCTTCCAAACTGCTTCGGGCAATGGGCTGGTAGACTTTGCAAAAACAATGTGCGTGCAGACCGCCTCATGCTCTGAGCGATCTCCAGGAAGCAGCAACTTCACCAGGAATAACTACTTCGATACCGGTCGCCAGAGTCATGGGCCCGACCTGCGACACATCGGCGCTGTATCGCCGAACCAAGTTGCACGGGTCAATTGATGCTGCGATTATCGGCCTTCTCCAAGGCTGCTTGCAGGCTGAATAAGCATCACCCCTTGTGTCGAGTAGATCTCCGATTCGCGGCACCTTCCAAGAAAGTGCAAGCGAACGTCTTCAAAACAAAATGTTTGACATCTTTTAACATGTTAGCGGCTGCGTGCATATTCTGAACCTTTCCGCAGCGTGTACAGGACATTGGATAGCTCAGCAGGCATCGACAATGCGCGCTGAAAACCTTGAAAACAGATAGAGATGCATGGGTCAGAAGTTAGACCATGTACAAGGCGACAATCCTCGAGCGCTTTGACAGCTTCGAATGCGCAGTTGTGATGATGCTTGTATATATATATATATATCTTTCTCTATCTGTCTCTCCGTCTATTTGTTAGAGAAACGAATGATAGAATCCACGCGCCTTAAGGAGGGAGACGTCTACCCGTCAGCGGTGCGTCAGCTCAAGGCAGAGCTGCTACGCATGCTGCCCGGCGCTTGGCCAGGTTGGGGGGATCTTTTTCTGATGAATCTGTGGAAGTGCGCGCCGAGGCTTTCGTTGATGGAGGCACCTGAGCCATGGACATGATAGGTTGCAACGTCCGGAGATACCATCGTAGAACAAGGGCCCATGCTCTGAAAGCTCTGAAGGGGCGATTGGATGCTCGGATTCACCAGACGATCCTACAGCGCTGGCACCCCAGATGTCACATGTCACATCTATGGAGCAGACTCATGTCAGCCCATCCTTGGCAGATTCCTGCGTTTAGGTGGAGACCCCTTGGTCATCCGAGCACGCATCGAGCAAGGGGACCCTGGAGTTTTGCAGACGTGTTCAGACTCTTCTGAGTGCGCTTGGACGTCTACGCCGGATGCACGTTACACGCTCAAGACGTTTTGCCCCGAGTGCCATGCAAAGGAGCTGGGGAGCTACTTTGTAGGAAGTTTGTACAAAAGCTGTGCTGCCTTGTCAGCACTAAAATGCAACATCCCTTTCGGTCTGTGTCTTGGGCGCCATGGTCTCAGACAGTCTCGGACCAATGCAGCTGCACACCTTGTCCTTGGCTCAGCATTTTGCTATCTTTTGCTTCGCTTGTTGTTCACGTGCAATCGGAGCTGTGAGAAGCTCGGCCTCGGCATCATCCCCGTCTATTCATGCATTCTGCAGCTTTGAAGTCATGCTTTTAAGCAACCATGTCAAAGTAGCAAAGTGCTTCTGGATCTTGCTATGCTTGGGATTTGAATTAGTTGTGTGCGTGTGCCTCATGGACGCTGCTCAGGCAAAGCCTGTGCCACACCCATGCAGTCCAATCGGAGGTGGCTGGCTTTGGAGGGACTGGGATATGTGTGGGTGTGTGCGTGCGTGTCAAGTGTGTGGTGTTTGTCGGCGCCTTCTCTGGATTTCGATTGCCACAGTCACCTGAACGGTGGCTATGTTTCCTCCTTAGGCCCTTGTGCCTTGCAAGAAGGAGAATGATGAGTCCAAGCCCTGTCTGCTGTCTAAATTGGCTCAAGCTTTTCAGCGACGCTGGCTGGAGCAGGATCCAGCAGGACTTTCCAGGATGCTAGCCCTTTTGGCAACCACTTTCGTCTTAACAGCCGCTGCCGAGTTTGACACTTGGTCCTTGGTGCTGCTGGATGAAGCCGTGGGGGATGGCGCAGTTTGCCTGGATGGCTCGCCTGCAGGATTGGGGAGGGGGGAGGGGCTTCTGATATCTTCTAATTAACACTTAGCTCCATGCCTACACACCTTAAGGCACTTGCAGAAAGCAGAGCCGTTCACTCGACGCAATTGCCCTGGCTTCTCAGGATACTTCTTCGAGCGAGGCCGGCACTTGTTGAAAGCACGCTTTGTCGTGCCTGACCAACAGCATGTGCATCAGGATGGGGCAGCGGTGCAGACCAGTGGGTGATCCACTTCCAGGGCGGGGGCTGGTGCAGCTTGGCTTAAGCCAGATGCCGGCGACAGAGGCAGCAGCACGTAGCAGCACGATTCCGATAGGGCATGAATCCACGCAGGTATAAGCCTCGAAGACTGCCTGGCCAGATCAAAAACTTCATTGGGGAGCAGCAAGTTCTTTTTGGCCGAGAAGACCAAAATGTTGACCTATTCAGATGGCGGGGTGGGTGGCTATTTGTCGAACAGCAGCACCGTCAACCCGGAAATGTACAACTGGAACAAGGTGTTCGCGCTGTACTGTGATGGTGGAAGCAGGGCTGGCAATGTGAAAGGCAACTGGCCCAGAACTCCTTGCGCTCTTTAGAATGTAGACGTCTAAAGAAACAGGCTCGAGATGCAGAATCTGGTGCACAATGGGAGGCAACGTAAAATTTGCCTGTCTCACTTTGCTGTCAGGCCCGGTCGCAGTCGGCAACCAGTCGGTCTTCTTCCGCGGGGCGCAGATTCTTAATGCAACCCTGAAGAGCATGGCTCAGGCCGGACTAGCAAGCTCTCGCAACCTGATTGCCGCTTGCCGCAAGATGAGTGCCTATTCAAACTCAGCAGCAACATGGATTTCTGATTTCTCAGAATCGGAATTACAACACTGTTACAACTCTTGCACATGGCGGTGCTCAGGTTGGCGGTTGCTCCGCTGGTGGCTTGACGGCGTGGCTTCACATGGACTTCATCCGCGAGCAGTTCCCTGCGACCCGTGTGGTTGGTTTGCCACAGTGCGGCTTCTTCATGGACCTCCCGAACTTTTCAGGAAATCCGCACTACACGCCGCTCTACCAATGGGTCTTTGAAACCATGAACATGAGGAACTCACCCTCCCTGCGACCCAAGTGCTTCGAGCACCACACAGAGGAACCATGGCGGTGCTTCATGGCGCAATACCTGTTGCCCTTCGTTGAAACTCCTGTCTTTGTCGTGAACTCCTTCTTTGACTCCTGGCAAATGGGTCAGATCTTGCAGATGCCAGACTCTTGCACCTACAAGAAGAATTGCACGAAACAGCAGAAGACTGCCCAGCACAATCTCAGAGATGCATTGGTGGGAAATCTGTCAAAAGTGATGGCCCCATCATCATACTTTCTCTATAGTTGTGTGAGCCACTGCCAGTATCTGAACCTGGATCTCGGATGGACCAGGCTCACCTCTGGCAATGTAACTCTTCGTGATGCCTTTACGTCCTGGTTCCATGGCAGGTCAGTCTTTGTTGCCGCTGCCACGGAGGAGCCGAACGAGAATCCAACGTGTTGGTCGTGGGGCACAACCGACGTCAAATCGGGACAGCTTCGTCAGTCTCATCTCCGTGATTTGTTGGTGCCCTCCGAAGCCCAACCTGTGTATGTTTGAGAGTGAGTCAACAAGAGTCAGCGCGTCCTTCAGTAGGCGCTTTGTTTCACAGGTGCTCTTGGCCTCATGGGAAGCAACCATGAGAACCGTGATGCTGCATGTGGACGTTAGCTGTCGTAGCTGATTTCAATGTCCCGCCATGCAAGCGCAGAAATGGATGGGCTTGGGAGTTGTTCGTCGTTCGCTTTGAACTTGAAGACGTCTGCGGCCCGTGTTGTGCCAGGCTCAAGTTCCGGCAGCATCTGGCGGCATCTGGCGGCATCCGGCGTCCCAAGCCTGCCTCGGTTTGCCACTCTGTGAGTGTAGGACCGTAGGAGTTAAGCGTCGCGCTTTTAAGTACAGCTGCGCAGATGTTGTACAAAGTCGCGCCACACCGCTTATACACTTCACGGGGTCAAAGCAAGGCCAGGCAAGACCAGGTTGCCAGCTGCCCCGTGCGCTGACTAATGAGTGACTAATGTGTAGCCTCAGCTTTGTGAAGGCATCGCTACGTGGGGCTCCACTCCCACACGTCGTGCGTCATGAAAGTAGAACGATTGGAGAGAGCGAGATGCCTTGCCATGTCCACGCACTGACAGCTAAAGTTGTTCCATGGTGCTCCTGAGGTTTATCTACCTTTACTTCACTCTCGGTGCGGTCGCCATCAATCCCAGACAGGCAATGGTGAGTACTTGATGCATTTTGGGGCAGCAATTCTTCAGGAGCACAGGCTGGCCACATGCTCACACGAGAGCAAGTGTAAGTTTAAGCTCGCAGCATCTCGGCTCGGGCTGTCCTGTGAACAGCAGTCGCTCAAACTTTGCGACCATGGCGCGAGAAACCTGATTGCAAAGAGCGCTGTCTGTAGGAACGGCGTGTAGATGTGTTCGTGTGTTCAAATCCGGAAGCGACTTGTAGATAGTTGCCAAATTGCCGAGGCACTACTCGCTTGCCTTCTATTTACCGCGTTACGGCCCTCATGGCCGATGGCTGAGTCTGTCTCCAACCCACGGATTATGGAAGCTACTGCTGTGACCCTCCAAATACATCCTACTCTTCCTATGTCAATGTAGGAGGCCAGCAAATAGAAGAACCACAGAATAGAGACATCTAGAGACAAGCCGCAATCGAGCTCCACTGTAAACGGGGGCTGCATATGGTGGCATCAACATTCACGCCGATCTCAAGGTCTCAGCTGGCAATTCCAGACGACATGGAATGCGCAAGAGGCCCACATGCGGCAGTATGGCAATCTGCGACCCTGCTGCAGCAGTGTCAAGTTTCCAAACACCGTCGCCGCCAAACTCTGTTGGCCGTTCCAACATCGTCATGTGGATCAGCGTGGTTCCCTATACTATACCCTCGAACCGGCACAAAGTGTGCAGAGACGCCTTGAAGGCCCATGGGTCATGTCGAAGGCTCCTCCTCAAGGTTCTTACCGGCAGTGAGCGATTCGCACGCTGACTTCCCTTGGACAGGAAGGCTAAACCGCAGGCCCATGCACGCAAGATACTACAACTATGAAGGGCCTATCCCTATACCGCTATGCGCGTGTTGTGGCTGCTGTTTGATCGGCGTCCTGCTTTTTCAGTTCTTCCAAGTCCCGAATCTCCAGACGCACATGACGCCCAAGTAGAGGTGAAGAAGTCCTTCCGCACCTTGCTCGAGGAGACTCCAGGGGCAGTGTCCCTGGGCAAGCATACAGGAAGACCCACATGAACTGCAACACGCCTGCTTGGTGGATTTGTGAGATTGATTGAAGTGCAGATCAGCTTCTTCACAGGAAGCTCTTTTGTGTGTCCAGCTCTTGTCCGTTCGAGCTTGGTTGAGAATAGCAGAGGTTCAATCCGCATCTTGGCTACCAATATGCTGCGATACGAAATGAGTCAGCACACCTTCTTTTCCTCCTTTTGCAAAGACGCGATCCTTGCATTCCAGTCCAATGTGCCTGCATCGCCGAACTTTCACCAACAAATGGCTGTACGAAGATCCAAGGATTCCAGCTGACAAGATCAAGGACACTGTGGACAAGGGTATAGCCCAGGTCAAGGTGGCCACACCAAATCCCAAGACCCAAGATATCCCCAAGATACTGAAACAAAAGATGCTCGCCGAAGGCAGCGGGTGGCTTTGATAACCTGTCCGCGAATGAATGCGGTCCAGGTTTCTTGTCCGCAGTGCCGTAGTTCCAGACGAGACTCATCAACTAACAGTCCAAAACACGATGACCCGCGCTCGACGTCTCTTCGGGGTCCATTGCACCGGCGAAATTCACATTATCTAGATTTACTACCAAAAGCGCAGAAAGCTGAAAGAGAAAGGAGATGTGAAGCATGCCACTAGATGCTACGCGCTGCAATTCTTTGTTATTATTATCATGCCTGGCTGAAGCTGGCCCAGCGCGCATTGTTTCGTGGCCCAAGGCAAGATCGCCATACAGCTGCTCTCTGCCTCCGCCGGCATGTTTTCTTGTGCCGGCCGATTGACAGGGCATTTGGTAGTTTGTGTGTCATGCTCAGTTTTTTCCAATGCCAGGTCTGCCTCATCCAGGATCCGATGGGCGTGGCGCAGACAGTGCAGACGGCTGGGGAGGCAGACTGGCCTCAACCTGATGCAAGTTGCGCTGTGCTTTTCGCGCGTGATATGCTGGAGGCCTTTGCATCTCCTCTGCTCACCGTCCTGCTAGACATTCCGTGGGTGGCCACGGCTCTGTCAGGGTGGCCAATCTTTGGCGGCTCGGAATGCAAATTAATTGGTTTTCACCACGTTGTACGTAGGACCATTACCTGTGAGCAGTCTGTCTGCGTTGTATTCACTTGAAATCGTAATTATAAACGCATGTCCCAAAGAACCTCAAAAATTGCGTCCTTTCAACGAGACGCGCAAACACGCATGTGCCGTGTCCTCGCAGTACACCTCAGCTACATGATTGGCAAACTGATTCCACAATTTTGTGATTGTACCTCAGTCGAGATGTATGCTCGTAACAGCTATTAGAGCTGAGACAAAGGATTGAAAAAAGACTGTTTTATCGCCCTTACAACTTGTCAGCTTCACTTCGTCCACAGGCTCGGAAGCTGGGTGAAGCCAAGATCTGAACGTGCTTTTGCTTATAATGTTTTCCAAGCGATACCACACCCAAGTCCAAGCCACATTCTTTTGCCGCACACCTATCAAATGGGGCAAGCTTTACAGTGCAGGAGCAGCAAATGGGCTTTCACCCCATCTCTACCCGGCTCCGGCCAGCTTTCTTGAGCGAAGCTCAGGCATTATGGCCCAGCTGAGCCTTCGAAAGGACATATGGTAAAAGTTGCATCTTAACCGTGTAACGGCATGTTGGAGTCATCAACATGAACAATTCCAGACCATGCATCCGCAGGCGGAGCTCTTGAAGGATCTGGTCAGCCAGGACAGCCACCAGGCTGCACCCACACTGCAGGGCAAGGCAACGGACGTCGATAGGCTTGTCGACAGCCTTGTCGGATGTAATGAGATGTGGTAGGATGTAGTGTAGTGTGGAGCTGCAGCAGTCTGCCACGTGATGGAAGTCCGCAATCACGAGCTGCTCGACCATCTCTTAGGCATCGATGGCTTGGAAGGCAAGACGAGCCTAAGCCTCGGTGGGGCACGGTGGGGCACAGTCACCCAGCGGTCCAGTCAGGGGCCCGTTCGTGCAGTGTGCATACCGTCAAGGCATGACATACTTCAAAGCTATGCGGGCCGCCATGAGCTCCAATGACCTGGCAGCGATGGCCGATGCAACGCTCAAGTGCCCAGCACATGCAGCACATGCAATGGGCACCGACTTAGTACCACTCAGAGCACAAGTTGGTGGATGGTCGGCGGCATGTACAACGTCTGCATGTTCGGAAGCACGTGCACCGGTGCAGTCAACTGGTGAGCCGCGACATGATGTGCAGGTACTTGGAAGATCCAGCACCAGGTGGAACTCTGAACATGCATAGTCTTCCGGGAATGAGGCTTCCCACTTGACGCTCTGTCGCCACAGCAGTGGACTTAGGGACTTTGGACCCTGAAGGTACAGATGTCCTGGCAGCACTGACCGCGCTGGCCACACAGGCCTGTGCGGGATGGGGGTTGCTTACACTGTGGGAGCTCTACACAAGACCCTGCCGGCGTGCTGAAAGCACCGCCGCCAGAAAGACCTCCCGCAAGAAATACTGAATCGGTGTGCCAGAGTTAGCATTGCTAGGTGGTTCGCATAAGACGTTTCTAAGGTACCGAAACCAAAAAAAGAAACTTGAGCCCTTTCAGCCGGCAGCTCATCATCCGGGCTTGTAACCTGTGACCTCAGCCTTTTGGAACACTAAAGTCACTAAAGCTCAGGCCGAACTGCCACTACTACAAGTGACAGCAATGCGATAAAGCTGGTTTAAACGTCCTTTGCCCTCCGTTATCTCAGAGTGCCAGTCCCTCCCTGGCAGGCATCGGTCCAAAGCAACGTGCAGCCAGGGCCCATGACAACCGCTGAGACGAGACATGAGGAGATGCGAGGGCACTGGGGCACTGGAGTAGAAGTACGATTTGCGAAGAATGCGTGATCGGGGAGCTTTGTGACATCTTAGAGCTGTGACAGACTCTGACCTCGCAGCAACACTTGCAGCCTCTGAGGGAGCGATTGAACTTGGTCAACGGTCTGCAAGAGGCCACACATGGGTCCAAATAGCGTTTGCGCTTCCTACCTCCAAACTGTCAGTTGACTCGGATTCTGCTGCTGACTATAGAGCTTCACACCATCTGAAGCAGGCTATGAAGAAGGCCGTCCGCAACCCCGCAGACTTGGACTGAAGATTGATGCAGTTGTCTTTCTGTCAACTTGCATTCAAGCATATAGCGTAGAAATCTAGCTAACAGAGCATGGCGCTGCACCATTTTCCATCTCGTAAAGTCTCACAACTGCTTCGGCACGCAGATCTGTGGCAACTGCACAAGCATAACAAACAGCTGCAGGATTTGCTGCTTGCGACCCGATGGCCACTTTGGAGCCCGGGCCTCGTCGTTGAATGTGTCGAATGACGCCGGCATCGACACACAGTGCAAGCACACTGCAACGTGTTGAGTTTTGAGTGTTGCTACTAGGTGTGCTTAAGAGAGGAGCTCAAGAATGCCTGGACCGCAACCAGCTAGCGAGGCTTGATTCATTTCACCGTGGATGCCATCACACCAGCCGCATGAGCCGAGACATCACGGGGTCGATGTGTGGCGCACGCAGCTGCGCGAACCGCTGCGCATTTGCGCAGTCACACCCCACTCGTAGCCGTAGCCATAGTCTGACTTTGGGAGCACATTTGTCAAACGTCGGGCAGGGCGCAGCGGGTCGTACTTGTAGCAGAGCTCCAATTTTGAAGCGATTTTGCAGTCCACTTCCGGTGCTGGACGTGCGGCTGAGCCTCGCAAAGTGCAAGGCAGATCTCGGTTTTGCCTCCAGAGATCATGTCCCCGACAAAGGGACCGAACCGATTTAGCCGATTTAAAGGGAAACGGTTTAGAAACTGGGGCCTGTTGCTTGTTGAATCTTGTTGACTGTTGTGATGTTCAAGAACCAAGCAGAAGGCAGTCTTCTGCTTGTGCATGAGAGGCCTGGTTGACATGCAGAGTTAGAACATGCAAAGTACGAACAAGCTTCACATAAGTCAATGCAAGCAATCGCTGAATTCTGTGCTACTTGTACGATTCTAGCTGATGTATTCTGGTTGTTGGCGTGCCATTGTGTGGCAAGCAACACAAGATATCAAGCTTTCAGCGGCATTCGGGCAGGCTACGGGGTCTTTGACCCATCCAGCCTGGTTGCTGGAGCTAGTTTCACTCGTGAGGGCTTCCTGCCATAGCTGGTCGAGCAGAGGGGAGCACATTTCAGCACAAGGGGAGAACAGGTCGCTGCCTGGACATCGGACACCACGAAGTCCTGCAATAGACCGCACAGTGCGAAAGCACCCAGGTGCGATCTGTCGCGTGTGCTTGGCCCTGACAAGTTTGCTCCCAGATCCGGGCAGAGCTGAAGAAACAGCAGAGCCCCACTGCCAATTGAATACGACGAAGAAGATGCTGGAGCAAGAATTTTGCTCCTTTGCCGGGAACCGGTGGAGAAACCGGGACACGGTGTCATAAAGCCAAACGTATGAGGAAAGAGATCACGAGGGGATTCAGTACTTTCTCGGATTGCGTCCCTGCCATCTTCCCTTGAAACCTAGATAGAGTCCCTAAGACCCCGAACCGAGTGACCTTGGAAGCTTTGCTTGCCTTGCGTGAGTGAGAGTCGAAAAAACCCTAAACCCCACTAGTTATGCCCTTGTTACCGAGAGACATCTGGAGCCTTGCCTGCGCGTGCGCTGGCCCCTAGTCGTGAGAGTCGAAACCCTACTATTGCAAGGTGCTTCCGCATGCTCACTGAGCTCCAATATTGCTGGCAACCCAAGTGCACCTCAACCCAGCAACAGCACGCTGCCTTGGATCTGGAGGTGACCCGGCAGAACTTGGCTGCAATCCCGCTGGATGGCAATCTCCATGCATTGATGTTGCCGCAGGCACGGGCGGCACGGTCACTGCTCGTCCTAGCCGCCCATTTTAGATGACCTAACATTAATTCATGGTTCATTTACATATATATATATATAATCATACTCAACGATACTCTGATCCAAAATACGAAACTCTGATGTAAACACAAAAAATTTGAAAGTAATATGTAACGTATAATAAATACACGAAGATGTTGTTTCGACACAACGTGGCCCGAGACAGCATGGAGCGAGAAATCATGTGAGCCGAAATTTGACGACTAAGTTGTCTGCAAGGCGACGAGCTGAGGCGCTTGTAGGAATCCTAGCCATCCGCATCTATTCCGCCTGGGAATGGGTACTGATGGGTACTGTATCCTGCTTAGCCGACCGGCCTCCGTGAGTGGACGCTGCTCTGGGAGCAGGGTAGGTGATGTAGGTGGGGCCAACCATAGGATTTGTGTAGGATATCCTGGCCACTAACATGCATCAACGGCTTGAATTGCTAGCCACTGGGCCTTGGCTTTTTTGTTCTTCGCCACCTCCTGATTTCGCAGGCCGACCCTTCCGAGGCCAGGCCTGTCACCTCTGCAAGTTCATTCTTTGCAAAAGGAAATGCGCGAAATTGCCATGAATGTCGAGAGGGAGCGAGCGAACGTAACAACTGGCGATGTGATCTGCGGAACTGTAGATACCGTAGACAGCTTCCGGGCGCAATAGCACCGCAGAGTGGAAGTGTGTTTGTGTGTCTCCATGTGCGGCTTGCAACCTCACGCCAGCTTTTCACTGCGGTGAGCCGCAACTCTGCCGCGAGCCTGGTGGGAGAAGTATGAAATTCGCGGCCTTCGATAGCCTACACCATCACTGCATGTGTAGAGCATAACACGTGTGATGCACACGTGGTAGCCTGTTCTGCTGAACTTTCAACTTTGGTGGCAAGATGACCATGATACTGCTTTGGTGGCACCGCCTGCGTTCCAGGCCTTGGTAACCGAATTCCTTGAGGACAGCCTCGGGCGTCGATGGCAAACGACATGTTTGGCACTACACGAGATCATGTCGGCTGGCGCACTATGGCTGCCATAGTAGTCGCTGAGATCTCAGAGAGCACAAGGGCAACGATACCCGACTCATGGCAAAACTGCTAGGACCTGGATGATGAGCAGCTTGGCGTTCTCTTTGCTGAGGGCTTCTGCCTGCCATGCTCTTACTTGACAGCCGATGTTGAAGCTCGGTTGTTCGGGTTGAGCTGCCAAAGTTATGCCGCCACGTCAATGGCATGCTCAGCATCGAGCTTGTGTACGAGCTCTCAGCGCACAGCAGCAAGTTCAAGAAAGAGGCCCGCCCAAGCCAAGCCCAGAAAATGGGCTGTCCTGCGGCAGTCTGCGCGAGTCTGAACAGACTCGGATGTAAGCTCCAATGCATGCCCCCTGCATGCTCCACAGCTACTTGCATTTGAGGACATTCCTGAACTGTCTCAGGGCCGTATCGGTTCTGTGTCCGGGGCTCCTCCTGTAGCTGACGGCTTGCGGCCTCTGCCGGCGAGCAGGCAGCTTGGATTGCCAACTAAAGATGTGTTACATGAGTTGCTCTCATAGTATGGCCAAGTATGACTTAAACGCGAGTTGTACTGTTTTTTCACAAACAATTGAAGTCAGCTGTGTTTTTGGGACTCTTCTTGTCTCACCGTGAGCTGAGGGCTCGACATGGCCGCGCCCAGCTTGGATGATTTCGAGAGCCTGAGGGTGCTGGGAAAGGGGAGCTATGGCAAGGTTTATCTGGTTCGCCGCAAGAACTCCCCCAGCATGGAAATCTACGCAATGAAGATGCTGCGCAAGGAACATGTCATGAATCGTGCCTTGGCACGAAGACTAAGAATGCTTTGTGCCTTTGTGCTGCGGTCCTGTTGACACTTCTCAACTTGTAAGGCAATCAGGTCGAGCACACCAAGACGGAGAGGAACGTACTCGAGCATGTGAACCATCCGTTTATCGTGTCTCTCCACTATGCGTTTCAAACGCCCAAAAAGCCACTTAGAAGCAAAAGAAGGGAAGAAGGATGAAGAAGGGCCTACCAGAAGTGGTACAAACAAATAGGCCAAGAAAGGAGAATATACATATTACATATATATATATGTACATGAACCCGAAGGCTGTATCTGGTCCTTGACTACTGCCCGGGTGGGGAGCTCTTCTTCCATCTGAGTCGTGCAGGGCGCTTCTCTGAAGGGCGAACAAGGCATGGGCGCTTGCGGCTTCTGTGTGTGTGTGTGTGTGTATGTGCACATTCGTTATTGGTGGTGGCAGCACAGAACACTCGTAGAAGTCTGACAAATCGGAACTGCAGGTTTTACATCAGTGAGATTCTCTTGGCCCTGGAGTATTTGCACAGCTTGAACATCATCTTCCGCGATCTGAAGCCTGAGAATGTGCTCTTGGATGCCGAGGGCCATGCAAAGCTCACAGACTTTGGATTAAGCAAAGAGGGCATCTGTGACAACTTCTCTGCCAGAACCATGTGTGGAACTCCGGAATACTTAGCCCCAGAATTGCTGGACAAGCGAGGCCATGGAAGAGCCGTAGACTGGTACTCACTGGGCGCCTTGGCCTACGAGATGCTCACAGGTTTGCCCCCCTTTTACACGCAGGACAGGAACCTCCTTTTCGAGCGCATCCGCCGTGCCAACCTTGCATATCCGCAGTACATCTCACCCGTGGCGAAGTCCCTACTTGAGGGGCTCCTCACACGGCAGCCGGAGAGCCGCTTGGGCGGAGGCCCCCACGATGGAGCCGAAGTCCGGGCACATGGATTCTTCGCATCCATCGATTGGAACGCCCTGTACCAGTGCCAGGTGACACCACCCTTCAAGCCCAAAGTGTCAGGGGCTGGAGATGTGTCCAACTTTGAGAAAGAGTTTGTCGACATGCCAGTGGCAATCTCAGAGGCGGGTCCAGGAGCTCAGGGGGTGCACTTCGACGGTTTCACGTACCAAGGCAGCTGAATTTCAAGATCCCCGATGGGATCCGCTCTCGTGCAGAGAACTGGGTCCTACTGGTAGGTAAGGGAGCAACGCTCAGACTTTGTTTCAGTGAGTGGACCGCATGCAGAATAGACAGAAACAAGCTGTGTGCTTCTGCAATCTTCTGCAGCCAATTCTTGCCTGCCTGCCATTCATCTCCACGTCTTGTCTTGATGGATAATCCGCAGGTTATGCCAATGCCGGAGGAGCAGGATCCTTTTGTGGACTCCGAGGCTGAGTATCGAACTCGCAGAGAGTTGGCGACTTAGGCTATCTACCAGGAAAGTTGGCTTGTGCTCGCATTGCCTATGGGAGCATCCAAAGGGCGGTGACGCTCCATTTTTGCAAAGGAGTCTTGCATAAAAGTGCCTACCGAAACATCAGTGTCCCCTTGAGCTTTCACATTGAAAACTGTCCACATTGGGGGTGTTGAGTGTTTGGATGCGTTGTCCAGCCGCTGATGTGTAATTATAATTCTCTCCAGGCACATCCACGCTGGGACTGATGTGAGTTAAATCCATTCCTTGTGGGATAATGTGCGGCCAAGACAGCTAAGTACTGGGCCCAGCACAGGGGATTCCTGGCCTTGCTGCAAAGCTCCTTCCCAGTTATCTGCGCGAGCGCGCGGCCTGGCAGAAGCGGCAGATCTATCGGCAGGCAGGGGGCGGGGGGGCGAAAACAGCATGGGCAGACCCAGAGTAGAACCAGTATGGAGAGCTCCTGAGATTGTCAAACTCTTTCAAGTTCAGAGCTGTTTTTTAAAGCTGATCATCATCCTTCGGAGGCCTTTGACTTCCTGGGCCGCTACGTCAAGACTTTGGAAGTCGTGCTGAATGGACACCTCCAGCCCTGTCACCTACTGGTTTACATGCTTTCAGGGCCTCTACGGCCTTTCGTGTGGCATGAAGTGAAAGACTCCTTGTCCCCGCTGGGCAGGGATTTCTGCAGAGGTCACTGAATTTCCGCGTGCCAGTCACGGCAGTGTGGTACGTGCCTGCAGCTTGGTACACCTGCCAACCGGTCGCAGCACAGGGACTGGTGTGATACCATGTGCCACTCCCATAAATACAAAATCCATAATTGTCCACTCGTATGATCTCGTATGTATTCTGTAGTACAGAGTACATCACCTAGCAACTGCACGATATGGTTCAAGCAGCATGGTTGGCAAAGCTAGCTCAGGCAGGGTGCATCGAAGCAGCGCATCCTCGACGAGGTACCTTTCAGCTTGCCAGACCCCTGAGACGAATTGAAAGCCTACAAGCGGGACCTTACTGGAAAAGGCTTACCAGTAGCAGCGGCAACCGCCTGAAAAGCTGAGGCCAGACGTCAAGATGAAGAGCTTCATCCAAATGTGCACCTTTGATGCACATGGGCTCACCACAATCCCGGTGCCATGTAGTCTCTTCGTTTACTACTTCTTTTGTGCAGGCGTGGAGTTGAACAACGAGCTTCCTGGCTTCAGTTAGAATGGCTCGCAGCTGCTGGCAAGAAACGGAAAGTAAATAGAGCTGGAGTGCTTGAGTATGTTTGTGTCGTTTCACAAGCTTTCAAGCAGGCTTTCACGCAGGCTGCAAATCAACCGTGCGCGATGTGTATTGCTCCAGGTCTCGCCTCATCCTGGCATTGTCTAGGTTTTCGTGCACCTGACAAGCTTGAGCAAGTGCTTGGTTGCAAAACGACTACATCAGTTGACGATGCTGGCTATGGTACTTGTACCTCCGAAAGACGTGATGCACCGTGCAAATGCCAGACTTTGTCCACAGAGATACCGCAGATGGGCCGTCTGCTTAGACACAGCTTGGTGTTCCTCTCTTGTGACCAGACCACCGGCATGGTGTATGCCACAGGCACAGCTCTACCTTCCAGATGGTGTGTTTGGGCCTCGTTACGATGCCACGCCCATTGTTGCAGTACAGTGTGTTGATTCAGTTGATTCGCTGAGATTGTGCGAGGCACCGACCATTTTGGGTCTTCCTTGCCAACGATGCGAAGCACATGCAGAATCTGATGAGCTGTGGTCCGAGTGCACTTGCACGCAGCATCTCAGAACAAGATCCGTTCATGTCTACTCCATCCACTCCCACTCCATCTCCCAAACTCCGAAGTGAGTGCAGCTGCAAATCTGCCAAGGATCGTCCTTGTACTTGAGCTTGTGCTTGGCATTGCATGCGGGCCTCTTCCTGGTCGCTCCCAAGGATGCTGATGTCAGTAGCGGCTCATTTGTGCCATTACGTGCTACTACGTGCTACGTTACATCTCAGCTCGCTCAGGAGGCGGATGGTGATCTGATGTGGGCGCAGCAAACTCAGACCGTCCATGGAACGGCTCTGCAAGCTCGGCACCTGGCACCATAATGCAAATGCGGGTGCCACCTCGGAGGTCCCCTATGGCGCAGAGGACACCTGGGAAATTTCACAGCCATGCATCATGCCCCGATGAAGGGAGCATTGAGAGAATAGTAGTATTTCTGGTGGCAAGTTTCGTGCACACGGACATGTTGCCAGGCAATGCACACTGCACTCTGATGAGGATTTCAGAAATACTGGGAGCTTTACATCTTGCCGCAAGCTTGTTTGACTATCTTTGTTGCCAGGTTGTGACAGCCTGTGCTTTGTATCACCACCCGCTGTGCTGCACACTGAGGCCTGCACGTTACTTTGGCTTTGTCTGTATACTTGCATCCAGGCGGACTGCAAGTGTCAGCAGAAGCCACGAGTGTCTCTGAAAACAGTATTGTCACTCGTCATGAGACGAGGTTTTGTGTTCGCATGTGGGAACTTCCAAACTCAGCTCCGCTCAGCTTCGAAGCGCAGGTGCCTCTGAGCATCAAAAAGGTACAGACCCAGTATCCCAAGAGGCGCTGCAATGAAGCCGAGCTTCATGCACACCTTTGTCGTTGTGATCCCGTTCCAAAACATCCCAAAACCAGGAATTCGCTCGTCAACATCTGCGCTGCCTGGGTTTGCTTCCCAGGGCTTGTGAATGATATGCGTTTGGCGATTGTGGTGTTGATTCCATCTGACGGCCTTCCAGGGACGCTACATGAGTCAGCGTTTGCTCCAGTCCTGGTCTCGATGGAAATCATTTGCAGTGTCTTCCGGGCCCTTGGCCCCCGCGCAAAGCCGTCTGAAGCCCTCAGAAGTCATCATGTGCGAAGAAGGTGGCGCGGCATAACGCTGATCCTTACCTCACTGGCTTTGTTCAGCCAGACGCTCATGCGATGTTGTCTTGCATTTGTGTTTCCGAAGTCCGTCGATCTCAGGACGGCACTGGTGGGTATACAGGCCACTGCAGAGCCAAGGAATGGTTAAGAAAAAGCCAGAAACCCCAAAGCTCCGTCCTGACAGTTTCTTGCTGGCTGATTTCTTTGCCCAGAGCCCATCACTACAGTGCGGGCCTGGGCAATCTCAGTGACCTCCATCTGCCCAAGTGTGCCGTTCTGCTAAGGACCGTGCTGAGTGGTGTGGTGGCTCCTGCATGGTGGCAGCCTTATCTTGGCAATCCGCAGCCGGAGCTCCCTGTTCAGAAGTCGGGTGCAGGCCGCTGTTCATGACCTTTCTTGGTGCTGGCATCATCACCTTCGTCTATGGTGCTATAGGCTATCCGTCTATTACTCCGCTCGATTCCATGACCTTCGTCCTTCATGATAGCAAAGCGCACAGAGCCAATTGCCAGGACTGCACAACTTCCGCGACGAGTTTGGCATGTACTGCGACCAGAACATTATGGATCGGCACCTGGCACAATCAACGTGGGCTTGCCCACAGTCCAAGTTGTCGCAAGTTGTCGAGCCATCCTAGCCTTCACCATCACCTGAAGCTCAGCCAGGCGCAATTCAATAATCCATCTTGATACTGAGTTTGCGGACTCAGGTTTGCACACAAAGCATCCTCTACATGGGTACTCGTGCTGGAATTGTGGGGTGCGCCGAACTGCAGAGAAAAATGGAAGCAACGAAGTTGTGGAAGCACGACCAACAATGAGGTTGAGCGGCATGATGGACCAAGTGGGCCCCGAGGACTACTTCTGAGGATAAACAAGAGATCAGTCAGCTCCTCCATTCACGCTAGTTGCTGGTCAGGTCTGGTCCATTTTGTATCGCAGTTGCTTTGCACAAGCTTTCCAGAGGATGACCTCTGGTTCCAGCGCATGGTGTATGACATCAGCCGGGGCCCGATAAGGACTGCAGATGCCCGAAAGCTTGATGCTGCATCACGCAAGAATCCCCGAGCCAATCATGGATGCTCGTCACGGATGTCCATCATGGGTGCCCATCTTGAGGCTACTTTGTAATCTTTGGCGTCATGCTGCTCAACACGATTGTCGCGCTGATTGTGGACTCCTTCCAAACTCAGAGGCTCGCTCGCGCCCTTGCCACTGGCAACCCGTAACTTGCAGATCGTGCTCAGGCGAGAAGCAACGGCTCGTGAGAACAACTTGGAGACGCCACCCTGCAGCACCCGAGCACGGCCCACCCCCTTCCATTCCGTGGTTCGGCGAAGTACCTGCCATGGGATGCCAACATGCAAGTTACGCACTTAACAAATAGATTGTAGGGCCAGCCAGAATGTGGCGAAGGCAGTCCTTCATTTCCTCCATCGACCGCAAAGTCATCGAGTGCCGAGCTTTGAATTCTCTGGTCTTTGTAAATGCTCATAAGCCTCCTCGGCGGGCTGACCTGCATCGATGCACCTGTCGAGGTCTGTAGCTCAAGCTTCTGGCATTGTTGACGGTTTCGAGTACCATGAGACGTACCGGCAGAACAAGTGGGACCGAAGTGCTGGGGAGATCCTGAAAAAGGTACTAGTAGTGCCCCAACAACTAGGTATCCCAGATGTCCACAGGACTACATGGCATTCGTTTTCCATCTCCGCGAGAAGCACGCGCTGGACGGGCTTCATGCGTTCCACGAGAGTGTCACGAGCTTGCCGGGATTGAAGGGTCACTTCAGCATAGTAGCGCACGCACATGCTTGCACCTGTACTTACACGATATTTGAGGTAATTCTCGCTGCTTGGTCAGAAGCTGTTCCCAAGCTGCCAAGCAACACATGCGTCATTGTGCCAGAACTTCACTGGGCCTGCAACTTGGAGATGCGCCATTTTGGCTGGTTCCGCTGCTTCACGCTTGCTCATCCAGCAACCTTCTGCTAGTCTGATGAGAAAAGCGGTGTAGCTCGTATTCAAACTGCGGATTCATGCACAAAGTTGTGAGGCCGGAGAGTCAGATCCGGCAGTTCATCGACAGCTCTGACGCCCTCTGACTTTCAGTGCTGTTGTAAGCACAGCTTTGACTGTCGAATGCTGCCTCGGATGATTATGGATGACTGGTTCTCCCTCTTCACTTCTCTTCGGGCCTGGGTTCGAGATGATTGTCTAGATGTAGCAGGTTTCTCAGGCGCCGACCAGTGTAAAGCCCACTAAGGTAACCTGGCTCCCCATTGGACGGCGGGGGACCTCAAGAGATGCAACGGTAGCGATTCCAGTGTGGGCCCATCCTGGCCTGAGGTCCAAGATGCTGGAGGGAAAGTCGGCAGAGTCACAGGAGGATGCTTGGTCCACCATTTCCAGACCATGTGTAGACCTGCTTCTCATCTGGAATCTAGACAAGGACACATTGACTTTGATTCAGAAGCAGAACTCGCGAATCATTGGCGTGGTTGGCTCAGCCAATGAGTTACTGGCGTCAAGCATCAGGATGCTCTCTTTTCTCGAGGCCCTTCAGCAGACTCAAGACAATCGTAAAGCCAGATCCTCAGCCAACTCAGGGCTCATGCAATGGAAATGTCACAGCTGGTGGCGCCCAAACTCAGGCAACGAAGGCAAAGAAGCATACAATCCAACATTGTAAACCAAACACAATTGCAACTTGCAAATCCATGCCGGACCCCGAAGACATGGCAAGTCGCCAAGCGAATGTCATTTGTCACTGAGACCCTCTTCAAAGCCATCGGCAGCTTAGGCTCATGTCTTGCAGTGCGTGTCAGTGGCCATGCAAGGGGCCTCAAAGTAAGAGTGCGTGCGAATATGTCACGGCTTTTGTTCGTGCAGCCCGATCGATGCGCGACAAGACCGAGAGTGTTCAGGCGCCGATTTTCGAGCTGTGGTTCTTTTAGGCCCGTGATAAGATGAGAACATGTTGAGTCTATTGGGAGTACTACTTGGTCGCAGCTTTTTGGCTCCCAGACGCACTTGTATGTATCCCAGTCGCACTTTTATGTATCCCACAAAAGATGGAAACCATCAGGCAGTCAGAAGATGGAACACGCACCAACACGCATCAGCTTTTGACAATTCACGACGGGCACCTGTGCTTGCTGTTGCAGTGATCTTTGTCCCTGCGCAGCGCGACTGCAGCAGCCTGCGGTGACCCCCGAACCTTGGGCTCAAACGTCCCTGACCCCTGAGGGTTCTAAAAGCCTGTGGACCCAAGTGCTGGAACAGGTTTGCAAAAAAGAAATGCATGTGAGGATCTCCTCCTACTAGCAACCACTGATCGTTCCAGGTCATTGCAGCCTTTGCCAACGTTTGAGAGATGGTGATGATCAGATACCTGCTTATACTTGAACAGGGAGTGAAGGGATAGCAAAACAGAGGAAGTTGTGGTGTTGTATTGACTGCGTAGCCTTCAAGCATAAAACGAGCGTCGCGAGCCTGACCCGCAAGCAGTGACATGGAGAGGCTGCGCAAGCAAAGTGTGCGCATGCACAACGTGGATACCCACCAAACCCTCTCAAGACGAGACAAATCAGCTTGTTGGCGCTCAGGATTTGATGCGCAAAGTTTCGGCCTTCTTTTGCACGGAGGATGCTGGCCACTTCAATCCAATGCTGGCTTTAGCAGAGTCGCTTTGGCATACTCAGTTTTGCAGTTTATCCTTCGGTTCTGAGATTTGACTGCATCGGTTGCACTTCTGCTTCGGATGTAAGGTCCTTAACAGCTCGAGGCTGGCAGGTGTCCTTCTTCGTGCCCAAGTCCAAGCAAAAACAAGTGGAGGGAGCAGGACAGATGCAGCCCAAAGCCCTGAAGCCCAGAACACGAAAAACACAGCCTTTTCTCAGAGCCTAATTGAACCCGTGGCCCTGTTTACTGTAGTAAGTTAAGTCTTTTGAGGGGTTTTGACGGCAGGGTTTCCAAAAATCGCTGTCAGTTAGTATCAGGTTGGCCTTGTGAAGCGATTAGTCAAAAAACCTATCAGACGGGAACGGCTAGGTGGCAATGCACCATAGCAAGTCCAATCGAGGAGCACAGTGGTGTCATTTTGGCACGGAAAGTTGGGATCTCTTTGACGGCGCTCTCCGCGTTTGCGACGAGCTTGGCTTGGAGGCTCCGGACGAGCTCGACACTTGCCGCTAGTGTGGGCATGGGGCAGGCTGCCAAAAAAGGAGCAAAGCTAGGCGTTGTGGATAGGCGTGTGCACTAGGAAATAGACGTTCTGTCTCAGGCACAAGTGCTCAACTGAAACCGGGATGAATCACGCAACGGAAGTTGGGGCTAGCCCACGCCTCATCAGCTTCCTTCCAGAGGCTTCTCAGGGTATCCATAGGCCTTGCTGAACCTGTAATTGTACAAGCAGGCGGCACCAGGGCGAGCAGAAAAGCCTTACAGGGCTTGTGCTAAGAAATATGGGAGCCTGAACCGGAAGCTGTGGGCTTGTGCCAAGGATCCCCGGGTCTGGATCTTGCCCTCTTAGCCTGACGTGTGTAAAGTAGGAAAACATGTGCTGCATGATGCCGGGGACGTAGAGTCGTGGCACCCAGGAGCCCTTGAAGATCATGCCTTTTGCAGTGGTGCCCGCCACACTGGACATCATGCCCTACCTTATCGGAAGCAGCCCAGCGGCACCGATCTTTTCGCAGACCGAGCATGTGCCAGCCGATGTTTGAAGGCACTCTCTGAGGATCTTTGAGGCGCACTCCCCTTGCCAAGTTTCAAGATCTTGCCATGCCCAGGGATGACTGAGCTGCAGCCAAGCTTCATCGCCTTTGATGCTGCAGCACCATTCGGCTACCTCCTGGCCCAGTACCTGGAGATCCCCGCCGTGCAGCTCGGAAAAGGAATTAGGTACATTCGCACGACGGTCATTGTCTGGGCTCCTAAGCGTGAAGACATGAAACTACTGAAACAACAGCCTTGCGGAGCTTCTCTCGGCGGTTTGTCAGGTGCTCCATGTCGGCGCTGCCCGTGCCCATGGCAGATCGTGAAGTGGAAAGCAGTAGGGACCTTAGCAGCCCACTCGGCTGTAAATTGTTTGACGAAGACCGAGTCACGAGACCTGATGACTGCAGAGACTGATGTTAGGTCGACGCTCCGAGCTGGGAAAGCAGCTTCTTGATGCAACATCAGCCGCCCTCCTTGCAAGATTTGGTCTCAGCTTCAACCACAACTACGCGTACACCTGCTTCCCAGATTGCACAAATCCCAAGGGTGATAAGCACCCCAGAGACTGCAAACGTGCCGATGTAGACGGCAAGGCTACAGCGACTACACCATAGTCTGGTGTTCACGGTTCTGGCATGAGCAGAGCTCGGATTTCTCGCCTGGGCAGTTTCATTGCTGCTCGGCTTGTCATGTCATGGCTGGCTATGTACCCATATGTACCGTTGGTACAGGATGCCTCGGACATGAAGCGCACGTGTGCCATGTTACATCATCTCTTCAAACGCGCACTTCCCACACCTGTGCCATCCTAGATTGGGGTGCGCTGACGTCCCAGCGCAAGGGTGTTTCTGGCGGGCCATGTTGGCTGCATACAGTCGACGTTGCACTGTCCTTTCATGGTTGTTGTGGCGAGAATCATGTGAGACCCGGCTTCTCAAAGGGCACATGTGCAATCATGTCCGTTACATGTGGAAACCACAAGAACACAAGTAGACGAGCCAAGTTTGGGCTTGAGTGTGCATTGGACGCATCACGTCCTTGACCATGCCGAACGATCCAAAACGCACTATATATGATTATATATGTCTTGAGAACTGGCCTGCCCAGACCTGGTGCAGACGCCGTGTCGCAAATGCTGGGCGAGGTGTCTGGACGTTTGGTGTGCCTTGGCAGCTGAGGCAGCCATCAGCGCAGCACCAACCCATGAAAGCATCACGGAGTCTCTCTGGTCTTTGAAGCGCCTGAAGGCTGTGCTCGCTGGGAACAATCGCCACAGGTAGAGACCTCAGCGCACGGATCCTCCGACGTGTGAGCAACAGGCAAAGCACTCTCCCGCCACAGGTGATGCATTTGGAAAGTTCGGGAGTGCTTCCTGGCTTGAGCAAAGGCCTAGGCCAGGGCCTAACCGCCCCAGAAGCAGAGAGGGTTTCATTTATGTTGGGCGGAACTGTTTATTTCTCAAAATGTAGTCCTGCAGCTTCCCTGAAGCCACATCCTACCATGACCATACCGCACAGGGTGACTGGTGGGCAACCACCGCCGCCCCCTCTCCGCCAACAACTCATTGGCAGGGCTGCTGCCATGAACGTAAGGCTCCGCAAAACACATTTCATGTGGGGCTCTGTAGTGGCCCGGACATTCGCTTTCAGCACAAGTACGGCTAAAGCAACAAGTAATTCTCAGTTGGATAACCCCGACAGACTTCGCACCCCCAGTTTCCGTGACTTGTGTGCTTGTGTGCCTCTGTCTTTGTGCGCGTGTCGGTGTCTACCATACTGGCTCCACCAAGGCTGTAGTCGATTTTTTCCAGAAGCTTTGTCGGGCTGCCGTGCTGCTGCAGAAGGAGATGCCAGATGTACGGTTGGCAACTTGGCAAAGGAGACGAGACTTGTGAAGGTGTTGTAGTTCAACGGCTTGTCTTTCCATCTGATTGCTGTCACGTGCCACTCCAAGACAACTGATCGCAGATTGCCACGCGCAGCGGATGCACGGAGTTGATCCGTCTCCGCTTTCCAGGTGATATCTGCCGGCAAGAATGCAGATCTTGCGGAGGCCGGCGCATGCTTTCTCCTTGCGCCGTTGCTCCGACTAACCGACTAACAACCCGTGCTTTTCAGGAAGGCGGCCGCGTGACGCACCTCTTCGGTGAGGCTGTGCCAAGCAATGTCCTCGTAGCCAGGCTCGCCGCGAAACCTGCGTTGCATTTCGATGCTTTGGAATGCATCAAGTGCTCCGTTAGCTCCGTTCTCTGGCAGCTACTGGTACAATCAATGCAGGAGCTTGGACCAGTTGGCGGTGCTAGAGAAGGCACATGCCTTTGTCACGAGCCTTGGGCTGCAGCATAGGCGCCCCACAGCCAAGAGGGCCGCAAGAGATTGGCACGTGATTCCGCCGCCAGCTGTTTCGAGAGAATCACCACTAGGCATTGTGGTCAGAACAGCTCCAGCGAGGCCGTCCTCGCAGGCCTGGCTGGGCTAAGGCATGCTAAGGCTTGACATAGCTGACAAGTGGTCAGAAAGATGAGAAGTGGAAATCGAGTTTGCCTTGCCTGCTGAGGAGTGCCTGTGGTTGCGGCGCCTTTCTTTGGTGACCAGCCCTTGAATGCCCAACGATTCATCGCCCTTGGCTGCGGACTGCTGTGCCTCCGTTCAACTTCACCTTACTGGCGATGATCCCTTGCATGTTTGCCATGTGAAACTGCGCGACGGTTGCAGAGTTGCCTGGTGATTACCAAGGCAATCCTACGTTGACGTCCCTCCGCCACCCAGGGAGTACAGCTTCCGGCCCGACCTGGATCGAGTGTGACTTGGCAGAGATGGAACAGGCTTGTAAGAAGGGTGTTCGCATACCGCATTTGAGCAGACCTGGCAGAATTGCATGTCGGCACCTGGCCTGCGCTTGCTAAAAAAGGTCAGCTGAGTCTCTGGCAACAGCAATCCAGCGGGTCCTGGATGAGCCTCAGTTTGGCAAAACCATTCGAGACCTCCGAGACAAGGAGGCTTTGTTGCTCTTTGTGGCTCGAGCTGAATCTGGGCTATTGCGCATGCAGGCTGAAACGTCGATGGATGAGAAACTGGAGAGTGTCCTGGATGACAGCCCAACAAGTCTTGAGGTGTTGAAATGTCAGCTCAGGGTCGCCAATGGAGTCCACACCTGCAAAGCCTGCAAGGCTTGTACACCTTCATCGCCCAGCATCAAGCTCCACAGCCCAGCTGAGTCGCATGTCAGACAACCTGACCTGAGCCGACCCCAGGAAGCAGCGTCCTCGCCCCTCGAAGATGTAGGGCCAGTGTACGCTGCACATTTCCTGCTTCTTAGCGTCATTGATGCATCCTTCGGGTCACTCGGCTGTGCCTTGTCCTGTGCCACTTCCGCCGAAAGGCTCCTTTTTTGCATATTGCAGAACATCACACCAATTCTACTCCTCACTAAAGTTCGCTGCTTTTGAAGGGCCATAGAGGCCAAAGGCTTGTGGAGACAGCCGAAGGGCGTCTCCTCACAATGGGCACAGGCAAAGGGTAACGGTCCAAAGTAAAAAGGGACCCCATACAGAGAGCGCTCTGCGCAAGCAAAAAGACACAGAAGCACTACATTTCCTCTCTCCGTCATCTTCTCACCTCAAGTTCCCTTTGTGTTCTTTCTCTCTCTCTCGCTCTCGCGCCTGTCCCTCATTCATTCATATTCGTTCGCTGCCTGTCTCGCACTTCCCTCCTCTCCATGGCTTTCTTGCTTTCTTGCTCTGAGTACTCCTGTCTGTTCCGGGCGCTCGCCCTCTCACCCTCTCTTTGCTCTCTTTCTTTTCTACTGGCGCACGTCACGACTACGGTGGTTGAGCATGGTCAGGATCAGCTAAAGATCATTCTGGCCCAGCATTCCGAAAGCAGGTCCCCCAGTCAAAGCCAGCAATGTGCCACATCGTCCGCAACTGTTCAGATTCATAAACAGTTTCCATCAATCTGCCTCAACGAGGCGGGAAAGACTCGCCACTCGCTGCCAGTGGAATATCCAGGCCAGCATTGGCATTGGCCATCAAGGAAGCACATAGAAGGGTTGCAACGCATTGGCTATGGATTGTTTTTTTTGCGCTTGTTCACGCAACGATTCCGGAGCATCGAGCTGCCAGGCAATCGCCAAGCAGCATGGTACAGACATGTACAGACTCGTTGGCACGTCGGCTCATGTTGATCAGGCCTGCCTCCAAGAAGACGCTCGAGCCGGAAAGCCGACCAGATTCCGCATCCAGGCCTTGAAATTGTGAGTAGCTTGTCATACGTCGCAGCTCGTCGTATCCACAAGGTCGTTTGTGCGAGCATGTCCACCCAGTGCTCTTGAGACCGATCCCTGCTTCAAATTGGCAGACCCTCCAGGAAGTTTTCAGAGGGAGACAAAGCGTTTGGAGAGGCGACCAGCTGCACCCGCTGACCATCAAGATCCAGAGGATTCCGGGCCTCCTGCGGCCTTTGCAACCAATCTGCAAAGGCCACGGCGTTTGTCAATGTACTGATGCGCACTGCACAGCGCCCTCCGCGCCCTCTGCTCACCTCAAGGCAGGGCTGTGAAGGGGGGAAAGGCTCGGAAGCTCTCGTAGCATCTTACAAAATCTTGCAGCATTCCGTTGCCATGCAGTTCTGCAGCCTTAGATCGCGGCCCAAAGTGGCTACGATAGTGACAGCGCAATCTTTGGATGAAGGGGAACTGCCGACAATGGCACATGCACGAATCATGCTAATCCGATTCCAACTGTAGCTGGTGATGTTCCCTTAGCAATACTGAACACAACAGGTGAAGATGCATGCAGCTGTACAGGTGCACTCTCCGTTGATTCACGTGGCAAAGGCTCCACTCACACGAAATACGCATGATCCAAACGAGGGCGTGGCGATGATGCAGGTTTGAGATCCAATGCACCATTATGCCCCAACGCCAAAGATCACTGCCTGCAAACGGCACGCTTGTGGCACCTATGCCTCATACAGACCCCTCGGCTCAAGCGGGAATGCGGGACGAGCCGAGTCAATTCGCACAGCGCTTAGCTGCCGAGTTATCACAGGCTGACAGGCCCTTTTCTGGGTGAGCGAAGGAAGGCAGCAAATCATGCGCGCATGTGCGGAACTTCTGCATCGCTACCGTGCTCTGCCCATCTCTGCCCCACTACCAAGGTTGATTGGTTTTTGGAGCATGGCTCCCAACAAGGCCTTGCTGGCCTCGCTGCTTACACCATCCCTGCACCTCAAGGGTATCGAATCCAATTTGGAACCTGAACCCTCGTGCTAAGATCGTGATGCCGGCATCAGAGCTTTCAATCTGCACCTAATGCTGGATGATGGCAAGCGCAGGATGAGAAGAACCTTGTGGATAGGCTGCGCGCCTTCCAGAGAAGCAATCAGGCCAGATCATCAACATTCAGACTGAGGACACATCACAAGATTGCTAGACTCCAGGGGCTGAAAGACAGCAGAATCGGGCTTGGAAGTGCAGCAACTTAGGCTTGTACTGGCTTCTCCCCTGACAGGCCAACAAACGATGTGCGGACTGTCCCGAGCGTGGCCCGACATACGTTTGCCTTGATCTTACTGCAGCAGCCTGTGCAAGGCCAAGCACGTTAGAGCATTCACAGCGCCTTGCCATGTGCTTTCTGGTACAGTAGACGAAGATGTGAGATGGAAACCTGTGCCTTCTTTCATGAAGGGGTGCATTTGCCTATTGTTCATACAGTACCCCCTGTCGCCCCTGTCCTCCCTCCCCCGAAAAATTCGTCCTTGCTTGGGACCCCGAAACAGTTTCGAGAAAGGGGGCTCCTATATGAAGCAGGCCCGTGTTGGGATCTTCAGCGCTGTGAAGGTTTAAGGTTGAAGGAATGATCGAAATAGAGACCCTCACAATAGCACGACCCTCAGCTTCTCATATGTCGAGAAAGACGTATTCGAAAATAGCTGGCATTGGGCGGTACAATCCGAACAACCGTCTGGACATGGTTTAAGGGCTTTCAGGAAGCACCAACTGCCGCAGAGGACCCGTTCCGGGTGAAGGCTTCGGTGAGGGCACAGCTTGAACGTCCACCAGCCGGCAATGGCTGAACATGTAAGTCTACTGATCCGGAAACCCGACCTCTTGCTGCATGTTGTTGCGCGATCCGACAAGCAACTGTTTTTGGCATGCCCACTAAGCGCTAAGCCGAACTATGGAGCTTTTCTTTGACGCCATTGGCCAGCAATGAACAAGAAGTCATGAAGCATGGCAGCGCTATCTGTTTCTCGGCGCTCTGGAACTGCATGTGGTACTGCACGACATCATGCACCTTCCTCAGGTTTGGACTATCAGATATTCGTGTGCCAGACGTGCTGTGGCCTTCACCGAGAGCCCACTTCTCAAAGAGAAACGAGATTGCCAGCTTTTGCAAGAATCGTTGAAGTTGCCACGAAGTCAGGTTCGGCCACAAGATCAAAAGCATCTCCTTCTCAGAATGGAGCGAGGCCGAGGCGGGACAGCTGGACAGCTCGGTTTCGTTTTTTTGGTAGCCTCCTGACATCGTGTGTTGGAGGGTACTGCGCGCGCCATGAATACTGTCCTTCTGTATGCCGCACCCCAATGAAGGTGGCCAAGCTGGAGGAGGGTGGCAACGAACTTGCCCGGGCAAAGTGGCCCGACGCCCAAGTGAGCCTGAGCACCGCCGTGAAGTGGCGATGGTATCCCACGTTGTTCTGGCTGTGGATGCTTCGACATGCGCTGAAGACTTTGCAATCAGGTCCGCTGCCTTGATCAGATGCAATTTGCAATGATTGGCCAAGGCTGGACAGATGGCATGCCGAAGCCTTCCCGGAGCCAGATGGTAGCGATGTGGACCGAGCAGAACGTAACTCGTAGCCATCGCCGTCTGTCTCTTGCTGAGCACGTACCAAAACAATGTATGTCGGGGGTTCGAGAGTGGCGCTGCTGATTAATTCCGCCACGCGGACAGCGACACACCATAACGCCCATGGCCCATGCAGCACGTGATCCTTAGGGTTAAATCAGGCTAACTTGGCTCATCCTGATGCTAGATGCTACCACCTCCTTGCGCAGGAAGCCGTGCGAGAATTCATCAGGCTAAAGTACGTAGAGAAGAAGTGGTCGGGACCCCGCCCAGCAAATTCTGCATGTCAAGGGATCAGCTCTGATGCTGGAAACAGGTTCCGACCACATGGAAAGCCACAAACGCCGGACGCCTCCAAGGCAGGCTGTCTTGTCTCGGAGCTTGTGGTGTGAAGAGAGTGCTTGGGCAGTGGAGGTGGCTACTGCTGCCCCTGCTGCTGCCCCTGCTGCTGCAGCCCCTGCTGCTGCAGCCCCTTGGACTTTTAAGGTGGCTCTTTCAAGCGGCTGAGCCTATGCTTTCAAAGGCCGGCTATGAAACTTCCGCGCCGCAGGCGCCTGCGCAGGCTCGAGCCTTCACCAGAACATGGAGCGTGTATTTGCCACCACCACTGAAGCCTCGGGCTGATGCGGAGGCTGTAGACCTTCTTTCTGGAGGAGATCCATCACCGGTTGAAGTTCCTGTCCAGAACTCGGCTCAACGGCTCAAGATCTGAGTCGCTTCTCACTGTCCCACTGAAAGACTGATCTGTGCAATGCCTTGCTGGAAGAATCAGGGACTGGTTTTCCTGGAACCGCTAAGTACCACTTCTGCACCCTTAGTGTAAGAACGTCAAAACGAAGATGCCAATGGGTTCAAGCATCAGTAGGGGTTTGGTCTCGAAGAAGGGCTACTTTGTAGCTCTCATCTGAGAGCCATGTGAGGATACTTTCAATCTAACCAGTGGGCCAACTGAGAATACGTAGAAAAGGCCCAGTTTTGTGACCTTCGTGATCTGTGGAGGCTCCGGCTGCTCAGGCCAAGGCTGAGGCCCATGTCCTGCCGGTTGTAGTCGCAGAGCGTAGTCGCAGCGTAGGCGAGTCAACGAGTGTGCTTTGGGATTCCTGGAAATCTTGGCTCCGGAGGGAACGCAGCATTCAAAACTAGAAACGCCTGCTCGGTGCGATGTGCTGCAGTAAAAAGTGGGTGAACCTTCCCTGGATCACTTGCAGGTGTCAGATCTTCTGGGCGGCTTAGACCTTGGACAAAGCCAGGACACCCCAAAAGAATGGTAGGCTGAGCTCTGAGCTCCGTGAAAGAAAGAGAGACTCACGTTATGGCCTTCGATATGGCTTCCACACGTGTTCACTAGGGCGACGGTGCCTACAAGAAGTTCAGAAGCGATTCCAGTCATGGAGTGGACTTCTCTACCCACTGATACGGCTTGGAATGGTTGGGGTGTTGCAAGAAAGGCTCCCAAGGGTGCATCTGAGCTACGAAGACTGGTGGCCCTCCACCGCCAAAACGTCAAAAGTGGCCCTGGGGCGGCCTTTGTGAGTACGCCCTAAACCCGAAACCCCCAAACTCTTACATCCCAAGCTACCGAACCATAAACTCGGCCAGTGTCATCATCACCGGGGAAAGCAGCGGCTTAGGGTTCGTACTTTAAAGGCTATTAAAAGGGCTCCGAAAAGGGTTCCTAGAAGGATTCCAGAGGGGAAAGAGTTGTAGCGGTTGAACTAGATTTACGGCTCTAGGGGCTAGGACTGGAGAGCTGAAAGGGTTCAGAGTTCAATCCCAGAGCTATGCCAACATTTGCATGTCATAGCCGCGCGAGCATCTGGCACACGGGTCATTCCTTTCCTTGCATACGGGCGAAATCACGCGGGTGCGCTTGGGTCGAACAAGTGGGAGGAAGGGACTGACGAACAAACACCGCAAGGACACCACATCCCAGGCCGAGGGCCGAGGGCGGGGTAGCTACAAGAACAGCGAGTCTGGGTCACTTCAACCAGGAGCAGCCTTGGACGGCGGATTTCAGCAACGTGTCGAACTTCGCCCCCAAGGCCGCCAGCATCGACATGTTTCACTATGCTTCACTATTCCGGCTTGCTTCCTTTGTTGTTGGGTCATGTGATCCTGTCATGTCCTGTCCCACTTCTGTAGGCACCCCCGGACCTGACGGGAGCAGCAGCTGGACTGATCGATTTGGATTTTGGCTGGAAACTGAGCGTGAAGAAACAGTGCCAGCACTTTTCATGGCACCTGTCATGGCACATCGTTGACTAAGAGCCACACCTGGTTACGGGCTCAGGCCCGCTGGACCTCTTCCCAACCGTTCATTGACGGCGTTATTCTTGAGAGCGGCATGCCATGCGAGGCACGTCACCTCCGAAGGCGGCGCCTGATGCAGAGGTACGGATCCTGTTCGCTTACCCTCGATGCATGTTGCAGCCCTGCAGACCCCGATCGGTGGCAGGAATATGCTCATCAGGATTTTGCAGATACACTTCTCATGTCATGCAAACATTTGCAAACTAACAATCTGCTAATGCTGAGTTGGCTTGGCGGCATAGCCATACACGGTCCGGTTTGCGAGTGAGCCGTTTCGGCTCAGGGCCTGTGCCTGTCCAAAATGCCCATGGAGATGAGATGCATGTGGAATGAAAAGTTCACAATTGGTACCTCACCCTACTGCTCTGCGACAGCCGTAACAAAGCCCAGTTCACTTAACATCTCCAAGAATTAGGAAAACGTAGCACAGTTAAGCTGGCATTGTAGATTTTGGCACGCAGAGCATTTTAGGTGGTGGTGCCATGAGCTCTACCGATGACACTGACTTGCTGTGCTGATGCATCCAGATGAGTCAGACAGGAATTTAGTCGACGCTTGCATGCACTGACTCCACATGACTCCACCATGAAGCTGGAAAGTCTGAGACTTTTTTCCAGTTCGAGAGAAAAGTACGACTCCAGGGCCATGCCCTGTGATTCATAGTGTCTTTGTGCTGGCTCCTGGCAGGCGACAGCTCGAAGACCGCTTGTGATTGAGCCACACCCACGGAGGGTCTTCTCAGGCAGAAGCGAGTAGCTCATGAGCAGGGATACGCAGGGTTTTGCCTCATAGTCATCGCGCCAACTTGACACTCTTCTGCACGTCTTCCTTGCAGCCACTGCCGAAAGTCAATAACCGAGCAGAAGTGATACAGTTTGGCCAAATCGTAATGCGTCGCTTGGCTCTTGTTTGGTCGATTCTTGTCTCAACTTCGCAGGTCCTCAAGGAGAGTCGTTGCACGCCGTTTGCTGGGCGATCCTGGCGGTGGAGTTGGCAGAACGGCTTTGCTACTATGCGCCCTGGACGGTAAGCAACCACTAGGCAATTCTCAGACGCGCCCCAGAGCGCAGGCACCGTAGCATCGTCAGACGTTAGAAGCAGGTGCGCTGGACCATAGGAACTATGTTAACATGCGCGGAAGACGACGATGGCTGACCAGTCCACACACGCTTCCATGCATTCATTCACTACTATCCGTGAGAGAGAGAGAGAGAGAGCAACTGAGCAAAGTCTGGGATCCCGCTCCCGAAACGTAGTCTAAAGGCCCTCAACATGCCTCAACCCCGAGCCAAGCCACAGAGCCAAGCCTGTGTCCAGGCGATTGGGTTCATCTGTGATTAGATGCGAAGTTTTGCAAGTGCTGTAGTCACTGTAGTCCCTCCCCACTGCTTTGCTGCACAAAGGCCTTTTCCAACCTGCTGCTTAGTTGTTGGAACACTGAACTTACACTTCATGCAACAGCAAGTTCCCCTCAGATATTTGGAAATGAGGCGCTCGCTGGCAGTCAGGAATTCTTCCTCGAGGAACTGGGCTATGGGGCTCAGGAGAGCGCTGGTTTGAACTCAGCGTTCACCACTCTTTGCTACATTTGGCCGTTGCCTTGCGGCTGCACTTGGCTTATGTGCTGTGCCGGTGAGATGAAGCACAGCCATGCAGTTGAGCTCTTTAGGCTCGGCGGCTACATAGCTGATGCGTATCTGGGTCGCTACTACACCATCCTTGCGTTCACGCTCTTCTATCTTGTTGGAGTTGGAAACCCAGCCGTTGCAGTCACATGTATCGGAATGTACATCAAAATACCTTTTTACCATTGCACCAGCTTGAGGTGCTTTCTTGCGCCGTCACCGCCATTCCAAGCAATAGAGATGCGTACGGCTACCTGGTGGGATCCATGGGCTTCTTAGCGTTTGGCACAGGCCAGCGCCTGCCTTGTCTTGTAAGAAACATTATATATATATATATATATATATATATATATATATATATATATATATATTATATCTAGATACATAATCTTCATGTATGTCTGTAAGCAGGTATGTCCATAGATTTATAGTTTTGTGAGCAAGTGTTTTAGAAGAATGAGTCTGCATCGGACTTCCACTGCGTGCACGCAAGCTCATGCGAACTCTCCCACGCCCTCCCTTCAGGAGGCATCAAGCCCAACATCTCCAATTTCGGAGCCGACCAGTTTGACTCCCGAAGCGGCTTGTGGCTAACACGTCCAAAACAGCTTTGTAATGCTTTTCTAGTGATTCTAGTGGTGGGTTGTTGAGAAGGACCATGACGGACCCGCTTCACGAGGCTTTGTCCAGTTCACTAAGGCCCAGAAGGGCGGAAAGCCAGGGAAGAGTTCTACACCCGTTTCTATACGGCAATCAACCTTGGTGCTGTGTTCTCCTACGGCTTTTTGACCACCCTTTGCTCCAGCGGCATGCCGGGCATTGTGTCGAAAGAATACGGATACTGCACGGCCTACTTCATCGCCACTTTCGCTATGTTCATGGCATTGTTCATCTTCCTTTGCTACAGCGGGCAATACAGGCAGCACATCACAACGGTTGCTCGATACTCGTTCTGAAGGGATGCAAGCTTCTGGCACTGGCATGAGTGTCGTTTGTGCAGATATGTTATTATTGAATCTCATCCTGGAGGTGCCTTGTTCGGCGAAACAGTGGGGGCGATGCCATTCGCGGAGTGGTCTTGCATGTCGTCTCGGCCACATATCATGGCTCACTTCGTGCACTTATGATCTGTGTGGGTCGGACTCTGAGAAGGAAATACACATGCATCATGCAGAGAAGGGCCCTAGCTGCGAGCAGAGAGCTGTCAGAGGATGGCCCCTTCTGCTACTCGGTCTGTTGCTCACGGTCGCCATAGCTTTACTACCCGGTCCCGGCATTGGCATAGGTGCCTCGCAAGAGTATGTACAGATGCGGCATATTCCCGCAATTCTCAATTCCCAAACCTGTGATACACGTCAGGTGCGCTTGGTGCCTCCGCCGTGCTAGCAGGCTGGGTTAGAGTCAACAACACACTGCTATGTTGGCCGCACTTATGTCGAGAAATTAGTGCATTGAGGTTTCGGGCAGATGTCGTGAGGGTTGGCTCCTTAGGCTTCTCCATTCCTTTTGAACAGAAACAAGTGGAGCTAGCCTGCAAGCAGGCCAGAATTCTGACCTCTGCTTTACTTTCTGTTTTTGGTTGATTCTGACCGGCATTCCCATGCCCTGCTGGTTTAAAATCAGATCACACTCTTCAGACCTATTCGACCATTCAAGTTTACTCCGGCGGCCTTACTGCTGCTGTTAAATTACTCTCCGTCGCCCTTTGCAGGTTTGGTGCTGGCTACGCTGGGCTGCCAAGGCAATTTGGAGAGCCTAGGCTCAAATACAAGATCTCGAGCGATGCATAGTGAAGCCAGGCCCAATCCTGCAAGCTGCCCAATCAGTTCTTGTTGTCTCAGGTGGGTCCATGAGCTGTCACAGCGAAACAGCCACCTGACGAGACAGCAGACAGCGGACTTCCTGCGGGTAATGCCCACATTGGCTGCAGTCAATTTGGCGTTCAACAGCCTCTACAATTGCATGTCATACTGGTTTCAGGAGCCTGCTTGCGAAAGAGGCTGTCGAGGCACAAGTCTGGCAATCTGATCTGTGCTGTTGCAATTGCAGCAGGAGCAAGCCTGTTTGATGGACGTTCGTGTCGGCAAGAACTTGCAGCTGAATGGCTCCTTCTTCAACATCGCCGACTGCATAGCCATAGTGGTGCTGACGCCTGTTCTCCTGCAGCACATCAACCCAGCTATGGAAAGGTTCCGCAGCACAAGCACATCTGGGATTCTGCAGCCAGTCATAAATCGCATAGTTCAAGCAGGCTGCAAAGCATTTTGTGGCCCGCGCTGCTGTAACGTGTGTTGCTGTATACCTGCGCACCTCAAACTTGGAATGTTCCTCTGATCCTGATAATCCTTGGTAGGCTTTGTGGCGTGGGCCGGCATGTCCGCCTGCTGTTGGGTATCGCCTTTGCCGCCGGCTCGGTGGCTTGGGCAGCGCACCTGGAGGCAAGGGTGAGTGATGAAACTAAGGTGTTGCTTGGAAGATTCTGTGTACCGGTTGCTGCGTTGCCTGCAAAGGTCTTTTTTTTCCAGGCTAAAGGCAAGCGCTGTCGCAGGGACTAAGGCAGTACGAAGGCAGCGGTCGATTCACAGCCTCTCGCGGAAGACAAGAGACAGCCATCCGTACACAGGTCAAGCGTCGCCACGCCCCCTCTCTGGACAAGGCGCAACCACCTTTGACGTGAGCAACGCAGCAGGTGGCAAAGTTTCACTCTAGCGTTGCGGGTTCGGGGGATCACTTCGCTTAATGGCCCCTCAGCAATAGCTCTTCCCAGAAAGTCCTTGCTGAATTTGAAAGTGGAAGCGTGCACACCACACCTGCTACTTTAGTTATCCAAAGCTGCCGAGAACTGAGCACCCTTGTGCATCACTGTTCTTTGCATCGGGCCCCTTGCTTTTCAATGCCTCAAGCTAGGAACCTGCAGAATACCCTGGATTTTCTAGCGTAATACATTCCTCGGGGGTACCAAAAGGGCCCCACCATCTAGATCCGCCCACCATCGTAGCTGGGGATTGCGGGGGTCGATTGGGCAACGGTAACCCTACACATAGTTTCCATGACTTCGACTTCCGAAATTTCACCACCAGCGCCACCAAATTGTTGCAAGGAAACCTGCTGATTCCAGAGCCTCAACGCTTAGCCTTAGATGCCAGCGCAAGAAGCTCGCAAGAATCCTACATGAGTGGGCAATGCTTGCAGGATTCCTTCTGCGCACCTGGCAGAAAGATGAGCAGCAACTCGGAACAGAGCGGTAGTTCCGTCGAAGGCCACCTGACAATGTAGCAATGTAGCACGAATCCGCCTAGAGTGCCTTAGGCCTGTCTGCGTGGTGGATGGTAGGGCCCTACGCTGTGATGGGCATTGCAGAGGTTTTGGTGTGGCCAGGCTGCAGTTCAATGCCAGTCTCTTCCCATCTACTAGCAGCCTAGGATACACGGAAGGTTGAGATTTCCGATTGTTTTGCCTCTGCGGATCACACGGCTGTTTTAAAGCTTGAAAAGCTCGCTTTTCCATGAGAATGCAACTATACAAGAGCATGCTCGAATTCGGCGCGTCCACCTCCACCCACTTCCTCGGGGGAGGGGATTTCCTCCGGAAGGCCATGCATGTGTTCACATCCGAAGCGGAAGCAGACAACTCCATAAGCTTCAGAGGCAATTGTCGTATTGGGAGAGAAAACGGCACTTTGGGGGGGGGCCCTGGACGCCATCGTTGCATGACGTCGCCAAACGAGGCAACAGATGCCGCAACATTGAGCACCTTGAACTTCCAAAGCTACGCGACCCGCCTCGGCCAAGGCCTGCCCAGCGTTGAGGCAACCCAAACCGGAGATCGCAGGTGTGGACCTGTTGCCAAAGCTCAATCGCTGAATCTTTGCAAAGCGGAAATGCCGAACCAATCTCCAACTTCGTCGTGCCCTACAAAAAATCGGTGCAGCTGGCAAGGGCGGTCAAGTGCCTCTCTTTCATTCCAGCATGGGCCACATGTCGTCTCAACTCTCGGTGGAGAGGGTTGGGCGCGGGACCGGGAAAACACCGTTTTCGTTGTGCTATGTTGTGTTGGTTCGGTCCCAACTGCAGGCATCCGAGACAAAATGACGGCATTTTCGGTCCTGGGAAAAGGTTAGATTGCTTAGATTTTGTGGGCTCCTGCGACATTTCCAGACCTCCTACGGCCTGAGGCTGAAAGGACAGACCGAGAACCACGAAAGAACCACCAAGCAGCATCCCGTAGAAGACCTTCCTAAAAATAGGCTTTGAACAAAGGGCCCGGTTTCTGTTGAAGTGTTGGTGGTGATGCAGGATTCCCCTTTGAAGCAAGGCGTCTTCCTTTCTTGTTGTGTTCATCTGAAGGAATCCGTCGCTCTACTACCTGGCATACTCCCAGACGCCTCTAAGGTTCGGTTCGACTTGTGACGCAGTGTTACGCACAGATGTTTGTAGTATTTTGTAGTTGCATGGCACCAGAATGCATCCAGACACATGGCGTGTGGAAGCCACAGGTTGCGGTCGAGCGCCCAAGCCATGAACTTGCTGATGAGTGCCACCTCCAGCGCCCTATTTACAGTGCTGACAGCAATCCTTGGCGAGACCCGAACACAGAGGGCTGCAGAGCTCGAGGCTCTGTTCAGTCGTTCTCTGCTGCACCTTGCCATAATCCCTATCGTTGCAGCCAGCAAGTCTCATCCTGCAGGTCGGGTACTATGTTTCACTGCTAATGGCCGTTCCCTGCGTTTGCTGCCTGGCCTGACGACTGCGCACGGGCATCGTTTTCATGTCTGCGTGACAGACTCACACTTGTTGACATGGATGTTCGCCTAGCATTTTGCATTTGATCTTGAAGCTAAAGAACCCGCCGTTCCTGGAATCCGCGCTTTTATGGAAAAGCGCGGTTCGTCTAGATAAAACGTTTTGGTTTTAAGATTTTGCTGCACATAGATATGTAAAAATGCAGGCAAAGCGTGTTTTCGGGCTTTCTGCGGGCATTTTTGCGGCTTGGGGGACGCAAGCTGTGTTTTGAGGTTAAAACAATGCTTGGCCTTGCCCTGTGCCGGGTTGCAGGCTTTTTGGGCAAAGTTCGTGCTTGGGTGTAATTTAGTGTATTCGGGGTGCTGCGTTTGATTCTACAGTATGTTGTACAGAGGGGCAAAAACACTGTACATGACATCGTTCTGCTGAGAACCTGCATGATTATTATATTCATGTCGTTGTTTTTCTTTGTTGGTTACTTCGTTATTAGGGTGTTTTCTTGTTCTGTGTCATTCTTTCTGTACTCTTTCTTTCTGCTGTTCATTGTGCATTCATGTCTTTGTCGTTCTTTCTTTCTGATTTTCACTCTGTCTGTTGCGGGTGGGTAGGAGTGCCCTTGCAAGCTGGCGACCATGCCCACAAAACTGGTATTTACAGCATGGTTGCTTCATTTGCAACATACTTAACCCCAGGGTTGCGTTCAGGGTTAAGGTCGGATGGAACGCTTTTACGCCGCCACCCCCCCCCCCCCCACAAACCCACAACACCGAACAAGATCCAGTAAACGTTCAAAAGCCTTGTACGGTTATGGGGCCGCCAACGGCGCTAGCCTAAAAAAAGGGGCGTCCAGTCCACAGCGGGCATGACAAAGGGTGCAAAGGGTTGCAGGGGCACGCATGCCGGGTGCGTGTGGCTGCTGGCGGCAACTGGCTCATATTGGTGCAGAAGTGCAGGGGACTAATGTCGGAGGCATTTGTAGGAACTTGTAGGAAGTAAGCTACAACTGATGCCGTCTGCGTGGGTCGACAGAAAGCCTTCTCCCGCGGCCGGCGCCGAGGCGGTGAGTAACCATCAATTGGACCCGAATCTTCACTGGCATATAATATAAGAGGAAATAAAAATGGAGAACCGCAGTCGTGATGTTGCAGAATTCATCGTTGGGACATATGAAGACCAAAAACTCCGTCCCCGAGAACCGAATGTACCTGCGGTAAACGGTTAGGAGCGATCTCTGACTTCTCTGCACCATCGCAAGGCTGGTACCTTTGGGTCCAGTGCAGCTGGGAAGAGCGTTTCTTCGATGAAACGGACAGCGACTTGGGCGAGGCGCGGATGAATCTGCGTTATGGCCGACCTACACGGATGCAGCACAACTTCCACAAGTTGAGCTCTTGCAGGTGCCCGCTGCAGGACAGTTGAACAAAGGTGTCGCCTACACACGTACAGGCCGCGCTTTTCCTGGCATGCAGATTCCCCAGCCTGCCTGCGACTCTCGAAGGTATGTTACGAGATTTCATGTCACCACAAAGCCCTGGTGGCAGTCCCGCAAACTGGGTCGACAACAGCTTCTTGCTTGCAGCTAGAAACGCGCCATGCAAGTGTCAAAACGCTGACATCCGGCTGACTATTCAAACCCCTCTCGGATGTCTGAGGTCCATTATCAAGTGGTGGGCCCTTTGTCCTGCATTTACTTTGCTCAGGCATGCTCGGTTTCACAAAAGCGATACTGCTGAGTAAACAGCAGCAGCCGTGCTCCACATGAAGGCAACTTGGGCAAGCACAGACACAATGGCGACTTGCAGGAGTAAAGAAAGAGGGGGAGTCGTTGGGAGACTGCGCATTGTTCAACCTCGTAGGTGCATTTGAATGACGTTGGGTTTATCACGATAGCGGGGAGGCTCTGCTGCGGCATCCCGAACCTGAAGTGAGATATAGATTGAATATTGTTGGAGGCCTTGCCAGGCCCGGGAGGAGTGGAATATGAGGTCGTGAACGGTTCAACCGGACAACAACGCAGCTAATGTACGACAAGAGCCGTTCATGCATTGGGCTAGGAAGCTACGGCGTCGCATCTGGAAGTGAAGTACAGTAGGGTGCGGGGCTCGTGTTTGAAAGGGTCGGTGGATGAGACTCTGCTGCCTCCAGGGCCTGGGCGAAGAAAAGCTTTGACTGCCTTCATGGCTTCGAGAGTTTCGCTCGAGCGCTCAACAGTTGCAGTATGTTGCAGTGCCAAGGAGCGGCTTTCAGCTGGCTTATGGCGATAGCCGTGGCTTGGATAACTCAAAAAAGCCCTGCGATTCCATTTCCAACAACAGCCAAACAAAATTCGGAGGCGAGGATGAGTCTTCCTGCGCTTTTGTGCTGGTATCAGAAGAACCCATTCCGCGCTGATCAAGAGGCAGGCAGGACCTCATAGTTTTGACTAGTTTTGACAATCTGTGCACAGCGCAGGTTAGCCATCCATTGAGGTGTGTCTGACCACTCAGCACCTGGAAGGATCATTGGCCTTTCCCAGGCAAGCACGCATGATGCCCGTTCAGGCAAAGTCAAGTGATCTGCCATTTGCCACTGGTAACAGCTAAGCTGAAGGTTGCTGAAAAGTTGCTGCAAAGAGAGCTGAAAGCTGCTCAAGTGACGGATCCAGAGGCGTGCAAAAGTGGTATACATGATTCGTCTCGGGCAACTCGAACCGGGAGGCTAAGAGTCCATCATTTGAGAAAGCAAACACTAGTCACTAATCCTCTGCTGAGTCGGTAAATAAACGCGATTGCTCTCTTGGGTCCGTCCGAGCGGGCCTGGTTTGCCCTAGTTGACAGCATGTGGCTTCCATCTTCGTGCTGCCAGGTCGTTTGAACATGTGGCTGCCTCATGGAGCGTCAGCCATTAAGCTAGGAGACCCAGCCCGCGTGCTTTTTGCAAATGTTCCCCACATTTTCCCGCCACTGCTCTGGGCCGAAGAACATCTTCCACAATGGTGATCCCAGCACCATCAGAGGGAGCCTTCGGCACTCAAAGTCAGCGGTGGCGACTCCCCGAGGAGTTGGCGGTAACACCACGGCAGCTTGAGCTTTGTAATCTGGGCTGCTGGTCCACTTTCCCCGAGGGATGTAGATAGCCTGCACCAGCCACTTCAAAGTGGCAGAGAGTGCCAACGCACGTTCATTACCCAGCAAAACAGTGACAAGCAAGTCCGTGTCCTGAAACAGCACGTTACTGTGCAGCTGCGCTGGAACAGTTTCCGGCGGATGATCAGATGCGCGCAGGTCGTCGACACATTTGTGCGTGCACCTGTGGAGGAACCAGCTAGGGCCTCAGTTGGAGGACCAGCATGCAATGCAGCTTATTCCTAAGCTCCGAGAGTCCGAGCCCAGTGCATACGTCCGTCATCCTTTCATGCCCGCACAAACGTGGTACAACTTCAGGATACGTTCGGTTTTTGGCCCGAAGTAGTGCTGCGGCATGCTGCGGACAGAAGCGCAGACTCTTTCTTGATCAGGTCACGAAAGCATTCGATCATAACTAGCAAGTTTGGGCTTTTGGGCTGCTGCGAAGCCTGGACATAAGATGGATCATCAGTTCAGGCTGTGGAGCCTGCTCCGGCAGAAGCTCCCAATGCTGGCGTCTCAGAGCACACGCAGGATGTTTAGGCCATGTCGTCTCGCTTCTGGCGAGTTCAAATACCCCTTTACTCGTCAGCATGAAGCGCGCACGAGACGCAATTGAATGCGGTTGAATGCCTCGGCCAAGGACACCATGTCGCTTGGGGAGAAGCTACGGCAGGCCTGATTCCCTTTGCCGAATGCTAGTCGCGGCATCTCACGGCACTGAGCTGAATCAGGCAGTCTTGAGCGGCAGCCAAGATGATCTCAAGCAGCCCCGGACAGTTTGTTGGGCATGGCGGCTTCTGCTAGTCTGGTTGCATCAGCTCTCAGAGGAGCAAGAAGTAAGCAAGCAAGCAACACCAGCCAATAGCGAGCACAAAAGCAGTATCGAACGTCTTCCGCCGGCATCTTCTACTTCCGAAGCAGGACATGCCGTGTTTTTGCCTGCCTTCTTTTCTTGTGCTGGAGAATGTGCAGTAAATACAGAGCACGAACCCGCAACTGTCCACACTAGTTTAAACCTCCAGAAACATGTTTTCTGCTTGTTAAGATTCATGTGGTGGATTCAACAACCTTCTTGGCATTTGCACATGAGAAACCACTAGGCATGGTTTCTAGCTGTCACTCACAGGCGCATGAGCCAAGACATGCAAAAGCGCGGGTGTTTTGTTGGAAGAAAACGGGGCACTCAGAGTCTTTCAGAACAAGGGAGAGCCTCTCCTCCATTAGGATTGTCGAAAAATCGAGAGAAGCGTGGCCCAAGCGGACAGCAACAAAACAATCATCGCGCCCCGCACAGGCCGGCAAGAAGGCGCTCTCTGCAGAGCAAGAATAAGTCTTTCGCATTGGTCCACGCCTTGCAACTAGACGCGAGTGAATGAGCCGAGACGCGCCCACGACAAGAGAATGCACCGACAGCAACAAAAATCTTCTACTCCAAACTGTAAACTCTAAACACAGCTGAGTGAGCCTCTCGAGGCAGCAACAACATATTCGCATCCCGTGCAGCAACAGCAATGCGCCTCGCCTCCGCAGCAAAGAAAAAGCAGCGAATGCTACCCTGAAGGCTCCTAATCAGATGATCCCAGCCAAGACTCCGATCCCAGCCCAAAATAGTGCGTCACGCGCACACAGCAGAACAAATTCAAACTCACATACCTTGCTCGCCAAAACCTGGGTTGTCGAAGACCATGTACTGCTATTTCATTACAGTGTTTGCATGTTGCGTGTGTCTTCCGATCACCGGCAACTACAGGGATCTACAGACTTTGACTTGATTCTTCGAGAGCAGGTCGCCTTCCTTTAGATTCCGCATTGTTTCGAGTGGCCATCTGGCCACCTCCAATGCCTTTAAACGCAGTTCTCCGAACCACAATAGCAAAAGAGGTCTTTCAACATCTTTCAACATAACTTCGCCCCTATCTATTACGCCCCCCCCCCCCCATACACGTTGCCGGTGGATCTGCATCCATGCAGGATCCGTTACCGCCATGGTTGTTCACGTGAAAACTGTGGCGACTGCATGTGCATGGGCAGGTGGTCTTGCGGGAAGAAGATGCAAAAACATGTCTTATGGCGGGGATTTAAGTGGACGGGTTTTCGTTTGGTTGTTCGATTTAACTTCGGACCCCGATGCCCATACCAGGCGGCTGTTCGAGCAGTGCTCTCGTGCTCCACCGAAGAAGGTGCGAAGCTCAAAGGAATATCCGGTAAATATCCGGTACTTCGCCTGACGTTACTTTCAGCATATCGCAGGCTGTGGACGCCGATCACTTAGCAGCATTTTCGGCCTTCGACGACCTCCTCAAGCCAGCCAATGAGGCATGCAGGGAAGCGCTTGACATTTTAGATCAGCTTTTGGCCATTGCTTGCGTCAGGTGGAGGCCGCCGCGCGACCTCCTGAAGGACGGAGTAGAAAGTCGGGACTCCTCCGACATTCCAGCTGCATCAAGCGAACAGCTGCAGGAGACCTCCTAGACGCTCCTTCGACGTCGACATCGAGGAAGCAGCACTGCAGATCCCGATTGTTTCGAAGACACCCATGTTTGATTGCAGCCGTCACGGCAGTAGTGCGAGACTACCGCGCGAGTCGCACTTCAGAATTCAGTACGGTGTCGTGATCAGAGTGCTGTGGGCGAAGGCTTCCTGCCCAGCCGGAGCCGGTCAGAACACAGGAGCGATATGCTGCTTTGCATACGGCTCGAGTTCATTGTGCCTGTGCGACGCGCATCAGGCTGCATCTCAGTCAAACGGTCCTGAACTCATCCGCTTTGCTTCTCAGTGATCTCCACGTGGTTCTCGTGGTGCGCCGAGGCTCTGGCCCAGACATGTTCTTCATAGGAGACGATCCACATGAAGGCACGACGCACATGTCCCTTGCTGTCACTTGTTGCGCATGAAAGTCACCGCCAGAAGCAGCAGACTTAGCAGTCGCTGGTGCTGGTGGGGCCGCCTCCCCAGGAGATCTGCTGGCGGCTACAGTTCAGCAGCAGCACGGAACGGCATCTTTCAACATGATCTGCACTCCATGCCTGCCCAGGCGGAGCCGCGGCTGACTCCGCGGAGGGTTGAGCAGCTCATGGCGAATGGCACGGCCGCATGGCATGCATGGACAGGCTGTATTGGCTGTGCATTAAAGTATTAGCTTCCGCTTGGCAACCGCTGTTCCCGTTAGGTTATGCACGGGGCAGCAGCGCACACACGCTACATTGAATCAAAAGCCAAAGAGGCTTCCAGGATAGTTGCTCTGTTGCTCATGGTACAGGTTACGTGGAATATGGGCGTCACTCCAGTTGAAAGATACCCAAAGGACATGTTCGCCCCCCTTTCAAGTGCTTACTTGCAGCCGTCGTCTTCCAAGGGCAGCAGTTTGACTCCACAGCAGCTGGAGAGATTACCACCACAGGACATGCTCGGGATTCTGTCAGCTTCTAACATGAAACCTGTTGGGGTGTGGCAGGAGCTGCTTCAGCTTCAAGCAATGATCTCCAGCGCATTGCAGGCGCCAAGCCCGTTACAAGACTACCATGCATCCAGTCATGTACGCCATGAAGTGTGGCGCTGCACCCAACTTCGAAGCACCATTCCGTCCTGCCATGCCACACAATGTCTTGTGGGCGTTGCCCACATGCTGCTACCGTCTACGCTCTGACTTGCAACTGCTGCGAAGCCAGGCGAGAGCTCCTCCTCAGTCTGCCTGGGCTTTAATCGCAGGGGGGGTTTCCAGCAGATCCTCCCATGTGCGTCAGCATCACAACTGCTGCTCCGAGGTATCTTCCGTGCGGGGTGGGGCCTTTACATCGTTGCAGCATGCTGCAGTTCGTAGCAAATTCTAGCAGAGTGTGGCAAGTTCCACCTTGCCTCAGGTCCTGCACCCGCCCCTTGGCAAGCGACGGTTTACAGGCCTGCAGAGCGCGCGTTCCTCAGCAGTTCCTTCCTATAGTTTCTCAGCTTCTGCCTTCCTCCATATTCAGATTCAATCAACACCAATCAACGCTGCAGGCATATCGTCCTTTGACATAGCGTGTGGCCCCCAGAGGAGGGAGCATAGGCTCCTTGATCATGAAGATCAATTTTCTGGAAGAGGCAGAAAGATCCTGAGCAACAAGCTCCGTTCGGCGAGCTTCTGGAGATTGGGCTGAGCATGGCATGACAACAGTTGGAGTGGTATGGAGTGGTACAGTTCAATGTCACGCCTGTACGATTTTCCCGATAGCGAGAACAAAGCTGGAGTAATTCAAGTGGCCGCATGTAGCTTCCGAGACCTTCTGAGTTTGTACCTGCACCTATTTGCACCTGACGGCCTGACGGAGGACATGTTCCAGAAGAAGAACACTCGGGGACCCAGCTGAAACCAGCGGTGTGTCCAATGGCTTCTAATTATTCCTGGTATTCTGCAAGGAGCAGGGAGGGTACAGTTCGTCAGCCTATCACAGCACAGGCATGCAAAGTGAACATGAAGCGGCATTCGACAATGTGCTAATCAAGTTGTTTCGCTGTGCCTGGCATTCGCTTCTGGCTGCTCGTGCAAACGCATGAATTTGCAGCCATTGCGGGCACACATGCTGACGAGCCCTGCTGACCTGCGAAAATTGTATCATGGTGTCTGCACACCGTACTACACCGTACTTTAATCGGTTGGCATCTCAGGCATCCGTCCGAGGCTCAACATGGCCAGACAAAGGGCGTGGAAAACTGCCGTTCCTGCCGCTATTGAAAAAAAAAACGGCGCCTCTCACAGCCAGATGCAAGCAGCCTCGAGAAGACCTGCCCCATCCTAAACACTTGAAAGCCTACAAGCAAAGAAACGCAACATGCCTGCTACATGCGTGCAAGCATGCGAGCTACATGTGTGCAAGATTGAGGCTCATAGAGTAGCTCGGGGGATTGAAACCAAATCCCCCTGGCCTGGTGGGTCGTTATGGACCGGTCTTCCCTGCGTGAACATGGCGAATGTGTGATGAGGACAGGGCGACTGATTCTTTGACTTCTCTGACATCTAGCCGACCGGTAGCTACCTTCGATTCAGCGTGCATTTGAAAAGGGAGACACCACGGATAGCAGGCACGGGGGGTGAGATTCTCAGCCTGGGGCTTGCATAGGACAAGTTTCACGTGACATCGCGAGCCTCCATGAAACTTTGTAATCAGCCAAGACCTCGGCCCAAGGCTCCAACCCTCAGACACCCCGGAGCTCGCAGAGGACGCAGGCCAGCTCCTCTAAAACTCTTTTCTGCATTCGTGAAGGCAGATGCACTTCGCATCAAGCGATTGCAGGCGATGTCCATTACGGAAATGGAGTCCAAGTTGCTGCCTAGGCAGAGCCCAGTGTGGCCGATCTTGCAAATACTCTTATTGACAGCTCCAAGCAAAGTTAACCTGGGAGGCCCCTCAAGGGAGGCCGCCATGGCTCACTCCCCATGTCACAACCTTGACGGCCACTGCTCACATTGCCATCGTATTATCTAGTTTTGTTTCCGCAGCCTTTAGGTCAGCCCGAGAGCTCTTGGAGGACAACAAGCAGCTCATTCTTGAAAAGAAGGAGCAGAAGGCAACAGATCATGACTTTGGATGCGGTTGTAGTTTTCACCTGCTTTCACTTCACCGCGCCTGGCTCTGACATCAATCGTTGCAGGCACTGGCCAGGAAGAATTCACGAGAGCTAGTGCAAAAGCTTATCGAAGAAGACCGCGTCAAGAGCGAGGGCATCAAGGACCAGCCGAAGCATTAGCATGTGTGTGTCAACTTCAACTGCGTCGATGTCACGTCGATGTCACGAAGCAGGCAACTGACCAGAGCAAACGGTCAATGCAGCGAGAACTAGCGCCTCCAGCCCAGTGTTTTTTCATTCGCTCTGCGACCGACATCCATGGGAAGCAGCCATTCGCATTCTACCATGGCAACAGCAGTCACGCAAAAGCAACAGCCTGGTCCTGACAAGGCAGCAGTACAAAGCTGCGATCGCACAGAAGGAGGCACATCGAGCCGCAATGAAGACTTCAACGAATCAAGGTCCGCCCAGCTGTTCTTGCAAGCCTCACAATCTCAAGCAAGCCAATGCTCAGGCCAGCATATCTCCTATTTTCCGTTCGTGGAGGGCGAGACCATAGCCAAGGCCAACGTTTGTCGTTTTGCAACAAATGCGGCAGCCTTGTCATCCATCATATGCCTCCTTGCAGTCCCCCTTGCTCCACCGAACCTTGAATTGTGAAGCCCCCACCGGGCATGACCAAGATGGAAATCAAACCTTGAATCGCGACCCTGAATCGAGTGAATCCTGGAAGGCAGTGGGAAAGCCCTATGCCCTAAAACCAAAATGGTGCTTAGCCCTGAGGCAGGGGGAGGGGCAGCGGGAAGGGGAGGGGGGAGGAGGGGAGGGGGAGGGGGGGGGGGGGGGGGGG